GATACCAGCCTACTAGAAGGCAGGCAGTAATATATATCTCTATGTTACGAGAGGCGCCCTAAAGCTGTATATGCACTAGTTTATAGATAGATAAGGGCAAATAGTGCCATTAGCTAATGTGGTAGAGGAATTAAATATAATAGATATTATAGTAGAACTAGCGTTGGCGAATAATAATAAAGAGCTTTAATAAGTAACCGCATATAATCTGGAAATGTAGACTTATACTATTAGAATAAGACTATATATAGCTATAGGGGGCACGAATGGGGAGGAAGATAAACTAAACTTTGTCATACCGGATATTAAAGCACTAAATATATTAGCTTTTGCTAAGGCAATATCCAGGAGATTAGATAACCTTTTTAACTTTTAATAGTTACCTCCGGCCCGCGATGTTATAAATCGCACTGGTAACCTAATTATACTCGATAAAAAAAACGCCATAGATTAAAGAGATAACAGTACTGATAATAGAGACTAAAGACTTGTGTTAGAATAAGGCAATAATAGAGACTAAAGAATTACTATAGAACTAGGTGATAATAGGAATAACTAGAACTAGTAAGTCCTTAACACCTATATCCGGGATAATACCTAAGATGATATATAGAGCTGAGATAATAGTCTGTTAGACATATTAAACAATAGTTTGCCAGCAATTATAGAAGATAATAATAGAGTTAATAATATAGAGATAAAGTTGGAATAACTCATCTACTGAATACTCCTAATTATTAATTTAATATTAGAATAAGAGATAGCAGACACAAATATTAATTCTAAATAGATAATAAAAACTGAAGTAGATGTTGCAGCACCAGTAATTAATCTTATAGATAATAAATCTATTAAGAGGGAGGCTGTGTATAATATAATTATCTTATAGAATGAAAACCGCAGAAAAGTTGTTAAATTAAAGGGGCTGGATATTTCTGAAGCGATCTCTCTACTTAAGAACTTGGCTAAAAAGGGAGACTGAAGCAATTAGATATTTTGGGCGAGGAAGAAGCGGCTTAATATTATAGGGTATTTCTCCTATAATTTGTTTTAAATAGTATTACTTAGGACGGTTCTGCTTATTTTTTAATATCCCCTTATTATATTCCTGCGACTGTATTTATTAATATCTCTCTTCCCTGTAACTGTATTTAATAATATTTCTCTTATATACTGCTTTAATTTGGAATTTTTAATTATTATAGTAGACTATAGGAACCTATGGCGCAGTATAGCATTCTGAGGCGTATAACAGTTTGCAGTGGTATACTATAGTTTTTATTTTGACTTCTAAGACCCTGCGCGGACTTAAGTCCCTTAGGAGGGGGGGCGAATGTTATGGATGACAACCCCCAGATCTCACGGGGTCACGTGACCTGCCGGTCACGTGACCCACCCAGTGTACTTAGGCTTTTCGGATCCTAGGATCTTTTCTGATCCTTAATGAGAATACCTTCGATCCCGACATTAATTCTTATATTTTTAAGTAGTTAATTAATAGCTTAACTCTAATAAAAGCTTTCTCTAGAGATATTTAAACCCTATTAATTATTAGTTTATTTAATACCTTATTTTTAATATATATATTAGTTTAAGCTATTTTTACTTATAATTTAACTAAAAGGTTTAAATCTTTAAATATAGCTTTTATTCTTTTTTTAATAGTTTAATATACTTATTCTATAACTTTATTTTATATTAATATATATAAAACTATTAGTTTATAATATATATTAAACTATTTCCTTTAAGTTTTAAAAAAATTCTTAAATTTTAATATATTATTAAATTATATATTAAGAATTTAAAGACTTATTATTATTTTAATCTCTTTTTTCTATTTATTTAAAATAGAGATAATATTAGATTTAGCTTTTATTAGAAATACTTATATTTTCTGTAAAAAGTTATTTATAATTATTAAAAAGTAAATATATTTATTCTTAGACTTTAATATTTAATTATATATATTTATATAAATAAGTTTAAAAATATTAGCCTTTTATATATTAATAATCTTTCTCTTATTTTTAATATTAGCTATAGTATATATTATATATTAATAGTTTATTATTACTTTAATAAGCTTCTTTAATATAATTAAGTTATATAAGTTTTTAACCTTTTAAGTTTAAAATAGTTAATTCTTCTATATTATAATTAATACTTCTTTTAAATTTTATTTTAATAAAATCCTTTTTTCTTCTTAATTTTATTTTAATAAAATCTTTTTTTAATCTATAATTATAGTATTAAAAGTATCTTTAATAGAAAGTAGTTTAATAAGTATATATTATAACTTAAGTATTTAGTTTAAAAAGACTTTCTTAATAATATAAACTCTATATTTAATAATATCTTAAATTATAACCTTATCTAATTTATTTAATATAGATATTATTCTTTTATTAAAATATCTGTATATATTTAATTATTAGTAGAATATCTTAGTTAATAAAAGATTTATCTTAAGGTTTAATATAAGTAATATATTTTCTAGATTTAATATCTTCTTATCTTTATCTTTTAAAATAGTTATTTCTATATATTCTAAATATAAGATCTTTTTACTTATATAAATATACTTCTATAAAATTTAAATTAATAATTCTTTAAAATAGTAATTTTTATTAATTATATATAAACTAGTATTATTATTTATATATTATTAGAATAAATTCTTATTAATAATATTTTTAAAAGGTAAGTAATCTTATATAAGACTTAATTATTAAAAATAACTAAAGTTAAAGATTTTAATTAAAATTAGCTTATTTTAAAGTCTAAGATTTCTTTTATTTTATATACTTTATATTTCTTATCTTTTAATCTCTTATTTTTTAAAGATTAAACCTCTTTATAGAGTTTAGTAATTAAATTTATTATCTTCTTATTTTAAATAATAAGACTATTAAATATTTATTTAAGAGATTTTTTCTTTATCTTTAGCTATTTCTTATATTTTTCTAAATAATAAGTAAGAATAAGTAGTTTTTAATATAGTAATCCTTTTTATAAATATAGTATTTAATTAAGGTTTATTTATTTTTAATAAAGAATATAGTAATTAGCTTTATTTAAAATTAAGCTTTTATCTCTTTTAAAATATTTAGGATTTTATTTATATTTAAGCTTATTTATATATTAATTACTATTCTAATAATAATATATTTTTTAAATAAGACTAAGAGTAATTATTAAATCCTAGCTTTAAATTTAGCTAAAGAAAATATATCCTTATTATATACTTTAATTTTTTTCTCTATTAAATCTAGTTATCTCTAAGTATTTAAAATTATCTGTCTAGAGATTATTTAAAATTATATATATTATTAAATAAGCTAATATTTTCTAGGTAAAGAGAGATTATTTATATTTTATTTATAGTCTCTTTTATAGATTCTCTATATTAAATAAATTTATAAAATTCTCTTAATTATTATTTAAAAAGTATTTAATAATTTAATATTATATAATTATATTAGTCTTTTTAAATACCTTCTTATCTTAGCTTTTTTTTTCTTCTTTAAATAATTTAATAATATTCTAGTAATTCTTACTAAAAAGCTATTTTTTTATATAAAAACTATATCTTATAATTCTCCCTTAAAAAAGTAAAAACTAGTTTTTTTTTTATTATTCTTATCTTTTATTAAGAATATAATAATAATAGATTAATTTTCTAATCTTTAATAAGATTTAACTCTTATTAAATTTAATACTTAATATAATATTAAAATAATTTTATTACAGATTCTCTTATATAAGAATAGCTTATTATTATTAGTTTAAACTTAAATATTTAAAATAAAATAATTTTTATTATATAGCTATTTTTCCTAAATTATTATAAATCTAAGCTTATAATTAATTAAAAAGAATAAGTTTAGATAAAATTCTCTAGATTATCTAATTATCTTAGAGAGCTAATAATTCTTAAAGAAAAAAATATTAATATATATAATAGATATAGAATATATTTTAATATTTTCTTAATTAAGGTAATAAATTTTATATAAAGCTTAAAAAGTAGTTTCTTTAAGCCGCTTAATTTTATTAAAATAAAATTATTATTAAAGACTTTCTTAAAGTAAAATCTTTATTATACTAGAATTTATTAGTCTTAACTATTATTTTATAATAATATACTTATTTATATAAATTAATTTATTAAATATAATTCTAATAGTTTTAATTAGCTTATAGTTTATTTAACTATTAATTTAACTCTTTATTATTAAGTTAAGCTTTTTTTATATTTTATAGACTTTAGCTTTATTTTAAAGTATAAGTCTTTTAATAAATATATTAATTAAGTCTTTATAATTTATTATTTTAAGAACTTCTTTAATTAATTAAAGTTAATTATTAAAGTTACTATTATTAATTAAATATTTAGCTATTATAAGTATTTTATCTTATATAGTCTTTAATAGCTTTAATCTTTAATAAGTTATAACTATTAGAGCTATTAAGAGAATTAATACTAGAGATAGAGTTATTATTTTAAAAGATTAATCTATTTAAAGATAAAGGTTTATTAATTTAATTCTTTATCTTAGATATTATTTAATTAAAGAATTAAAGCTTTAAAATATTTAGCTTATTTATTTAAAATAGTAATAAGGCTAAGCTAAGCTTATAACCTCTTAGAGCTAATAAAGATACTTAATTAAGGAACTATCTAGGGGCTTAATTAAGCTGAACTGATCTATCTAGCCACTACTCTGCTGACTAAGCTAGCTGCTGGCGCGGGCGACTACTACTAGAGCCCCTAGGGGCACCGAAATTTATTTTTTAGAAGCTATAAGATGCTAGAACGCACAACACTTAGATCTAATGATTTAACTCTCTATAAGAGAGAAGATATAGGGTAGCAGCTGTGGGCCACGTTAAGTAAACTTAACCGACCCACGCCATGACGTTAAAATGCCGCTTTCACTGGGCCAAAGAGATGGTATTAAGTCATGACGAAAGCGTTGCCGTATGACTCGATCGTTTCCGGATAATCGGAATGCGACCAAACAATTGGCTTTCATAAAGACCAAGAAAAGAAAAAGTTCTTTTCATACATTTTACTAGCTTTCTGTTTAAGCAGATTGCGCACTACGCGACCTTTGAATAACCCTTCCTGGACCGATGATATTATTCTCCGGAGGATACATGGAGCGACGCAATTGAAACATCCTCGTACGATAGTTGGAGCCTGGCAAAGAAAAATTGTATAAGATGGTCGAGGAGGGGACAGAGGGGTCTCGAAATGACCTGAGTAATGACGGTCGCCTGCAAAAGGAATCATCAAATCAGCGCGTCCAGTCTGCAAGTGAGACGTTATGGGACAGGTATAGACGGACTTGCACCGTCGCCTGAAGGCAGCCTATGCTGACCGGCGACCAGGATCAAGGCCATCTGGGGTAAAGATCATTCCGATTCTGTGCCTAGGAATAGAGAGGGCATTGAGATTCATACTTGGAACAGTGCAGAAGACCCTGATAATCCGTGAGCAGTCCCCCACAGTCGCGGCACACAGTACTCTAGCTAAACTCTCTGTGCATGTATAGGTTCAATTGGAGCCCAACTTACAAATGGGTTCTGACCATAACAGTGTGCTTTATGTGCGTATATTCCTGCCTCCTTTTCAATATTTCTGGCCTAGGCAGTGCGAAGGTTTACTGATAATTGAATTCCCTTCTGTACACAGTTCCATCTTGACTGGACTGCCAGCTGGAACGTATGGCGCCGGTAATAACGAGATGGAACAAAGATTCCATGTTCAAAATCAACCGTTTCCAAACTTGTACTGGGCCACTACATCTTGGAACATGGGTGCTGCATTTTGGCCACTCATTTTTGTTCCTCTAACCGAGTCTTCGGGGCGTATGCCAGGATATTTTGTTGCATATTTCATTCTGGTTATCTCCCTTTTCCCTTCCGCCTTTGCGCAGAACTTTGCGACGCTAGTTGTGACTCGGTTTTTTGGTGGCGGTGCATCCTCTGTGTCGATCAATATTGTGGGCGGAAGTATTAGCGATGTTTGGTATGGTGACAAGGCACGTAGCTTGCCAATGTCACTTTTTGGATTCACCAGTGTCATCGGCATCGCCTTGGGGCCTTTTATCGGCTCAGCGATCCAGGAGATACACAAAACTGACTCGTGGAGATGGTATGAATATAGCATCTTCATAGGAACGGCTCGGCTAATCCTTGACTCCTAGGATTTTTTATGTCCAGATCATCTATAATTCGGGTCTGATTCCGATCTTCTGGTTTATCCTCTACGAAACGCGACCAGACGTGATCCTCGCAAAACGCGCAAGGAAGATCCGCAAAGAGACTGGGAGACCGGTATATGCGGAAGTGGAGCTTGACAGTACCAGCATCTGGAGCCTTCTGAAGATTTCCTTTATGCGACCGACGAGGATGCTGCTCACCGAACCAGTGGTCACTTTCTTCACGCTGTGGATTAGTTTTGCTTGGGGGATACTCTATCTGTTCTTCAATAGCGTAGTTCAAACTTTCAGCGCTAACTACGGGTTTGGGACTTTCCAAACTGGGATGATTCAGCTTGCTATCTCTGTGGGAGCAGTTATTGGAACCCTGGTTAATCCACTCCAAGATCGACTCTACTTACATTCCGAAAGATACAATAAGGAAAAGCCCGGGAAGCCAGTTCCCGAAGCCCGGTTATATTCATCTATTCCCGGAAGTTTGCTGTTTTCAGGGGGTCTCTTCTGGTACGGCTGGTCCAGCGTCGGTCATATTCACTGGATCGTTCCAACCTGCGGGATCGCAGCGACAGGAGTTGGAATTTACTCGATCTACATGGCCGTTGTCAATTATCTGACTGACGCTTATGAAAAGTATGCCGCGTCGGCCCTGTCTGCAGCCTCTCTCGGCCGCAACTCATTCGGGGCTTTCCTTCCTCTAGCATCATATCCCCTGTTTCAGAATCTTGGCTATGGCTGGGCTGGGTCACTTCTTGGTTTCGTTGGTGTTGCTCTGTCTATCGTTCCTTGTGTCCTAGTTCTCAAAGGTCCAGAAATTCGCAAACGCAGTCCTTTCATGCGCGAGTCTGTCTGGGATAATGATGAGTCGGCAAAGAGCTATCCGGAACCCTGATATCAGAGGTGTGGATGCGATTCTGGTTGGTGTTTATGTATATATGACTTGGAGTTCGACAATTCAGGCCGATCTGCAAAAGCGTCATGTCGATAGAGCTGGTGAGGTTCGAGTACTAGACGATGTTGGTAAAAATAATGTAACTTTAGCCATGGACATGGGTTATATGTGTAATAAAGTCGTTGTTTCAGAAGCCAGGATCTGGGTCTGACTTCCTAGAAACTTTATCGCAATAGCAATTCAAGCGAGGGGCAGGATAAACAACGTACTTGAGTATCGACTTTATCTCTTCACATGTCACGTTTATTTATCTCCTTATCTCTCATAGATTGATTAGATAAACTATCAAAGGAGTTCGAGACTCCTTATCGATTATGGATCAGATATTAGCGGGGCTTTCCCACGCATTGGTACACAGATCACAGACCATTTTGAGGTCGTCGAAAAGACATCTGAAAAGATCGTGGTCCGTTGTGGCGATTCCCCATTGAAACGTGATGTTCGCGCATCCGATGGCCTGTTCGAAATATCTGCCGTCGTTAAGCCGGAGGAAGGCGTGTTTGAGTTTGGACTCAAAAGTGTCTTCTACCAGGGGCTGGGAAAGACTAAGGGGGAACCGATGCCTGCGCACGTTTTCTGGCTGCACCAGCAATATACGAAACTGTTACTCGAAACAGCAGTACGGAACGTGATGAGATAACTAGCTACAGGCATCCTATACTGCGAATCCTCGCCTGCGGGTTATCATTTACAGTGGTCTGGTTGCTTTCTTGTTTCTGAATATCGCAGCGGTAGATACCCATTTTAATAAGTAAGGAGACGAGTCGATTTCAAGACATTCAAGGTATGATATAAAGCTAAACAAGATCTATACGCCCATGGACGTCATAGTGAGATCGGAACCGCTTCGATCACAGCCTCCATCCCGGGGTCTTTCTTCCAAATCCGTACAATCTCAAATCCCGCGGAATGCAGCAACTCTCTCCATTGACTCTCTGATCTCTCCACTCCGGCTCCGATACTCATCATCTGTATATCCAAAGATGCCTGAAACAGTGGAACGTTGGTATCAGGTAGAACAAAGTCAATAATGATCAGCTTGGAGTAGGCCGGCGCCATTGCACTTGCTGTATTCACCAGTATCTTGTGGCATATATGGTCCGGCCAGTCGTGAAAGATAGCTCTGAAGATATATGCTCGGGCGCCTATGACAAATGGATGTTAGCCTTTTGGCATATAGTATATTGTAAGATGTGAGATCCAAAATGGCTTACCCTTGATTGGCTGAGGATCGTAGAAACTATATGCCATCGCTTCAATACCCTCCAGTCGAGGGACAGACTTGATGACACTGGGAAGGTCCTGCAAGACCAACCGTCCCGGAACAGTAGGGTGCATCTCGTGGAGCTTTTGGAGGTCATGGCCATGGTTCCCACCAACATCGACGATGAATACGGCATCCTCATGCTGTGTGGCGCCATCCAGCAAATTATGTACTGGGTATGTCTCGAACCAACTCGGCTTTCCCTGGCGGCGACTGGACATGTATGAATCAAAGAGTGCCTGCTTGCTTTGATCGCGAGCTAGCCATTCGAATTGGCTTTCGCCAACGGCCCACTGCATTGGAGAATGGGAATAGTCTTTGGGATTCTTATAACCATGTAGCTGGAAATACTCTGGGAGCTTAGCCAGGGTTGGCACCGAAAGATCGTAACTGTAGGGACGCAACAGTCAGCATCAACTAATGAAGAGCTCATAAAAGATACGTACTCACAGGCAACTGACACCGTCCCTTCCTGTGGGTTGAGTCATTATGAAGGTCTTCTCATTGGCACTGTATACTTCAGACTCCGGGTTGCAACAGAGTCCCAGGGCGGTCATAACACGCATCAGACGGGCTGTGTGGGAATTAGTTTTTCATGCGTATAAATATAGGTAATTATCATTTTAGGATCGGGAGGCATACCAATAAGCGCTTTATCTGCACCGGTTTCTTCGGATATCTCCATGGCCGTGACTGTAGACTTGCTCTGGCACCTGGATGAAAGGATAGGGAATACCCCCAAGTCCACGGCAGTCCTGAGAGCTGCATTTTGAGGAGGCTATTGCGAAAAGAATGTCATTAATAAATAGAAATGTCAATATCATGATATATGACTCACTTGGTATATAAGTCTAAGGACTGTCTCGGTAGGAGTTTCCACTAGTAGCTGTAGCTCTTTGATTGCAGAAAGAAGCTGGAAATGTTCCCCCGGAGTACTTTGGCTTGAAACATAGTTCTTTGCGGTTTTTGTCAAAGACTCAGCGAGTGCCAAGATCTTGTCAGCGTTACTTTGCTTGTCGAAGGAAGACATCTTCTGTAATATTTATTAGTGGACTTCACGCGGTCTCATTTACGAATATCCGCTGATCTTGGGATTCTTGCGCCGTATTATACTATAACGATGGAGTAGGCGACGATAGCTACTCATTTCTATATTTCCGTTTCGGTTCGCATGTATCACTGAAAACGGATATTTCGTTGTTGAGAATAAATCTCGCCCATTCCTCCTTGTTGATATGGTTTTCAAGTTTGTTCCCTGCCGGAGGTTAATCCGGCAGTTTGGTTACAGTAAGGTGGAGTGGCCGGCGGAGAACCCGTACTTCCGCACCCTGGAAGCGTCAACGCCACTGTGTCGGAACCAAAATGACGGATACGGTCCCGATCCTGGAACTACTTCATTGATACATACCGGGGCCAATGCATAGTTGCTGGAGAAGAGCGGCTTTGGGTATTCAGCAGACTCTCCGGTAGAACAACGGTCGTCCAGTCTGTTTCTCACCGAAAGCATGCTCATTCCTAAGCATGTTCGTCAGTGTACAAGTCTTATTGCGACGGTAGCATCGCGATAAATGAAGAGGCCCGAGAAGATGATAGCATATAAACGTGGTCTAACATGGCCCCATCACTAGGTATTTCTCCCAGCAGTATTCCTCGCGAAAATCTACACAACTACTTCTCCTTCAGCCATGTCATCATTCGACGGGCAAGCTTCTCTGCCCAGCCCACCACCATCAGAGCCCGAGGTGCACACATCTTTTCGGCCGGCGATAGCAACTATCAGTGTTGGAGCTCCAGATATACATCCATTAAAGAAGAAACTGGACGTCATTTCGACCAACGGTTTTTCTGGAATCGAGCTATTCTATGATGATTTACACCAAGTCGCGAAAGAACTGCAACGCCGCGACAGCAGGACGCCAGTCGACACATCGCAGCAGGATAACAATACGACAGACTATTATGACATAAAGGCCGCTTTCCAAATCAAAAATATGTGTGAGCAGCGTGGCCTTCAGATAGTCAGCCTTCAGCCTTTTCGAAATTACGAAGGACTTCTCTGCAAGGATGAACAAGCCAGAAGAATAAAGGAGCTACAACATTGGACAAAACTAGCCACGATTCTGGGAAATGACGTCTTCATACTGATTCCGTCCTCTTTCTTGGGGAAAGATGAAGCAGCTGGGGATAAAGAGCGTCTGGTCGAAGACCTAACCCTTGCCGCCGAAATTGCGCATCCGGTACGCCTCGCGTACGAGGCGTTGGCATGGGGCACGCATGTGAATAGATGGGAAGAGTCCTGGGATATTGTCCAGCGGGTTAATCGAAAGAACTTTGGCATCTGCTTCGACACGTTCAACATCGCTGCCGGTGTCTGGGCGGACCCAACGACAGTTTCAGGTCGCTCATCGGAAGAAGCGGACCAAATGCTCCAACAATCATTACAACGACTCATGAGCGATGTTGATCCAGATCGTGTCTTCTGCATCCAGTTAGCCGACGGGGAGCGGGTCGATCCGTCTGCTGCATTTCTCCACATCCCAAACCAACCAACTTTGTTAGGCTGGTCGCGAAATTCCAGGCTCTTTCCCTTTGAGGAAGACAGAGGTGGTTATCTTCCGATACTTGAGATTGCTCGAGCTGTGACATCTGGTATCGGTTTCAGTGGCTGGGTAAGCATGGAGATATTCTCGAGAACCACCAGAGATGATAGTCCTATGGTTCCTTCAGAGCACGCTGCGCGAGCTGCGAGCTCTTGGGATAAAACGATCAAGTCGCTTGAAGAGACAAGCCTCCGCAAATGTCCATAGTACCAGAACACAGACAGTATCCTCAGTAGAAACCTTGAATAGTAGCTATCTTTCTTTTTATTATTATTTTTCTATTTATTTTTTCTCTTTTCAGCCGTAGTCTCCGATGCCAGTGTAAATCGACGTCTCAATAATCAAGTGAGATTCCCGTTCCCAGCGCATGATAGCTCTACAAAGACGACCCACGCTCTTCTATTATTACGGAGATCTACCAGCATCTAGTCTCTTTGAGGGGCCAGTCGCAGGAATGCAGGAATGAATGAGATAGATTCGGAACGACATATCGATCCAGCTTCGCCACACATGAGGCTCGCCGGGGAGATCTTGTGGCGTTCCGAGATCGGAATTCGACTAAAACGGGTTACACTTGTTCATATGGAGATAGTGAGAGTGGAGCGTTGAATCGATAGTTCGAACCAGTCGGTCGGGACGTGTCACATTCTTTATCTTGGACCCTGCATCTAGGCTGCAATAGTCTATTCCGACCTGAAGTCCCCAACATATCTGAAAGCGCTCCATTCTGCAGGCTGAGACAAACGCCCACTGTCTTCGTGTAGAAAACATCTTGTTCAGCTGGAAATAATATTTCAGGTCAGATCCTGTTTCCACTTTTTGCACCCGCTCATCCAATCAGGATTAATGATCCCCGAGAGCAATTGCAATCAGGTAAACAAATCGGACAATACCATGGCCGATGCGTAACATTTGGACGTTGCAAGACTCACCTCCGATGCTACATTGCTCCGCTGATACTATCACTCGGTGTATCATCGTCCTCCGACTCGTGAACGCTTTGAACTCGTGTTCCGCACCTCACTGCAAGGACATTTTTGTAATATCGCCTTACCATGGCGCAGTTTCCGTTCGTTTCATTCTACCGTCCCGGGGGTAAAGGCAGCGTTTGCAGTCCGCCTTGATGCGTGTAAGTGGTCTCGTAGTTGTTACAAGAGCATTTGTCCTCTGTCCTGGGCCCCCTTCGGTGTACAGATCATGCTCACACAGTTGAGATAACGGAATCACGTAACACCGGTAGTCCTCATAATTCAAGCAGTGAGATTCAATCTATGGGTTTCCACCCAATCCAAGAGTCACCGGAGTTGTTCTGCAATGCCGAAATCGGTGGCACCGTTCCCATACCGTTGCGATAAGTACTGTACAATAAATGCAGGATGTATCAGGCTCTAGCTTTTGTGAGAGCAATACGTAGCGGAGGAAGCTGCAAATGGATTCATAGTCTGCGCGCTCCACGGCGGCTGAGACTCGACACTTCCCGAATAACACCGTGAAATCTGGAGTGATTACTGTTAGCAGAAAAGTGCAACTATTGTAACACCGGCAGAAGAAACCGGCCCTGACGGTCAGTCTAACCTCGAGCATGCCAAGGCCACCTAGAACGTTCGTTGCCATAAGGTGTACAAGGAGGTTTATATTAGCGCAGATCTCTGGCTCTCTTAGCGGGGTAGGTTATCCTTCACAGCCCTATCTCCGCATGCATCTCACCGTGCAGGTAGATACTCTTTTGCGCTTGGGGGCATGGAAGATGTAGATTCTTTCAAGTGCAAAACTAACAGGATAGAGAGGCCGCACACGGTCATCACGTTATTTCCTGCTGGCGACCTTAAAAACAGTGGTATGTGGTATTGTAGTTCGCAGGAGACCTATTTAAAGACAGTCAATGTATTGCTTTTACTCGCTCTCTCTGCTGAAAGAACCTCGCTTTTTCAGCTTACGCCAAGACTTCTTTCAACATGGCTTCTATGGAAGAAATAAAATCAGAGAATAGCGATGAAGACCTTACCAAAACAAAACTTATCTCCCGCTTTGGTCAGCTAGAAGTGCTGGACGACTTGATACGACTCCGAGCATCAGATGAGGAGCAAGTACCTATACTTGCATATCCAAAAATCGAAGGTAACGATATAGTGTACGATCTATTCACGGGGAAGGATCTGGATGAGTTTATTTCAAATGGAGTGGCCCAACTGGAAGTTCATGGGTTTAGAAGACCGGTACTTACCTCCCAGACTTTAGATACATTTGTCTAGAACGCACGGTTTTTACTATTGGCTAACATGAACAAATTAGGGTCGAAAATCAGTCATTGCATTATTGAGTCTTTCCGATATGGACATGGTTATCATGTTCTTCGCTCTAAGCAGGTTGGGTTATACTGTCATGATGCTCTCGCCACGCCTTTCTGCAGCTGCATGTGTGTCACTGTTGGAAGCCACGGGGTGTAGCACGATCCTTTACGGACCGACACTTAACATTCGCTCCACCATACTTCAGATCTTAGAACTGAAAGATGTTACTGCACAACCTCTGCTTCCTCGGACAACACATGGAGCGCCCTTCCTTGTTCCCGAGAATCCAATGACCGCAAATCTTCGCGACCCGGATGAAATGGCTCTCGTTCTTCATTCATCTGGCTCTACGGGAACTCCAAAACCACTTTTCTTAACACATCGCGCTCTGATGACGCACCCACTGAGGGGTCCCGGCTTAACATCCTTCAACACTCTGCCATGGTATCACCTGCACGGTTTGTCAACTGCCTTACAAGCAATGTGGATGCGCAAGACTGCTTTCATGTGGAATGCATCCTTGCCTCTCACCACGAGTTCCCTCGTTGCAGCTTTAAAGTCCTCTCAGCCAGAATCCATCAGCGCTGTCCCATACGTCCTTCAGTTGCTTGTCGAAGAACCTAGCGCAATCGATGTCCTAAAAAAGTGCAAGCTAGTTACGTACGGTGGTGCCCCTTGCCCTGACGAGTTGGGTGATAAGCTTGTGGGTGAAGGTGTACGGTTTGGAGGAGCATTTGGCCTGTGAGTCTCCCAACTGTGGTCATTTATCTAGTCACTGACACCTCGCAGAACAGAAGCTGGGCTAGTTGCCGAGTCTATCTCTCGACCAGCTGGGGATAAAATGTGGAACTATCTGCGCTTTTTCCCTGATATTCAGAAGTTCATCTATATGAAACCTCTCGGATACAACTTATTCGAGTGCGTATATCTGAAAGGTCATCCTGCTCTGACAACTTCAAATGCAGACGATCCCCCGGGTTCGTACCATTCGAGGGATATCTTCACACCACATCCGACGCTTCCTGATCGGTGGAAGTACGTCACACGACTAGACGATCGCATCACGCTCGTGAATGGGGAAAAGGTACTTCCCCTCCCGATCGAAGGATGTATCAAGCAACATCCTCTTGTTAGGGAAGCGGTTGTTGTAGGGGTTAGCAAGGCCGTTCCCGGTCTTCTTGTTTTCCGTTCAGAGGATGCAGGAGAAATGTCGGAGAAGGACCTCATCGACGAAATATGGCCCGTTATCCAGACGGCGAATGCTAGGTCCGAGCAATTCTCGCAGATTTCGCGAGACATGATTGTCGTATTACCGCCTTTGATACAATGCCCCTTAACTGACAAAGGGTCTTTGATTCGAGCGAAAGTATATGCGGATTTTGCTGATGTGATCAACAATATGTACGAGAAAGTTGAGACTCATTCAAGCGGTTCATTACAGCTTTCTTTTGAAGACACGGAGCTGCATTTACTCGAACTTTGTCGAAATAATCTAGGTGTCGATATCGAAGAGACGGGGGCATCATTTTTTAACCAAGGGATTGACAGCCTGAAAGCATTGCAGTTGAGACGATTGATCTTGCAACATTTCAAGCTTAGGCCTGCCGAGGTTAGGCACAATATCGTTTTTGAAACAGGGAATGTACATCGACTGGCTGAACATATTCTGGGCCTGCAAACGGGTCAAGGTTCGTCTGTTGAGGATAACCCCTCCACTATGCGTGAACTAGTCGATAAGTACTCTACCTTTGAGGATCACGCGTCCACTTCAAGTGCCCTTTCGGAAGAAAATGGGGTGGTAAGTTGTTAATCTAAGGTGAAAGCGTATGTACATACATACAACTGCGCTAACCTTCCTTAGATCCTCACCGGTGCGACCGGTTCATTGGGTTCCCATATCCTCTCCCAGCTATTACAAGATGACAGTGTTTCTGTCATATACTGCTTCACGCGAAGCAAAAATCCTATGGATGCAATTGTCACTGCCCTCCACCATCGCGGCCTTGGTGTCTTACCCCAGGAACATGCACGCAAGATTGTCGCTCTCACAACTGCCCTTCATGAACCAGATTTTGGTCTAGAGCGGGAGATCCTAGGAAAGATGCGGGATATCGTGTCGCTCATAATCCATACCTCCTGGCCAGTGAACTTCAACCTTCCTTTGCGAGAGTTTGAACCTCATATTCAAGGGTTGCACAATCTGATACAGTTCTCCCTATCAGTGAACTTGCCGTGGCCAGCTCTTACGTTATATTGCTCCTCAATATCAACTGCCCTCGGGAACCCGTCAACAGCTATCGAAGAAACGTTGTTAGACTTTGACAGTGCTCTAAATATGGGCTACGGGCAGTCAAAGCTGGTCGGAGAGCATATTATCAGCAACGCCAGTAAGGCTGGGGCAAGAGCTTACTCGTTGCGTATCGGTCAGATCTCGGGAGATTCGGAACAGGGAATCTGGAACGATTCAGAAGCCTTGCCGTTGATGATACGCTCGGCGTTAACACTGGGGGTCCTTCCCAGACTTGAGACCAGATGTTCATGGCTTCCGGTCAACACTCTGGCCTCAGTTATTCTTGATTTGGCAAGAGTGCACTCCCCATGGCCGCCGACAAAATTTCGTCGTGACAGTGGCTATTCAACGGATGGCAAAGAGACATCGCCCGATGAGACTGTTTACAATCTCTGTAATCCAGATACTTTCAGCTGGTCTACTCTTTTGAAAGAGATTCGCCTTTCGGGAATATCATTCGAGACCGTTCCATTCGAAAGGTGGTTAGCCATGTTACAAGAAAGTGAGAAGAGAGGGGAAACTTCAACAAATCCTGCCGTGAAACTCGTTACCTACTATCAGGCAATGCATAGTCAGTCAGCAAGGCCTGATCGGCAAAGTACGCAACAGTCAGGCTTTGAGGCTAAGACATTTGTCACGAAGAGGGCAGAACAGGATAGTACCACATTTCGAGCCCACCGTCCGAACATCATGGAAGATGGGATTATGAGGCGTTATCTTGATGCCTGGTTGAAACACTGGCAGGCAGTATGACGGAATTGTTGCGGCTGAACTTTTTCCATCGCTTTTCACCTCCAAACGGGAAATGGTCGACTAGGCCCTTCCGTCACGGAATATCCAGCACAGCTCTTTAACAGTCATCGTCTATAATCCCTGTATATATATCACCCATTTAAATGGACTCCTGTATGTGATATGCACACAGTTATTGGTTGTTGGCGTCACCACTTGTGGACTCTGAAGCTTGCTCTTGCTCGAGTCGACATGCACAATACATTCGGGGATCTTTTCGGTTACAACTTCGGGGACAGGACGACAGATACATCTTGTTGTATGAAGGTCATCTCCATATATGTGGTCAATACTTTGTAATTTCAGTATTATAACAACTTCATGTCCACCCATTCTACAACAGCTGTCTCATTTATAGATGTTGTCCCGACCTGATTTGTCATTTACATAGACCATGAAAAGCATTCATGCTCCAGTTATAACTATAGAAAGTAATCGACAGACTTTTAAGAGATTCAATCCACTCGTCTTGGAACTGTAATGTTGGCCTATCGCATATAAGCTTGGTATTTGCTTGGACGTGAACTTGTGGCGGGTCTGACCTGGAGTTTGTATTTGACCATCCCGGGACTGTAAGCTTACCACGTGATAAAGTCGTACGCCTCTGCCTGCCCTGATACGCGGCTATTTTAGTCCCGTTCTCAGCTTCAAGGATAGGATATGTATAATAGGTATCTTAAGAGAGAGGCTAAAGCTCTACATTAGGCGCGCCGCTCTTAGCGTATTGTGGAGGCTGCGCGTCTGAAACAGGATCCGAAGCATTCGCTTTCAATTACTCTCACGTAAGAAAAAGGCCATCTTTACACGACATACAATGTTGAAGTTTGAGATGTCAATTTCTCCTGTCACGGGAAGCCGGTATAGAACTGTCTCGTACTTGCGGCTGAAATAGAATGGTATTCCGTCCCTGGTGGCTTTTCCGGCTTATCCGCCAGACAACGTAGAAGAATCACGAGTTCAAAACAACTCACTCGATGGGTGCCGCAAATCCTTGTATGCAGGGCGCATTGAGGGGTTTTTCAGCTGCTGTGTCTCTTCATATATTTTATTCGTGAATTAGAAGTAGTTAGGCGTCCAATTAGTCTAAGCAGGTATGAACTCTGGGATGTATATAAATTGCTCTCTTTCATGTCTCTCGGAAATGATCAGACAGTCTTCAGATTCTAACAATCTTGATATCATTCCAATCAGTCAGTCATCGATTCAGTCCACAACTATGCATTTCTCAGGTTTCAGTGCAATCCTCGCAGTTCTTGCTGCGGTGTCTAGCGCTTCTCCTATGGAGAAGAAGCACTTCAGCGCCGAGATCACCTTCATCGGAGCTGCAGGAGCATCCTTCACTCAGTCATTTATTGTAGACGGCTCTAATGTCGCTATCAGTATGTTTCCAGGTCCCTTTATTCCAAGACTCGCAGGTCTATCAAAGGGTTGACGTCGTATTGACACATCTGCTTTTTCATAGCCAACCCCTTGAGTATTTCCCACATCTCGTCTGCTGCTGGAGGCGCTAAATGCACCTTCAAGGGCATCGATGGCAGCAACACCGTCACTGTGGGTGCGGAAACCGTTGACGTCGGGCCTCCTCAGACTCAGGTCTCTGGTAGTTGCTGGGCGTTATGAATGATATTCAGAAGTATGGTATAATGAGAGTGCGAGTATGGTTTCTTCGAAACTCTCCATGATCACAGAAGAGAAAGGCACCGATATGGGTATATTATATAAAGTTGTGTTAAATTGAAGTCACTCATTTAGTCTCGCGTTTCTACAGAATTTGGAATCAATTCTGTAAAATATTACCTTTTGGAATTCTCACATTGTAACTAAAATAATAACTAAAACCACTAAGTGGTATTGTAAAAGATGATAGGAACAAGCAGTTGTAGTCTTGAAAGCAACTTTATAAATAGATAATCTAGGACACAGGAGACATTCATTTAGGAACAAACAGTGAATAGTATTCCGGCACAGTGGCCCCATGTATATAGGTTTTGTCATCATGTCCCGAGCGGTTATGATCTGCCTAAGAGCTTCCATAGGATAGAATATTACTCCACAAGTTATTGTTATCAACACTCCCTTTTTGGAGCCAACGAGTAGCTATCAGATTATATTTGACGGCATCATAGTGACAACTCCCTTAGACACTAAAAACCACCCCAGCAGACTTTATCCGGTTCAAGTTTCGGAAGTAGTAACATGCAAGACACAAACCTGCGAGAGGTACTTCAACCTTCAAGGAAAAGTGTGCTAAAAGTGGAGACTTTCTGCCTGGTTGTGTTCAGATAACCAACTCGGTACTCTGTTAGTGAGTTAGGGATCGCTTGGTTCTAAAATCAAAACAGCAAATGCTTCGCCGTTAAGGTGTTCCCTAGCCTCACTCGAGGCTGCTAAAAATGGTACGTCGTTCACTGATGTATACTGTGGCAGAAAACCAAATGAAGCCACAGGCTCTGTCTTTTGAAACTAAATACAGTGAACCCAATATTGCGCACTGATCAAACATCGACATAGGCGGGTATATCGAAATTCCTCTCTAAGCGACAAAGCAAACCCATATGTATATCCGTAGAACCACTGATTTATAAGGAAATGAGGGCAAAAGGGTCAAAGAGATCTACTTGTTCTTAAATCATCAAAGCCAGGACCATTGACCCAGCAATAGCAGAGAAGCCGGTAGTTAGCTTGCTCGCAGCTCCCGTGAAGACAGCAGCTGAAGGACTAGCCGAAGGCTCCGTTGGTGATGCAGCCGTCGTCGATGGCTGGAATGCGAAGATGGCGGACGAAGAACGATATGTGCTATTGGAACTGTAAAAAGAGGATGGAGAAGGCGATACAACCGGGCTTGAGGAGACCAAAGGGACTCGGCCAGATGGACTTGGGGCCTTGCTATTATTTCCACCCATTGGGGCAGCCGAAGATGCGCCATTGAGCGTCGGCTCTGCACTGACCACGACTGCAGGTGAAGTCGCAGATGAGGGAGGTGCGGCAACGGAAGCTGCGGTCCCAGTTTCATAGGGACAGATTGTTGTATAGGATGTGACGAAGTCGGTGGTAGTAGATTCACGGGCTGCAGGAGCGTCACTGAGCGTGGCGGAGATTGCAGCAGTGAGCGAGCTAGGAACGGTAGGAGTGACGGGGGCTCCTGGAGCAGTAGATGGGCTTGCAGCTTCTGAGCCGGTGGCGGGAATGTCGGAAGAAGCTGCTGCATCGGATGTTGACTGAGATGTCACTGCGACAGTAGGAGTGGCAGTCGTAGTTTCCGGTACAGGGTTTGCCTCTGAGCTCGAAGCAGAAACTGGTACCTCAGTGGTAGCCGCGGACGCGGTGGCTGTGCTGGCTTGGGACACGCTCGCCGACAAGGAGCCAGAAGCGGTGGACTCCTGGTAGATCTTGATCGAGTTGATCTCCCAGTAGGCCTGTGTGTAAGCGGTAGGGTTCAAGGCGACGTAGTTAACACAGCTCTCAAGAGCACTGTCCGGGTTACTCATGACGCATTGAGTGCTGCCAAAGACGTTTCCTGCCCAATCACCGCAGAAAGTCGTGTCAAAGATGAATGTCTGGGCCAAGAACTCCTCCGTCATGTTGCAGGAGCCCTGAAAATTACCCATGGGGGTTCCGAAAGTAGAAGTGTCCGGTTTTCCATCCTGAATACTCTGTGGAATGGCGTTCCGCTGGAAAAACCAGATCTTAATGAAGTCGTCGGTCCATTCCATTGCATACCTGAGGAATCCATAGTCAGTAACCTACGCGTCACAGAAAAAACGGCCTTTTGACTCACACTCCACCCTGAACATCGTTAAAACCGGTTCCGAAGCTGTCCTCAGTACCTTCGATCGTACAGCCAGAGGTACTATCGGCCACCGAGCATTGGTCTGCAGTAAGCGCACCCGTCATCACAGTATTGGTGATCTTGCAGTCTCCTTGAGTGTGCAGGACCATCTCATTCTGGGTCGCCATATTGACACCCTCAATGATATCTATATGCTTCATTAGGCACGCGGCTCATTGACACACGGCGAATTAGGCACATACCGATCTCACCACCTGAAGGCCAGTTGCTTCCAACTGACCAAAAGGCGGGCCAGATTCCACAGGCGCTTTCGGGCATATGCTGAATATCAACCACAAAAAGACCATTGGTGTAGGTCTTTTTGCTCTGCACACGAACGGAGCTTCGTCCGGGGCCACTTGTCGGGTCAAGGATAGTGTGGGAATCCACGCCCATGTAGACGCTCCCGCTGGACGTGATGTTGACCAGGCCCTGCTGCTGGGCGGCTTCCTGGGTCAGGTAGGTGACGAAGCCATGGGTCGGATCCTCCCCGGCGCTGAATTCGAAATTATCGAAGAAATTGCTTCCATCAACACTTTTTGATAGGCTGTATTCATTGCTGATACGCTTAGCATAAGGATGAGCGACCGTCGAGGCCACAAGGCAAGAAAGGAAGAGCGCGCCTACGCTCGGAAACGGGGAAGACGATAGCATCCTTGAGGAGGGCACAGATGAAAACCGTGTTTTAGTAAAGATGGTACAAAAAATGCTGATAAAACAAATGATGTATGGATCTAAAAGGAGCGTGATCCGATCATCCAGATCATTAAGGGATCTAAGGAAAGCAATTTGAATGGCAAGTCTGCTGCGCACAAGGTATCAAGTCACCCATATAGGAAGGGGACGCAAGAACGACGAATGAATGAAAGCGGTCCTGCCTGGCAAAGGTATGAATGAATGGAAGGAAGGATGAATGAATGAATGAATGGATGGATGGATGGATCCGATCGGGGGTATGTGTTGGTCTTTCAATGCGCATGGATTCTCCTTTCACCGCAGCCGCCGAGTTACATTGCGCCACCACTTTCGGGCTCTTTGTATAGCATCCCCAGGCGAGGGGACATCCCACTGGCTGCAAATACCGCGTGCCTGACATAGCATGCCAGCCACAGCCGTCTAGGCGCAATTATGGCAATGGATAAAACAGGGCGGTAGAACGAGAGTGGTCCAACGGTTGTGGCATGTTCGAGACCCCAATGGAGACTGCCAGTTGAGGAAACATGAAACATCATCGTCAAAACATGAAACAGGGTCTGGTGGGGGCATCGCTGCGTTGGCGCTGTTCGGCTCACTCTACTCTAGTGGCACTCCATACATGTATCGAAAGGAATGCGCTCAGATAAGGTGCGCGAAGCGAGCACTGGGTATGTTCTTTTAGTGGTGGAGATCAGATAAATGATCCCCGCGGGAGTTGGTTGGGCCATTCTCCCTGATGGTTATTGCGTCCAGCTGCGTCCAGCCAAGTCTAACAATAATAATAATGTCTCTCGGCTAAGGATACACTAGGGATGCAACATGTCTAACCAGCCTGAGGTCCAGAACGTTTTTTTCTGGGGTATGGCCTGGTTTGTTTCGACCGTTTCTCCATGTAGGACAGAACAATCTGGACCGCAATCTCGGACATTTCCCAATCATAAACAAATCGCCGATTGACAGCCTAGATTAACGTTAACTTATCTGACTTTGACGGCGCCACCACGACGGAATTGCTACTGCGACAACTCAGCCGCCAGGGGGGATGATGTTCCCGTCTCGAGCCGTCCCGTGTCGCAAAAGTCGCTTGAACATTTTATCCTCTCAGGGAAAGAATGCAGGACAAATGTCGAATATCGCGGCCGAAATCGCTCAGCCATGACTATGTTATTTTTCAATGACCGTTTGACTATGGTATAGCACTGGGAAGAATCAAAGGCTACCTAGGTAACCCTTGCCTGGCTAAGTAAATGAATGTCCGATTGAATTGTGAGTAAACCACCGGTTCCGATGGGATTAGGGTATGGGTGGGTGGCTATCTATATGTAGAACGTTCACTTAAAAGCAAGTTCGTATAAGTAATAGCTCAAAGGCAGCCCGTGCAGTAAAAGCAATTGTCCAGGATCTGGAGAAGAATTCGAATATCATTAATAAAGAAAATGACTTCCGACTTCATTTCACTTCTACTCTTCATCTTCCTCCAATTCTGTAAGAGTTTCTCGGCATCCATTGGATTCTCTCCAAGATACGTCTCAAACGAATCAAAGACAGGCCTGAAAGTTACATACACGGGATATATGCTACGACTCACTGTTCATGTAGCATTTTGGTTGCAGCGGAAGTAGAGCGATCCCCGTTCAGGATCGCTATGGTTATGTCGCTGGATAGCTCACTGGCTGATATATTTTACCTCTCCCTATGGCCAAATGGCCTTGATTATCATTCCGTTCTCCAGATTCGTTTTATATATGGCGGCGACTTGCCCACTTGCGCTATTCGCAATTGGCACAGCTAACGTACCAACCGCCAGGGAGTTCGACGCATTGAAAGAATGGGGCCGGTCTTGAAACGGAGTGGCACCTCTTATAACAGACACTTGGAGTTCATCAAGCACCTCTAGAAAGACAGCCAATGCAGCCGCATCTCCATTAACGTTGCATACGGCGTCGCCAGCTCCAGTGCTTCTCCGGGTGTTTTAGGAGCTCTTTCATCCCTCGGACATTTGGGGCTTCCGGTCCATCTTTCATTGCCCCTGAATCTGCAGCCAGTTGCGCGTATTTCTTCGCTTGCGCGCTGTTACCGACGGCATTATAAGTCAATGCAGCATGTCGGTATGCGGTATCGAGAAATCCCTCCAACCGTTCTTGTCGATAAAGTTCTATTAGCTTTTCCGCCAGCTCCGTTGACGCCGTCGATGTCTTTGTCCAGTCAGCAAGGCTTGCCTCGATCGATTTCATTTCGGCCAAGGCCGCGTCAGCGGTTTTGCCAGCAAGACAACGAGAACATCCGCATGTGAAGCGAAATGACTCCTTAAGATGCCTCTGACGATTTGATACGAACTCCAGAGGAGAAGAATCTTAATTCTGGTCAGAACAGACATTTCCGACTGGGATATACACGTACAGGCAATGGTGAGCTCTTCGCCCGCCGAGATGTACCGGACTGCGTGAACATAGTGCGTCAAGCGCAATGGATCTAGATAGTACTGAGCACTGCTCCTTGTCAGCATTGGAGGGTAGCTAATTACGAAGCACTTACTTTGGGGCACAGTCATGGTTCATGCGAGACGCCTCAGGAAAGATTGCAAGGTGCATCTCTCCACCCACCTGCATCTCGAAAGCATTGGTTTGGATCACGTCCTGGACGATCACACTCGAATTGCCATATATAGTTGCAAGTCGCAGATATTGTTCCTTAGAGGCATCTGGCAATTGTTCAATCGCCCGTCGTAGGAAGTTCTCCCGCACTGGAATGGATATTTGATGATGTTGATGCATGATTAGGAGCGGTGTGTAGGCCATGAGTCGCTCTCCTGGGTCGATTCTTGTTTTTGCCAGCAGGCCAATGCCTCTACCAGGCAAATTTTGAGGATGCCACGGACCCTCTGGATTATTGATACCTGCAAGGATTGCGGGATCATGAAAAGGTCTCAAACGAACGAACTCATCGGCTATCTGCGGAGTCGTGAAGATCGAGATCCCTCGGTTACCCGCAAATGAACGATCTGTATAGACGCACAACTCGCTCTGGATACTGGGAATAAAGTCGGTGCAGGAAGGCTTGAAAGACCATGGCCCAAACGTTGCCGTAGTAGTATTTGCCCCATCCTGAGAGGTAGACATCACTGGGACCTGCTCATTGATCGGGTATATAATGTCTCCGTCGCCGCTTTTTAAACATTCTAAATTGACCCCGAGGATAACAGGTTCGTATAAACATTTGTTGGACAACATAGAGTTGGAAGCCACGGAGGATGCAAGGCCAAGGAGCCAAAGCGACCACGTTCCAACGTTTGCCATTCTCTCTGCCTCCCTTCCTGCGATGCACAACGATATCATAGGCTCATTCGGAGACAGAGCCAAAGGATGAATATAATACGGTGAGCTCGATCATTTTAATTGCCGAGAGGCAAGGGGCTTGATATGAAACACATATGAAACTCCAGACGTCTTCTGCTACAGGGACCCCAACAATACATATACTTATGCACGGGCCAGTTTGGACATTTTACAACAAGCTTTCTATAATCCAGGTCTTGTAGCGAGGATTTAATACTCTTGTGTCATAAAGTGTCCTCCGCAGTACTTATTTTCATTTCCGGCTGTTAGGATGTCATAAGTATCTTCGGCCATCAAGGACTATTTATTCCGTATGACTCCTCTGCCTCATTTTTCCGCAGGTGAATGACCTGCTGCGATGATAATTCTTCGTCAAAAGATGAACATTCGCTGCAAGATTCCATGAAACATTGCTACCAGCTGACGTTGGCATTAGAGTTCCTAAATACAGTGCAGGAACTGTTTCCATAAGTTTCATGGCGCTGTACTGCGCGTTGTCGCCCCTTGTGTTGTTCCTTGCCTTGATAATGGCTCCCCACTTGTCGAATCGGCCTTAGGTATCTTGCCCTCGGAATCGGTCTAATAATATCGTTATGGTTGGTACTAAGCACACATTTCAGCAAATGTTTAATCAACTAAGCAAATCGGAACTTACAAGTTATAATTCACTGTGCTTATAGATTTATAATCATAGTTAGCGTGGTGTTCTCTAGCCAATTGCAGAGAAATTGTCAAATAATCAATAACTCGTTAAGGCTATTCTCCTATCCAGTCTCTATTTCTAACGAACTTCATGTTCTTGGCACCAAGATAGGTGAGTAATCGAACATTTCTATTTCCCAGATAGATCCCAATACCACCCGCCAGCAAGGACTCCCGTGTGTCAATATTGAAGACAAGCCCTTCAGTTAGAATCTTGTCTTCAATCGCTTATCGAGCATATTTTTAACAAGCTTCTCCTAATAACACATTAGTTTCAATCGGAAAATTAGATTAGCACAAGTTGGTTTACAACATATTATTTAGTGGTTCTTTCCTGGTAACATCCATTCGACTGTCTTTAGACTATGTGCGAAAAAACGTCTACATAGCCGCAGCTGCAGGCATATCAGTGATTTATACTGAATTTCGCCATTTCTGTACAGAAGTGCCAGACTCACTACAAGAAATATTGTAAACAGGCGCTGCTGGGTTCGTAGACAGGTTCCAGATACCCCAGATAAGAGATGTGCTAGATCAGCAGAAAACTTTTTCTGGGCCAGAGTAGGAAATTACCTCAAAAGCACTCATCACGTTGCTGTGGCGCGCCGGGGAATCTTTGTTATTGCTGTCTCGTCATGTTGGTATATTGTCGCTGAGGGTCTTCCTGACCCTACTTATCCAACTTCCTTCTCTGACCCTATTCATCTAACAATACATCTGGGTTCCAAGTAGCATGAAGATCACCTTGCCCCTCTGGTCCGCATGGCTACTGGTGCCGCCGGTCCTTGCAGGCGCACCGTTCCAAAGCGCACTCAACGGCTTTCCTGCGAATCCCTACGACCCATTCTGTGCCATGTCCTGCCTGTGCTCCCTCTATAGCCTGAGGCTCTCCTGCTCTAGCACGGGCGATACTGTTGGAATGATGACCATGAAGACAAGTTCCGCATGCTGGGCAGAAAACACACCCTACCTTACCAGTCTGGCGTGGTGCATGCACACCAAGTGTTCCGAATACAACGTGAAGAATTCCAAGCTCGAGTATTTCTGGGAAACTGAAAGCACAGGCCAGTCTGACGCCGGCGAAACTGGGGTTCCCCCGAAATGGTCATACACGGAGGCCCTCGCAAACATCACCAGTCCGCCAACGATCCAACTCACGCCTGAGGACACATGGCTCAATGATACGTCCCTAGTCTCGCCTCTTGTCTATGAAGAGCAATGGAATGTCTTGACAAGCGTACAGCGCGAAACGGCGCAGGAAAATGCTTACGGGTAAGACTTTCCATATGTAGTCGACGGGATGTTCCCAAATTCTAACTTGCCCTGTCCAATGTAGCATCGCAATACTCGTCACTGGTTTCGGAACTCCCATTGTCCTCACATGGGCTGGATATTTGCCATTCCTATCCACTATTTTCAGGAAGCTCAAGCCATATCTGGTCTGGCCGAGCCTTATTGGCACGTATCAAGTCCGTCCGCTTCCAAGCCTTCTTGGAAATGCGCCTACCGTCGGCCAAACGCTATATATTCTAATATTCCTTATTCTCAACATTGTCTTGACAGCGGTGAATTTCCAGTCTCGTCAGCCTAATGCGTGGTACTCGAGCACATGGCACGAGATTATGGCCTACGTTCTCTACCGAGCAGGGGCCTTTGCGTATATAATCGCTCCTCTCATTTGGCTCTTTGCTGGAAGGAACAACATTCTGCTCTGGGCATCGAACTGGTCGCATTCAACCTTTCTCGTGCTCCATCGTTGGGTTGCCCGTATATTCACACTGCAGGTCTTGTTACACTCGATCATAGCTGTGATACTGTACAAGGCTGAAGGGACGTATGGGGAGGCTGCGAAATCGCCGTACTGGATCTGGGGCATCGTCGCCACCCTCTGCTGCGTGCTTCTCACATTTGGTAGCGGTCTCTACCTGCGTAGCTATGCGACGAGTTCTTCTTGCTCAAACATATTGTGCTCTCCGTTGTTCTCATTGTCGGCTGCTGGTACCATGCCTACGATTTATACAAATACCTTGGCGGATATGAGGACTGGCTCATAGCTACCTCTGCAATCTGGATGTTTGACCGCTTAGGGCGTGTTTTACGCATCGCCATCGTCGGTCCGCATCGAGCCAAAGTCACCGTGCTCAACGAAGAATACGTCCGCATCGACATTCTCGGCATACGTTGGGGCTCTGAGCCCGGCAGGCATGTCTACGTCTACTTCCCCGGACTCCATCCCCTCCGGCCGTGGGAGAACCATCCGTTTTCGATATTGCCTACAGCCTTGGTGCAGCACTCTCATGCGCTTACGGCCTCGAAGAGTCAGGATCAGGTTTTGACGGATGGGCTCGAAGAGCAACCTGACGTGGAAAAGCACGACGTGCTGAAGTCTGGCGTGACAGCGGTGCATCACAGACATCCCACCGTCGGTCTGACACTATACATACGGAAGTTGACCGGCATGACTAGGTCTCTGCGCGCAGGTAACAACCTTCTCACGTTTTTAGAGGGACCGTATCCAAACAACTCAACCCAGGAGGTTCTCCGTTGCGACCGACTGCTGCTCATCGGCGGCGGCATCGGCATTACTAGTGTTCTTCCCTTTGTCCATAACCATTGGAACGTCAAGCAGGCATGGAGTGTCAAAGAATCCGCTAGATGCTTGGTGGATGACTTAGAAGGATTCCTGAGTGGCTTCGTTGCTGACAGAGACGTTCGGATCGGCAGCAGACTGAATGTTAAGCAGCTCCTAGAGGATGAGATAGAAGCCGGGTGGGAAAAGGTTGGCATTGTCGTGTCTGGGCCAGGAGGACTTTGCGACGATGTCCGAGCTGCTGTTGTGTCGGAAGAGAAGCTGGGGAAGACGGAGTTTGAGCTGGTAGTGGAAGCATATTCGTGGTAGACCGATAACTTTTTAGGGCTCTGGTGTTAATAGTAGATATCGATGAGATATTAAGTACATAATCGAGCTCTAGTTTGTTGACAATCGGTGGTTTCGTATACGACATGTAACCTGTTTAAGCAGCAACGCTGCCCAAGCAACACTAAACCAGCTAATGAAAAGTTTCTGTTCAGGGCACGGGTGATCTAGATATTATACTTGGGAGCATGTGTATAATAGGAACTATATGCTCTTCAGCAGTAGTTCTCGGTGGTTACCAGGTCTCCACGACTATATCCTAAAAGTGTAAAAGAACGATTATCACTCCACTACGAGTATGTATAAACCACATACGACCATAGGGTGTGGAAAACAGGGCTTCCCGTCCGCTCAGCCGTACTTAAGCCACACGCCGGCAGGTTAGTAGTTGGGTGGGTGACCACCAGCGAATCCCTGCTGTTGTATGTTTTTGTCTTTTTCTATTTGATTTATTTTTTTCGTTTCGGATAGATGCTCGTCTCATTTCTCGATCCACTCACACATTGTGCTTATGCATAGTGAGCTCCTGTCCAAGCAACTACTATTTCACGGCAGTCATGCATCCGACCAGGGACCTGTAACATTGAGTGGTGACAGGGAATCTAAGGAGAGTGATATGGAAGTTATGGGCCCCGGGTGTGTCAAAAATCGATCTGACAGTTCCAACACTAACGCACGAAACGGGTCTGCATTTGTAATCGACATCGTACCCAAGATATTCCTATTACAAAATACTGGTAGTTCAGTTGGCTCAGAAACTGTGTACTCCTTGCTTCCTGAGTAGAAATCTCTTGGACAGCTCAGTCAGGTGAAAGGATCAAAATGTAACTATAGCATTAATTGCTGGCTGATATCTTTTCGCTCCGAACGTAGAGGATGATCTCCTATATACAAGCAAGTCTATATGATAATACAATGCAAGAAAACCCCCTGAATTAAGCAGAAACTGAGGGGAGGTGAAGTAGCCTCCCATGCAATGGACCCGACCGTTACCCGTTCCCAACCGCACACCAACACACCCGTACGCATGATATGTAAATGCAATCGTTACGTATCACGATATCGTCAAATGATTCGTACGTCTCTCTCATGAGCTATCTGGCCGTATCTCTCATCCGGGCACTCTATTGGCGCATCCACAGTGAATGGCAGGTACTCCACTTTATTTTTCAGCCTCTTGGCTCTGTTGTTCGATTTCGCTCTCCTGCTGGGTACGGCGAAGGTTCGCAGGAGCAACCCAGGAGCTGGACTTCCAGGGCTTGACGTGCTGCACGTACATAGTGTCGACCTCCTCCAGAGTACGTCCCTGGGTCTCACAGACGAAGAAGAAAACGATCAGAGCAGCGGCGAATGAGCAGCAGGCGAAAACATAACCGTACTGGAAGTCAATGGCGCTCGAGATGAATGGCGTGAAGAACGAGATCAGGAAGTTCCAGGTCCAGTTGGAGGCAGTAGCAATACCCATACAGGTAGCACGGTATCTAGCAGGGTACAGCTCTCCGACAATAGCCCACACGATAGGTCCCCAGGTAGTGGCGAAGCCGACAATAAAGAAGCAGGTAAAGACAATCAGCACGGTACCAGCCTGGGGAGTGTTCTGAGGGTTGTTACGGTCAAGCTTATAGTGACCGACGGTAGCGAAGATCATGAAACAGACAAACATCCACAAGGCTCCGCCAATGAGGGACTTGCGGCGACCGAAGTGCTCGACTATGTACAATCCAATGATAGTGACACCGAAGTTGACAACAGTCAAGATGATCTGAGTCTCATAGCTGTTGCTCAGACCCGTAGCCTGCCTCAAATATTAGCATCATGAAACCCCAATCCGAGTTGTACACTAGGGTCCAGCGATCACACTCTGATATTGAAGAGCAATAATAACAAGATAGGATCACGTACGTTGAAGATGGTGTTACCATAGTAGAAAATAAAGTTAGCACCAGACAGCTGCTGCAGCGACTGAAGCACGATTCCAAGAACCGTTCGGTAGAACATGCGAGGTCCAGTGAAGATTTCGTACCAGGCTGCCGTTCCTGCAGCTCTTTCCTCGTCGAGCTTGTCCTTCATATCCTGAATTTCCTCGGCCACCAAACGGTGGTTCTCGGGGACACCGTATAGCTTGGTCATGATACGGCGGGCCTCGTCAACGCGGCCGTTGCGGTAGGCATAACGAGGAGACTCGGGCAGGAACATGATACCAATACCGAGGATAAGGGGCCAAGCGAAACCGATCCCCATGGTGATACGCCACGAGGCAGTCGACTGGATCGTCTCAGTGCCGTAGTTGACGCACGCTGAAATGAAGATTCCAAAGGCGACGAACAGCTGGAACGCACTTTTGGAATGTTAGCGGCTTGACACATGTAATCTGATCCAGAATGAGTACTCACCTGACCATGGCACCTCTGACCTGTCGAGGAGCAGACTCAGATTGGTACATAGGAACAACACTGGAGAGCGCACCGACACCGAGACCAGCGACAAGACGACCAACAGCAACCTGGTACCATTTGTTCTCGGTCGCGATTTGAACAATGATACCGACGACATGGATGATACACCAAAGAGCAATGGACAACTTACGGCCAAAACGATCGGCCAGAGGAGCTGCGCAAAGAGCACCAATCATGGTACCAATGGAAAGCTAGATTGTCTCCCATCAGTACAAACGGATGGAAACCAGGTAAGCTGCATCAGACGCACCAAGCCGACAATCAGTCCGGAACGGACGTTGCTAAAATAATAGGTATCCGTGGCAGAGTCATACTGAGCGAAACGGAGCTTGAAGTCACCCATGGTCTCAAAACCTGAAATTTGACCAGTAGAGTAACCGAAGATGAATCCACCCATGGATGCACAGGCGCCCAGAATGAAAGATCGCCATGTCAGATATTTCACGGGACTGTCATCGTAGGTGGTGTTCTTCTCAGCTTCGGATCCTGAAGGAGTCGAAGGGGAGGTGTGCTCCGCGTGCTCGACGGGCTCAGCACGGGGCTTCAGCTTGTTAAAGAAGTCTGATACCGTCATTCTGATGGTGTTGTGGTACGGCGACCCTGGACCCCGTCTGTATAATGAATGCTTCGACGGTCACCGCGATAGAGACAGTTCGAGGAGCAAAATGAGAATGAGGAAGTGAGGAGGCAGCTCAATATAAGAGCTCGCTCCCCAGTCCAGAACTGAGCACAGTCCACAAGAGATTGGGGTAACTCCGTGGGCGGAACGGGGTTCGGGGGTCTAGGGACGCAGGAATTTTCTTGTCATGGGGTCATATGGAGAGCATTCAATCTCCTCGATCAATCAGAGGTTCAACATGTTCGTCGCGCCACCCTGGAATTGCCCTGGGGCAGCTTCTGGAAGCCAGAGCACAACTGCGGGACGGCATCGCATAGCCAAAGGGGTTTACTAGAAACACAAGAGTTATACTCTTTCGGGAAACGGCCCTGGGTAGGTTCCTGGCCCGGTAGTGGAGATTTGTTCTGCTGATGACCATGGAACCGCGCCCGGGACTTAGGGCAAGCAGGGCAAACAGATGATCAATAATAGCATGCCAACTGTTTCCAGCGTAAGGTGCCGAACACGGTTTAGGGATGGACCGTACTGATGCCGAATTGGCACTATGTGCTCTGTGTATCTACGGCTGCCGAATCCGCCCAGACCACGGTAGCCGGGCATCTTAGATAGATGCCCGGTATCTGCTCTGCCTATGATTGATGCCCTAGACAGTATCCCGAAATGCTCATCCTTATGTGCGGAGATATGTATCTATTTCATCCAAAGCGAGGTTGTGAACACAGGTGTAGTAAAACAGGGCGACTGTCCGGTTTATCTTCGGAGAAACTGGTGGGTTGCATGTCAGTAAAGAATGGGCGAGGGGAAAAAGAAAGCCTCTTGACCGGTGGAATAATAATGAAACAACAGCCCACCAAGCGATAGGGAAAGGGAAACCGACCCACCTGCGGTGAATCTTTTCGAGAAAGTGCATACGATACAAATTATCTAAGGTTGTATCAACAGCAAGGTCAAGCCCCTGAGCTGTTGCTCAGTGGCTTCGGCAGTGGCGCTCTTGGACAGCGCGTTGAGGTCTTCGCAGTCGATCTGCCGCGCCAGACGAGATCGCCTCTATCTTGATCCGACCTCGAACAGCGCACGCAGAACTCCAGCTATCTACTGTCAGATTAGCGATCCTCTTTCCTGTTGCTAAAGCTGACAGTCATATGTGCAGTGGCTCCAGGTTTCGCATGGTATACCCTGGAAAGAGCGATTCTAAAAAGTCAAGACGTTATGTCCCTCCGAGTCCGTAGTAGTAGTATCTACTGCTCGAGAATACTCTAGTGACTCGACTCGACCCATCCGGTCAAAAAAATAATCGACCAAGTGGGCCGAGCTGGTCGGTCCACGTCGCCCGGTCGGTTTCTGAGCAGCGAGCACGGTGTTGGTCGACTGCTCATTCGTCCTTGGACTCGGAAGTTGAGCGAGAAGAATTTTTCGGCCTGCATTGGACAATCGGGATCGGCGTCATCCGGCAAGGACGGCAGGCTCGGCATGCCCGCTGGTATCGGCATTCCGCCTGGTTTGTTGAGTAATTGTACAGCCGTATACTCTCACAATCGTATGCGATTGAAACCAATTCAAGTTGCCGACCGTGATTGAACGCAAAGATAAAACTTTCCGCATGTTTTCTCGCCGGTTAAGAAGTGTTTCGAGCAGGATCGCGCACAGTTGCCCATCATTTCAGATGATGCTTTGGCAATGATAATAGTACCAGTCGGGATGGATCATATTTGGAAACCGGCGCCTTTTCTGGTACATCGCACTTAGTGTTGCATGGCGCCAACCGTTAGTTGTGCGACAGACAGCACCGTTGGATACTAATAATGTTGCGTCCCAGTTTTTGTCTGTATATGTTACTAATGCCTTTCTCCCTTCACAGGACACAGGGTTGAGAGCATTGAAGTCCTGCAGATGCGGTGTGCCCATTATTGTGTTCTATCTATACCGCGTTGCATGACACCTTGCAGTGAATGATCAAACGAGATAGGCAAGGCGTAAAGTCACCTGTGGTGTATCATGACGATCAAGAGCATTGGTCGTACATACATACAGCTGGCATCGCAGCTATGAAGCGGGGTCGGCAAGAATTGTCACTGACCCTAGCCTTTTTGGGTGGTAGATAGCTTTAATATTATTATCATCTCCCGGTTCTTCCCAGGTTCTTGCTGCCAATAGCCATGTCCCCGAAAAGAGATTGACGCTTGGACGATGCAAAGGCGCAGTTAACACTGGGAAACTCATGTGACCGATTCTCCTGTGGTTGTAGCTATCTGGAAGTATGCGACGAGATCTAGATGTTCCCCATGGAATCAACTCGACCTAGCAGCCAAAAATCTCAAATCAAGGAGGCGATCGGTTATTATTGTCAAGACACTTTGTGGGAAGTACGTATGTCGGGCAATGCCGCCGTAACCATAATTATCTACGTACCAGGGTTAACGAGTGGAACCTTCTGAGCTTTGGACCGACATTCCGCGACCGGTCCGGAAAAAGGTCCCCTTGGTAGTTACCAGGACGATCTATGGAATGTCTGGGCCTATCAGGAAGCCTTCAGCTTCGATGATATCCCCAACCCACGTGTGTCCGACAAGACGAACATTGCACCAGACCGGGGTCATCTTGTTGTCAAGAATCGTTTTCAACTCTTTCACCACTGATTCTGTGGTCCAGATAACCCCCCGCATTTCAGAGATTTGTTGAATATGCGGAGAACCATGCGCAATATACCCCGTGCGTCTAGAAGGTGCCTCCGTGGCGAATGTCCGGCATCCAGTATATCTCGAGTATGCCCGGCCCACCTCCGTTGTTGCTTACTTTGCCTTGACTCCAGGGGAATGTGTGACACCAGTCTTGACATCTCATGAATGCGAATGCCCATCTCGGTATGAGCTACTTGCAGTAAATAAATGGCATCTGAGAGCCAGTATTCCTGAGCAACGCTCTTGTTTCCAGATTTCCTGTCATCCTCGGGCCAGTTGTAGCTATCACAGGGATTTTTAGTCCAAATAATGCACCGTCAATGCAGGGTGAGTTGGAACTTTAATGCGGATAGTACGCCCTTCATATTGTCGTGGGAGCCAACCAGGGCTCATATCTTCTCCCCAATAGTTATAACCCAGCGTTGAATCGAGTTGACACAATCCTCAATGGAGCAGTTCAAGGAATTACTGCCGGTGTCATCAAAGATGCTGTTGGTCTAGGACCGCCGAGGATAAGAATAAAACCGATGGCATTCGACAGATTTCGATAACACTCCGAGAAATGCTGGCAATATTGGAGAGACGAGAGAGGAAAGTTCATGATGGAGGACTGGCCAGTTCCAAAAGATCTCTGGTCCTGAATGTTATCGCAAATGCGAGCTGTCCTCGCGAGAAAGCGGTGAGAATTTTCACAGCCAATTTATGCCTGGCAGAATTGGATATTCGGAAGGCGGTATATGATCATTGTTCTCTATCCAATCAGACGGCCCGAAAGAGGAAAGCTTAGTCAGATTACATGGCAGCGACGTCGAAATCGCCTCTCACATCACAATGAGGTGATTCAGCTTATATTATTATTTTGGAAATACGATCTAGTTAAGATGTGGCTCTCTGGACCATCCTACGAGCCGTCGCTGTGCAACAGAAGACACGAATGCTAGGATGTTTCTGATGATACAGTTAACACTATCGAAGTTTTGAGATTAATGTACAGAGGTAGGTATTTACTAGATACAGGTGCCAGTCAAGCCGCGTTACTCCATTCCATTATCCATGACATTGGTATATTTCAAGACCCCCGCGAAACATTCATGGCTTTACGACAATCGACGGGTGGCAGAGCGTCCATTATCGCCGCCGGCGACGTCTTCGGGCAGATCGTTCTCATCCGGTCCTTCGTTGTAACCCGTCGAGGAACGAGCTTTGGCGTGGCGCAATCGATCACCACCGAGGATGTTGTTCTGGTCGATAGCCTCCCTCTCATCGTCCTCTTGAGACATATCAGCATGGCGTCTCCAGTAATTTAAGTCATTCGGTATACTTACGCAGCTGCTCGTTGCTGTTGGCGTATGGAGGCTGGACGGGGTCCTCGAAGTCGTCCTCGTCCCTTTGGATGGGAACCTGGTTCCTCAGTTCGGGCTGTGTCTCAGAGTAGGCGTAGGAGTCATCAATGACTCTTCCGGAGACTGGAGAAGGGTCATTCTCCGCCTCGTAGTTGTCCTCGGCTTCCCTCTCGACGCTGTTTGACATGGTGATCAGCCTTTTTGAGATGGCTTTCGAGGGCAGATATTTATCAGAATGGTGTTAATGATTGTGATGTTGTATATTATAATGATTTGATATCTCTGAAATCCCGGGGCCTGAGAAATCCGCCAGGAGCTATGTATTTATCCTGCAGGATCTCGACCATTCATGGCACGACGCAACATTGACATCAACAGCACCATCCATCTTTGGGGCATTCATGTCGTCTATGGATATTGATGGATAGCGTGCTCAATATCAGAGGTCGATAAGGTTAGTCGGACGTCACTGGGGCACATAACGCCAACTTTTCCCTTCCAATGAAAGCTGCGGGGGACCGATCGCCTCCAGATGGCGTTGTGTCGAAATTCAACGAAACAATGCTAGGGCATGAATGAGATGAGCACCTCATTCTCTCAATAATCTTCCATCGACTACGGCCTGGCCTGATGGTCAAGGGGACTGCATGGTCTAGCCAGACAAGCTCGTTGATCAACAGGTTCTCCGCATGCAGATCGTGTTCACTATGAATCCAGATCCATGTGCATTTACTGGCCATCCTTCAGGCTTTATTACATCGAGCTTTAGCTTTCTGATTCAACAATGAGCTAAATATGACGGGCTCGTGACGGACCCAGATCCGCTAATGATATCCAGGCAAAATCGGTGGCCGTTGTAGTTTCTTCTTGTACGTTTCGCATAAATTGACCAAACTCGCCTCGCCGAGGCATTTGAGAGTTTTTACTTACTGTTACTTTTGATTTATCAGTACGAAAAAAAGCACGAGAGAACTTTACACGTTTAATCTAGAAAATGGCATCTCAGGACGACCCTAGTATCAGAGCTTCCACCGAGGACCGCGTCAACGCCATGCGCGGCTTCAAAGCGTATGTTATCCTTCTGCTCGTATAACACTCCGTGCAGAAGTCCCCTTTCCCATTCGGCGAGCTGACAATGATCAGTACTCTCAAGAACCCCCGCGTATCCAAAGAAGCGAAGCAGCACGCTCAAGACGTCCTGGACAACGAGCTTCATGGGGATGAACCTCGCCAGGAGCTGTACAATAAACGCGGACAGAACGTGGACCCCACTAGGGTAGCCGCAGGCTATAAAGCGTAAGTGGTGCACTGGCAGGTCTATCGAAGACAGGAATAACTGACATTATATAAAGTGCAACGCACAGACCTAATGTAACCGACCAAGGAAAGGAGAGGGCTAGAGAGAAGCTGGAGAACATGGGTCAGCCTGAAGAGTAAACTGATAGTGCTACTCTATGTTCTGATAGTTCTGTTTCGAATGTATTACTACTTGTAGATTATCATGGGATGTGTAAATATAGGTTAATCAACAACGCAGATATTGGCCGTGCTCGTTGCTCTTTTAGTTATGTTGTTATGTGAATCAATTTGGGTGATAACGCGTCTCCTGAAATACCATGCTGACCGTCCCATCCTTGGCGCGAGAAGCGAGCCTAGTCTTGTGATAGTTACTTTTGAACATAATATTTAGTTTGTCATATATTTTGTTATAATACATGGGGATTCCTTGTACATGCAAACTATTTACTCCTTGATCTCCCGCTTGTGGAAAACATCTAGATACGTTAGAGCCAACATCACCAGAATCCAGCGAAGGGGCTAAGGATAAGCAAAAGGCCACCTACTGGGAATCTCAGGCATCCAGCTAACCCGAGACTTGCAGAAGAATTCGCCTTTGGGCGGTAGTGCCTCTGGAGTGTCCAGCGAGCCGACACAAATATAGCGGAACTTGTCCTTCACCGCATCCTATAGAACACAGTACATCAGCCTATGGCTTCAGTATCACAATATTTCAGAGGTCACATACACCATATTCCAGGATAAAACTTCCGCAGTTGTCGCAAAACTCTCGATGCAGCAGTGCACCACTCCCATTATCCGCCACGTGCTCCTTTATTTTACCTTTGGTATATCGCAGCGCATCTTTGGGCACTTTGGCCGTCAAACCATAATTGGTCCCAAAAGCTTTCTGCAGAAATAATGGGTCAGCCCTCCATTCCCACCTCTTTTTGAGTTGTCTTAGAGGAACAGGTGAGCAGGCCAAGGACATTCTCACCTTGCAGTTCCGACAATGACACAAAGAGGTGCGCGCCTCATCTGGTGAGGCCAGCTCAAGTTCATACTCAATCGCGCGGCAGTAACAGGATCCGGTATATGTCGGCATATTGGATCCAGGGAAGGTCGAGAATGGACGTGTTGCAGATAGAATGACCTGATATGGTTGAAGCGGCCGGCGGAGATGTCTGGTGACGAGCGCGATGCGATTCATCTATGCATGCATGGAAGAGAAAATTAATGCGTATAGAAAAATAGATGACATTCTCAAGTCCACTGAAGAAAGCAGATATGCGAGCTCCTGGGACTCGATTCTTGTTTCGCGATGTGTTCTCATGGTTGACGTCATTGGACGACTGATGCGAACAAGGAGTCGTCAATTCAATCCTGCGGTCTATAACGAAAATAGAATTTAGGAGCAAGTGAGACCTGATGAACAGTATTTAGAGGATAGATACAATATTCTCGAGTTCAAGTGCAAACTCGACAAGCACAGCTACTGCTATATATTGAGGTCAGTTGGTTCGGATTCCTAATTGGGAATGGCCACCAGGGACCTCGGAGACAAGCTCAGCTATATTTAGGTAGAATCTAATTATTTCGCCTGACTTCGTAGTCATCCTCAAGTTAAATAGTTAGTTGCTAATGTTTTTCTAAAGGGATATAACCCCAGTTTCTCGGCTTCGAAAACTCGCCTTCATGTCGCCCGACTCTCCGCTCTCCGCAGGATGCCACACCTTCACGAACCCCAGAAATAGCTTGACACTAGAGTATTTGATACACGGGGATAATGATGCGACAAAGCCACTTTTGGTGGTTCAATGTCCTGGCTGGGGTCCGGGCTCGCGGTACTTGCAAGTCTGCCTGGCGCCTCTTGAGGAGCACTTTATGCTTCTCTTTCCTCACCCGCGGGGAACTGGTGGTTCCACCGCGCCCCCCGACGAGACCCAGATGGGCACGATGACCCATATGTCTGAAGATCTTGAAGTGCTTCGAATACATCTCGGCCTGGACTATTTTCCTGCACTCCTTGGCCACTCGAATGGCGGGTCCATTGTCCTCGGATATGCGGAGAAGTACCCATCCCGAGTCAAGAAACTCATTCTGATCAGCCATCGTCTGGTGGGCTTCCGCGAACATTCACTGCTACTGCAATGCAAAGACGATGAGCAATATAAAGATGCATTTGAGTGGTACGTGTCACACAGCGTCAAGACGGACGAGGACTTCTTGCAGCTCTCAAGGCATGTTCCGCCGCTGTACTTCGTTGATCCGGAACGGCATCTTCCGCAATTTGAGACAATATTTGTGGATCAGATCCAGTCGTCCTACTGTTATCGTGCACAAAGGGTGAGCGACATGAAGCAAGAAAATCCCCCGCTGATGAAAGCGAGACTGGGGGATGTAAAGGCAAAAACGTTGATCATCTTCGGCCGACAGGACCTCATATGTGAGCTGGGAAACGCATACCGAACGAAGGAGGGCATCTCAGATGCAAAGTTGATCATCTACGATAATTGCGGTCACATCCCAATGTTAGAGAAAACGGAAGAAACACTCCATGACATCGTGGTCTTCTTATCAAGTTAGCACGACACTACTCTCGAGCCGTGCCTTAACTGGTCTAGTTGCTTCTCAATACCGTAGGTCGTGTAGTAGTGGTACTCATCGAAGGGCATACAGTATGCATGGCTGGCACGGTAGCTATTTGTATTAAATCTCGGGGTACAAGGTCATAACGGTCATACGGCAGATAGTCCGGTATCCACATACAAACACAAAAGGCAAATAGAAAAGACTCTCTTTGGAGGGAGCCAGTACACCAGTAACGCCCCAACTGCACAATATGTCCAATGCTTCGGCGCTAAAGAATACCCAGAAGCAGCAAAATTGACAAAATAAAATGGTATCTCAAAGGTTCTACGAGTCTTTGACTCTAGTTTGTCGTTTGGCCGTTCCAATGTGCGTATTGTGTACCTTGGTTGCGAACTTAAGACTCGTCAATGTTTCGCCCAGATGAGCCTGCAAAGGACTAACCATGACGAACATGAGCGTCTTCGAGTTGCCTCCGAGAGAAAATTGGAGAAGATAAGTGAGCTGCGATAAGAGCGTTAGTTCATGAAGCGAAAATCACACGGTTTGTAAAACGTACCTTGCTATTCCGGTAAGGAATATGTCCGCCTTCCTTGCCCTGGCCCAGAGCACCAATGACATCGCCCAAGCAGCTTAGACTTCGGTTGATGCTCTGAGTCTCCTTCAGGCGCTCTCCGGTTGCGCCACTGTGACTGAGGCGTTCACTACCCGCCAAATCAACCAGGTTAAGTGTGCCCTCGCTCCTTTCTTTCGTAAAGCTATTCTCCCCGATAAGCTTCAAGATAAAGACGGAATGGGAGCGAGAGGATCTCTCGTTGGCTTTGGTAGCCGCAACTGATCTATTTGCTGCGGCACGGCGAAGAATCGACTCCACCATCTCCGGGGAGTCAAGGGTCACAGTGGTGATATCGGTGATAGTAGTCTTGCACCTTTGCATGTCATGCCGAATCTCATGCTTCTTCTTGTCGAACTCTTCGGCTTTCCCAAGCAAATCATTGATGTTCTCGTTATAGACTTCGACGAAATTGCCCTCCATAGTGTATACCCAGCCCTTCTCTTCTAGGCTCTTTGCCGTGTCATATATTTGGTGCACAGCCCGTGGGATCATCCCATCTTCTGAAGACATGGTATATGTCTTACCACTCCCGGTCTGTCCATAGCAGAAGATGCAGACGTTGTACCCGTCTAGCGCGCTCTGGACCAGCTGGCTGATTTCCTCAAAAACTTCAGCATTGTGGGTACGAGGCCCAAACACTCTGTCAAAGGAAAATGCGTTGTTCTTCCTGCTGATGTTACCAAGACTGCTTCTCTCCTCGGGTCCTAGTACTGAAATCTCCTTGCAATCGCTGTCGTTGTCAGGAAACTGGATCTGGGCGACCTCGTCTGCGGGTTCTGCCTCTAGTGACGGTCGAACTCGACAAAACACTCGAATGTTTCCTTTAAGCTCCTGGACCTGGTTGTGCAATTTCCTCCGCAACGTTTCTTCTTTTCTCAGCTTCTCCTTCGCCTCATTCGTCTCAGCAAGTGCGTTAGTTAGTTGCTGCTGGAGATGTTCAAATGCTGCTGACTGTTCCTGGTTACCGGATTCGAGGAACTCGATTCTCGCCTTCAGCGCACGGACAGACGATTCTAGCGTCACGCTGTTGCCGCTTGCTGTGTCAAGATTCTGGCGAAGCTCACGATTGGTTTGTCGCTGTCGTTCCAAGTCATCACGCACCACTTCAAGATCTGCCCGGAGTCTAGCAAGTTCACGATCTTTGTTCTCGAGCTCGATCTGGCCGCGTTGCGAGTCCAAGGTGCGCTCGGACATGATGCGGTTCGTCTCACGCTGGTGCAGTAGCCTTTCCTCTTCTAACTCATGGTCCAGACGTCTTTCGAGCTCGCGAATCTCTCCTTGATGTTTGGAAGCTAGAGACTCAAGCTCTCTTTTTGCTTCTTCTTTTATGCTCTCGGCTTCAGCTCGTTGACGCGCGGCAATCTCATCCATTGCTATCTCGTGGTCCCTCTCGGCCTCCTTGAGCGCGTGTTCGGTTGCTTCGAGACGAGTCCTCATCGTCTCAATTTCAACTCGCAGTGAGACGTTCTTCTCATTGAGTTCTGTCCGCGATGCCTCCAACTCATTGACTTTGTCAATTAGCAGTCTGATAGAGGAGAATACGAATAGTTATATTGACCCACCTCGAGACTTGTATATATCCACTGTCTCTTTGAGACCGAAACTTTCTTGGCCTGCCTGGCTCATTTTGGCAAAAAGAGTTTCACATATTTCATCGATGTTGCGAACTTGAGTGTCATGGTCCCAGGCTTTTGTGTCTGAATCTTTGGTTAGAAATTGTGGGATCCTTTTCTGGGTCTTCAACGGAGTTCTATGCTTGGGAGGAGACGGGGAACGGGTCACAGGGAGACATGCTGCAGAATTTGGGCACATTTGTTTCGGTGGGTCGTGCTTAAGAGAGCATTGGGTAAAGTCACTGTGCTGGCTGGGTTCCATGACTGGCTTAAACTTGGATCTGAGGGAAAGATCAGACATCGCGCTGCATAAGCTGTCGCGATCACCAATCTCTGAACCTTGACCATTCGAGCTGCAGTCCCATGTGCCATTTCGATATCCATTCGAATCGGGTAGTACGGAATGCGGGGTTGAGGTGGGTATGGAAGGACAATAAGATCTATGCGTACCCTTTCTTTTCCTAAGGACGCTTCCAGGTGATTCTTCCTCGCGAATGTCCATCGATGTCGCTGGTCGCTTGCCAGATGAAGCAGGGGGTTTCCGGGTGCCACTAAGTGATGTCTGCGGGCGAGCGATCCCAAAGCCAGCTGGTCGTGTGCCAGGCCCAACAGTGGCTGAATATGATGTATTTGACCTTGTCCGCGAGGATGTCGACGTGTTTCGAGAGGATGCAGATGACACGTAAGATTTCGTGCGGGTAAGAGGCTTTGCAGTGCCGTCGGTTGCTCGCGTACTCGCCGGCGCGACCAGTCCGCCTTTCCTCGTATCTATCGATGATTGGGCTGCTGTCTTCGACCGAGTAGCCGCTTCTCAAATGTCAGAATACCGAGAACATTGCAATGTCCTCAAAACCACTTACGCGCCATGCCAGGCGGCTTGCTGTATATCTGCGCGATCGATCCCGGCTTGGGAAGCCCCGAGGGCGCAGGAAGCCCCGATCTCGAGTTTGCATGGGACTGATCCATCTCGTTCAGACCCTTTGTCTGCGCCGGAATCCTGCTTCGCGTGATCCTAGGTTGAGTCTGGCATCTCAGTCAGCAAATGATACTGGGCCTGCGACAGCAGGTTGTGTTACCACTGAATTCTCGTCATCCATGCTGGATTGATGGAGAGGCCCCCAGCGAGCCAAAGTAGTTGACCAAACAGGGGATTCCAGCAGCGCGCTGATCAGAACCAGGAATGAATGAAAAAACCAAGAAATAGAGGGCAGCAGAGCATCGCACAGTTGCACGATGGATGATGGGACAGTTAACAGGAGGCACGCTCTTCACTAATAATAATAGTTAGTTAGGTTGTTACCCGGAGAGACGGCGTAAACAAATCCAGCTTAGTCATCTGCCACTACGGGTACGCTAGCACCGATCCGGAAAGACACCATCTGCCCCACGTGATGGTAAACTTCAAGGTAAATACCAGGTTTTGATACGACAATGGTACAGGCAGGCTGGGTTTTGAATGCATTCCATAGTAATTGGAGTGGTACTGCCATCCGACCGATCGTAGATACGCTTTGTAGTGCTTTTCTTTCAAGTAACCAGCGGGAAAGCTCCTCGAATATCCTGAAGCCGTTGCGGTGCGTGGGGGGTGTTAAAACCCCCCGGTTCCGCCGGCCGCGTTTCGCTAGACCCAAAGGCGGCCTGGGAGCTGTGGTGGTGCTTCAGACGACCAACTTTCGACCAACTTTCAATTCCAAGAGCCCTTGAGGCCATTCTCATGTCTGGTAGTCCGTACCTTTTCCCATCGGTCTGAAGAAACAGTCTCTCCGGTCATGTCTGGTCGTTTCGTCCGTTCGTCGAAGTATCGTAAGTTGCGCCTCGAATCGCCTCCGTGTCCGCATCGAGCTGCTAATGCCGCACCGCAATAGGACACGTCTTCGGGCGTTCTACGAGAAAGGTACCCATTCTGGCGGGATAATGTCAACCAGGGACCGTCGTGACTGATGGTGCTACTAGGAACAATGCTACGATAATCTCCGGGTCTCCAGAAATGCTTGGGATACCAACCTCGTCAAGGTACGGTCTTGCGCCCCGTGGATGCGATACGGCTCCTGGCAGTGTTCTCACAGACAGGCGACTAGGTCAACCCCAAATATCTGTCGGTAAATTGGGAGTCTGGCGGTGGTGGTGCATTCGCTGTCATCCCTCTCGAGGAGCGGGGGAAGCTCCCTGAGAGAATCCCCCTATTTCGTGGCCACACCGCGGTGGTGCTCGACACGGACTGGTAAGTACTGCGGAGGGCATATAACTGTAACAGCGAGTTAAATGTCTCTAGGAATCCGTTCAATGATGACTTGATAGCTTCCTGCTCCGATGACGGCAAGGTATGGCTCCCTGGACCATCGGGAATCGTCACCGTGCTTACTTCCTCGCCCCTAGATCTTCCTTTGGCGTGTTCCTGACAACTTCACCCTCCGCCCGGATGTAGAACCAGACGACATCCAGGACATTGCCCCCGTAGGCAAGCTCAGCGGTCATCCTAGGTCAGCTGGTCGCTTTCTCTCACTCCAAGATAGATCGTTGTTTCTAACAATGACAACAGGAAGGTTGGACACGTGCTCTTTAACCCCGCCGCTGAGAATATCCTCGCCTCGGCCTCCGGAGACTTCACAATCAAGATTTGGGATATCGAGGCTGGTGCTTCCAAGTTGACGCTGAATATCGGAGACGCGGTGCAGTCGCAGTCCTGGAGTGCCAACGGTTCTCTTCTCGTTACAACCTCGCGAGACAAGAAGCTGCGAGTATGGGATGTCCGCCAGGAGCGCCCTGCGCAAGAGACACAGGGTCATTCGGGTGCCAAGAACAGTCGAGCTGTCTGGCTGGGTGAGCACGACCGCGTTGCGACTACAGGCTTTTCAAAGATGAGTGACCGCCAGCTGGCTCTATGGGATATCCGTGCCCCCCGCGAACCCATCAATGGCTTCAAGGTCTTGGACTCCATATCCGGTGTATGCATGCCGTTCTGGGACGATGGTACGCAGTGTCTGTACCTCGCTGGTAGAGGGTAAGTAACCTCGGCATTTCTGCTACGCTATACCATTCTTTGCTGACAACCTTAGTGATGGTAACATCCGGTACTTTGAGTACGAAAACGACAAATTCGAGTATCTCGCGGAGTACAAGTCGGGCGACCCTCAGCGCGGAATCGCTTTCATGCCCAAGCGCGGTGTCAACATGCACGAGAACGAGGTGGTTCGGGCCTACAAGACGGTCAACGACACTTACATCGAGCCGGTCTCATTCATCGTGCCGCGGCGCTCGGAGATGTTCCAAGACGATATCTACCCCCCTACCATCGGTCTTAAGCCGGCTATGAGTCCTTCAGAATGGTTTTCCGGCAAGGAAGCTATTCCCCCCAAGATCTCGCTTGCCAGTCTGTACGATGGGGCTGGTCTGAAAGAAGTCACTGGCGTGCAGGACGCGCCTACGTCGACTATCAAGCCTGCCGAAGCAGAATCTAAGCCCGAGCCTGCGAAGAAGGCCCCAGAACCCGCACCGGCAGCAACACCTACTTACAGGGCGCCTCCACCCTCAATGAAAGACCAGGGAGCGTCTATGGCAGCTATGGTCAACAAGTTCGCTGATGATGAAGAGAAGGAGGAGGCAGACGATAGCTCCAGCTTCGAGGAGGTTTCCAAGCCCGTGGAACGGCCTTCTATTACTGTCTCCCCCACAAAGGAGAAAGTGGTCGAGTCCAGGCCCAGTCCTAGCGCCAGCCAGGTGAGTCACAGATATCTTGATTGAATTCAAACAACTTGGCTAACATTATCCTTAGCCAACACCGGCTTCTGCCGCCAGCACTCCCACTGCAACGGCTACTTCACCGGCATCGGCAACTTCGATCCCGACGGATGCGGTCCAGCGAGAGATGCAGGCCATCAAGGAACTTATTGCCGAGCAGACGAAGACAATCGCATCTCAGGCTGAGCATGTTCAACAGCTGACTAACGAAATAGAGGCCTTGAAAGCTAAGCTGGGATAAACTGAACAATGTTTCGCCAGCAGTATTCAGCTGCAATCGAACGCCAGACCCGCTTAATCCTGATTTAGGGGCGTCGACACCAGCTCTTCTTGTCACATTGTCATACGATTCGTGTTCTCCAGTCAGGTTAGCTGACAGGCCATCCAGGGACCATGCTTGCCTCGTTGTAACTACATTTCATTGTACAGATTTCTAGTCACATCAATGTTGATCGGTATTCCCAGTCCACCCATGCTTGTCTCACCAAAGAAAAACAAAACAGAATTCGGGATTGCAACGACAAAAAGTTAAAGTCTCAATATAGCGGGAACAGAAGTGAATTTCAATGGCCTTGGTTTCTTTTTTCCCAGCGAAAGCGAAGCGAGCGAGCCTTTCTGTCTATCTGATCATTGAGTGATTCATTGGTTCCGAATTTCAGTATACTATTGTTCATGATGTCCTGTCTCATTGTCCTTGCCTTCAGATTTAGATACATCCTCAGCAGGCCGAATTCATTCATTCATACGCCACCGCTTCTTTGGCTTTACCAGTTTTCCTATCTGGAGATGTTGAAATCAGATGCTAAACAACGTAGGACGACATACGAGCAAAGTATTCTGACTTTGTATTGGTTCACACTCTCTCATTCCTCTATGATGCTGATCCTCGCATTATATTCTATCACCTAAGGTCCCGTGGATATTGACAGACTCTATCTAAATGCATACCAGTAGCCGCGGCATTGCGTTGTGCAAGTACATGGACCGGATCAAAGTGAAACATGCTGGCAAAAGGGAATCTTTGAGACCAGGCTCCTGACTCCTCACTACCGAGAAAGGCCGGGGGGAAGTCCATTCTTCCCATCGAGGATATCGACATATTCTCGTAAGATGGCTGCGCTAGACGCATGCTGCAATGCACATGCTATGCCACGATTAAAGCCAAACTTTTAATCCCATCTAGCAGCCTCTCTTTCCTCCTCGATGCGTGCTGCCCGAGTCCGATCACTCTCCTCATCCTCGTACTTGTAACTCAGTCTCCGTCCGCCGGTGAGGCCTCTTTCAGGCCTGCTCTGACGTCTTCTGCCGTTCTTGCCGTCGCGCTCCGCGACCATGGCTTCCCGTCGTTGCTGTTCTTTCAGCAACCGCTCGCGATTGCGTGCCTCGCGCTCCAGAGTATGCGGGTCCTTTTCTGATTCGGTAGGCCTCGCGGCCTTGTCACCGTTGCGATCTCGGTTTCCAACACGAGAATCGTCCCGATGGCGTTTGGTCCGCCGTGAGTGGTGTCGGGAGTACTCGCTATCAGCAGGGGATTCAGAACGGTCCCGACGTGAGCGTTTACGATCCTTCTCTCGATCTCGATCTCGACCTCGCTCCCGGTCCCTGTCCCGGTCCCCGTCTCGGGGTCTATCCCGATCACGATTGCGTTCACGATCGCGATCGCGGTCGCGGTCATGATGTCGACTTTCCCGTTCGTCTTCGCGACGACTGGAACGCTCCTTTCCAGATCGATAGCTGCTACTGATCCGGGTAGTGAGGTCGCGCGGTTCTCCAGAGAGCGAGGTCTTTTCCCGAGAAGAGGCCCCATTCTCTTCAGGCGCGACGGAATACTGATCGTTGTGCCGGGACTCTCCCTTTCGGTCGGCGCTTCGACTGCGGCTGCGATGACGGTGGGATCGATGAGAACGGTGCCTGTCTCGGTCTCGATCTATATCCCTGTCTCGACGGTGAGATCTCCTTGTGGACTCAAGAGAACGTGAACGTGAGCGGGTGTCTTTCTCGCGAACCGGTCTCAACTCCTCTTCATCATCGCGACGGGACTTCTTCCGATGGCGCTCACGCCGACGCTCTCGATCCTCATCGCTGGCATATATGCTTTCAGATCGGCGACGATGACGATGACCCCGCGACTGTTGGCGAGATGGGGACCTGGACCTTGATCTAGATCTGGATCCGGATCTTTCTCGCGCTCTCGATGGCGATCTCGATCCGGCTTTCGACTGCGCCTGCGACTCTCCCTGGCGGGTTGCGGGAGTGACACTAGATATGTTAACAAATGTACCGCATCTTATTATAATTAAGCTGTCAGTGTATTTGAACGTACCTTCTCGAATCCTCCCCTGATCTTTGCAGCGGTAAAGAGGCTCGTCCCTGGATATGGAAACCTCTGCCACGGATTCCTGTATTAGGAAAGCCTTCTCTCATGGCCCTAGGCGCTGCCGGGGCACCTGCAACACCTTGGCCTCTGGGTTCGTTCGGGACTATAGGCTGATGTCCTCCCGGTGTCAGGCCGTTCATAAAGGCGCCTCCTCGACCACCTGGGTAGCCTCCGCGCATGGGAAACCCGCCCCTACCAAAGCCTGGTCCCGTCGGTGCCGCAAACCCTGTGAAACCTGGGGCCATACCTGGACCGTATGGGGGCTGTTCAATACTATCAATAGTTGGTATACCACGAAGTTCTGGCTCCTCTGTAGACGGTTGGTCTGCAGATGACGCTGATGCGTCTTTGGTTTCGGATGACACGTCCTTCGCATCTCCGGCTGCTTCATCAGTAGTGTCCTTAGTCTGGTCTTCACTAAACTCGTTCTCGCCTGTTGTGGCAAGTTCATCGTTAGATTTCTTATTATTCGCAACACTAGAGGTCACTGAGCCGGGGCCATTTGGAGTGTCTTGCTGCCCCGACAAGCCATTCTGCTGCTGAACACTAGGAGATTGCTGGTTCGGATAGACTGAGGGATTAGCGTGAGTTGGGTAATTAGCCTGCATATAACCACCAAAGCCACCACGACCCCGACCACCTTGGAAGAAACCACGGCCACGGCCGCGGGCACCGCCTCGGCCATATCCAGGGCCATAAAAGCCATTCTGGAAGTCTTGGTTAGGGAATTGTTGTTGCATCTGATAGTTTCCGTGATTATATCCGCCAAATCCAGAGGGACCACCGAATTCGGGGCCCATGCCATTCGCGAATGCATTTGGATTGAATTTATCTGGGCCTCCATTCCACATATTGTTTTGTGAACCGTCCCAGCTTCCATACATCCCTTGACCAGCGTTAAAATTCATTCCCATGTTCATGCCATTGCTCATGCCATTCATGTTCATCCCGTAGCCTCCAAACATCCCCTGACTCGCGGCCATTGGGTCCATCGCCATCCCGGGCATTCCTGTCTCTCGAGTTAGTTTCAAGCTCCATATAAAAGAGAAAGCGATGTCAGGTAGATTACTCACCCATAGAGTTCTGGAAATTGAACATTCCACCGGGCATAAACTGTGCCACAGGGTTGAAATCGCCAGTACCATTCCATCCCATCTTCGGAAATCCACCATTACTCATATCGAATCCCATAGCATTTGGTACCGCCCCCGGAAACTGCATGTTTTCCTGTTGAGGACCGTCTGCCTGCTCCGTATCCACCGCGTTGGTCGTCTGGTCGGAGGTATCTCCCTCGACCACGGTTCCATCCCCGGCGTCACCTTCAGCGGTAGAAACGCCATTTTGGTCCTGCGGTTTCTGCAGTAAAATTAGCTTCAGTCGTCTTGGATATTGAAATGACGGATGGCTCACCTCGACTTCAGCTTCTGTCTGATCGCCGTTGGACTCAGCTACAGCTGCAGCAGTGCTTTCCGATTGGGGAACTTCAGCTGCTTGTTCCTCCAGTCTCGTTTCAGCATCCGATGCTGATTTTACTGGCTGATCGGCAGCATCCGCCTGGTCAACTGGAGGTGGAGCCGTCTGGGCTTCCGCCTGTGAAGGGGTTGTATCGACAGGAAGATCGGCAGCTGGCGTCGCTGGTGTGGCTGAAGACCTTTCCTTCTCCCGCTTTTTCTCCTCCGTGCGCAAGAAGGCTTTCAGAGTAGTACGGAGAGCTTTGTTCGGCTTGCAGAGGTCGGGAGAGATAGGCGTGTGCGCGCAGACTGGGCAGCTTTCCGGCAAAGACGCTTGGCCTAGAACATGGTCAGGATATTTCTCGATATGAAAAGCATGCGCAAAGGTGATAAATAACAGGGAACGTACAGTTTTCGCATATAGCCTGGTCGCAGCACGGTAGGCGGAAGGCGTTCACTGCAAGCTTATTGCAGATGGCGCATCGCAGCTTAAAGGGAATCTCATCCTGGGTAAGAGAGCTATATGCGATCAGTCCTGAAGCCTAGATAACCAAGAAGTCCGGGTCATCACCCACCTTGCGATGTCCATCAAGGCCGACGGTTGATCGGCGACAGCCATGTTGAGGCCACTTCGAGGCTTCGACAGCCGATGAATCCGTTGCGCTCACGATGGTAAGAAAGAATAGAAATCGATGTGCATGAGCGCGAACATGACGGTGAGGGACATCAATAAGGCGTCATGGTCGTGCTGGACTGAGGTGAATGGAGGCGCATGTCTCACGCATCTTCGCCGTAGCTAAAATTGTCGGTTCGACTCCCGCCGGAGAAGATCGGCAAAACCTTTCGCCGAGCGGTCTAGATAGCTTGAGTAAATACTCCGGGTAGGTTAACTGCTGCGAATGAGACAACAGATGCGATTCGTCTCTAGTACCATTGGCACAGTTCCAGCATTCTACAGTATTCTAGTGGTCTGTCCTTCTATCATCTTTCTCCTCTAGAGGGAAGTTGAAGTAGATGTGGGCGATGCGGGATGTTCCTCGGACCGGTCTCGTACCTAGACTGTTTTATATTTTTGGTCTTCCTCACGCCACAGTTGATCATACACGCCGGGTTATGGACCACGCTCTATCATGGAGCTAGGAGCTTACCATTTCTAGGTCTGGATAGCACCGAATTTATATAGTTTCATGATACTGATGCTCTAAATAGCGGTTCAATTGCCCTCCCAAGTCATCTTTCAGCGGTATCTGTTGTCAAAGGCTCAGAGAGCGCCGTTCTACCGCCACGCGACACTATTTCAGGAGATAGTGATTCGATGCGTGAAGTACGCTTTTGCAGAGATTCCTCCCCAAGTGGGACGTGTCTTCTTTGCTCGGGAGGTTGTACATCCTTTTCTTCGTTATCGAATGCGGAGGCATGGCTATCTCCGACCCCCTGTTCATTATAGGGAGGTGCAGCGTGTAAGTCAACGTTAGCTTGATTCCACTCTGTTGTACGCTTGGATTAAACGAAGATGCAGGGCAAACTGAACGGCATCTGGATCATCGCGAATGAGCTAGAGAAACCGGATATCGTGATCTACTATGCCCATGGTTCGTCTACAACCCCCCATATGATGTGCGCCGCGTGAGCTGTGCTGAATGACTACAGGAGGAGGGTTTTCCATGGGTACCGCCTACTTCTACTCGGAATTCCTGATGACATGGGTAGCCGTGCTGCGAAGAAGTGGCTACCGCAATCCGGCCATCTTCGCGTTGGAATACACATTAGTGCCTGACGAGGTATACCCGGTCCAGGTACAACAAGCCGCGGCAGGTTACGAGTTTGTTATGTCTATGGTGGAAGATCCGAGTCACATCTGTGTCAGCGGAGATTCAGCCGGAGCCACTATCATGTTGAGTCTCTTGCTCTCTCGGGGCCGGCACGATCATTGGGAGGCTGAAAGACCAGGACTTGCGGCCTTCTTCTCGCCATGGCTAACTCTTGTGTCACCAGACAATCGCAACACAGAGAGCGATTATCTGAACATGGAGAGCTTACACCTCTACGCGTTCCAGTACGCGGGTAAGCAGGGCTCGTTGGAGGACCCCATGGTGTCGCCGGGGACTTGTAAGGACACCGGCTGGTGGCGACGGTCATCCCCGTCCGGCGGCTTCGTCTGCTTCTACGGTTCGGAGGAGGTCTTTGGCCCTGAGACCCGGCGCTGGAGCCAGCTGATGTCCACGGCGGGCTGTCGATGTGAAGTGGTGGAGCAAAGTGATTCCATCCATGTGTGGCCGGTTGTGGCGCTCTTCATCGGCGATACGACGACGGAGCGGCTCGAGGGTCTGATACAGATGACGGATCGAATCATCCCAGCGATCCCGCCAGCGCGCGACCGTATGCGTTAAAAATCTTTTGGCCAAATGGACACTGATGATGCTGCGGCTTCCGGGATATGTGCCAGAGGGGTCCACAGCGGCGCGATCAGATTAGATCAAGTAATTTCTCAGTCCTTCACAGATGCTGGTGTAGAACGGGTGAACAGTAGGCGATACCACGCCGGACAGACCGACTGGTTTCTGCTCCACTGCGCGCGCGCGATCCCAGCAACTCCGGATTTAGCTCTATCATCATTGTACGCCGCCGCAGACTCCTTTCCTCATATAGCCGCAGCTGGCATCAGGCTGAATGTTAGGCATCCTCGTCGATCAGATGCAGTCAGTGACCTGAGGTTCGGGGTCACCAAGGGCTGGTAAGGCTACAGTGCAAAAATAGAATGAAACAAATTCGAGTAACAATATGAAGATAAAAGAAATGTTGAAGGATATCTAGACGAGGCATCATCAAGCCAAGTTCTAGGTATTATTATTGTTATTTATTTAGCAGCCTTCAGGAACCTGAATGCGACCGGCTTTGGATCACGCTGGGCGGGATCCAATCAGCAGCCAGCCCGGGCAAAGGTATGTTGGAGTCACGGGATGGGTTACGATGCCATGATCCAATTCACGGTGTGAAGAAAAGAAAAGAAAAGAAGGACAGGAAAAAAAAGAGAGAAGAGGAAAGAGAGGAAGAGTGTGTTCAATAGATTCCCTGCAGCGAGAGCCAGGGGACGATCAGAGCTGCACCCCAGAATCAGAATCAGAATCAGAATCAGATGAGATGGGATGGCGACAAGAAGAGCAAGGGACTGGACTGCAAAAATCACAATACTAATAATAATAGGAGGGCAACGCACGGAAGAAAAGAACAAAATTTAGCGCGGGCCCGCGTTGCCGCAACTCAGCGCAGGGTTAAAAGGGCGCTCGCTTCCCCGGGCCTGGACGAGCGAGATCGAAGACGCGAACACGCTGTGCGCTTATCCCCACGCACCTTTTTCCCTGCTTGACTGCTCTTGACTGCTCCTGAACTGCTTCTGACTGCTCCTGACTGGCCGATCACTCCACTGCGCACACTGCAGCCACGCACCACCTCGACCCTCCACGATTATCGCACGGGGAGCTCGGACCACCGGTGGATGTACAGTACAGTACATACATACATACATACAAAAGAAACAAAATACGATCATCTACGATCATCTATCTATATAATATTGTTGTTGCGACTCACCACGCGCGGAGATCTCCGGTTTCATTCCCGCCTATTCGACTGCGGCAACAGCCTGCTGCTTTGTCTCTTTGCGGGTGATGCGCTGATCCAGACGCCCCATTGTCAGATTCATCCCATCTACACGGTATGCACCTGTCCTCTTCCCCCGATATCTTATATCCCTCCAAACCCTTCGCGCCAGCAGCTGTCGCGCTGACTTTGGATGTCCTAGCGATGACAGACCAGGATACCTCGTACAGACCCCGTTCACCAGACTTCTCCTCCTTGGAGCCCGCCTACCCCCCCGCGGTCACCTCTCCCTACCACCCGCCGCCCTTCCCGCTCACCAGCCCGATTGCCCATCGCGCTTCCTACGACGCCTCGCCCTTCTTCACGCCCCAGTATCAGCATCCCGTCGCGCCACCAGGTCGGGTCCCGCAGCAGTACATCCCTCCGTCCATCGACCAAGAAGAGATGGCTCGTCGTTCCGCCCGCGTCGCACGCGTCTCTGAGACCGTCGCCTGGCAACCGGAACCCTTGACGTTTGAAACCAAACCAGAGCCTGCCCACCTGGACGATGCCTCCAAACCGCGCCCCTGGTCTGGGGTGGAAGTCAAGACCAAGTTCCCCGTCGCACGCATCAAGCGGATCATGCAGGCGGACGAAGACGTCGGCAAAGTCGCTCAGGTCACCCCCATCGCAGTGTGTAAGTAATCGCCGGGTGATTCTCCCCCACGCACAGAATCACAAAAACTAACGTATTTTTCTTTTTCTCGCTCACAGCCAAAGCCCTCGAGCTGTTCATGATCTCCCTCGTCACCAAGGCCGCACAGGAAGCCAAGGATCGCAACTCCAAACGGGTCACTGCGGCGCATCTCAAGCAGGCCGTGGCCAAGGACGAGGTCCTCGATTTCCTGGCCGATATCATTGCCAAGGTGCCCGACCAGCACTCCCGGAAGCACGATGATGACGGCAGTGATCAGAACGAAGGCAAGCGGAAGAGAGGAGGCGGACGGCAGAAGAAGGAAGAAAGCGACTAAGTGCAGTGGCGTTACTTCTCTCTGTCTGCATAGTCATGGCGAATGAATTAACGGATGTGTATGGACCCTTAGACTGGGATGGTGTGCAGGCGCACTGGTGGTTCTGGCGTTCCGGTGGCAGACATGGCCTGGGTTTTACATTATTGTTTGCATGTGGATAACTAACTAGCTGGTCAGCACTTGAGATTTTTAGTATTTTCTTTCTCCCCTGGGGATTCAGGACTTCTTCCGGTTGGGGTAATCAGCGGCGAGGGTTCCCTTCGCCGGTATGGGATCCAGCAATATCAAGAAATAATCTCGTGGAGGCAACGGACGTGACCGTTGCACTGTACTGTACTTGGCTTTTTTTTCTTTTCTTGTAAAATCCTGTAACTCATTAGATAGTAGTAGTAGTTATTGAGAAGCTTCACAAAACCTCCGACGACGGGACGCTTGGCGGTTCCAGGGGCTCCGACACTAGATAGACTAACGGTCGCCGACACGCCCCAGAGCGCGTCTCCTTGATCGACCGCCCGGATGCTTGACCGTAGACTGGCCTCCCCGCTTTCAATAGAACATGCTGCCCTTGGGGAATCATGGACTTTGTAAGTATCTCGTCGTCTGATCCTCCATCGATCTCTGTTCTGTTTCGCATCTCCTTCTTGCTGCGGCATCACAGCTGACGGTCCGGTAGTGGTCTCGTCTCATTGGCGGTTCCCGCTCGCTGTCGTCCAAGACGCTGCGAACAAATACGCCTGCGGAGCGACTGGCAGCCTTTAAACGGACATGCAATACACTGCAGGTGAGTCCGGAAGATGTGATGATTCCACGAGGAGAAGTTCTTTCAATTGAGCTGATGGACGAGCCAGCAAATATGGCGGACTAGCAATTCTCCCTCCAGCGAGCTGGGTGCGACGGCTCACGCGCGCAATTGCCTCGATCGTCTGAATACAGTGCTCAGTGACGAGTCTCGAGGACCAGCTCCCCATCCCTGCCTGGCGTATGCTTCGACATCCCAGATCTATGTGACGGTGACGAAGCTGGCCCTGTCATCCTACGATGAAGACACTCTACGAAGTGCCGCCATCTTCTTTAACACCTTGATCGATGCGGAGGTCGATGGCATTGTCGACAGCCGGCTTTTCGCTCGAGCGCTCCTGGATCTCGTCCGCAGAGGTGTAGCTGCTGGCGAGGAGATCGAAGGCAGGTTGATAGAGCTGTTGTTCGGAGTGGCCAACAATATTCGTCTGCAGCCTCATATCCTATCCGCCTGGTTCGTCCCGAAACAGCGGTCAGATTCCGACGACGGAGACCAGACACACTCAGGGAAGGAATTTGCTGGAGAAACGAGAAAGGACGACTTCCCGCTCTTTTATCTGTTGATTGAGTATGTACACCATGAAGGTCGAGCAGGTGATTTTGCGCGCACGGGCTTGCTGTATATCATCGAAACAGCGTCCAACTCGCGGCCTTTGGAACGGTGGTTGATCGAGAGTGACTTGGCCACGCTGATGGCCACTGGATTAGGAGCGCTCTACAGTCAACTGGGCCGGTGAGTAGCAGGCTGACTATGAGGTCGTGGGCCAGCCTGTGCTAACTTTTGCAGAACTCTCTCCTTTTCCGTGACGGACGAAGATGTACCCCCAATAATCGCGTTTTCTGACCATGCGCGCCAGGAGACTGCGGTACAGCCACAGCTCGGCGCTCATATGGATTCGTTCCTCTCGTACCTTCTGTTCTGGCAGGATACCGTCGATCACTGTAAATCCGCAGAAGTAAACGACACATTGCTGGACCATTTCCAGATCCTTTTCTTACAGCAGCTTCTGTAAGGATACACTCCTAGGTGCACTCTGAACCCTTTTCTTTTTCTAACTTGCTCCCAGTTACCCATCATTGCTCGAATCATCCGATGTGGACGGCGGCTCCACACCCGCCGTCCTTACATATTTGTACCGAATTCTGGAATCGATAGACCAGCCTTATCTGATCCATCGAATTCTTCATTACTTGCTCGCATCGTCATCCGAACCCGAACCTATAACGGAGACAACCCGTATGCCAACCCAACCTGTCCGCATGTCGCTCAGTCGTAGAAAGTCATTGGATATATTGGCTGCTTTCGCCGAAGAAGCCGCCAAGCCCTCCCCGTCGCTGTTCAATCTCGTTGATCTGGTCCTCATGAGCATCAAGTCTCATAATCGACAAACTGTGATTGCTACCCTGCGACTGCTGGCGGTGATCTTGCAGAGGCATCACTCCTTTGCTGGCTCTCTGATCCAGACGAGTCCTCCCAGCTACCAGGAGACGCAACGGACAGTCGGTGCACTGAACGCGGAATTGCAGCAATTCCTGTCCATGGCCACCACTATGGTTGATGATCCGACTCTGGACGAGTCTTACGAGAACTACCTGAAGGACGCAACGTTCATTCTCGAGTCACGTCTCTTCCTCCTGACCCCGTCGGTGGGCAACTTCCCAGATGGACCAGCCGATCGACCCTTGGATGTCCAGGACGATGACCCGATCTTGAAGGAGATCCTGCGGCTTCTGGACTCCTTTTTCACCAACAGTGTTGTCGTGAACCTGGCCCTGACCGAAGTGATCACAAGCCTTGCCTCGTCCAATCTCGTCTCACTTGACGGCTGGCTTCTCGTGAAGCCATCCAACTATGAGTATGGACCGGAGGCGGCATCGGATTCCAGTGTGCAATCTCCAGAGCCGGGCACGGAGCCGCAATCGCAACCAAACGAGACAGATCCGTTTTCCATGATCAAGTTCGCGTACAAGGAACCGACATGGTCGGAGAAGAATGTTCCCTTGGTGACGGGGAGGCTTCAGAGTCTAGTGAAGCATGTCGAGGATTGGCGACGCGACATCCCAGACTTTGATGTCCTCGTTGCGGCGCGCCGTGATCTGCTGCACCAGGACGAAAAGCCACAGCCAATGCCTATTCGATCTCGACAACCGTCTGAGCCTCCAATTGGCACTCCCAATGGACGGCCGCTGCAGCGCGTAGCACGTTTCGAGGTAGAGTCTGCTTCGCCAAGGGGGCGAAACCCCAGACCGTTTGACCTTTCCGAGGCATCGCCATCCCGGTTTGCAGCTGGAGGCTCCCCGTTGCGGGAACAGTCAGTCCGTACGCCCCCGTCCCGTGGGGTGTCTGCTTCACGGTCAGTCGTCGCGGAGGATCTGCGCCGCCGTCTTGCTATGCCATTCCAGGTCGACAAACCGATACCAGGTTCCGAACCCCAGCCTGTTAAACCGGAGGCTGCCAGCATCGACGGCGAAGCACCTGCGGAAGAGCAGTCTAAAGCCCAGGACGCTGGGGAGACGGTCACTCTGGGCCATGTGCTGACCAACACGGTCATTCTTTATGAGTTTATCCTGGAGCTGGCGGCGCTGGTGCAAGTGCGTGGCAGCCTGTTCCAAGAAGCCGGATACACGCGATGAGTCTGCTGAGTAGGTGATGATAGTACGATATGTGTCATTATTATTATGTCTCGGACCCTGTATAAACAGTCTTTTCCGTCTCTAGCTTTCCCCATCTCCCCCTTCTGCATCGTTTTCGAGTTTGGTTCCATTATACCCACGTCCCGCTTATCTAGATCGTGCTTCTTCCTTGTAGTTAGGTACAGTTCGGAACATACTACTTGATAGCTGAAGAGGGAGCCATTTTGAAACACAATGCATGGTGAAAAGTAAACAGTACCGTAGCGATTGGGAGCCAAGTGTCAATTAGACCAGATTATCGTTCTTTGTCTATGTATTCCTGTACGAGCGGTCAAATATGATTGGACCACCATGAGATGTTAAAATAAAATAACAGACCATCTGTAATCCTACTCCAGTACTGGGTTTGAGATCGTCATGGTCCAGGCGCGTGCCGTCCCTACTTAAGTAGGGGCGAGGCACCAGAAAGCTTGAAGAAACTCGCTTGCTGTCAAGGCTTCTTCTTAAGCGTTAAACCCATCGACAGGGATTGAAGCAAGATAGCCATGGATTCTTTTAGTTCCCATTTCAGAAGATGACAAGCGTTTATACCCCGCACGAAGTCGAGTCTACGTATCGCACAGGGCTGCCGAGGGGCTGTTTCTACAGACTCGTCGTTCGTTCTAGAGTCTCTTCATCTTGCCAGATTCTGCAGAAGGCCGCGTTATGTCTACTTTGAAGACGGTCAAATACTAACCTCTCGAAAGCTATTCTCACCTTGCACGGATACTCTTTGCTTCATGCATCATCCAGACGAGAATGCGCTGGTGGAACCGAAAACTGCGGAATCGACGGCACCGCAGACGGATCGTCGTGGGAACAGCTTCGATGATGCTGCCTCATTATTGGTCTCCCCGCAGCAACAGGAACTGCTGAGCTCAGCTGAACTACCGGCTCTCTCGGTTTCACGTCTGTCTCTTTTGACTTCATACCTTTTCATTATTATCCTTCTGGAGCTGCGGAAGAAACGGACGGAGTGAACATTCCCTCAGGCCTCTTGTCCTCGGATTTCCGTCACTACCCGCACGAGAGACATGGACTGAATTGTCTTCGGTCCACTCGGAAGTAATTGAGTCGTCTGGTCCGGGAGCAACAGGGAACGTGAACGAGCACGCGAAAATATGCAGGCTGCGCACAACGACGACCTCCGCGATCAGGAGGATGCGCCCTTCCTCCCAGGAGAGCAAGGGAGCTCTGCGCCGCCTCGTTATAATGACCGTGCCGCCAACGCCGCGCGCGAGAAATTGCGCTGGCGTCTGATCATTACGCTCTTCGCCATGATTCTCACCGTGGAAACGGGAAATGCCATGGTCAGCGGTCCGACGACTCGAATTTATGAGGCCATTGCCTGTCGGGATTATTACCAGGCGCATGATCCGAGTAAGATCGGGAACGGCGGCCAGATCCCCGAGGAGCTGTGCAAGAATTCGGAGATCCAGAGTGAAGTGGCCATCGTGAAAGGATACGGAGAGCTCTTTGATGGCTTGACCAGTATGTGACCGATACAATTGACTTACATCGGGCCAGTAGACTGAGCATATGCGCATAGGTATCTTTCTCGCTATCCCGTACGGACTTCTGGCGGACCGGATGGGCCGGAAGCCTACCATCTTGCTCAGCATCCCCGGATTCATACTGAACATGGTCTCCACCCTGGTCGTGTTGTGGTTTTCGAACGTGTTCCCATTGCGCGCGGTCTGGTTCTCTTCCCTGGCGTGGTTGCTGGGCGGTGGCCTGGTCGTCGCAGCGGCACTGGTTTGGACCATGATGGCGGACGTGACCACAGACGCTCAGAGGTATGCAGTTTCACAGAAACACGATTATAATCTTTCAGTAGGCTAATATCCAGCAGAGCCACCATGTTCTTCCAATTCGGAGTCGCCGTCATGGGTTCCGAGTTCATTTCCAGCATGATCAGTTCCTGGCTCATGCAGTTGAATCCGTGGATTCCGATGCTCCTCGGTTGGGGAATTATGCTGGGCGGCATCTTCGCTGCGCTTTCTCTCCCGGAGACAAAGAACGCGTTCCCTACTTCGGCCAACGAGATGTCCGATTTCAACAGACAAGAGGACGAGGACGAGGTCGAGGTCGAAGCTCCCCGAAACTATGGCCGACTCTTTGGAAGGAACACGTTGCTGCGCAGATCCTGGGCTCGGGTCAAGTCGATAGTTGCTCCCTATAGCTTCATAACTGCAGATAAGCAGGTTCTCTTGCTTTTGTCTGCTTTCCTGGTTTACAAGCTCAGTCGCGGAACGTCCTGGTTCCTCGTCCAGTACGTTTCGCTCCGGTACGGCTGGACTATCGCGCGGGCCAACCTGCTGACGTCCTTGAAATCTATCCTGACCGTAGTCCTCTTCGTGGCGGGATTGCCTGCCGTTTCCTGGTATCTGATGAAGTACCGTGGCGTGGACAGCCGACAGAAGGACTTGATCCTCACCAAGAGCAGCATCGTGTGTCTTCTTGTCGGGACCCTTGGTATCGGTCTCTCCCCGACAGCGCCGCTGATGATCACCTGCCTGGTCATCCAGACTCTCGGGCAAGGTTTCGTATATGCAACACGGTCGATAATCACAACCATGATCCAACGCGACCAGACCGCAAGGCTATACACCATCATCGAGATCATCCAGGCTCTCGGTATGATCCTCGCCAGCCCTATCATTACCGCTTTCTTCCAATGGGGTCTCAAATTGGGCGGCTTCTGGGTCGGATTGGCCTGGATGGTCGGGACAATTCTCTTCGTCATTGTCGCGTGGGCCATTTGGTCAGTCAAATTACCGTATGTTCCGAAGACCACGCTCGATTCGGAGGAGGAATGAACGAAGGTTTATCTCCAGTTACTCAGTGAGAGTAATACAGCTTCTTCTGGAAGCAAGCTATGCTATATGTTATCTGATGTTATATAGATCGAGATGCTTACGTGTTATGTATGTATAGATGGGGATTGCTATAGAATGATTCAATGAGAAAGGATTTTCATGACTGCCTACTATCTGGAACGTAGACATGGGTATTACCTATACATAGAACAGTCAATTGGTCAGGACTAGGGCTAAGGGGAGCCAGGAATAAGGCATACATGAACACTCCTGGATGTAACCAAAGGTGGTTATTTCCATATTATAAGATAGATGAAAATCATATCCTGGACCCGAGCAAGACCTAATCTCCATTCGTCGACGCTGCATTTCTGTTGCTACTCTCTAACCGAGAGGTAAGCATCTGTCGAAGAATACAGGCACAACGATCATAGAAAGCAGGCTGATTCTTGACCGACGTCCAGCCATTGACATCGATGACATAGCTCTTTCCTTTGTTCCTGACGATATCGAATCCGCAGACTGCCTGACCAAATGTGAGCGCAATTTTAGTCGCAGCTTCTGTTTCCTCCCTGGAGAGAGTCGTAGCTTGTCTTTTTTCTCTGCCATCGGCTTCTCGCACAACAACATCAGAAAGAACGGGAGATTTACGCGTGACAGCAAGGCAATAGGTACGGCCCACTGCGTAGGCCTTGACGTCTTCACCGCCGTCGGCATTCAAAAGTGGCTCGTATACATAGCTATTGTCCTGCTCCATGATGCATCGAGGCGTGACCAAGGAAGGGTCATACTCTGAGCATTTGTTGCCAACCTTTCGGAACAGCCTTCTCCCTCCTCCGTCACTTTGAGCAGTGCTAGGGAAGTAGATATAAACGTTGTGGTCTTCTGCACTTGCAGGCTTCTCAACAAAAGGTTTGTGCAGCTTTTGACCATCAACAAAGAGCGTATTCCCGTCTTCTGATAGAGACACATTAGAATGGTAGGGGATCTGGTCGCCATTATCATGTCCTGAAGGCCCTGGAAGCCTTAATCCCAAAACATCGTAGACGTGCTTGAAAAGTTTCCAATCATATGCCCTGGCGCCGCCGTCACGGTTAACTTCCAGCCTCTTGGGAGTTCGCAGACCGAGGAACTGCAGGATTCTGTGGCAAAGACGACGGTCCAAGAGAAGTTTCTGCATGAGCAGGTCGTTGTAACAAATTGGCAACCGAGACTCAACGTATGAAATCGCCTTATCCAATGGAAAGTTGTCGGAATAAAAGGCGATCAGAAAGTCGCAGGTTGGCCACTCATCCACAGGCCTTTGAACTAAAGTCTGGTCGCCAAAGTATACAATCTCGAGATCTCCATTTCCTTGTAAGCGGCGGAATATCTCTTGGTTCGCCTTGCTGAGAACCTTTTCATCCATCGCGCAGATGCCGAGTCTGCCCAGTTTGGGAACGGCTAAGTTGGCACTTGGGGATCCATGGATTGAGGGCTTCTCCAGAGAGATACTGTAATTCCCAGTCTGAGTTGTAGAACTCTGAGTGTCTGATGGGATGCGAACAGGCGAGTAAACCGGTGAGTATAGTCTTGGTAAAGCATGTAGGTGGCTGTTGCGCTGATCCACCGTTGGGTGCTCGAGGCACTCTTTTGCCGTATATACCACAGACATCATGGAGGTTCACAGGCTTCTGACCGTCCACAAGTAACAAAAGTGTGGAAAGAGCTCCCCTGAACCAGAGAAAAATCCCACGACGAATTGTCCAGTTACTCCATGAAACAAGACTGGCCGATGCCATTGAGCTTAGCACGAATCACTTGAGGTTAGAATCAAATTAAATGGTGAAGCTATATTTGAGCAATAATCTGTGTCTGACTAACAGAGGCTGGAGATAGCTAGGACTATATAACCGTGAGATACAATGTATAGTTACCGACTGAAAGCAGTAGGCGCAGCCGCGACGCGGGAAATCCCTTATTACTCCGGAAAATCACTCAAGGTCCCCCGCCTAGAGTCAGGGAGAAAATATTCATGGGGAGGAAGAAAACTCTGGAACTATTATTGAAGACTCACAGCCTTGTTCTGTTGCTTGCTCTTGCTCCCCCAAGCCCCGCAACATACTACCCCAGCGCGGGACAAAAAAAAGCTTTTCAAGTGAGCGCCAAATGAGTAGCCAATTAGGGAAATGTGCTAGCTCTCGGGTGTTGCTGTGTAGGAGATCAGCAATCATGTTAGTTGCAACGGCTAGACAACATGAGTCAATCTTTTGGGCACTGCCACCTTTTCGGAGCTCTCCTTCGCGCTTCCGGGCGACAACACAATGAGGCAACCCTGCCAGCGAGGAAAAATCTGAGGAGAATGCTTCGATGAGGCATTTTAGGACGTTCATGCGTGGACAAGGTAAACGGCTGATAGTCCATCGGTAGGCAGATTATTTCTTGGGTCTGGCTACTACCTTCCATTGCATTCCTCATATGTATGCCTATTCTGTACAACTAGATACTGGTGTTTTCCGACATTGATATAAATCACAAACCCCCTTTTAGTTACGACTAGCGTTCTCCAAAATACTTTATTTGTTTCAGCATAGTATTTGACATACAGTTTTAAGATTCGATTACTATCCATCTGTCTATGATTAGAGTCCGTCGCTAGGTCAGCATGACTTGTGTTTTTAACCATGTTCGAATTTTTGAATCATCTGTTCTAGCAGATGAGCTTGCGGATGGCAACATGATTTTTCTCCGTCAGGGCTACTCTGTCCCTGCAGATTGTGGCGTTATTACTCTATTCACCTGAGAGTTTTGTCCGGAGAGAGCAGCATTGCGCGGAAGGAGCCCATTATAGTAAGGTTTGACAGAGGCTTTCCGATACTGGGTTGTGAGAATATCGTATTCATAAGGACTATTGCTTGGACCGATGAAAGAAGGCCATCCGGAAGTGGTATACTTAAGTAGTGACTCCAAGAGTCCAACAAAACTTCTCCAGCCAGACGCTCACTATACGGCTTTATGAGCACAGAACAATCCTATTACAAAAATCATTGATATTTATACCTTCAAGCTTCATCTTGTCCTCGCAGAGTCGAACCAATCCGCGATTCAATATCACATGTTTTTACAAACATACGACGCCCGCCGGATACAATTTAAGAACCCAGAGAGCGCATCGAGACGGGCACTGTCAAGTTCGAGCCAGTAATTCTATCTTTTCTATCTTGATAGCTTCGACTAAACATGCAAAATAAAGAAAACAGAGAGAATAAAGATCCCGCGACAGCATTTACCCACAAAGACATTTATATTCAATATTAATTCTATTACCAATATATTGAATTTTATCAAAAAATAATCAATTTTAGTTATATCCCAGGGGTTTGAAAATAGTAAGTCCTAGGGATTTCTATAGTTATGCGACGTGATCGACCACAGTATTAGTTAACTAGGTCAGTAATACAGCATTTGTCCCAAGATAAAAGACCAAAGACGATTGCAAACCTGTGCCCACTATTTTGGGTCTTGTGATATAGACTACATATCGTTATATAAATCCAATCTTAGGATGATTCCCTTATTTAGGACTAGTTTTATGACCTCTAGAACACCTTATGCAATAGAACGAGGATATATTAGAACATAAATTCCTTGTTCTAATAATAATTAAATAATATAATCAACAATAGGACCCAATGTTGCATCCCGCAGCCGCGGCGCTAAACCTAACATTCTCCCAAGCTTAAATAGAGTAAATGAAACTCCCATAGTTGTGGTGGTGGACAGCTGCTTGGGTCCGAAAATAAAAGTAGTACCTGGTCTAGGGGCTAGCATGGTGGGAGTCTAATTGCTTATTGGGGCCATATGCAAAGATATATGAAACCCGTCCTAATTAGGAATCTACTATCTCATCTGTGTAGAGACATTATTATACCCTTCTATTAGTGGGAAGGTGGGGGCCTATTCCTCTGACGATCAGTTCATTTTATGGCCCCGTCTCTGGTCGCCATTTCATTCAGGTGGGCAAAATCTATTCTGAGTAACTGCACCAGTAAAGGGGGGCTATCACATCGCATAATGCTGTTAGTTTCATAGCTCTACGCCGCAGCGTTGCAAAGGAATGTGTCAAATGACGCTTCGAATGTGCTCATTGGAAAAGTCGAGATTCCGGATGTTAGAAACCGCCCCAAAAAATAAGGGCGATTCAACGCTCTTTTCGATGTCAGCAGGATACCCACGGTTCGGAGGGTATTTTAAGACACCTTCACCATATATATAGATGCCCAGAACGACTTTTGGACCTCAGATTTCGCAGCAGCCAGTGGTACCAATCTTCATATTGCCAGTTCAGTTGAGCTACTGGTCTAAACTCGCCGGCACATACACTCCAGCAAGGAAGATCCATCAGATCACGTCTCTCAAAGATGCTTTTTTCAACTGTTCTGCTGGCCTTCGCCGCTCTTGGCGCTCCGTCTGCCTTTGCCAGTCCTGTGTCTCTCGAAGGCAGGAATATAACTGGAATCGACCAAGTCTTAAAACGGCAGAGTGCTGACCGTATCTGTGGAGGTCAGATACTCTTGAAATTCGCACCGCCCTATCCATGATACAAGATCGCTTACGCAATAAACAGATGAAAACCCCTACAGTGCATCTTTCCAAGCTCAAACATTCGAATATGCCAGTCAAAGCTACAGCGCAACTGGACTAACTGCTAGGGGCAGTGTTGGTGGTAAGTCCCCCTGTCATCCTTTACCATTATTCATCCAAATGGTACTAAAAGCTCATCCTTGTCTTGTTGCACAGACAGAGTATACCCCCACGAGTTCGAGAACAGAAAAAACGAAGTTACTCTTCCTGACTGCCCGGGTGTCCCGGGACCATACCAGGAATTCCCTATCCGGCAGGGTGGGCTTCTCTTCGCAGATGGTGTTGATCAGGGATCGGATCGTATCATCTACAAGATTACTGCTACGAATCCAGCAAATGGTCTTCCGGATAATTTCGTATACTGTGGCGTCATTACCCATCTGGGCGCACGGCGCAATAAGTTCGTTACGTGCCCTAATGTGTAGAACCTTTGTTCCCGCAATAAAGGCTTGGATTTTTTAGCTACAGCCTTATTGTAGCGAATTGACCGGCCTTGACAAGTTGGAGAGTGGATTGGAAGCTTGATCTTGGATAGAGACACTCGTTTAACTTAATCTTGTACGATCTCTCACTAGCTGTATATATCGCAACGCTCATTAGTTAGTTAGCAAAATTTCTATAACAGACATTGATCTCCCTGTCAAAGGAATGGTTCAAACCAGCAGCTTTTCAAATGTCAGTTCTTGTTGGGATCAACTCAAGTAAGGCTCTGAAACATTCAAAGGGCTTTGAAATGGGGGCATCCTTTATACAGCTAATCTAAGAAACCAAGGTTATCAAGGGACTTGGTTCAGCAAGATTAGGCACCTTCAGCTGGCTGATCACAATGAATGAGCAAAATTCAGTCATGTCGGATCTCTTATAAACTCAGTCCACATAACACTAACACCCTGCCCACTCAGTGCCTGCGCCTCCAGCCGATTTCTATCAACCGATGGGAGCAGTTAATGGCTGCTGCTCTTACACGAAGAAGGACGATTGTTCGGCCAGTGCAGTCAGATGATCTCGGAGAGCTCAGGTAGTTATCCTTGTTGTCTTGTATTATGTGTGTACTAATTAGATGATTGTTACGCTTGACGTCAAATAGTCTGGGTTATCTTATTCCTCTACTCCTCCACATCGCCATTCTCAATATCCCTCATCATTAGCTCAGCCTCCCTCGCTGCTATCCTCGCTCCCTCTCCAAGGTCATCATCTATCCGAGCCATTTCCCCAAACCTTTCCCGCCAAAACCTCCACCTCTCCTTGCAAAAACTGTGTTTTCCTTTCCACAGTGGACCCCCCTCGCCAGGGATGCCGGACAAAGGTCTATGCTCGTGCTCTTCGTCCCATTGATATATATCCACACCTAGGGTCTCAATCCAGGCGGCAGCAGCAGGAATGTATGCGTCCAGAGGGTCCGTCGCTGGTAATTGGTTTGGCGGAGTTTCGAGCGCAGTGCTTAAGGCTATAAGCGCGAACCAAGAGAATTCGAGTATTGGTTCCCCTGTCGCCATGAGGAGTGCAGTGAATTTGTTTAAATTGATAAAGTTCGAGATTGCCTTTTGGCGGCAGTCAGGAGGGCCAGAAGGTATCGATCGTACATCCCACTCTTCGCGGAGCTCCCAGTCAAACATTGGCAAGTCTCTCCAAACTTGCAATCCATACTTTTTAAGAGGTACCCCCTGGTCCGTTGTAGCATCTGGTAGCTTTGAGAGGCAGACAAGTACATCGACAAGCTTATCGTGACGTTCGGGAAATTCACACGCGCAGTTAATAATGAGGTTCCATGTAAGATTGAGATCATCATCGGACAATGAGATGGACGCTAATTTGGAGGTGGCTTGCTGCAGAGATATTTTGTTGTTGAAGAGGTCTTGGAGGACAGCGTACCGAGAGGCATAAATTTCATCCGTGATGTCAACCATTTTGAAAGAGATATTAATGTTATGTGTACTTTCTTGTCACTAACGCAAAGTAATTCTAGGTTTATATAACGGGAGTCATCAATAGAGGCTAACGTGGCTCTTTTGGGGAGGGGGGCTGAGCCTAGTAGTAAATGATGTCACGGCCAAATCCTTCGACGAAGGTCAGCAGGGGCAATATTAATATAGAATTTCAGGTGATGCTTCTTATTGATTGCTTAAAAAAAGCAAATAACGGAAATAATGGACTAATAAGTAACGAAACCCCGCTCAGACGCTTCGCAAGGCCGACTGCGGCGCTAAGCGTCCATCACGAACCGGTCACCGAAGGCTACTTAAGCCTAAGGCGCTATCCAATGTAGCTGGGAAACCAGCCCCGGAAAGCTCCAAGTATTAAAAAAGAAAAAGAAAAAGAAAAAAAATTTCAAGTCGGTAGATTTAGGCTTCTCTTGGCTCTTTATTAGCTATGTCACGCCAAGCTTCTGAGTGGTCCCGGCTTAACGGGATCCTTACCCCATACTTCAGTACGATTAACTAGTGTACGCAGGTCAACTCACCGACTTATTTTGTACGGTCAGAAGAAGGGCTGTAAACTCCACGTGCTCAATTATGATATTAGTGTCTGAAAATGATATTGTTGCAACGAATAATCAACAGTATATGATAGTTTATCGCTCCGAAAAGGTTGTTTTTACCCGTGAGCTATGTCAATACTGCTTTACTATGTCTGCAATTCTGTATCGAATCCACTGGATTTCCAGGACAAATTTCACGGTGGCATCTGCGACAGGGTCAGCTGGAATGTTCTATCATAAGTTCAGAGAGCCATTTTCCTGTGCGTCGCGAGTCAATTAGCCGCGGCTGTTGGTTCAGATAAATGCCTCATCTATTAGACTCCTTTTCCACGTTTTCAGCGGTAAGGAGAAGCCAACCAGATTAAATCGGCTGGGCCCTTAGGAGGGGCACAGCACGGGAGGGAGATGGGGGAAAAAAAAAGAAGGATAATGTTTCCATCAATAGCACTCTCCATCTCCTTATAGTCTATGTCTGTTCTTCTAAAGGCAACAATCTCTCACCATTATTAACTCTACAAAAACGATCTGTATATGCATATTGCACGCGAACAGATAATACACACATTTATGGAATCACCTCTGGAGTATATTCCGGACAGAACTGCGGATGGGCAACTACAGTCTGCTCAATCCTTTTGGAATCCAAGTGGAGGCTGCTCGGACAGACGATACGACAAGTTAGGTCCATAGATTCAATCAAGGTACCGCTACGTCTGCATCGCGAGCTCTATTATGTCCTGATTGACTGTTGACTTACCATATAAATCTTCAAGGATCTCCTCGAGGTCTCTATTCGATTACATACAGTCGATACGCATGTAAATCGCTGATAAAATGGAAGGCATTCTCCGGTATCTTCGCACGCCTGGTGCAAAAGGCGAAATCGAAGCAGCGGCACCCACTCAGAGAGTATCGCACGGTCTGGATGGTAAAACACAGGCAGATATCTCAGACTCAGTTGGTTATACTGTTCCTGTGAAAGCGAGGATGCTTGACCGGTGGCTGGACCGTGTCGTCCAGTTCTCAGGTTCCGAAGTTGTTTTCTTCGTTATCATTTCTGGGCTACTTGCGTGGGCTTTTCTGGGTATTCGATACGGTACCGCGGATAGTTGGCAGGTGGCGATCTCAGATGTTCAGGCCATTGTTGCTTATGTCTTCGATTCGTTCTTAGTGCGTCAGGAGTTGAACCTCTATGAAGAGGGAATGGCAGCTGCTGCCACGCTGCAATCAAGGTTGATGAGCCACGAGCGGATGCTGAGAAAACTACTCCGTGACTCCCAAACGGATATGTTCGAAAAGGGCGTGCCACTTGCCGAAGAGAACAAAACCCTTCTTGATAAGTATCGAGTCGACTTCCCATCGGAGACATGGTTTGGGCGCTTTACTACCTATGCATCCCATGTGTTCGGTCATCTCGCTACCGTCAGTCTCTACTGGGCTGGGGTGTTCATATGGATCGGGATTGGTCGTCTCTGCGGGTGGAGCAATAACTGGCAGCTCTATATGAACTCTGCTTCCTCTGCACTCATGGTCTTCATCTTCGCTTTCCTTGCGAATATCCGAGAGCGCCATTCAGCGTACATGAATAAATGCCTTGACGCAATATTCAAGACAGACTCGATGGTAGAGGCGCGCCTTCGACATCTCACTGGAGATGATGCTGAAAATGCCATTGTCGTTCTTCCAGCGCCAAAGGTCGGTATCATACAACGGGCTATATACTACTATGCGGACTTTGTTGGAACTCTAGTTGGTATCGGGATTCTCACGGTTGTCATCGTCGTCTGGGTTGCCGTTGGACCATTGTTGCACTTCAGCTCCAACTGGTGGCTCATCATAGGAACATATGCTGGCCTCGTCGGTATGAATGACGGTTTTGTCCTCCGTAATATGCAGAACAGGCTCGGCAAATATGTGGATGACGAATTTTCTCGGGTTGAAGTTGAAGACGAAAAGCTTTATGCTATTCTCAGTATACCGATGCCTGAAAAGGAAACGATCGGGAAACCGTCACCTACTCAGAAGGTCTCGGAACTCGTGAACAAGATCTCATCTCATGAGCTTACCGTTGTAGCTGGGGTTCTCACCATTTGTGGCCTGGTTGCTGGCGCCAGCGCAATGAGATGGAGTACAACCGGTCAGCTCCTATGCAATGTCCCGCCAAGCCTTATTGAGTCCTTCTTCATGATTGTTCTTATCACAGGCCATAATGCTGCTGACGACAAACGACGCATTGGTCTTAAGAATATATATGAGAGACGTCTGAGACTCTTGTCCTTCGCAGAGAGTATCAAACCGCATACTAATGAAACTCTCGTGGAGACTCCAACCAAGGATATCAATACTTGATTCCTCCAGACCACCAGTCTGGAGTAAAGGAGCCATGCCGCCAGACAAGGCCACAAGAACGGGCTCTGAAGACAAGATTATCTGAGCGTCCCTATCTTGACAACATGGTCGAGACTGGACGGATCACTGGCTACTCCGATATATGAAGAACAAGAAGGAAGCGGTTGCCAGATCATGTACAAAGTTGATGTGTATCGAAAAAAGAGGTGGATGTATGTACTCTCGCGATAGTTGTATCTTCGTTCCCGATGATAGAAACTGTTGTCTCATAGTTCCAACTAATGAGATTCTGACAACGTAGCTTCCTCTCGCTCTACTTGAAGTGAATACGGCCACAGCTAGACGTAAATGGGACGGGGTATGAGAAAACACTGGTGACCAGCCGAACAATCGTTAGAAAAATTCTGGACATCCGACTTGGCGGAGGGTTATGAGTGGTGGTCTACTTATGACCTGAACTAGCGGACTAGTTTCATTGCACTATGTAGATGGAAATCCGTGTCGAGGGGCGTCTCAGGAAGAAAACAAGAAGATCCTTGGCTGCTTGGAACTCGGTAGTATCCTGGCGGCTATAGAGGTTGGTGCATGCAGAAAGGTTTGAGAACGGGAGTGCAGTACTGAAAGATAGTTCAGATGTTTCAGGCTGTGTTTGATATATTAAACCAAAGAGACCGATTCCTGCACACTGTACTTGAGTAATAGTTATTTGCTGCTACGAAGCGCCACTGACTAGGTGACAGACCCAACCAGGGGAGACCTAGTAGTAGAATATGGCGTCTATTCCCGGCAGATCCGGAGACAGAGTTTTGAATTCTGACTGCCAGTTAGTTATTGCAGGGAACTTATCTGCACGACAACACTCGCTGACTATTGAAGAAAGCCTTTAGCGGTAGCATCGCGGTAAGCATCAAGAGATAGGAATGATGCATGCCATTCGCTGGGCTGTTGCGTATAAGACATTTCCATAGCCGCACGTGCTTAAAGGATTGTAATAGGGACCCAAGGACTGTTGCGTTGCTACTGGACGCTTATCTGTCCGCTCTCTAGCACTGGATCTTCTTTCCTCTGCATTAGGTGGTCTGCACTAAGCCCGGAAGTACAGAAGAATCACGTAAAGCCCCGGCCACCAATAGGTCATTTGATCCCTGTATATATTAATCAATTGAGAGAGAAAATGACGGAAATGAAAGAGCTGTCAAGTTATTACCGTATTCGAATGTCTGATATGTGGGAAACCCGATACTGAGGAATGACCACGATTTCCCCGATCTTCTGGGCCGATGCAGGTCCCTGTTGTCCCATGCAGAGCTTGATAGATCTGATTGGGTATTTCCACAACCTTGACGTGGTCATAGAAATGACTTGTTAATCGACAGAGGCTTATATCAATTAATGAACTGATGATAATGACAGTGATATGAACGAGTCGGAATTCTCCCGTTGTCTGACTGTTCGGAAAATCGTCCGATGTCGGTCACGTGGGCGGAAGGAGCGCTCGCATGTGAAACTGGCCAGAGCTGACAGAAAATGGGACAGAAAGATCGTGTGTGCACAAATGACACCGTATCTTTGTGCCACTAGATAGCCTTCCATGGCGATATATATCTGGGGCAATCGTTTCAAGTTCCTGTAATAGTCCCTCTTTTGCCACTTGCGTTGCAACGCGGTCTTTGTCGCCTAGCATATATTGGACGTTACATGACATCAGCTGTCCATATTTATCGCTGCTAGCCATGGAGAAGTTCTCCCAATTCCGCGATAGAGGTATGCAATCTCACATTCTATTTCAAAAGAAAAAAAGACATCTTCGGGGCTGAGTTGACCTGTCTTCGTAGGCTCCGGCATTGCGCCTTTCCTTCCCATCCCAACAGAGCCGGCGGGCCTCTACCTACCTTTCCATATATTCCTCTTCTGCTTTCGACTCCCGCTGCTGCTTGTCGTCTCGTTGACATATTTCTTGATTCTCCAATGGCTTCCCATTGGATCTCTCGGAAAGAAGGCTTCTCTGTGGTGTATTCTGGGTATCCCTAGCATCTGGTGGATTGACCTCCAGATTGATGGAGTGAAGAGAGGGTATGTCAGCTGTGGAGCATTTTGAAAGAAAAAGAACGTGGATTTGACAGTAGTGTCTCAGATCTCTCGCGAAGCAGCGCAAGGAACGCTTACCAGGGCCGGGCTCCATCATTGCATCCTCGTTCACATCGCCCATTGATGCTGTATACCTGGCTGCTATCTTTGACCCGATCTTTACGGCATGCTACCCTTCTACGCGCCAGGTCGAACGCATCTCTCTCTTCCAAGCCATTTTGCGGGCGTTATCGTATCCTAAGCTAGCCCCGCCCTCTGGCGCACGCATGGTTGACATTCGCACTCTCCTTGAGAAGAACCCGAATCGACCCATCGTTATGTTTCCAGAGTGCACAACAACTAATGGGCGCGGAATTCTGCCTCTGAGTCACGCTCTTCTGGAGGTACCTTCGAATACCAAAATATTTCCGCTCAGTCTGCGCTATACACCCGCGGATGTGACGACACCGGTCCCTGGAAGTTACCGGACCTTCTTCTGGAATCTATTGAGCAAACCGACCCATTGCATCCGTGTTAGGATTGCGGAATGTGTCACGGCAGGTGGTTCTATCAATAAGGTGGAATCGGAGACTTCGTCGCTCAAGGACACTCGCAAGAACACTTACGACAGCAATTACTTCGACACACTGCAAGAAAATGCTTCCGAAGGGGGATCGGATGCTTCTCTGACGCGGGAACAGAGAGCTCTCCTGGACTACGTGGGAGAGGCGCTTGCTCGACTTGGCCGAGTCAAGAGAGTTGGACTAGGTGTCCAGGAAAAGTTGGACTTTGTTAAGATGTGGACGAAGTCGAAGCGCAGGCGATGAAGGCTAGAAACGACCTTGTTTCACCATTTTCGTACGGACGGGGACTTGAGATTTTTCATATTGCAAGAAGCTTTTTAGACGGAGTTTATGAGTGTCTCAGAAAGGATGAAAAGAATAACGCGCTTTAGTGCGATGTATATCCATTCCACCCTAGATATCTGGCTAAGCGATTCTATAGATTTGAGTTCTTATTTGACCCTATCATCAACTGTACCTCTTACTGAAACATGCACCTTCTATCTGGAGGGATACATGCAATAATGCTCCGATTCTCTAGTGACATATGCGTAGGATATGGCAACAACCCTTATATGACTTTCAAGGCTGTCGTCGGGGCAAGATTCCCTTACAACATGAGGCTTAATGATTCAGCATTGCATAGAAGGTTGTGTTCGGTAAGAGCTATTAGGTATGTGATATGCTTTTTGGTGATTTTGAGTGGGTAAATAGAGACAAACTAAATCGAACTTCACATGATGGTCATCCAGCCCCTTCCTGGGGTTCATCATTCTTCTTTCTGGCCGTAGACAACATAGCTTCAAGATATCGTTAGCATCATGAACGACATGGAATCAGAAGACAACTTACAAGTTGAACAATGTATGAATGGCAGGATTCTTCGCATCGTTACGAGTCTTCGCGACAAGAACGTCCACTTCTTCCTTGCTCCATCCAGCATGTCTGGTGAGTACGGCCATAACACCCGCCTCGAAGCCACTCTCTGCCTCCACGAAGTTCCATGCACCCAGAGTCTTCAGATGTTTGTCCTTCGGCCAAGCTCCCATGGGGACCAGATATTTCTTGACTTGGATATTCTTAAATCCCGCATCGCGCATCCAGCCCTCCAACCGCGGACCGGTATTTATGACACGGCCTATTTTCGCAAACTCTGAATTCAGAATCTCGTAATATTGCTTGATCGATGTACCGTCCGTGCTTCCATCTTCAGAAAACAACCCTGTGTCCCACTCCTGGAACTCGACCCATCCTCCTGGAGCAGCATTGCTGAATAACTGAGTTAGCATTGACAGGGTTCCATGGTCACGGAGATGTGGAGAGATACTTGTAGCACTCCCGTAGAAGTTTAGCAAAATCCTTAGAAGAACCGGCTAAGTAGCGGCCGTGGATGAAGTCGAGATCTTTTTCTACCCATGTGTCGTCGAAATCGTCAATTATGAATCTGACATTCGGTGGAACACTAAGTAGACTGTGTGTTAGCGACGTTTCCATTATAAGAGGCTAAAATCACTCACAAACTTGGCTGAATGGGGCTCAGATCTATCCCGATGACCTAGGAGACTGGAATTTAGTGACTTTTGCGACGACATCGTAGTTCTTTCCAGGATTCTAACCTCCGAGGAAGGAAATTGGTCCGCTGATGTTTTTTTTGTCCATTGTCAGTATCTATCCAGAGCCATGTCATCCATCAACCTACCAAATTCCATCGCCCACATTCCCGTACCTGTACCTAGGTCCAATACACGATGAGGTGAGGAACCGATCGGTGACAGGAAGAGTTTCCGACCCATCATCGTCAGCATCAATTCATGCATCATATCCAGCCGCTCCTTTTCGTTCTCGTCATTGGGCATGTAGTAGGCTGTGCGCAAGGGAAAATTCAGGTTAGCCGATTTGAACTTGACGTATGAGAGAGTCAAATCACTTGCCGCCATCACGGTATCCATGATATGTTCTTCCATTCTCCTTTCGAGACTCAAGGACCGTCGAGGTAAGTGACGCGGTGTATTTGGAACTGTGGACATTTAGCTTGTTTATTCAGAAATCTCAAGTAGCTATCTCACATCTCATCTCCATAGGCCGAGTCACTGTCGAGCTATAAAAATGTAAGTGAGGCGATTGTGATAAGTGCCAGGTAATGAATGTGTACAAACCCCAGTATCCACCTCGACGGTAACGGGCGGGGCAGACATTATGAGCGTGCTGTGCAGCTGTCTGAAATGATCCTGGTATCTCCAGTTAATATGAGAAGTCACAGACTGGTACTATTACTACGAGGTTGTGAAATAGGCAGGAAATGTCCTCGAGGAGATATTTCAATAAAACGAAAGGGAACCATGCGGTTGTAATAACTGATATTTTACTCACAAACCACGCATGGATGTTCTTCGGTGCTTTGTCGGATAAGCCTGACAGAGCGGCACAGCAGCGGGTGAATCTAAGTGCTGCGCTATCGCAAGACTACAGGGATATACAGGTCTCGGTGTTGTCAGTGATTTCCTCTTTTGGGCCAGTGCCTACGGGCCCCTTGTCACTTGGAAATCGACGGCGTGCGGGAAGGGCCGCTCTTAACCCAACAGCTAGTTGTCTTCTGTTGAAGGCCCCCTCCGGCTGCCCCTTTCGGCGCCCTGCTCCCTAGTGATCACGTGACCTAGGCGAGCCTATATAGGCTTCGCCTAGCTCCTAGATCCAATTAAGCAAGCTTTCTCCCACTTCCTTTAGGTTATGTCGCCCTTATCTTTACCCCTTAAGTAACGAGCTGGTTATTTGTTGAATTAATATTTTATTTATCCTATTAAATTCCTTAGGTTCTATTTATTTATTATAAGTTTTTATAGCTTTAAAATATACCCTATTTTAGTATTTTATTAATCTGTGAAAATTTTTCTCTAATAAACCTTTAAAAAGCCTTAATTGTTAAAAGTGCTAGCTTAAGAGTAGGCATATTTAGTTATCTACTATAGTCTAATATAGTATAATAGTATTACTATTTTAGATATTATATTACCTTTAAAAAAGCTCTACTAGTTATTTAATTAAATCTAAATTATAATCTAATACCTATTATATATATATAAGTAATTATATTTAAAAGATTCTTAGCTATTTTAATATTGTAATAAGTAGCTAATTCTTTATTAAATAAACTAATCCTTTCTATAGAGCTAACAGACCCTATTCTTAATAAGTAATTATAAGAGGAGATTAAGATAGTATCTATATAGCTAGAGAAGATTTATATAGAGATCTCCTATAATACTCTAATAGAGTTAGTTTATAAAATTACTTCTCTACTATATATTCTCTTATAGGAAATATTCTACTAACCTATAGAATAGGAACTAAATAATATTTATCCTATTATATTAGAAATATATTAGGGTTTATTCCTATATTTAAATATTTAAGGCTATTAGTAATTAATGCTATAATTAGTATTAGCTATAAATCTTATTACTCTATTAAATCCCCCCCCGCTATAATAGTAGGAGAAATATTATAATATTAAAGTTAATCTACTATGTAAGTAAATTAATAATATATTTAAACAGCTAAAGATATCTTAACTATAATTAAATAGCAATAATTTTTAGAGTTAGAGCTAGTAGTTTAAGCTTACTGTTAGCAACCTAGATATTAAGGATTTTAATATCCTTAATTAAAGCACTTTACCTAAGGAAGATAATTAATAATAGAAGATTACTTAATTTATTATAAGGAATTAAATTATAATATTGCTAAACCTAGGAATTTTTAAAATTATTTAATTTTTAGACTAGCTTATTATTGCTAATATCTAGCTAAAGCTAAATAAATAATTTAGTATTACTAGATCTATATATTAGGTTAAGCTCTATTAAGAATTTATAGAGCTTATTAATCTCCCTATATTAATCTCACCTACCTCTGCCTATATAAAGGCAGAGTATATCTTTATTAAGCTTTAAGGTCTTAATATTATGCTAGAGGATCTCTTTTATAACTAGTTTCTAAATTTTATTATTAAATAAAAGCCTAGCTAAGTAAATAATTACTTTAAGCAGTTTTATACTACTAGTATTATTAAATATTTAGATATTAAAAATCTGAATATTAAAGAGGTATTAAAGGATCTTATCTAATATAAGAAAGCTATTATTAATATTAGATCTATATAGAGATTAACAGCTTAAAATATTTTAGTAATATTAAGGCCTATAATAAGGTCTATAGATTTAAGACCTAGAGCTTTATAGAAGCTATATAGTATTTGCAATAGATTAGGCTATGCTATAAAGAGATATTAGATAATATATCTTAAACTATATTTACTACAGAATTAGAATAATATAACTTCTAAACCTATAGTATTATTAAGTCCTAATCTCCTAGTTTAATCTATAGTTTACTAAATTAATAGTATCTCTGCTATACTAGAAGTAATACCTATATATTATATAAAGGGGAATTAAATACTAGATATTAGATTAGATATCTACCTAATTACTTAAAGGGAGATATTCTTAGTATTTAAACCTATAAGAATCCCTATAGCTTACTTTAAGAGTATTTATAAAGAATAATTATTGTTTTAAGGAACTAATACTATTTTAATATAATTTAATAATATTCTATTATTTATCTCTAATATCTACTATATTCTAGGAGTTAATAATAATATTCTATTATTTATTCTACTAAAGAGTTAGGGATTTAAGATCTCTATAGATAAAGATAATAAATATTTTATTATAAAGACCCTAGAAAATAGCTGCTTTTATAATATTATTATTCTTAAAAAGTAAAGATATCTTATATATCTTATAGTATCTTCTCTTAATAAATAGGTCTATACTACTTTATCTGTTACTGCTATAAGTACTCCTAAATAAGATATTACTGCTTAGTTAGTTAATCTTAAACTGCTTAAAGCCCTATCTCCCTATTATATTACTAGATCCTTAGTAGAGTAGCATTAAATTCTTAGTTATACTAATTAAGATAACCTGCTTTATCTAATATATAACCCCCTTTTTAGTATTGCTGTTATAGAAGCTAAAGATCTCCTATTTTATACTATCTACTAATAGGCTAAAATTACTAGATAGGTCTTATAAAAGCCTATGCCTAGAGCTATAGTACCCGCTAGATATTTCTATATTAATATTATTAATAGCAGATATATGCTAGATTATAAAATGGATAAAGACCTCTCTAACTATATTAAGGTAAAATATATGCTATTAATTATAGACGATGCTATCTACTATAGGTAGGTATATCCTATAGTAAATAGAGCCTATATTCTATCCTTTATTAATAATTTAATATATTAATTAAATATAGAGAGTTTTATAGTTGCATATATTTAATTAGATAATAAGCTCTATATAAAAGCTTTAAATGCTTTCTTTAAGACACTAGGCATTGCCTATAAACCTATAGCTGCTTATATACCTTAGCAAGATAGTATAAGCAAATACTCTATAAAGACTATTATAGAGCAAGCCCGAGCTATAATAATTAATTCTAGCTTAAAGCATTCTCTTTAGCTATATATTATTTAGTATAATATATATATTATAAACTAAATCCCTATTTTAGTTCTATTATTTTATAATTATACCCTGGGAGCTATATCTTATAGCAGTAATATTAAGCCTATTAAATAGCGCGTTTTAGCTTAAGCTTAGAGAAATACCTCTATTGTGGCTTTATATCTATATTAATTTAAAGCTCTAGTATATTATTTATTAATTAGCCCTAAAGCTTTATTAAGCAAGCTCCTTCTAAAGAGTAAACTAGCCCTTTTTTTTAGTATATCTAATAAAAATAATATATTACTATTAAATACTACTACTAAAATAATAGTATAAATTCTATATTTTTATATAGATAATATTGCTGCGCTAGTAAAGCTTAGTCTTAAGCTTTATAAGCTAGTGCTTACTATCTTAGCTATTATATTAAATCTGACTAATTATAAGAATTCTGCAGTATATAATAAAGAAATTAATTTTATTAAAGATCTTAATATTATCTAGTGCTAACCTATTAATTTAATAAGAATTTATATAGTCTTATTTTAAGAGGAATTAAATACTCTTAAATTATATAAAGCTATTATAATATATATTAAAGCTCTCTAATAGCAGAAGGTTATAAAAAAAGAAATTAATCTGCTAGTAAAGTAAAAATACTAGCATTTAATCTATTAAGATAAGCTTCTCTCTAGGACTTATCTTATACCTAACAGATAGATATATAAAAAAAAAGAGAGTCCTAATAGTTTAATTATTTATAAAGCTTACTAAGTTATTTATAATAATATACTAGATAAGACTATATTTAATATAATAACCTATACTCTAATAGTTTCTGCTATAATTATTAATATATTAATAGCCTCTACTGCTTATTATAATTAGGCTATTTTTTAAGCTAATACTATATAAGCCTTCTTAAATAGGAAATTAAAATATAATATTTATATGCTTTAGCTTATTAGCTTCTATAAAAATAAAGATAATATCTTAGTTTATAAACTAGACTAAGCTCTTTATAGATTAATTCTTTCTACAAAGATATAGTATAATACTTTAATAAAGTATTTACTTAATGCTAGATTTAAGCTATCTCTATATAACTCTTACCTTTAGATCTTTATTATTATAGAAAATATCTATATTATTACTTATATTAATAATTTTTCTATATATGTCTCTAAGCAATTTACTGCTTAAGCAGTCTATAATAGTATCTCTAAGTAATTTAAAATAAAGAATTTAGGACCTATTAAATATTATTTAGAGATAGAAGTCTCCTATAGTAAAAAGGGTATATAACTTATTTAGATAAGGTATATATATAAATTTATTTAATCTTTTAGATAAAAAGATTTTAGCTATATAGAATTTTCTATAGATTTTAAGCTTTAAATTAATAATAAGCCTAGTTCTACAGTTAATATTAAGGAATATTAATAGAATATTAGCTATTGCTAATAGCTAGCTATTAAGACTTGCCTTAATTTATCTAAAATTATAAGTTTACTAGCTAAGAGAAACTCTTATTTAACTTTAAAGAGCTATATAGCTTTAAAATATATTATATACTATTTAGCTAAATACCCTAACTATAATATTATATATTATAAAGGTAATAGAGATATTAAACTCCTATAAGCTTATTATAATTCTAACTATATTAGAGATTATAATAAATATTACTTTACCTTTAAATATATTTTTATACTTATTAACAAACCTATTTTATAAAAAACCTATAAGCAAACCTATATCTTAATCAGCTCTAATAAGGCAAAATATATAGCTGCTTTTAAAGCTACTAGAGAAGCCTAATAGATATATTATTTAATAATTAATATAGATATTATAAAAGATACTAGCCTAATTATCCTAAATATTAATAATAATAGAGCTTAAGATTTAATCTATATTTCTACTAGTATTAAATATTCTAAATATATTAATATATAGTTCTACTATATCTATAATATACTTACTTAAGGTATAATTAATTTAAAATATATTAATTCAGCAGATAATATTGCTAATAATTTTATTAAAGGGCTAATAGTCCTAAAATTTTAGATATAGCTTAGGCAGCTTAGCTTAATTATAATTGCTTAACTATATAACTAGACTGCTTATTTCTTTATTTTTATATACTGTCTGCTTTCTAATTAGTCCTATTTATTTATATTTAGTCGATTAGATAGTTGCTATATATTCCCTAATACTTAATATAAGGGTAGGTGTTGAAGGCCCCCTCTGGCTGCCCCTTTTGGCGCCCTGCTCCCTAGTGATTATGTGACCTAGGCGAGCCTATATAGGCTTTGCCTAGCTCCTAGATCCAATCAAGCAAGCTTTCTCCCGCTTCCTTCATCTTCAGAACGGTAGGACAGTCTAAATGAATGCCCACCAATTGGAACTGTTAATGCTTGCTGAAGGAAATGGACGTCGATCTATCGAAATAATTACAGCGCGCAGTGGGACCACGGATGATAGTCCCCTGTCGAGCTGCAGACACCTCTAGCTGCATACCTATTCTTCGGCGGAGTTGTTCCCTGTACCTTTTTTCTGTCCTAGTCTTGTCTACCTGCAAGTGATGGAAACCCTCCTCTGAGGCTCTGACGGGGAGTGCCAGCTAAATATTGAGCTCGTCCTATTCTCGGATAGGGATGGATTTCGAGTTGAATGTGTCATATGATTCACTATCCTCTAGTTAATAATATTGACAATGTCAAACAGCATCCAGCCTGACAGTCACAGCACTTGTCGCTAACGCGTCGATTCTTTGGGCATACAAATCCATCGTATGCATGAGTGGATCTCCAAAAACAACGCCTCGCAGCTCAGAGTCTGTAGTGGTGCATGCTTCGACTTCTTCAGCCGCCTCTGACGCCGCAGGGAGCACAGATCTCACATTACTACTGTCCCTTGATCGCTTCCGCAGTACAACAAGTCGCCCGGGTAGAGACAGAGTCGACTCTGGTACCGTCCAGTATAGCTTCGCTATCTTTCGTCTCGCCCCCAGCCTGCGGTGCCTGACTGTGCTGGTAATATGGGCTAGAACGGAATCCGGTGCTGGAGAGACATATAGATCTAACAAGGAACGGACGTATGCCTTATCAGCTCGCGAGACGGGATCACCCTCATTTATGAACGAGAAAAATAGCGATTTACGGTATTGCCGCGATGCTGGTTTCTCCAGCGGCAGAAGTGAGACAGGAGGCGGCCCGAAAGTGATGCAGTGTACACGCTTAAAGAAATCTCGCATGTCTGTCAATTCGGATTGGACAGTTTCGGAAAGCATGTGGCAGTATAGCAGACTGGCCACAGCTCCGCCAGCGGAGTGGCCAGTGATCAAGAGAGAGGAAGAGGCGCGGCTAGGATCTTCCTGTAGAAGCCACTTCAACCGATCTGCCACAGGACGGACCATCTTCCGTGCGACTGCCAGAAACCCGGAATGACAGAGATTCCCCGGATCATCCAGAAACCCATCTGGCGATGTGGGAGCCGTTCTGAAATTGACGGTCCAATCGCGAAAGCTCTGAGTGCCCCGAATCGCGAAGACAATGGTACTCATATCGTCTATAGGGACTGACTTGATCACCATGGCTTTAGTGCCGCTGCGCCAATTAGCTTCGATATGAGTATGCTTTTCCGCACCAGATGGCTTGTCGTATACACGACGTGAATACTGTGCTGCAAGGCATAGCATGGGATATGTAGGAACGTATCTACGGATAATCGAGTTAGGAAGATCTGGTCCATAGTGTCCGGAAAACATACAATTTCAACGGCGCCATATGAGGCGGCAGTCGTGCATTCGCGTAATGATATACTTTCGAGAAGTAGTTTGCTGAAGTTGTCGACTTGGAGTTCGCCTGGTCGTTCGTCGATCTTCCCACTTCGCGGCCATCTCCGCCTCTAATGGAAGGTTGAACGTGTTGCACTTCTACCCTGGAGTCAGCGGCCACGGCCTAGCTAGATGATAATAACACATAGATTCAAGAACTTACCAAGGTCCTCCTCTCTTCCACTAAACCTAGACTCATCAATCGCAGTCAGGATGTCATCAAATTTCTTCTCAATTGCGCCGCGCAGGTGCTCTACACCTCTTCCAACGCTAGTGCGTATTTCCTGGACTTCCTCAACGGCATGGTGAGTGACATTTACCGTCCCCTGGACAGCTTCGCGCAAATTATTGCAGGATTTCCGAACAAGGTGCTGGGCATGCTGCTTTTGCTCATGGAGATTAATCTTCGACGTGAGGGCCGATCTATGATGAGCGGTAGTCGCAGGATCCGCGGGTATGTACAACTGCGGCGGTTGTATGTCCGGAACTATCGTGAGATTCGTCGATGACTGAGCATAGTAGAAGCCCTGCGACGGGTACTGGGATATGGCAGGCGATATCTCCGGCTGCGGTGCCGGTATCATCGATTGCCCTTTCTCGCGCCGCTTGAGCAGTGGCATGGCTCACTTCCAAGTGTCTCAGATCCACGCTGTGCTAAACTCGACAAATTAACATGCATGGGCAAAAAGGACTCAAACTGCCCTAGGACAAAATGAAGATACATTCTAAGGTTGCTGAAACCAGCCCCCACAAGAGCAGGGCGACACGATATCTATATATGGCACAGGCATAGTTAGGTGAACTAGATCGGCGCCTCGGGGCGTTTCTGCTGCTCCGCCTCATTTCGTTCGTTGATCGCTGACGCCAGCGCGCCAATCATACTGGCTTATCGCTACCAAAGGCTGTGCTCTACGAATAGCAGGTTGGAGAACTGAAGCATTGTAGATGGCTGATAAAGATGCGATGTAGAGTACATGAATATAAACCTAAATTTTCGATTGAAATCGAGCCGCCTTTCCTTTTTTGATGATCCTGCCTTTTTTCTCTTTTTCTTTCCCAGCCTTCGCCGGTCCCACAAAGACATTGACTAGTTAACTATGGTACGGTGTACAGGTATTATATAATGGTTGAGACAAGTTTCACTCCAAAGCATCAGTGATGCATCCGTGGCTGGCATCCTTGACGTTCCTGTGGGGAGAACAATGTTAGCGAAGGACAATGTCTGCAATGATGGCACACTTTAGGGAAGTTCAGGAGAGTCACATACCGAGCATACTTGCCCAAAGTTCCTCTGAGGGTCAGTCCAGTGGGCGGTAGCTTGCCAGCCGCCTTTGCGGCTTCCCATTCCTTCTTTCGCTCGGCGAGGACTTCATCACTGAGGTCGACGTCGAGCACTCTCTTCTCGGCATCAATGGTGATGACATCGCCGTCCTTGAGGAGACCAATGGGGCCACCGACGGCGGCCTCGGGAACGATGTGTCCGATCAAGAAACCGTGAGAACCGCCGGAGAATCGACCGTCAGTAATCAGGGCACACGAGGATCCGAGACCGGCACCCATAAGGGCGGATGATGGCTTAAGCATTTCTAGAGTACGTTAGCAGATATCCATAGCGGTATATGGCGGAAACCACCACCAGAAATGAAACCTACCGGGCATTCCAGGACCACCCTTAGGTCCAGTGTAACGGATAACGACAACAGTCTTCTCCTCCTTCTTGATTTCATTACGCTCAAGAGCAGCAACAAAGTCATCTTCGGCGTCAAACACACGCGCCTTTCCGACGAACTTGGTACCTTCCTTTCCAGTGATCTTGCCAACACTGCCACCGGGAGCCAAGTTTCCGCGGAGAATCTGAATATGGCCCGTCTTCTTGATCGGGTTGGAGAGTGGGCGGATAATCTTCTGGTCCGCAGGGAAATCGGGGGCCTTTTCCAAGTTCTTGGCCAATGTCTCACCGGTAACAGTAATACCAGAGCCATCGATGAGGCCCTCCTTAAGAAGGTACTTGAGCAGAGCCGGAGTACCACCGATATTGTACAGGTCGTTCATGACATACTTGCCAGAGGGCTTCAGATCAGCCAAGAAGGGGATGCGATCCGAAACAGACTGGAAGTCATCGATAGTCAACTTAATACCAACAGAGTCGGCAATAGCAATCAGGTGAAGAACCGCGTTAGTCGAACCTCCAGTGATATTAACAACTACCATGGCGTTCTCAAAGGCCTGGCGCGTCAGAATATCCTTAGGGCGGATATCCTCAATCAGGAGCTTCTTGATCGCTTCACCAGCAGCGAGACACTCCAGATCCTTAGCCTTGGACTCAGCCGGGTTGGAGGACGAGCCGGGAAGGGTCATTCCCATAGTCTCAATGGCCGAGGCCATAGTGTTAGCCGTGTACATACCGCCACAAGCACCACCACCAGGGCAAGCGTGGCGGATGACATCGAATCGCTGTTCCTCGGTAATCTCTCCGGTCAGGAACTGTCCGTAAGCCTGGAAGGCGGAGACGATATCAATGTCGGCGTTGTTCTGGGTAGCGGCACAACCCGGACGGATCGAGCCACCGTACACCATCAAACTGGGTCGATTAACACGGCCCATAGCCATGAGGACACCGGGCATGTTCTTGTCGCAACCGGGGATACTGATGTTGGCATCGTACCACTGTCCTCCCATAACGGTTTCGATCGAGTCGGCAATGAGGTCACGACTCTGCAGGGAAAAACGCATTCCTGAAGTTCCCATACTGATCGCATCACTCACACCCACGGTGTTGAATTGCATTCCAATAAGTCCAGCGCGCTGAACACCCTCCTTGACCCGGTTGTTGAGATCCAGCAAGTGCATGTTGCAAGGATTACCGCTGTACCAGACGGATGAGATTCCGACCTGGGCCTTGTTCATGTCCTCCTCGTTCAGACCGGTCGCGTAGAGCATAGCCTGAGAGGCACCTTGTGAAATAGGCTGGGTAACATGGCGAGAGACCTTGTTGAGGGCCTTGTCGTCATCTTTAACGGAGGCCTTTCGGAGGGGAAGAGTGGTGGAAAGCGAGCGGCTGCGTTGACAGTCAGTGAGCGTTCAATTGGAACATTGCATATTGGACGCAGTATTACCTAGGAACAAAGGCGCTTCTCGCGACCTTGGGCAAATGCCCACGAGCCTGTGCAAGAAACATGGTGCACTCCCGGGTGAGGGCGTAGTCCCGAGATCAGCCAGGCGTTGACCACCGACGTGACAAAAGAACCGAAGAAAGGGACCGGCTCAAAGCTTCCAGATCTCGCGCAGCTGCAGACGAGAGATGAAAACCGGAATCCAACAAGAGAGGAAACAAAGAATAATTGGCGATCTTTTCGGACTTTGACTGACTCTGACTTTCTTGTCTCCGCAGCGAAGTCGGCCTCTCTAGCTGCGATCCGCCGCCGGCCATCGGACCAATCCGCGCACAGCGATAGTCAGCCGTTCGGCCAGCAGGCCGACTTAGTTAAGTTGGTTGGTAAATTATTTATTTACTTTACAACCAGATGATATTGTTGCGTTTATGTAGTATATGGTCGGATCTATATGGGTAAATCCATGCATCTTTCTTTAAGATATATCATTCAACAAGTATAGTGCTTGTTGAGATACAGTTCGTATAATATAAATAATATAGTATATCAAACCACGGGATACACATCCATGAAAACCCTCGGGCAATCAGTAGCCTTAGAACAGGGCCTCTCAAATATAACAGATTGTCTCTCTCTCTTGGAGGACGTCTCTGGAAGTGAAGACGAGCAGTAAGAATCCAAAAACTCCACGTTTACTCTCGTAGAGTCAACGAGGACGAAGTCACAGGTGTCCAGGCTCATAACAGCCTCTTCTAACCAAAGTGAAACAGCAGAAACACGTGCAGCATCGTAAACGCGGAACTCGTACCATGCGTAGATCGTAAGGATATCATCCACATATGAAAAAAGCATGAGAAGACGTAGCACAGCCCAAACTCCAGTATTACCGGGGGACAACCCGGGTCTTTCCGGAGACCAGCTCTACGGGACCTCCTTGTCACCTCTCTTGAGCCCTCCCGGAACATCAATTGCATCCTGGACCCATTCCATTTTCGCGATGTCATCTAGGCCCTTTCGTCTCGTGTTGCGTTTCAATAGAGCCTCCACGCATTCTCGAGCACCTTCCAGGTCCTTGCCCTTGTTGGGATCCCACTCACCATCAGCGTCCGCGTACCGGTACCAAGCCCATTCACAACGAGCAATTCGGTGAGGAGTACGGGCCCGGAGTTTGGCGGGATCACCGCGGGTCCCGGGCAAGGCATCGAAAGGCAGTCGACTCTCCATTAGTGCGTAGAGCAGGACGCCCAGCGCCCATGCATCTGTCGAACGTCCATCGTACGGTTGCCCCATCAAGATCTCCGGAGCCGCGTAGTCCTCACTGCCGCAGCGCGTATGCAGAAGCGGGCTCTCAGGAGGCTCGGGAATGCGTCTAGACAGACCAAGATCACTCAGGGTAACCACGGCACGGTTATATGTGCGCCAGTCTGAGATCTCTTGCATAGCCGCTGCAGGCAGGTTGACAAGAACATCTGTAAGAAATTAGTGCCAGTAGCCGGAGACGAGAGTGCGGATACATACTCTCCAGTTTGATGTCCCTGTGGACAATGTAATTGCTGTGCAGATAACGCACCGCTCCTATCAGTTCAGCGAACACTCTTCTGATAAGTGCAGGGCCTAACTGTTTTGGACCGGATGTCGCGAACTCAAACAGATCTCCCCCAGGACAGTAGTCAAGCACTAGTAAAGCGCGCTTCTGGTCGTAGCCAAGGGCTTTGAGTTGAACCAACGAAGGGTGATTGACCGACTTTAAAATGTCGACTTCACGCTTCAGCGACACCTCTACCCGTTCCTCGTCGGCCCCGCCAGCAGGACCATATTCGATCACTTTCACTGCAACCAACTTCTGGGTGGGCCGTCCAGCATCGTCTGGGACCATCATCTCATCCGATTCCACACGGGCTGCGAGACTGACCTGGCTGAACGTTCCCTGTCCCAAGACCCGTAGCTTTCGATACTTGCGACGCTGTTGACTTCTGACCGATCGGACTGAATATATCTCGCCCGACTGTTCCGTAGCTGAGGCTTGACCAGCAGGCTCATTATCACTGTCGAAGCCATCGCGTGTGCTTCTCGGGGGAGTCGGCGGTCGTGCGGACGGGATAGCAATTCCACGCTGGGCACCTAGGTATTGTTCGCGGTGGAGGTTGTTCTGCTGCGTGGGAAGATGGATCCTGGAGACAGATGATCCTGGTCCGGTACCTGACACCGCAATCGGACGAGGCTGGACATGAGGAACTCTGCCCGGAGGCACATACTCACTCAGACTGCGATTCCGCGTGTGCTTTGTTGGAGACTCAGCCTCAGTTCGCGGCGGTATCGAAGGTTCCTCCTCAGTGAGACTCGGGTACAGCTTAGCTCGCGATGACCTGGAGGACGACGGTCTCAGCAACTGCGTCGAGTCGCTCATTCGCAGACTCAGGCTGGATCCTGGCCTCGACGCGCCTGAGGACGTCCGCGAGAGGGAATGAGACGCTCCTCTGGTCTTCCAGGGTGAATTCAAATAGCCTACCGGTGATGGCAACGGCGTAATATCGCCTATAGCTGCCAACAGCGGCGACGAGAGCACAGAGGCTGGAGACAGGGAGTCTGCACTAGAGATAGCCCCGCCGCGCACCGCTCGCATACTAGGCGTCCGATGCAGTAAACTCGTAGCCGACAGGCAGGAATCTAGAGATGTGTCGACTTCTCTCACCGGGGTTATTGGGCGTACACCTTGGAAATCCGTACGGATATGCAGCGAAGGCAGCAGCTGCCCCGTCGCCCAGTCTCGTCCATTGTCTTGTACCCGGTGCATTCCCGCCAGATGGACGGCATTGTTCGATGCAAGAAGATCGTCGGGGCGTGATCCTGCCAAAGAAATCACGGCAGACGCTCGCGATTCATTGTCCGCAGGCGAAGTCGAGTCTGCATCCGGGGGCGGCTGTTCAACGTCGGACACTGACCTATCGGTCGATCGGGACGTGTTTGGTTCAACCATTGAAAGACGGCCCTTCCACCGGACAGAAGCGACAGCCAACAGAGCTGTTCGATGAAGCAGATAACTCCCAGCAGCCGGGGAAGTCCCACGGGGAGATATTGAGATCAGTTAGCCGAGATAGATCTTATCTCCTGCCGTTCTCCACGTCACTGGCCGGTTCGAGGAGTGTCTTAGATTTGGATCTGGAGGTTGGTAGTCATTGCATCCGGACAGATATCACAGCAAAGAGATAATCTCGCAGGTGGAAAAAAAAAAACCACCAGCGGAGACGGAGCACAGTAGCGTAGCTACTTCCAAGTTCGAGGCCTGGATGATGCCGGTGCCAAGTTTAAGTAGAGACGTTCCACGGTGGGAGATGGCGAGGCCCGCGAGTGCTGGCGATCCCCTGCCTGAGGCCGTCCAGGGCTGCCATCCTCGCGCTAAACTGGATCCAGACATTCCGCGGTGCGGCTTTCCCAATTCGACCTGTTGTTCAACCCGATTCGACCACTCAGAGATGACTGCACGTGATAGACGATCAGCTGACGATCACAATCTGTATGCACTATCCCCTTTTGAGCGACACGACAAAGAGCCCGCCAAGACGCCCGCGATAGCTAAGATAGCCGATGTGGAAGAAATAATGACCACGGTAATCCTTCAGGGACAAGCCTCAAGGATGCCAATCAAAGGTTGTAGAGCCCTGCCTGGCTCTCTTGATTTCTCTAGACTCCGCATGAGATGGTGGAGCTAGTGACGTGAGTTGCTATTCTTATCGCTTGACTTCATACGAGTAGTCTTATGGTAGATAGTCTACTGCACGCCAAGTCGGTTCCCCCCGGGTTAAGTACGAGCCATGTTGATCAGCAGGAGTATCTTTCATCAACCCCTAGGGGAAATGCCATGAACCCGGGTAATTATTGACTACCTGGATCTTCAGATGCATTGCTGTCTGCTGTCTCTGCATGCTGGAAATTCCGGACCCGGGGATAGAAAAACTGAGCAGCTGCGAACTGAAAGAAATGAATATTAGCTACAGTCCATCGCAGAGTAGCTGAAACTGACCAGTGAGCTGATCCTCCTGTACCACGTGTGTAAGGCGCATCTCTATCCAATCGATTCGAAATGCTTCATTGTCGAAGGACTCTGACCGCGTCTCTGGACGCCTGGATAAAAAGAATCTTGGACTTGCAGTAAGCTTCGTTGATTTCTAGAATACAAATCTGCTGCGTGTAAGAGAAGTTGTGAATAATAATAATTATCATGAACCGAGACGGGATGGAGTCCGACATAGGCTTTCAGACTAGACCAGAATGGGCCGTTGAACCGGCAAGCTAACAGGTATCTCGAAGAAATCAACTGATGACAGCATCGAAAGAGACATAAATATGAACAAGCTCAGAGAGAGTCCAATGCACCCTTTACAGAAATTAAGGAAATTTGCTGTCTGACTGAGATTCACTTTCTGGTGAGACAGTTCCGTTCAACGTCCTGGTCTTCCCAATAGGACGATAACCGCCGACTTCCCAATCGTCCAGTTCCCAGTCAATTGGATCAAGATGAAAAGTACCACTCTCCCAATTGCGCCAGAGGTCATCCAGGTCTTGTTTATCGACATCTTTCCACTGCGGTGGTGGACTAGGGGCCTGTTCTGCGGGCCTCTCGAGCGTGCTTTCCTGGAGATATAATTAGTTCCGCAGCCAGCAACGTCCTCAGGACTCGTCGATCCAAGACATACATGGCAAATCAGTGCTATCTTGGATGCATCTCGCACTACTACCTTCATCAGCTTGGTAAAATCCTCCTGATCACATAGCGCAATCCAGTGTCCGTCGGCCTCAATCGGGAGGCCAGTCTCTTCTGTGCCTACTATCTTGTATCCCCACACCTTAGCACGAACATATTTTCCTCGAAGAACCTGCTTATGAGATTTCGTTTCCTTGATAGCTCGGGCTTTAGTATGCTCGTCTGGATCATAAGTACGTTCTGGTGTCTGGACCCGCTGGACCTCAAGAATGCTCTTGACATAGGCATGTCTTTGCAGGATATCCTCGAATTCATCAAATAGACAGTTCCGGGGTATGTATAGGTCCATCCTCCACAATCCGCCTTGATCAAACATTCCGTAGATATCGCAGACGACTTGAATCCTCACTCGAGCTGGCGGTGGCGGTACAGGTCTCTGAATCTGTTCCAATCGTCCCAGTTTGACGAACACACTGCTCGCAGCGTCCTGCCTGCCCAGCTTTCGCACTTCTTCCATAGGGACTCCGGCTGTCACCAAGCGCCTCTCGACCTCCCTCACTGCAGCCGGAATTAGACCCCTATGCTGCTGGATCTTCCGCCGGATTTCTTTTTCCTGCTCTGCTTGGCGTTCAGCGCGGTCCAGCGCAGCACATAGACTTGCGTCTGCGTTTCCTGGCGGAGGTCCCTGGACAGCCTTCTTCTGAGACTCTGGTAGCAGTTGCCCCTGGGTGGGGGGACTGGGGCAACCGAATATCTCCTCCGACGAGAATTGGGTAGACCAACCCACTAAGCCGCGATTGAAACCATCTAGTCGAAGCCAGTTGATCATGTCGTCCACCGTAACTGGACGGGTAGTAAGTGTATGAGACGGCATAATCATATGCTCGCGCCCCCCTCTTGGGTTGTCGTCTTTCATTTTTGGCATCCTTGTTTCCGCCAGTGTCATGAGTCTGTAGCCAGATAAACTATGTCGTAAGAAAGATGTTTGATAGTGATAATATGACGCGTGTGCCTTATGACATTGCTGTTATTTTAGACTGGCCATGGCAGCTGGCACTGAGACTGTGTGTAGGCAATAAATATGAGGGATAGCAGATGAAGGGGACGTCTCGATGTAAGACTTTATCAGAGAGCAGCAAGCTTACTTGGATCATAATGTGGACGTGTTGGGAGTACCCAAGTTGAGTAAACAGAGCAGACACAAACGCTGGCGAGGCCGCCTGGACCTCATTGGCATGTCAAGCAAATTGACCGGGGGTTTCCGCCCGGAAAGAGTAACACGTTACAATCCACTAGAGTGGAAACTGCCTCCAGCTTGCCAGCAGGGCGCTACAATCGTCGAGCCAAGCACGAGATCAAATTCCATACGGCTTTGGGCTTGCTGGTGGACGACTCTGCAGCTCATATGAACGCTGGATGCTTCGCTTGCGCAAAAAGGGAACATGAGGCCGTTCTGGCATGATGGTGCACCCTGCTAAGATACTTGAAGGAAACTGTTGAATCGTTCAGCTTGTTTGAATATCTTCTCCATTGGAGCACTTCGTAAAAGATCGCCTGTCGTGACAAACTAGTAAGAAAACAGTCATCGCCAAGCATCTGCAAACGATAAAAAAGGATCCAAAGGAGATCTCTATATGTACAGGAAACTAAAACAGCCCATGACCATGCCCGGTCCCAAACCCAGAGACAATGCAATAAAGGATGCTTCGAGCGCCGGAGTGAGGAGATTTGTCGGAATAAATAGCAAGCTTCTAATACAGCGTGAAGGAGTATAGTGACAGCTGCGACATCCGCCGCTCGGGCCGCTCTATGTGGAGGAGGGTATTGCCCCGAGGCGTCGGCCGCAAAATTAATCAGGTCTACCTATCTCGACCAGTCACGTAGGTACGATAATCGCGTCGCGGTGCCTTTAGAAGATAGCTCTTCTCATAACCTAGAAAGACATCAGACGATATTCTGCGCGAGTTAACATATCAAGTGTGCGCGTGTTCTTACCGCCCAAGCGCCAGCAATGCTAGCAACAATTCCTCCGGAAATCAGCATGGGCTTCACGCCCCTCGTGCTCTTGAAGACCATTCCACTGAGGGCTCCCGCGACAATGCTATTGGCCGAATCGTGCTTTCCACGCACATACCCAAGCGATGAGTTGATTCCGTTATAAACCATGGCGACCACACCGGCAGAGTTGCCGAGAAAGGGTCCTCTTCGGGTGATTGAGTTCAAAACACTGTTCAGCCGTAGCTTCGGAGGCGCCGTAGATGGAGTCTTCTGCAACCCTTCAGCAAGCCCCCAAGCTCCTCCAAGAGTCAAAGCCGCAAGATATGTTGTGCCAGTTCCATAACAGAGATCGTCCGTCCATCCTCTTGAAGGCAGAGCGGATCGAGATCCGGGCAGCTCGTCCAGAGCGGAGTCTTCAAGGGTAAGGTAGTCGAGCGTGTCCTGATTCAGACCAGCGAGGGGGTGCAGCTCAGAGGGGTCTGGAAGCGCAGAGCCTGATAGAAACGAAGAGACATCCTGCGCGGTCGACGGGTCAAAGGGCTCGGGGTTGTTGGTATTGGACTTGCGGCCCGTAACTGTGTCCCAGATAGCCATCTCGGAAGAAAATGAAATAAATTAGAATTCTAATACAGAATAAATTGAAAAGAAAAAACTAGAGCCAGCGGGGCAGCTGCACTGCTAGGAAACGTGGCCTGGATAACGGCGTGGAGGAAGAGATCCGGCTATGATCTGGAGTCTCCGGGTCGAAAACTTCTTTCCCGTGACGGCAAACATGAGCAGCCCGGGCGGAGGGCGGAAGAGGTGTTTGTCCGGGGCTAGCCGTTTCTGGTGGGTTCGTGGAAAATCCACATGCGGCAAGAGAACTTTTTGGACAGCGAGGGGCAACGCCATAGTTGAGATACCAGCGGTTTCTCAGATCCAGATTTCTTCTCTGGGAAGAATATGATGCTGTATTGGTCTTATATAATTGGGCCGGACAGAACTTGCAAACATGGCTGAGACCGGTTGGGCGGAAATGGAGTCCATTTCCCAAAATATACAAATTCTCCCCGCAGATACCTTGACACGCATTTGCAGAGGGCCGTTGGTCAAATTCACCCTCGAATGTCAAGATAACCAGTAAGCCGTGGCTGCAATTTCATGTTGAAAGGAAAACATCTAATTATCTCGAAAAAGGAAAGTGAAGACCCTATGGCAATCCCTCTTCCAAACGTTTGCAGATGCGTCCACATCAGCGTCTCACACGACGACCACCTGCAATGCAGTCAGTGGCTTCCTGGATGCGGCCTTACTGTCCAAGAATCATGAAACGCAAGAGATTGCTTTGTCCAAAGAAACATGGCTTTCTGTGTTTGAAGTATACGTTGACCGTTTCGAGGACGCGAAGCCAAAGCCAATGAAGCAAGTGCTGAATTCTCTACTTAAGATCCTTGCCAAGTATACAGATTCTGGCGAAGTCGAAGCTCTCCTTTCACGAGCAGGTGAGATCATATTACCAAGCATCATCACAGGAGAGCCGCGCTCGCGCTTGAAGGTTTCACTTCTGTCACTGGAGATCTTTGTACGGAAGAACGCTATATCTCCGTATCAACTGATGAACATGGTCTCTAACTTTCTCTCGACTCATGGTGATCTTTGGAAACCTGTGTTTGAGCAGCATCACGAGACATGGATAAGTGGTTCAGTCATGAACCGAGAAGTCTCCGGAGAGCAATACAGCATCACCCATGTCGCCAGGATTTTTACGTTGGCTCTACTCATTCGGGCAACGAGCCCGGAAATTGCGTCTGCCTCCGGTGCTGTCTTGGCTTCTCTGTTGCAAAAGATAAAAGCTGCTCTGCCAAGCAGCGAAAATATTTATCTGGATCCGACGAACTCATTGCCCATATGGGTTGCTCCTACTAAGCAGATCATGCTGAGGAATATGGATGCCTTGGATACTATGTCTAACCATATGTTGACTCCACTTTTCACAGTTGACTCTAGTGGGTTCCGTACTTTTATCGATCAATTGCCCGTACAAATCCTTCTGTCAGGTGACATGACAGAAGCTCCGCTAGACCAGTTCACCCTACTTTTCTCGGCCTTGCAGATTGGAAAGAAAGTCGGTCTAGTACACGAAGATGGTAATCACAGAAGTACACCTGTGGGAATAAGCATATGTTTCACTGCTGACAAGTACTTAGGTGTCTTTGGGAAGGCATCCACGGCCAAAAACAATAACGATGCCATATTGGTTATCAAAAGTGATACTCTGGGCCAATTTTTGCTCCACCGAGAAGGGAGCATTCGTGTAGCAGCCCTTTCTTTGCTTATAACAGCATCTTCCACAACGAAACCGATTGGCTCGGATGCCCTGCAGGCGATCTTGTTTGGTCTACCAGCCCTACACGCAGACTCTGATGCCCAGTCACGAGGCCATATTTTGACCTTGACTCGTCGACTATTGGTCCGTTTACGTAGCGGGACTCAGAAGTCTGATAATCACGCAAAGGGGGCTGCACTCCCAGAGGTGGACGAAAACCCTCGTCGGCTGAAAAGGCGTCGATCCGTGAACCAGAGCACATATGTCGAAGAAATTAGATTCGATTCCCGAGAATTTCTGGAGAGATATGTGTCATTCCTGGAAAGAGATCTAGAGCCAACTGCTTCCTACCAGCGTCACATAATGGCTTTAAAAGCCCTCGCTCTTGTTCTGCAGTCCAGACTCGACTCTCGTGTCAATGCACCCCCTATAATGAAGTCGGAGAAAGATGTCCTTCCTTGGCGTTTCAGTCTCGATATTCTTCGCCCGCGTCTGCTTAGACTCTTGGTCGATCTTTTGCTGGACCCTTTTGAGGAAGTTCGAGCTACTTCCTTGTCTATCTTGGCCATGTTCCCACTCGATTCGTCGCAGATAGCGCTGGCACATGATAAGGAAAGCCCAATGTCACAGCTAATTGAAGCATTGACCAAAGCGGAGCATCTGGCAAGCAGCACCAGTAGGGCTGATCATGCCGATGCGGTTGCCCGTCTGTACCATGTCGTCTTTTCACTCGCCGCAGTTGGCTCTGATGCATCCTCTCCATACTGGTACAGAAGCAAATACGGTGTTGTGAATTTCATTCTGAAAAAGCTTGAAGGGAAGCTGTTGCATCCAGGTGGTCTTTTCAATTCTTCAATGCGCGATGCGCCTCTTCACGGTTATATCTCTGCTCTCAGGTTGGTGAACAAATAAAGACCTCCGAGAGCTGTTGCTAACAAAATTCCAGATATATCGTGGCCACCTCTAACTTCTATTCTGAGGTATCAGGAACGGAGGATAAGGAATATACGTCCTGGAAAGCAGTGCACGATAGCATAGTGTCATTCTGTGATAGAATATGGATGGCAGTGAAACCAGTGCTATGTGTCGACTCGCCCGAAGGACACACTGACGAGCCTATTGAAGACTTGGTTGTGGGACCAAAAGACATATTGTCTTACTCTTGGCGCGCGCTTCGGGAATCAAGGTATGTAAGACAAACCAGAGTTCATTTGCTATTACTCACAAAATTAGTCTCTTGCTGCATGCTACTCTTGCCAATTCCTCTTATGCACCCTCTCAAGGAGGACTCAGTCGAACAGACTACGAGACAATTGGAATGGCTAGTTTTACTCAGTTGGCCGAACTAAGGCATCGTGGCGCCTTCTCCACTGTATCGCAGACCTTTTCCACCTGCTGTCAGCGATGCGGGGAGTCGAGCGATCCGTCCATCTCCAGCCTTCCTGCTGGATGGTATATGGTGAGCTCTGATCAGTCTGTTCAGAAAGCCTCTCAACTAATGATGAATAGCAAGCGAGAAACATCATAGAGGAGCAAGCCTCTAAATTAACCCGGCGTTCTGCAGGATTACCTGCTCTGGTTACCGGTATTTTATCATCTAATCCAGGAGGGCCCTTATTTCAGCAAGTCATGACAGAACTCCAAGACATCTCTCGACTGCCTGCCACGCAGGATGCCACAAGTTACGAGATTAAGTTGCCTCAAGTACATGCCATGAATTGTCTGAAGGATATCTTTACAGACACTAGATTGGGCCCTCATACGGAGCCCTTCATCATGTCCGCGTTAAGGATATCAGCTGAGTGTATAAGTTCCCAGATGTAAGTAATCTGAAATATTTTCGGGGGCTGTAACTAACATAAGTCTAGCTGGGCCATTCGAAATTGCGGACTGATGCTTTTCCGCGCATTGCTGATAAGGATGTGCCGTTCCGTCACTGGGGTTGGTCTGGGATTCGGAGGCGTGTCCGGATCCGAAAGCGGATCCAGAATTCCATTTCAGAGATACCCTGGCTTGATAAACTTACTCTCCGGTCTTCTGACACCCGAAGGAGAAGGCAGTGATGGAAAAGCCACAACAGCGACGGAACGCGTCTTCCCCGCCCTCGAATTGATCGGCGAAAAGGTGCCGTCGATTTCTGGAGATGAGGATCGTGGATTGAGATCATTGGTCCTGTATCATGCAAAGAGTCCAGTTTGGGCTATAAGAGAACACGCTTCAAGAGTGTATGCGTCTCTCTTGAAGCTGCCTGAGGTTCCAAGTGAACTCGGCATTCTTTTGGAGAGCAATGAATCTTCAGGCCAGAACTACATTCACGGAAAGGCGCTCTGTATTCGGTTTGCTTTACAACGTTTGGAACTGTCGTTACTCGGCCACTGGAATGGTATGAGCCCAGCGGTACCTTTTGGTGACTTCTTTCGCTCACGATATTCCAGATCAACTTGAAGCGATTATGCGAATTATAAGCAAGGTATTCACCACAATGTTTCCTCTCGCGCATTCTCCATTCGTTCAAGCTGCTATTCTTGATATCTTGAACGATGCTATTGAGAAAAGCATGGAGTCAGGTAGTGAAGGTAAGCATTTCCCACTTTGCCGGTGTATAGTAGCGCTATTCTAACAAAGGGATAGTTATAACACTACCCTATATCAACTCCATGCTCGAGACCAACGATTTATCTAGCAGACTGGATCGAGCCCTTGTGGTAGCTCATCCTTCTATGGAGCCCAAGAGTGAGGCTAGGGCGTCATCTCTGCTGCGAAGGTCTCTTGCTTGGACTTCAATCTTGAAGCAAATCTCGTCGGTGAAGTCTGAGCCTCACTGGTTGTCACAGCTGCTTTTTCGAATTTCAGCAGTGGACCCAGACAGCGCTCGCTGGCTGTTGGAACAAATGTCTAGGGTGTTCGGAAACAATGCAACATATAAAAAGCAGCTTCTGGATCTCTGCACATATGCCATCACAGAAAGTTTCCCGGAGTACGTGAAAGCATGTGCAATTACGACCATGGCAGCCATCCTCGAGGGACTCCTAGAAACGGACTCTAGTAGCATCTCTGATTTCGAAGTTCCATGGACCGCCATCAGGGACAGCATTCAAATTGACTATGATGCACACACACAGAGCCGCGAAACAACAGACGCAGCATTGCGGCTTCAGGGCTGCTTGCTTATCCTTGAGGCTAGGAGCCTTGGTGGATGGGAGTTATCCAGAGACTTTACGTTGGGGCTACGTAAATGGGCCATTAAAGTTCAGTATGCCATGAAGGAAGAAACTGTAAGTTGATGGAAACTGCTATCTGATATTATGCCCGAATCTAGTCTGACATGCTATAGGAATTTACCACCAGATATGCAGCGGTGCTGTCGCTATCTAGCTTTTCGAGAGCTTTACGATCGCAAACTGGGTCACCAAAGACCCCTCCTGCTGCTCTAGATATTTATCTCATACTGTACGACATGCTTAATGACGACGATGAAGAACTCCGTGAGATATCGGCTTCTGTTGCTTCGCAGCTCCTGTCGTACTCGTCTGTTTCTCCTGGAAGGGCCGTGGCCCTAGCACCATTGACTGCAAGTAAATTACTTGCAGAATTTATCGCCGCTCACTATAAGAACTCACATCGCTTATTCCGGGATGCTGTTCGACGTGTCGTCGGCCAAGCAATTGGCACTTCACAAGGGAGACTGGTTGCTGTCTCACAACTTGCGTCCGAATACTTGAAGGAGAGCACTGTCCTCTTTGTGGAGGAGAAACAAAACCTCTACATAGACGACATTCGTGAAATCGACATTTGGACAGGAGTCCTTTTTGGCCTGGAAGCAGACGCTTCAGACCCCGCTATCGTTCAGGACTTCTCTGGCTGGGTGATGGGGGGATTGTCCTATCTCACACAGCTTGCGTGCTCCTCGAAAGATGGACTCTTGGGATGGGCATCGAAGACAGACATGTTCGTGCTAGGAACGCGGGTCCTCAGCGCTGCTAGATTCTTGGTGTCGCAGAGTTCCGCGGCGGTAGGGCACAGGGAAGAGGACAGACTTACATTGAAGCAAAAGGTGCAATCATTCCTCGAGGCTGGACGCTCTGCCAACTTACACGATGACTGGCTCTCTAAGATGGAGTCGGCTCTTGCTTCATCAGCAGTATGATAGATGACATAGATCGAATTGGCATAAAATGTATAGTCAACCGGGTAGAATAAAGACCCTGATTTCACATGAGAAATGTTCATTACATTTGCGCTGCTGCGGCCGCCACAAATGTGTTATAAACAACTTTTGATAGTGGGCACCCCCGAAACCTATGTTGACGCATCTGTCCATTGTAACACTCCAGATATAAAGTCTCTTCTTCCAAACATATTATCTTAGCCCTGTTCCGTAACGACTCACTACCATAGACGTTTATCCATAAGCGTCCAGGCTCTTCAGCTCCAAATCTCGTTATGTATATGACCCTGTCTTCTATCTTTAAGTGACATAGTGTTTGTACTAATAGACAGTCCTCTTCATAGCAAAGAACGCGCTTTCAGACATATCGTGTCTCTTCCCCCGAGACTGAAACACATCTGCCTTACTGGTAAGTAAGATCTCTTATCATCCAGGCTAGTTTTCTATAAACTGACACTTGATTTACAAACAAGCTCTAGGCAAATCACGAAAAGATGTATCAATCCCAAATTATTGTGATTATACTTCTTTCGATTGGATGTTTGGGGGTTATAGCGATGTACATCCTCCATTTTGTTCTCTTCCGGGACTGGTTCGGTGTCTATCCCTGGCGCCATAGAAGAGTCCTTGGAGTATTCCACAAAATAAAGGCTCTCCTGAAGAAGAGAGATCGCAGTGGTCAGAATGAAGACCCCGCCATCGACGCAACTGCTCATCGTCTCGTCGTCCCCGATGGAACCAGACGTACAGAAGAGGGCGTTCCCAGGGACTTTGTCGCATCCACCGCTGTCTGATGAAGTGAGATTAAAGACGCGGGTCTGCTCCGCCGCGGGGCTACATTTAGCTACGAACTAGTCAACAATGATTGGAGAGCACGCATGATTGGGAAACAGGAGCGGAGACAGAAAGACGGTGACTATGGAGAACGGGGGACTGATCAGATGGATAAGCAAACGCGGGGCTGTACTTGAGCAAACGCACAATGAATAGCTTAGATATTCTGCAAATGTATGGCCTGCATTAGCAGTATCATGAGGCTTTGTGCGACTCTAAAAATGCCTTCTCATCTTCATACTGAGGGACTATGTAGAATGCTCTTTCATTGTAAACAACCCAACATAAAGGGAACTGACCTCTCCTTCACTATACCAAGCACACAACCTAGAAAATCTTATCTTTTCATTGCTCACATCAGACTGCTATGTCAACTTGATCTCTATGCTATCAGACCCAGGGGGGTGGAGCAGCGCATGGGAAATCAATTGACCAGACGAAGACAATGTTCGCTTAGGCCCTACGGATAGTACTGCAACGCGTACCATAGCACCATAGGATATCCACGCCACGCTGCTATGAACTGCACTGGATTGAGTCTCAATAGTCAATAGGCGCTTATATTTGCAAGGCGTGGAAAAGGTTCCTTCCGTTCTCAATGCATGTACGGGCGCCCAAACAGGCTTAGCCCCCCTTATCCTGATTAGGTACATCCCATGCTCCAAGTCATCTCGAGGAGCTTCCTTCAACAACCTTCTAACTCTGCCTCATCTCATCTCTGTATCCGGTGTCCCGCCTGTTCTCGTCTCTGTATCTTGTGTTCTGCTTGTTCTTATCTCTGTATCCTGTGTGCTGCTTGTTTTCCACGCTCCAACATGGATCTGCCGGAGAAATATCCCCCAAGCATGGTCCTAAGCGCACTGGCGGATCATCTCCATGGTCACCACAGTGACCTTCGTGTGGCCCTTTCGAGCAATCATCCCGCGTACGAAGAAGCCTTGACGGCGACCATGGCCTGCGTCCATGGTCTTCCTGACCGTATACTTCTGCCAATCACAAACCCAACTCGGCGAGAGACCCTGCGGAAACTAGCCCTCGAAGATAGAGCTGTAGGAGACGCCCCTCTCTCATCGAGCCGTCCGATTCGTACCGCAGGAAGATTGGATCCAGAAGATTTCCCGAAGCCTCTCTCTCCAGAGCGTCGTGCCCTGCTGAAAAAGAAGTTCCTCGACGAAAACGATCCCCTGCCACGAGAGCCTTATGTACTTGAACTTCGAGCGCTGCGAACAGAGCGTACGCTGGCCGCCATTGTGGGAAACGCTTTAATCACTGCTATTGACTACGAATCGGGTATGCCGGTGTGCAAACTCGATGAAGTTGAAATGCTTTGGGACACCGGCGCTGCTACCACGATCATCACGAAAGACCTTCTTGATGAACAGTTCCAGAGACATCTAGCCGACCCGATCTGTGAGGCCTATAAGAACCAGGAAGGTACTCGGGTCCAAGTTTCTATCAATGTCGAATTCACCAACACGCTGTTTAGAATCGACTCTATCGCCTGGGTTGTGGAAAAATCAGGCCTCCCAAATGCACGATCGGGCATAATTCTAGGGCAAAAGGCTTGCATCGACAGACTTCAGTACCGGTCGATTCCGCGCTCAATTCTCGAGGCTAAAGGGGAGGACATTGAAGAAAAGTTCTGGGGAGATCTAACCCTAGAGAGCTATGTTGATCTGGATGGAAGCCTGAAGGAGATAATTTGACCCGTCGTAAGGGCTTGGCTGTAAAGTCTGGTGACTACATTCTGGAAGGCTTTTGAGCCCAGTTCTGCGACTCGAGACACCTGATAATGGATGCCTATCATGGTACGAGCGGTCCGAGGGGGACAGTCACATAAGAGACGACTTGAGAAGAAAGAAGCAGAAAGCAAAATCATGTTGGTATGGCTACCCGCTGTGTAACCGGGCTCACTTTGTGTGTACCTTTCTGCAGATCAAACAACCCCAGGACAGATGGATGTTCTCGGACTAGTCTGAATTACAATCAATACCTAATAATGCAGTATTCCTCAGGGTATTCTCTTATTATACCTATAAAATAGTTGATAGTTGATAGATTGGCTCTAACTGTCAGTACAAACTTTGCTGGGAAACCACGAGCTACTTGCGGGATCTCAAGCGTCTGCGTGACATGCCAAACAAACCACAGCTGGAATCAAGTTTGCTATAGACCTCATAGAGTTCAATTTCGGAAATGAAAGAGAAAAACCGAATTAAGCGATCATGTCATCGGCAGGGCGTTGACGTGTAAAGGGTCTTCGTTCTATATTGTCATCCTTCCTAATATGCGCATATGATAGAGGTCCAACTTCCTTCCTTTCGCAAGACCACCTCACTTTGACAATGGCTCAAGCTCAGCCAGGGCGGCCCGCACAAAGCAGAGACCTCTTGGTGCTCACGAGTATCTTTGCCGGCCTCTGCGTAGGCTGTGGGTTGGTTTTGTGTTGTTGCTTGTATCATTGTATAAAACGGCGAAGAAGACGTCAAGAGCTTCAGGCGCGCAGACGAAGGTCCAAGATGGCTTACGCACACACTCGATACCTCGATGCAAATGGACGTGTCGTGAGTCAGAATAGATCGCGTCCCTGGGGAGGAGAATCCCACTTCCACTCGCGCTGGCCATCACAGATGCTGGTGAATAACAGTGCTGATAAGACTCGCCCACGAAGACACCGGCGATCAAGACGGAGACCGTTGCCTGATGACTTTTATGCCGCAAACAGTACCCACAGAGCAGAGCCGCTACAGACACTGGGTGAGGACTACACGTCTGGAAATATGTACAGGCCAAATAAGATGCATGAGGAGGAGATTTCGAGACCGCGCCCAGCACATCTCAGGGCTACGCGTATGGATTTCGATCCCGTCGACGAGTATCAGCAGCATCCTACTCGAGAAAGAGATCGTTTCTCACCCAGAAGGTTAGTATACCTTCCTCCCAAGTCGTGCTAGATGTATCTCTAACAGGCAGGAAGAGGGTTGAGGACAGGACCGCATATTGATGAACCTGAAAGAGGCCGGACGTCGAGAAGGACTCCGTATTCACGAGAAGCGCCCGCTGAGCGCTGGAGAAGGCCACGCGAGAATGAAGTCGAATATGAAGGAATACGGACCTCAATGCAAGAGACACCTTCCATTGACTCGTCGCGAGATCTCATAGATGGGTTTTCTGCTAGCTCTCCACATTCTGGTCCGCGTCTCACCGTCTTGGGGAGGCCATTTGCACTAGATTGAACAGCTAAGGGCTAACTATTTTACGTGACTAGTAGACCACGCCGGAGGACTAGATACGATGTCTAACAGATCCAGGCCAGCTCGACCTCTCTCAGCCTCAGAGCCCATTGTTAGACCACCATCACCATTGATGCCGCGAGGTCGTTCCCGAACCTCCACGGTATCCCTGACCAGCACCCGTGTGGAGGTCAACTCAGATTCTGTGACAAGCCGGATGTTACACACAGAGGATTTCTGTTCAGGGTCTGATTCTATGTTTGCTCCAATCAGCCCGGTGGCTTCAACGTGGAGGAAGGACGAGCTTCGTCGGGGATCTTGGGGGAGACGGACAGGTTTAACCCACTCGGATCCGACGTGATTCGTCTTAGAAGTCCATGAATACTGGAAGGAAGCAAATGGCAATGAATGACTCTTTCTTGGGAGAAGTGAAGTAATCTCCCGCTCCAAGGAACCTACACTGTACAGCTTGTTTGCTTGTAGAGAATGCATACGGTAGTGTCCCTAGATTGCACAGCCACTTGGGCATGATCAGCATGATCACTTAGTACAGTATCCGTGATACCATCCTCCATCAAGAGAGCCCTATGCGATGGATTAGAACAAACCCGATCAAACCATCTTCCATGAATAAATAATAAACAATTGCATCTCTACTCTACTATACTCTATTTTACGGAGGTATCAATAGTATTCACCTGGAGACCGCTGTGGGCCACCGTACTTTAAGAACAGTAAGTGACGTTGAGGCTTGGACTTCGCGCCCCGCAAGATCGGCCAGCTTGAAGTGACTGGTCGCTGTGCTCCTCCGAGCTTCCCCAGCCGCATGTGGTGCCTTGGTTCGCATACTTATCGCTGCCATCTTGCTGAACCCGAAGGCGCATATCAGTTCAGTGAACTCCAGTCGCCTCTTCTGGATGCGTTGAGGTCTGGTCTTCATCACATCCATTTCTGCCTCACTCGTCGTCGCACCGCATTGAAGCCACCAGGCTGCTGTCTCCGGAACCGCAGGCACCATGTGGAACGACGAGGATAACAACCCATACGGCGCATTCGATCGCCAGGAACCCCATCTGTCAGATTCCTTGCACTCGGCTGCGTTTTCGCCAGGTGAGCTTCTATCTCATCGTTGATTGCTACCCCTCCCACTCGACTCACTCGACCTTAGGCACTTACGAACCCGGATCGACACCGCCTTCATCCCACTCATCGACCCAGGAACCGCCCGACTACATAACCAGACAGGAAGATGTGAGCGAAGGGGAAGGAGAGGGAGATTATGACATACACGAAGACCAGGGATACCGCAAGAAGAACGTATACGATAGTCGCGTGGAGCAGATACTATACGAGAACCCCGATTTGCCTATCCTTATCACGGATGCAGGGAAGAACCATGAAGGCGGGGGGAGCTTTATCGTCTATACTATCCGGACGGGAGTACGTACTGCGACGTGTGTTTTGTCGTGACAATTCTGATAGCGGGGTAGGATCTTGAAGTGCGACGACGATATTCGGAATTCGCATCTCTGCGCCAGACACTGGTCAACCTCCACCCTACGTTGGTGATGCCACCGATCCCAGAGAAGCATACCATGGCAGACTATGCGGCGAAGCCAACAAAAGCAAAGGAAGATGCCGCTATCATTGATCTACGCAAGCGCATGTTGGCGGTCTTCCTCAATCGATGCCGCAAGATGAAGGAGGTACGAGAAGATGGGGTCTTTTGGAGGTTCTTGGATCCAAATGCTAGCTGGGTAGGTATACACATGGCCCGAGATACACGATCTTCTCTGACTAAATCGATATCTAGAGCGAAGTTCTCCATTCTCATCCTGCGGCCTCTGTGCCGAAGAACAATCTGAAAGCACCACCTCTCGATCCCGCAAACCCAACTCCTGCGCATGCCTGGCTGCCAGTCCCATCATCGTCTGCGAAGCTGAAGTCTACTTCCGGAACAACAGGGACAGGGATTCCAACCTCACCATCAGAGTTCGCAGCAACGCCATCCACAGCCGCTCACACAACTCCTGGTCCTCAGGTCCTAGGACGTTTCCCACCGAGTTCGCGCACCCTGAGCGAGAAAGACCTCGATCCGTACTTTATCAACTTCGAGGCATCGACGCGAGAACTGGAGTTGCTGTTACAAGGAAACATTGAGAAAGTCAATCGTCGGACCTTGGCTCATCTGTCGTCCTTGTCGAGCGACCTGATGGAACTGGGTGCGCGTTACAACGGTTTCTCCTTGTCAGAACAGTCGCCAACGGTGGCAGCTGCCATAGAGAGGATTGGCCAAGCGGCAGACACATCGTACATTGCTACCGAGGAACTGTCGAATTCACTAAGTGCAAGCTTTGCAGAGCCAATGAGGGAGAGTGCACAGTTTGCCAGTGTGGTGCGTAGCGTACTGCGCTACCGCGTACTCAAACGTGTGCAAGAAGAGATGACCAGAGACGAGCTTGCCAAGAAGAAGACGCTGTTAGACTCCTTGGAGAGGAGCGAGCTTGAGGCCAAGCGGATCGAACAATATCTCCAGAATGCGTCGTCTCCATCTCTGGCGACAAAGCCAAGGCGTTCGCTGTCTACTTCGTCTGCAGTTAGTAGTACCACAGACCCGGCCGAGGTTCGCCCAAGCAGCGCAGAAGACACCGCCTCTATCGACTCCGACTTCCCACCCACACATGGCGAGACTGTCACCTCGCATCCTTCGGCGTCGCAGGGCTCTGCTGAGCCGGCCCCAATACCCACTCCTGTCCATCGGAAGAGTCCCAGCGGTAACTTTGTGACAAACAAGATCTTTGGTAGAATTAGTCATGCCGTCCATGGTTTTGTTGATGTTGACCCCGAAAGGACACGGCGGGACCAGATTGGAAAGACCAAAGAGAGTCTTTTACAGGTAAATAGCATCGCAGTACCCTCTTTCTGTCAAGGATCAGTACTGACACCGGCCATAGCTGGAGCAAGCCCTTGAGGTGTCCGAGAAGGATGTCAAGGACGCCAGTGCCGGCGTTCTAGCAGACTTGAAGAGATTCCAGCGTGAAAAGGAGGAAGATCTTCGACGCTACATGGTACGTTCATTCTTATTCGCAACCACTGAAATACTGACGTGACTAACACCATGCAGGTGGCCTACGCTCGCTGCCATCTTGACTGGGCCCGAAAGAACCTGGAGACCTGGACCGAAGCAAAGGACGAGGTGGACAAGATTGTGGCGCGTTAGGAAGGGTCGCATGAAACTTAGTCAAAAATCATAGGAAGAGGTGGTCGTGTATCTCACCTGTTGTCCCTCTTGCTCGACGTGCATGCTTTTTCGTGTCCCGATTTCCTTCCATTATTTCCTCCCACGAGACCCAGCTGTTAGACGTGCAACGTGTATGAATGTCACAGTCGTGCTTTTCAGTCATGAATATTTAACGAAAGAATTGTGTATGCTTTGCTGTCCAAGCAGTAGTATTGAGCGATCAAGGGTCTGCTGGTCTGGGTCATGCGGTGACCTCAGCCAAAGCTTGGCTGTCTCGGGGCAGAACCCGAATAGATATGCTGCGTTTATCTCATAATAACTGTATATGGCATGATATTACTCCTAGGACTTCTGTGGCTGAGATATTGGTATTTTCAAAACCTCTAATGGTGCTCAAGGACGAGCGATGAATTGGATCTTTAATGATCCCAGCGGTGAATTATAATCGATTGCTCTAAATGAGATATTGTTCCCCACCGGACCACTGCGAAATGACAACATCCTCCCTCGCTTCTGTCTAGATGACAACGCTAAACACATGTATTTCGAAATCATTCTTTTTCTGCCTATTTCAACCACTGTATGTCTTCCAAAGATCGTTCTCGGGAAGCAAATAGACTGCATCCGCTCGCACACCATCTTCCCCCAGACTTTTCCTATTCTCACTAACCACCCGCTCCAGGTCAGCCCCGAATTCTTTGCACAGTCTAGCGCAGTCCGAGCATAAAAGCAGTCCACAACCTTTCGCTGCCGGATCTGACGGGTCAACAGGTTCCTGAAACTTATCCACTGACTGAACCGTCACACACCCAAAGAACGCTGGACGAGGGCAGAGCATACACCATAGTGCAAGCGTCTTGACGTCTCTATCCTCCCCCGGCTCTTGCAATAAACTCTCATAGGCCGCATCATAATCGAACGTTTCCTCGTTGTGACCTTCCAAGGGAGAGATGGTGTGATTGCGGCAGTTCATAATGTGCAGTCTCTCCAAGGCACAGATTATGCACATCCGACTTGGTTCATGACCCTGACCTACATGTCCGCCTTCGATCTCGATATATCCGTTGCCATCATGGTAGTCTATGATTTCGACGTTGAGTGTCCCTATACCGATGATGCCGTACCGGAAGTCATGGCACCAGTGACAAGGCTTGGTACCGTCTGCAGGGGGTTCATAAGAGAAGTTGATGGGGTGAGCGAATGAGGTGGTTATCACGCGAGTAATGGGCGCAGGCCCATTTCTGACTAGGCCATTTCCCCTGGATTGAGGCTCGCATGGCACGGATTTGGGGATCACCAGGGACGGTTTGAGAAGTGTCTCGCCGTGTTTATCTTCTTCTTCTTCGGGTTCTGGTTGACTATCTTGACAGACTGCTGTAGCACCGGTATCAAAGTTCGAATCATCGACACTGCAACGCCGCAGACTCTCTGGCGTTGGCAAAGGCTGCATGGTTTCTGTCTGTCCCTGCTGCGGAGGACAAACAAGATGAACAAAATTATCGCCAATGTCATCATCTTGCGTCTCGTGCTCACCCGTTACTCGCATTTGCCTCTCCTTAGCAGGCCCAGCGCAGCATCGAATCCCTGCAGTTTGACACTGTGTACACGGCAAATGATGGCTTGCATTATTGCTCTGGAGATACGAACAAACGACTTTCCTTTTCTTTTTGCAATTCTCGCATCCACGCTTTCGTCTTGGTTGTATGATCAGTTCGCAGTCAAGGCCGTCCTCCCGACATATCTGACAGGGGTAGAGTGCAGGATTATCGACAAGGGAACAGTCCTGGTTGAATTCCCAGCAGGATTTACACCCTCTCGCTGCTGGATGGCCGAGGTCTAGGCTGAGAAGGCTTTTCGTCGAGGCTTGCGAATCTTCCTGAGATGGCTGAGGATCGAACAGTGCAAGTAGAGAGCTTATGCTCTTCCCACGGCTCCTCAGAGGATATCTTTTGTTGCATAACCCGGGTGCTGCATCTTCATAGATGTTTCCTTCATACTCGTCGCTGCTACGGTCTCGCAGGCAGGATAAGAATGCTCTACCTCTTTCCGACGTGGTCTTTAAAGTAACGAGCAACCCAGGTTCGTCATCGTCGTCGTCTTCCTTTTCTTCCTCATCTTCTTCCGACATGGACAGCCGTCGCTGCCTCTTCGCCGGCCTCTCTGCACCAACCTTCTGACCGACACGAGCCTTGGAGAACTTTCTTTTCGGAATATCCTGTTTCGGATCGTAGTCCGCGCTATCATCATCATCGATCCACGTCGATGGGGCCTTTTTCGCGCTTTCTAAAGTTCCCCAGCGCAGTTCATATTTGGATTTGAGATTCTGCTCGAGGTGTTCATGCGGCAGGCCTCTTCGTTTGAGATGAGGTCTCATGCGACAGAAGAGACCCAGCGCCAGTTCCAGACGTTCCTGGGAGTATGGCATTGTGGGCTGGTAAGTCGTTTCGGTTGTGGTGGAGGTCATTTCTTTCTTATGTTGATGTTTACAGTCAATCTGAATTGATCATTAAAACGAAGATAGTATGAGGAAAGAAGATAGAAGAGAGTTATTGTATCTACGAACTATAGGTGATGTTTGCGTAGTAGTCTGTTGTCATTATCGGAGCTAGCTCTAGGAGAGGGAGGTGAGAGGAAGCTGTGACGACTGTAGTAGAAAAGACTAAACTTGAGAAAGGGAAGGTTGAAACAAGTAAAGCTGAGACGAGATAGCATCCGAGGAAAGTTGTAAGTACATCTCATCAAGTGAGCTGGTCAGAAATCTTCTGATCTATTATTGATCAACGATGTCTGATGCAAACTGTACCTATCATATCCGCAGGTGATATGATTCCTTTGCGGACTATAGCAGTAGCCTGTATTTGAATATATCTCTTGCTAATATTTTCGGCTCTGACGCGATACTGATTTCATAATAGAGCGAATACGTCCATATTGGCACTTCTGGGCTCTCTAATAATGGAGAGGATGAGACTTGAGCCGCCGATTGCTGTCCACTGAAGCTTGTCTAGTGATAGAAGACAGACTTGGCTGCAGCATCATTCTCCTAGAGAGGGTTTGGTACTTTTCGGGCTGGTGGAGTAGTAGTCAATTGAGCCTTATAGTATACAGCGGGACTTACGAACTTATCGATTGAAGCATTTTCCGCTTGATAAGTAAATCTATGATCGGGAAATAAGTACTACTGATTACCGTAGCAGAGTACTTTTTCCAAAGAATACATATCTGCACTAAATATTATATCGTAGGCCCCGCAGAGCTTTGGCCATAAAATATACAACGCTCGAAATTCCAAAGCTTCGTACAGAGGATTATAAGCTTGGAGGCAACCACGTTGTTCCATATATGCGCAGATGGTCCGGAAAAGCTGACCTGGGTTGGAAAGCTCTGAAACCAATTGTATACAGTAAGTATCTTATGATTGTAGTGTTTCACTTCGAACTGGCGTGGGGGTGTGCTTGTTCTTGAGATTTGCTTTTAACAGTATATGGCATGATATTACTCCTAGGACTTCCGTGGCTGAGGTATTGAGATTTTCCAAACCTCTAATGGAACTCAAGGGCGAGCAGTGAATTGAATCTTTAATGTTGCCAGTGGTGAAGCGACCTCTAAGTAATGGCTAGCAGGAGCGACTGATGGGGGCGTCGACAACAGAGGTTCACAGACTTTGTCAAATCCTATTGCAGACAAAGCCTACCTAGTTAAAGACGAATACCATACCACTTTATCGACGACTTGCAAGTCACATATCGAGGGTAGCCTCAGGATATCTCAGATATTACAGGGTCACGTGATATTACGTGAAATTAGGTGGGCGTTAATACCCCGAGTTCTGTCATCTTCTCTTTTATACTAGGAGTGTCGCCAGAAAACTAAGTGATTATTGCTAACGTCTCAAACGTTCTTCTCAGTATGACAGATTCTTCTGGTGGTGTTCCTTTCCATATACGAAATATGCGAGAAGGGAATCGATACATCAAATCAGGCACAACCTTGTTCCCATGTCCTTCATCCACGGATATCTCGAACCTACGGCCAGATCAAGAGGTCATCACCGTTCTTAGCAAACAGACGGGCGGCATAGTAGTTGAGCATGACTCCACCTATGTCACCAAATCCGGGGAACGAGTGCGACCTGCTGAGGCTGAAGCTATGAGACTTGTATCTAAGCACACCTCCGTTCCTGTGCCTGAAGTATTTTTCGCAATTTTCGATCCTGACTGGGGGAGGATCGTGATGTCTCTTATTCCAGGGTCTTCTCTAGAAAAGATATGGGATACGCTGGATGGAAAGACCAAAGAGTATATTTGTCTTCAAGTCTGGGATATGATTTCCAAGATACGAGCCATCCCACGTCCACCAGAGCTTAATGGTCTTTTTCAATGTGCTGCCGATGGCTCTCTAACAAGAGACCCATTGCTTGAGGATCTAAAAGATCCGGCCCGACCCTTGACGAATGATTCAGATTTGCGAGCTCGCATCTTCGAGCGCTATTACCATTTCGCAGGTCGTCGATATGAACATGAATTGCCTAACATGCTGCCGCGGTCTAGCTGTTCAGTGTTTACGCATGCTGATATTGCACCTCGCAATATTATGGTTGACGAGCAGAACAGGGTCACAGGCATTCTCGACTGGGAACATGCGGGATGGTATCCGGATTATTGGGAGTATGCACAGATTCTGAGGCCTGCTTTCCGGGGTGATTGGAAAATATGGATGGATCGAACTGCACCGCAGAGATGGGATCTTAGTGGGATTAATGCTGCTAGGAAAGTTTTGTTTTAATATCAAAGAACTATCCTGGTATGAGGACGTCGATTGTGGCTGTGGGGATTTAGAGGAGGGTTTGCTTAGTTTAAGGAGATGCATGTGCAGAAACAAGAGATATGTTCTGGTATTCCTTTGCTAGATATATTATAATAATAATAATAATAATAATTGACTATATACATGGTGCAATAATAATAAGAGAGAGATGCAGTTAACTAACCAATTTCCGTCGTTTATCCACGCCGCCAACTAAGTAGCCGCTAAGTATTCGCTTTTTCTCCCCACCTCCAGAGCCACCACTTGAACTCTCGTGCTGAAATCGTCCAGTCTTTGTTCCGGAATATCATTGACAGACCCTGCTTGGCCCTGTCTTTTCTGCACGTCTTTTTTCTTTTTTTGTTTTTTTCTTTCCTTTCCCCCCTTCAACCATTCTGGTCGCCCCCTTCGCTTCCTGTCGTCCTACCAGCCCATCACCTCCATATTTTTCCGGTTCTTTTCTCTCCTCACCTGTCTCCAGCGTGTTGCCCCGAGCTGCCACGAGACGTGCGCAGCTCACAGCCATCACGTCTTCCACAAAGCGACGCAAGGTTGCAGAGCCTCGCCGACCAGGAGCCCATCCAGCTGCGTCCTTTGCCTCGCGCGCCAGGCACGCAGACTCCGCCGGAAGACGTCACGGCCACCAACCTCACAGTCCTAGTGCCGACTCTTCATCCTTGCCACTGCCACCACCTCTGTCGTCTACGTCGGAATCGAATCTGAGTCCGAATTCCTCTGCGTCACCGTCTCCGCGATATATACCCGCTCATCTGCAGGACGAAGTGCTGGGCACCCGATCCAAGACTGGTCCCCGTTCACCGACACCGGAACCCTACAACGCTGATTCTCCATCTGCAGCGTGCGCCGGACTCAGCCTGAATAGTGACCCTGTGACGGAGATGTCTGGTTCAGAAGGATCCCAGGGCGAGGGTTCGCAGCAGGGCAGACGTGAGATGCGATCGTCGTCGCCGGCCGTCAAGCGCCCGGCGTCCCAGATAGGCGACGAAGAGCGGCGGTCACAGGACGTCGAGATGGACGTGGACCCGTCGGAATCTCAATCGAATGAACGACCAGGCCACCGACGAGCGACTTCAGTTGACATGATCGATCAGGAAACTACGGAGGGATCTGGAAACGATGGCCGGAAGGACAACCTCTATCCGACTCCTTCCAGTATGTCCACCTACACGGCCAGTGCGACGTCCAAGGAGAGCAGCGCGAAATCCCAGGAGGCTGCCGAAGTGCCTTCCATCGATGAACAGGTTGCAGAGGTGACAAGACTGGTAGCAGCGCCGCTGAAGGAGAAACAGAAGGGTTATGTGATATCCGCCAAGTGGTTGAACAAGGTCATGTCGAGGGCCTCCTCGAATGAGCAGATCGGTGATAAAGCTGCTACGGAGGGCGAGATTGGGCCCGTCGATAACTCTGACCTGGTTCTTATCACCGATCCCGCCGCGACGTTCAAGGATGAAGCAGGAGAGCCTTTCGTACCTCTGCGGCCGGGACTGCAGCTAGGTGAAGATTATGAGATTGTGCCGCAGGAGGCGTGGGACCGCATCATGAAGTGGTACGGGCTATCGGAACGATCGCCAGCGATTGTTCGATACGCCCACAACACCAACTCCGCCGGTGGAGAGGAGAATATCCAGTACGAGATCAACCCTCCAATCTTTACGATCCTGAAGTTGGCCAACCCGGCCAGTGGCACAACTCCCCAGACTTTGAAGGAGAAGAACATGGCACCCATCAAGACACTGGCCAGCAGACACACCAACTTCCAGAAGTGGCTGAAGCAGGTGAAGGGTCTAGCCAACATTGACATCACGACCAAGGTTCGAGTCTGGAGGATTCTGGGTGGTCTGGGCGGATCCAACACCTCCGGTATGGTCACCCCAGCGGCTTCTCGGAGCGCATCTCCTGCACCAGGGGCAGTGTTGGCCGCCAGTGCTGGCAATAACTTCTCGTTGGACGTGAACACCTTTGTTTCCCTCACTGAAGGGTCCCAACGCGAGCTCCTGGAGGATGCTCGTGATCAGACAGCCAACGAGAAATATAACGGCAAGATGACAATAGAGCTTGCCGGTCTTGCAGGAAACGAAGTGGTTGTGTTGGAAGAACAAATCGGAGGACCGGCAGGCGGCGAATGGGTTTCGGATGTCTCCAAGCAGACTTTGAACCGCCTAGGCCTCACCGCAAACAACAACAAGAATGCCAATCAAAAGGTCAAGGCCAAGAGCACGCCGACGAGTGGGCGTTCGTCACCTGCGCCGGAGCCCACGAGAGGAAGGCGGAAAGATGGAAAGCCAAGAGGTGCTACTGGTCTGAGCAATTTGGGAAACACATGCTACATGAACTCCGCATTGCAGTGCGTGCGGAGTGTTGAGGAGTTGACCTACTATTTCCTAAGTTCGTGGACCCGTGTCCCTTGAAAAGGATGGCCCCGCTCGTTGCTAACATACGACTACAGATGATTTTTACAAGCGTGATCTTAATCCTAGTAATCCGTTGGCTCACAATGGTGACATTGCAAAGGCCTATGCGCATCTGCTGCATATGATCTATGACGAAGCCGGTCCTTCGTCTTTTGCTCCCAGACAGCTGAAGCACACCGTTGGCCGATATGGCCCTGCCTTTTCCGGTTATGGTCAACAGGATTCCCAAGAGTTTCTGCTTTTCCTTCTAGATGGTTTGCAAGAAGATCTGAACAGGATTCAAAAGAAACCATACATTGAGAAGCCGGATTCGACCGATGAAATGGTTCATGACTTCTCTGCACTGAAGGGGTTTGCAGATAAGTGTTGGGATATCTACAAAGCTCGCAATGACTCTGTCATCACCGATCTCTTCGCTGGCATGTACAAGTCCACCCTTCACTGTCCGGAGTGTGACAAGGTCAGCATCATTTTCGATCCGTTCAACAACCTGACACTGCAGCTCCCGATCGAGAACCTTTGGAGCAAGGAAATATTCTATTTCCCTCTTCACAAGCGCCCCGTTCTCGTCGATGTTGAGATCGACAAGAATTCCAGCATCAAGGCACTGAAGGAGATGGTGGCTAAGAAGATGGGTTCTGATCCCCAGAAGCTGATCATGGCCGAAGTCTACAAGTCCAAGTTCTACAAGATGTTCGATAACAATAGCAGCATTGCAGACTACCAGATCGGCGCCGGTGATGACATTGGAATTTTCGAAGTCGAGGCTGTCCCTACCAACTACAATCCGGACAAGCCAAAGAAGGCTTTCTCCTCGATGTCGTTCCACATGGATCACGAGCAGGTTCCCAGCTTCGACTCCCCCAAGGCTGACAGGATGCTGGTTCCGATCTTCAACCGTGTCGTGCGGCCGAACACTCGGTCCAACTCACGGCAACTCTTTGGTGCTCCTTCGTACACGATCATCACCCGCGAGGAGGCCTATGATTATGATGCTATCTTCCGCAAGGTTTTGGCCGAAGTAGACACCCTGACTACCCGTGACCTTCTGAACGAGGATCTTGGCGGGGAACTCGATGGCACACAGGAGGATTCTGACACCGTCGTTATGAACGATGATGACGCTCAATCTGCCGACTCCAAGATCAAGACCGCGTCTGTGGAAGGCGAGGATGGTCTCGTCGACGTCTCCATGCGTGATGCGGATCGGGCTCCTGAGGCTTCTAGCAACTCAAGTCCAGTTCCTTACCTCCTACGCCCAGGAACTGCGATTCCTGCTGGTCACCGGAACCTCTTCCAGATGAAGATTGTCCGATCCAATGAGGTGGTCCCTCTCGGCTTCTCCTCTGTGGACGAGAACAAGGACTTCCCACTAATGTCTTCTCGCATCAAGAAAGTCAACGAAAAGCGAACGGAGGGTAAAGGTCAGGCGAAGCATTTCCCAGACGGTACCAACAGCCCTGTTAGCAGTGACGATGAGCTCGCCGACGCCTCTGAAGGTGTCCCAGTGGACGCCAGCTCTCAGAAGGCTGCTGAGGAGTCTGATGACTCTGACAGCCGCGAGACGCGGTCCAACAATGATTCTGAGAGTGGATCTGACGACTACACCCGGGTACCTAGCCGTAAGGGACGACCAAACATCGTGGAATCGAAGAAGGGCAAATCACTTCCGTTGATCCGCCCTGGCGAAGGAATCGTGCTTGACTGGAATGAGCAGGCTCACGATGCCTTGTTTGGTGCGTCTCCGAAAGATCGTGACCCGTTGCGCGGTGCCCCGACATGGACCAATGTCGAACACGTTCCGGACCCCGAACTCTACAAGAAGCGTCAACTACGACAGTCGCGCAAGAAGAAGGGTATCACACTCAACGAGTGTCTGGACGAGTTCGGAAAAGAGGAAATCCTGTCGGAGAACGACGCGTGGTACTGTCCCCGTTGCAAGGAACATCGCCGTGCCAGCAAGAAGTTCGAGCTCTGGAAGACGCCTGACATTCTCGTCATGCACCTCAAGAGGTTCAGCGCCAACCGTGGCTTCAGAGACAAGATTGATGTGGTCGTCGACTTCCCAATCGAGGGACTGGACCTCACCGGTCGTGTAGCCGCTCCTGAAGAAGGAAAGAGTATGATCTACGATCTCTTTGCTGTCGACAATCACTACGGTGGCCTCGGAGGAGGTCACTACACCGCGTTTGCGAAGAATTTCATGACTAATGAATGGAACGAATATAATGGTATGCTTAGCTCACCTTCTGCAGGCCCATCTTTTTCTGAACTCTGCACTAATTCTTCTAGATTCCCATGTCTCCAAGCCGATTGATCCCCAGAAGGTCATAACTTCTGCCGCCTATCTGCTCTTCTACCGCCGTCGATCCGACCGCCCTTTGGGTGGCAAGGTCCTCGAGGAAATTGTCGAGTCCGCGACTCGCGGCGGAGCCACCGACTCTGACTCGCAGACGGACTCGCGGGCTCCCTCGCCGTCGGGGGAAGACCGGCGGCTCGGCGGCTCCTCCCGCAATGGGTCGTCGAGCGCTTTAGCAGGAGTCGGAGCAGCTCACCAAGCGGGAGATGGTGGTTCGCAAGCCGTAACCCAAGTGAGGAGCGTGGAGGCTGATGACGACGACGACATGCCTCCGGGATACTTCAACGGTCTTCCATCCGGGGAACAGAGCCTCGAACATGCAGACCGATTGGAAGGTATGGACCTTGAAGATGAATACTTCGGCGGCGAAATGCGCCCAAATCCCCTCAATTTCCCGACTGAACCTTTATGGTCCTTCGATCGAGCGTCAGATGCTCATGGCCCTTCGCAGATGACCGCGGCGCCTCCGGGATCCTACTTTGACGGTGAAGACGAAGACCTATTCGACGACGATGCGAGCAATAAGGCAGTTGGAGGAGGCGACCTCAGCGATTCAGATATTCGGCTTGCTGCATTGGGCGATAGTTCCGAGGGCCCGGGGGCCTCTTACACAGACACGACTTTCGAGGATTCCTCCATTCAGAATATCCCACCGCCCTTGGACGCAGACGATGATGACGATCTACCGGTCATCGAGCTGCGTGTCGACGAAGAGGACAAGATAGTCCCCGACAAGGAATAATAGGACTTTGTCAGTTCAATACCTGGTAGTATTTGGTTTTGGGAATCCTTCTTCAACGGGTAATGCGTAATGCATCACTTGTGCATCCTGGCTCAGTGTATGATTTTCCTGTTGCTGCTTGATCGTATACACTTCTGTGTTCGCTGGACTTCAGTGACCATGTAATACTCTATTACTTTTCAATGTCCTTCGGCTGTTTTCTTGGTGTTTATCTTGTCTACTTTTTATCTTTGATCGTGCAGAGCCGGACACTGGCTCGAGTCGAATTTATGTCAAACCGCCGCAGAAGGCGGAATGGATGATATTATTGGAGGGTGTTGAGAGCATACCTTGCCTGTGTCCATCTGATCTGATTGTTGATGCGTCTGTATAGTCGGTCAACTGAAAGAGTTGGCCGACCAGCGCTCTTGAGCGTTGTGCCAAAAGTGTAATTCCCATATCTCGTTTGCTTTTTGACACAGATAGGCGGTTTTATATTCCAAATACGTTGCATGTGACTGTTCTATCGTGTCATTAGAATCAGCCTGGTGGTTATCTCCTGACTGAGAGGAATTTGATCATTCTATTAGACATGTTGTTCGCTCTCTTCTGTGCTTGTTAAGTATGTATTTTCCTTAGAAAGCTCTTCGCTGATGCGAGGTATTGAGTGGCATCGCAATACACGAGAGGCACTACTTTCATATTGACTATGCTTTCTAGCTCTCGCATGCTGGCTGTCTCAGATTGTTACCAGTCATAGATCTGCGTAGAGTCCCATAATAATGATTATCTGAAGATAAAGCAACATCCTCACGTGCTCCTTTGTTCTTCATCACGTGATACTATCCTCCCAGAACGGGATAGCGTAGTTCACCAGCAGAACCAAAGACCAAATGACCTCGTCTTTCCTCTCACTGAGCAAGAAGAACACCATCACCTGCACCTGAAGAGCGAGACATATGATCTATCTTAAAAGATAACCCCAGAAGGATGACTGATTTTCAGTCATTTCAGTCTTCTTTTTCCTTTGATATAATCATGACACTGTCTCATGTACAGTGCATATATATATGCTCTCTAGCTAGAGATCCAGAGACTATCCTCTTGCACGGTAACATGTGACGATGGTTGAGCAAATCGCGAGCCTGGAACACCACGGAAGATAATCAGTGATGAACATGCCCTCGTGGGCTGTATATACCTTCTTGGCTGTCTTCTCCTGTCTTCACAATCAGCCTTTCTATTCCTTTGGCCCTCTTTGATAGCCATATATACCTTGATTCCTTTTACTTCGATATATATCCTTTTGGTCACTAGGGTGGATACCTATCTACTGGATATTTCCTTTCATGGTATATATACCACTCAGCTTACCTGTCTTCTGGACAAGCTTCCTTGGGCCCTCCTTGCGACATCTCAGAAAGGGTGGCCCAAAAGCCCTTGACCTGTACCCCTGTGCGTGGTTCTTCTCTCGATACTGTTCCTTCTTCGGGAGAAATTTCTCCCGGGAGCTGTTCCCATCCAAAGAGTATGGGACGTGGTCGGAATAGAGCATCTATCGAATTATATGAGGCACAGGCACAGGCTCGGGATAAGGCCCTACCTGGCCGCAAAAAATGCCCTTTGTGGCATGGTGGAGGGAAGTCTGCAAGTCTGGAGAAGGCCCATTGGGAATGGGCCAAGGGCATAGCTCCTGTAGATTGTGTCGACAAAGGTGAAGGAGGGTGCAGTCATGTTTGGGAAGACCCAAAGAGGCCCCTTTCATCTGTGAATGGCAGGGCGGCGACATCATCGCCGAGACGACGACGTGAGTCAGTATCCTGTCTGTTATATTTCCTCGAACCTCTATTTATTGTTTCTCCTCTTTGTCCTCTACAACACCTTCACCTCAAAGCAGCCTGCCATCGAGGAACTCAGCCCACTTCCGTCTGCTTCACTGTTTCCATCTTTAAATCTTGGGATCAACTGTCTCTTCAGTCTCGTCTGCCTCCGTTCTTCATTTTCTAACTCCGCGTCATGAGTTCAGTTCCCATCGACGTTCCAGGACGTGGGGAGGAGGTCGTCGAGCCTGCATCTGTGCAGGCCGCGATCCTCCTCCCAGGCTCGCCGCCCCGTCGCCCAGAACTGGCAGCTAGCCAGATCCCACTGGCTGGGGCAGCTGATTCCGACGAGGGTTCAGACGTCTCCTCCGACGGCTCTAACAAGAGCGTCGATGTCGAGGGCAGTGAGCGTATCTTCGACATGGAATTGGACGAGACAAACGCCAACCAGCCTGGTCCTTCGGCTGGGGCGTCCGCACCTTCAATGTCTCGTCTGGCCGCTCGCCTCGCCGTTGCCCACCCAAACAGCAGCGACGTCAGTTCGCTAGACATCGGGCCTAGCATGACCAGCAATGATGATGACTCCCAGAAGCGTGGGCGACAACCTCGCCTCAACCGACGCAACTCTGCCGCGAAGGTTCTGCCGACCTCTTGTCCTGTCTCTCTTACGGACATCAGCACCACCACCCGCCAGCATGATCCGTGCCCGAGGGACCAGCAAGCGGACGCAACTGGGAACGACAAGGAGAACGAGCAGTATGATTATCGCAACTTCTCGTCGAGCTCTGAGGAAGACGAAGAGGTATGAGCATTCTTCACTTCACTGTTTCTTTCAAACATCATATCGACTGACTAACCGTTGCCAATAGGAAATCCTTTTCATGAAAGGCCCCAAGAAGAGCGGTTAGTTGTTTTGCAGTTCGCGGTTCAGGTCTATCTATTGCTTGGTCATCTGCTCACTGGGTCACTTTATACACCGTCACAATTTTTCATGACTGGATGACTTCACTTTTAATTTCTTGCATTTCAGGTTGTTTTTCTTGTAGGCCGGCGCGCCATGATTCTGTACGTTAGAGATACCCCTGTTAGACACGCCCTCTGATCGTCAGGGACTGCATTTGAATCCACGTCTACATCGACATCGACATCTCCTATTCCTCCATCAAGCCGTCCTTCACACCAGTAGTTACTAACAGTTAGTATCTGATATTGCTCGGATCGACTTGCCCAACGACCAGTCAGAGACCCGCCCCCTGGGCTTTACTCTTTCCGGCAACTATGTTCGAGCAGATGCCTCAGGCATGGACGTTGTACTTAAATCATTATCATTTTCTGGTAGTCAATTGGCCCACATGCTGTGCCATCTGTACAACAACGCCAATCATTATCAAGGCCTTTCATATCTAAAAAAAGAAATATCACAATCACGAGCTCTCCATGACACCGAATATCATGAACGGGTACCTCGTCATCTGCCGCGTTCTTCCGTCCTCTTCGATTCTCCTTTTCCTCGGCTATATTCGGAGTAAATAAACAAGTTCAAGCAAGGAACAAAACATCTCGTGACGTCAGTACAGTCCATTTACAAGATTATAATATTAATAACAACAATAATAATGCTGAATGTCCTTAAAGAACTCAAATCAAATCAAATAAGGGTTTCCTGAAGAATAGGTATCTTTGTAGATAAAGTCGATAGATTCTCAAAAAATGCGCGACACCTGCTTTCTTTCTGTGCTGACTCGGTTCGACCTTGAGGACTTTCCCAAAAGCGCACGTAAACAAGAAATTAAAAACCAAGTATGTGTATCCAAAATGTCTCGCCAAGAAGTCTATATATATGTAGGAACTATAATATCTCCGTAAAGATCAGATCAGATCGCAGTTCCCGATCTTTTCTTTCGCAAAAAGCAAAAAAAAAGTAATATCCCAAAAATAACGCCTATATAATCCCTGAGGTTGTATGTAGCTGCGCCCCAATGCAACGAGTGACAATGAATGGTCTATATGAAAATGATGACATAGACGCGAGTATGTATAGAGATGATGGGACGGTATATGTGCGGATTAGATTATGTATAAGGTCGGATCGGTAAAGGAGGGCGTGGAAGGAGACGATAATCGACGAGGGAGTGGAATTGCGGACTTCGTTCACCAGAAGTAGGAAGAGGAGGACGTTGAAGGACGGTTGTATGTCGCGACTGGCCATCCGTCTGGATAGTCGAGGAAGTTCCAGCCCATGCTGGTCTGGTTGAAGCCGTAGCCGACTGTCGTGTTGACTGTGGAAAGAATTAGTTTTCTGTTGTGTTTTATTGCCCCTGGGGGTTTGAATAATATAGGGGTTATGCGTACCATAGTGGTAGAAGAGGATATCGTTCTGGCCGTCGTTCAAGACACCCTCGCCGCCAGGAGCGTAAACATCGTCGTTGGAAGCGTACACAATAGTGCCACCTCCATTGACCAGGTCCGTGCCATCCTTGTCCAGGTACGGTCCTCGGGGGTCCATCGACCTTCCGACACGAATACTGTATCTGTTTGGAAATTTATTATAAGCAGGGAGCTTCGTCTTTATGAAAGGTTTGGGAGGGCGACTCACTCATGTCCAGCGGCGGGGAGCGCGTTGGCGTTCAGGTCACAGCATTGACCATGGCTGAACCAGAGATAATAGTAAGGAGCATGGTAAGTCGCAAAGCTGCCTTCGGCGGGGTGAATGCCCTGGGGAGCATAGACGAGATGAGTGGCATCCGGAGACTGGGGGTCGGCCATGGAGAGCATGTCCTCTGACAGCGGAACCTGGTAGATACCGGTCCAGTAGCTACCATAGATCAGGTAAGGAACGTCCGCAATCAGGATAGTGGGGTCGATGGCATTCGACACGTTCATGGGATATTGCTGCGATCCAACACCGGATCCAGTCTGCAAAACCAGTCCATGATCGGTCCATCCACCTGGGCCGGGATGGCTCGAGGTCGCCACACCGATAGCACTGTCACGGCTGCCTGCCTCGCTGACGGCGTAGTAGCAGTAGAAGGTGTCTCCGACCTGGATCGTGTTGGGAGCCCAAGGTTCGGTGTTAGCACCTTTATTGATGGCTGCTGGCCCATCTAACAAGCTTCCAGTGAGGTTCCAAGGTCCGTCCATAGTCCATGATTCCCAGATGTTGATATACACGCCCACGCCGTACGCGTAGTACTTGTCGCCGTACTTGATGACACTCGGGTCATGGATCATGAGATCTGTGGGATGCGTATGGGCATAGCCCCCAGGACCGGCAGTGGTGTCCGCATCGCGAGCCTTCAAAGGCACGGTCAAGGAATAGCAAAGGGAGGTTAAGGAGAGTAAGAAGAGTACCACGAGCATCTTGACGGCACGGCGAACGTTCCAACGAGACAACAGCAGGACCCGAGTCGGACATCCATCCTTCTCTTCAGCAGGCGTCTGTGGCAGAGCTATATACGAGGGCCGTGAAGCGATCATCCTGAACTATGGACTGTCTATTATTTCTCCTTAACCTCGTTTTCAGAACCATGTACGGGGTAGAAACTCATTATCGCCGGCGCGATACCTCTTGGTCTGGGGGACGTCATTGAACTAACATGCTGTGGCCGCCTGGAATGCAAGGAAGATCCATCTTTGCTCCTTACGCCGGTGGTTGAACGAACGCGGGCCGGCGCCCACTTGCAAAGCTCCACGATCCTCGACCTGATACCTATTCCCCTCACTGCTCAGTGCCGTTTGGGGCTGCACGGTGATTTTACTTCTGGGCGCGGAAGAAACGGCTGCGCACTCGATCAGACGGGGCCTGGGGACAACGATCGCTGGTCAGACTGGAGACACTATCAAGCAACCAGTTTGGCTTCCGGCGGATCAGTGGGACCTTCGTCTCAGGGCGCTTTTATGTTGACGGCGGCCCCGGGGGGAGTTTACTTTGTCTCTTTTCTTGTTTAGTTCCGCGCCGGACCGTCGATCCTTCACCCTTTTTTGCGACCTCAATCGTTCGAAAAAAAGAAGCTCCAGGTATATTAGCGAAGGTGCGAGATCAGAGTCCGGCAACAGTGCTCTCCGTGGTGAGCTTGTTGCGCCCACGTTGTAGTTAGGGTAATCTATTGATAGTTATGACTACTACTGACCAAACCAATAGATACGATCAAGCTTCCCTTCCTGTTGTTTATTTTGGCTTCCAGCGTCAGTGCAGCGGGAGAGGCGTTTTTGCACCATTCATATTGGTCTTCTCTGTTTCACAAACACGTTCTGGAAACAGCTATGACCGCATTCGCGGGCCGGTCTCACATTCCATGAGCTTTTGCTTTGCCCACACGACTCCATCGCACAAGCGTAAGCGGTAGCGGGGCTATCTAGTCTAGGCGGATGTGCTGGGTCAGACTTAACTGTGGGCACATAATCTGCCTCGTCGATCTCTACGTGATCCTCGTCCTCGGCAACAAGGGCGTTTGCTCCATGCGGGCGAGGATCACACAACAGCTCAAGCGATTGCACGCCAACGTTGCCCCGTCAGTTTGGAGCGCGCATAATAACGGCAGAGCCTCAGGTTAGTCTAGAACCTCATTATCTTCAGGGGAAATACGGAGCAGATAGTAGAAAAATTAAACGAACGGTCGCCTCATTGATCGGTGTATGTCGTGATTGCAATGCCGAGGCTGAATCGCGACCGAAACGCCCCGTCGATGCGTATCAGACGACAAAGAGCTATTTCTACGAATAATAGCTCAATGCCATACTTATTAGGTTGAAGGTACTGGGTCCTCTATCATGCTGGTTCTTGCTTAATCAATTTTTCTAATGGTCTATAACCAGTCTTGAGCAGTGCATCATCGTCTCAATACCTGGTTTGCTTAAGCTTTCTGCAACCAGTGGTGATATTAACTCTATGCCTCTGAAACCGTAATTAGGGCTCTCCCCGAACATCCCATCATGATCTTCACGAGGTCCATTTAAAAAATAAGCGCCAGCAAGCAAGTGCCGTCGATCATCCTTTGTCTCAACCCCATCGTCGAGCCTGTCGACCCAGCTAAACTCGAACAAGATCTCCCCCGGCTGTCCATCCATCTAACTATCTACTCCCCCTGGTCGAGTAAGTATCGTACTCGGTTCTCTGGGTTCTCGAACTATTGGCCTCCTGAACTTATTATTATTATTATTGCCTTTCGCACCTCTTGTGGTCCTAACCCCATAACCTCCCCGGTTCCGAATCATTTAGTGTACCGGCTGTGAGTAAGTGACGATTCTCCAGGATCTCCGGGCGTCCGAACCCGGGGCTTTTCGATGCCGGAATTACCTCTACTCTCGCATTATTGGGCAGTCTAATTCCCTAAAGCAATGCCCAGTGTGAGACAAGCTTTAACTAGTATCACGCAAAGACCCGCTGGGAATGAGCGTCCGCCAACATCTCATCTAGAAGGCCCGATCTGTGCTGGTCGCTGCCACACCAACAGTAGTCGCAGGAGAGGTACCAGGGGCGATTGCAGACAGCAAGGTTGTAGGCTCACTCTGCGCCCTCGCTGCATCCATGTGGACATGGATGATGTTACTTGCACTGGCAGTGATAGTCGGCCAGGCTGCCAACACGCTGGTATCTTCAGCAGCAGATGGGCCAGTAGTAGCAGTGGTGGTCAGGGCTGTGCGACCGTCAAGTCCAATCTCGGTAGTCCCATTCCTGTGCTGAAAACACCCCCTCGGGATACAGATAGACAGCGTCAAGATAGTGATTAGCACCGCTACCACAGCCAGTGCCGTCGCAACCTTGCAGCCCCGGCTCCAGGCGATGCGATACAACAGCGAAGGCGAAGATGCAAGCCCATCTGACTTCCGAAACTCGTGCGGCGAACCAGGGCCTGTTTTGAGACTATGTTCTTGTTCTTCTTCTTCGCCGGGTCTGTGGAAGACCGCATAAGAATCTCTGTTTGTTCGAAAAGCAGGGTGGACCCAGCTCTCGTTATTCGGGACTGGAGTGGACTGAGGACCAGGGAAGTGCGTGACGGATGACTGGAGACTCTGGTGTTCGGGACGCATAGAGGCATTGCTTTCCGGTCTGGAGCCCCGGAGAGATCTCAAGGATATCTCGTTCCGTTCCATGGCTCGAGATGGGTCGGTCACTGTTTTCGATGGCTTCCCTACTGAACGAGCTCCCGGGTACCTATGGTACCTGTTCTACCGAGGGGACAGAAGCACCCAGCCTTTGGAAGAGGTAAAATGCTTATCGAGCTACAGGATACAGCACAGTTTTCCTAAATCCTGTTCCGGTAGGACTTTCAGGTGAAGAAGCTAGATACTGAGCATCAAGAAGTGGATAAGGCACTAATCAGAAATTAGACAAGTTACTCTAGATACTGAATGAATGCAGCTAAGTAAAGCGCCGAGGTGTGAATGAGAAAAAAAGAAGATCGAATCACTTCACGGGAATACCCCTCTAGTTATTCATTCAACAATCTGTTCTGGTAAGAAGGTACCCGCCGGTGGCGTCGCACAAAGATGCGTCTTCACGACACGATGCAATGCGATTCACTATCAACACAATGAAGTTAGCGAGTAACCACCGAACGACGATCACCAATCGAGGCACACTGGAATTCTGACAAAGTTCTTCAAGCGGTGTAGATACAGAAGAACGTGCGGGGTGTTCCTTTGGCTGCAGCAGATGTAATGTAACGGTTGTTTCGAAATCGCACGCAGAAAAAGACTCATTCATATTATCGTTCAGCAACGAGAAAACTGCAGATCTCAGCAGCGATAACTGTTCCATAAGGAGCCACCAGAACGAAACCAGAAAACAAACAAGGATTAGAGAGGGAAAAGAGCGCATGCCTTACCGTCTTCGTCTGGACCGACTAAAGCCACCTTCCTGATAGGGCTCCATGTATGCTGCCCTTCTTCTTCTTCCTCTTCCTCCTCCAAGTCGCGTACCGCTCGCAAAGCCAGGTTGATGCTGTCCCACAAATTGACCCATGGGAGTCTGATACTGTCCAGGGATCATTCCATGAGGATGTCCAGTGGGCATAATGTATGGATTCGCTCCTGCACCGAAAGGGGGGACTGACTGTGCCCGTCTCCCACGACGAGGAGGCATTCTTCCATACCCTCTAACGTGGGCATCGTCGTATGCGTATCCTTGTGGCATAGGAAAGCCGTATGCGCCTTGGCCGAATCCTTGACCCAATCCGTGACCTAGCTGTTGACCGAATCCCTGACCGAAGTCTTGACTGAATTCTTGACTAAATTCTTGCTCGAATCCTTGACCAGAGCCTTGACCGAAGTGTCGAGAATTATGAACGTGAAAACTGCGACGACGTCCCCTGCCATGGCCGCCACCGTAGTGTTGGCCTGGTCGTGGATGGCCCCCGGCGCTGAACATTGTTTTGTTAAAAGTTTATTTTCTCTTATCGAGTTTGATACGTGGAGGGCAGAGACTCGGAATATTCTGATGTAGAATAAGTGGATATCGTGAAGTGAACGGATCGCAGCTCTGAGGTTAGGAATGATGTAAACTGTACAACGAAACAGAACAAAGACATAGGTATGTATATTCGTGTACGTTCAAATAATCTCCATCAGGTGAATGTAGGAAGTTTCCAACGTCTTTGACTCAAATACCTTTGTCCTACGCGAGTCATCGGTTTGACTCTTCCAAGAGAGATAGTGAAGAGACTGTGGTGTAGCCATATACGACAGAACATACAATGATGGTACTTATGCAGGTAGCACAGGTACTGTCGCTGAGAATATATATTTACCTACGTGGATATTGCCGAATCATGAAGTGCACGGAAACAACGGTATGATTTGAACCCTCCAACGAGTAGCTAGGTTGCTTCCATATTTATCTCCGAATCACACAAAGAACCTGGATACGAAGAATCTTTAGTCCATAAATCGAACCCGCCGAAAACAAACGACATGACAGACCACCTGCACACGTCTTTGTGCGGCCACAAATATACCTACTGTATCTAAACTGTTCCGTACATTTCACAAAGAGTCCGAATGATCCCTACATTATACCCCGTAAGAAATGGCCCTTCTTGCTCGTACTTCCTTGGCTACCTGGGATAACCGAGATCTATCTCCGCGGTGTAATTTTGATATGCGTGCAATTCCTAACCAAATGGGTAATCATCAACATGTGAATTGCACGCATTTATCTTCCGATCGGAGAAAATATGGGCTCGCCACTCATATGACATGCAGACCCCATGACTCGGTGGATAAAGGGGTCGAAGCGATCTTTTCCTTTGATAGATGTCGCTAGCAGAGCCAAGCGTTGGCCTTTACTCGGAAAACCTGCACTTCTACTTTGATTGCGAAAGACACACGGAGTACCAAACAGTGAAAAGCTTTCATTCCAGATTAAGACAACGGGACCAGCCCGAAGGAGTATATTATTTGTATATCTCGACTATGGCAGGACCAGCCCTCCAAACGTCCCTCGAAACATTCAAAAAGTATCAGCTGAGCACGCACCCGGATGGATGTTGGGCGTGTCGGTGGCTGCAAAGTTCAGGGGTTAGTCTAGTCTAGATAATCGATGCACTGATGTCGATAGCACAGGAAGTTTCCATCAACAAGGAGAGGAGGGAACACTCGAACACTTACCTTGATCGGTTGAATGGGCTATTAGAATACCAATGACTCGAGTGGTCGCTGTGATGGCCGTGACTTCTCCGGCGGTGGTGATGATGGCGTCTCCGTCCACTTTCACCGTAGTCATCGTATCCATATTCAGAATGGGCTCGGGATCCGGAAGGATGGCTATGACTCCTGTGTCGCCCTGCGAAGTCGGGATGGTATGATTCTGAGCCACCAGAATAGTAGTAATCTGATCCATAACCACCGAAAGAGCCGGATCTTGAGCGCCCAGAGTGATGACGGCGATGGCGTCTCCTATGCCCAGAGAATTCGCGCGCATAATCATGATCATCCGGAAGGTCAAAATGCACTCCTCTTCCTCCTCCTAGTGGCTCTTCCGGAGGCTCCTCGACCTCGACTGGCAGGTAAGTTTTGCCACCATCTTCATTGTAATACCAAGAAGAATCGCGTCCGCGTCGGCGCCTGGAAGAGCCAGCTCCTGGATAGCCCTCGTGCATCGAATGCCTTCGTTGGCGCCGAGATTGCCTATACCCATACTCGTCGTACGGAGACCATCCATACCCGTAGTCATCACCGTAGCCACCACCATAGCCCCCATATCCTCCATATCCTCCCCCAAAGCCGCCATAACCTCCCATTCCCGGAAACATTGTCAAATATTGTAATGTATGAAACTGAACGACGATATAGAACCAACTGAATGATAATGAGACAAGAGGGCGAAGGAGGAAGACGAACGAGAAATATCTAATAGACATGACTCCAATGACTCAACTTTGTTATCCTTGGGAGAGTGAAGGAACCGACATGATGACACAGAACAAGGAGGAATTGTGCAGTCAAGTATGCTATACAATGAATCCCAGCATTGTGGAATTTCATTATCCAGACTGTGCCCATCAGGTATTGAAGGTATATAGCGGCAGTAAATGTTGATCGTCAATGCACTTTCACTTTTGTTTGGACGATGCGGAGGGCCCATGCCACTGGAGAAGTTCTCTAAGAAATACTGGATTCCGGAGCGGAAAATTCCATTATATCATGTCGGTATATGACGCCTGTTCTCGGTGTGTCTTTTGTCGGTGCAAGAATAGCCTTGTATTCGATGACAAAGGACAGTGCCATGTGAGTTTCTTTGAATCGCAGAACTTCACTTTATTTGAGTTTATTTATATGAGAGATGATGCAGTTGTACTCGCAGAAACTATAAACTGTAATCATCCTATCAATAATCAAGCGAATCGAATCCAATTACGCAGAGAGCTTGATAGACTCTATTCTAGGACGGGGATAATGCGGACGACTCAGTAGCTATATCCATAAATAGCAAATAGTTTTTGACTTTGAGTAGAGGCAACAGCCGGTTACATTCTCGTATACTTCTTTATCGATATTATTTCTGAAGGTAACCGTAAAGATCTTGTTTCAGTCTGTTTACCTGACATGAAGAGGACGTATATTTACCACAATTAGGGGCAAAGAAGCGAGGGTATAATTATTGCATTTTTGTGATTGACCGGCGACTTACGATAGAAATGTAGTCTTATCAAGAAGTCAGAACAGGCCGAGTTGCAGAGCCGGATACAGAAGAACGGACAGCTCGGGAGGTCTAAATTTAATCAGCGCTCTTCACGGCTAGTGGTCGCCGCTAAATAGTATAAAGGGAGTGCTACTTTAGCTATAAAAAAGCATAATTTGTTATTCTCAAATCTCTTAGCAATTATCTCTAAACAAATTTAGAATCTGTCCTCGCGAAGTCCCCTTAGGCACCCTTAATTATAGACACTTCTTTTCTGGTGCTCCCTTGAAGAAAACCTCTAAAAACAACTATCTCAGTACCACTATCTAAACTGAAGAGCTCCCATATGCTTTATGAGGTCTTCTGGTTTTATAGACATAGTATCTCCGCACGGAATAGAGTTACACCATCTCAAGGTTGTCTCAAAGAGTTGTGGAAACTGTGGCGCATTAAAATCCTGATATTCACTATATTGAATTTTCAGTTTCCCATCAAAATAAGCTTGTATGAATCGACCATGGGCCGTTTCAAGCACTGAGAAAGCAAGTACCTATGGCGTATGCGATCAGTACCTTTCTCAAGTGACTAAATCAAGATAGGGATCGACTAACAGGATGTATTAGCTGAAATGTAGAATCATCAGGCAATCCGACTTCTTCAAGCGATTCAGTAGCCTTGGTAGTAATGATATCGCGTTTCATTGCTGACCACATATAGTAGATAATGTGAAAGACTTCAGATACTGCTAGCTTTCCTTCCTGTGCTTTATCAGGAAGATCCATCACCAACATAAGATGTGGCTTTCTTTCCTTAGCAGCTTGGTAAGCGGCTTTCGTTTCAGCAAGGTCAGGCCATGTGCAGTATGTTTTATCTAAAAAGTTATCGTCCCTGGAAGAACATAAACCATCAGCCCTTCTGCTATAAACCGGAAAAGTTATAGTAAACTATACTTAGGACTCACGATATAGGTTCCCATTGGCAAATATCACTATTCGTTTCACGTAGTGTACGCAAGCGTTTCTCCACAGCACAAAAAAGTGCACAACCACATGCGGCACCACATATACAACCATCTCGTTCCTCCGTATATTTTAACTCCCGTTCGCTCTTCTCGGTAAGCTTGAAATATTGGGCGAAGCCTGAAGAGAGGGGAACACCAGTACTGAGATCCATTTCAGATATCTCGATTCCCAGTCTGTCTAAGTCCTGTTGACTGAGATAAACTTGACCACGACGGGTGAGATTATCATAATGTTTGAAAACTTCATCAAGAACTTTTCCCAGTTTTGTGATCCATTCCATGTAAAGTCTTTGATTTTCGGTTTGTGGACCCGGAGACTCTGTACGCGTCGTGAGCGGCATTTGATGAAAGTAGTCCAGCAGTGATGGTAGATAAGGGGTATTATAACAAATAGACAACCGATAGTAAGAGGTATGGGATAAAATGGATACGTTGCAGAGTATGAATTCCAATAATGAATCGACTGCAGGGGCGGAAGCAGCCTAGTAAGAGAGCCACGGTACTGTATTAGGCAGCTCTCCGCTTTCAGGCCAAGTCCTGTAGCATTTGTAGATTAGGAGACATAAGCTGTTTAATTTATATCCAGGGTGGAGGGAGTACCTTCGCAATCTCTGCAGACTCTAGGCACAAAAAACAATAGGTATCGATGTGTTAGATCTTCTCTCTTGGAAGCTTATAAGCATAAAGGGTTTGTCCTGCACTAAATAATATTGGAGATCGTCCTTTGAATACTTTCCTGTAAAAGATACCTGATATCTAGGTGTCTGTCGCAATAACAGCCTTGAAGCAGAGATCTGGGTGAAGGTACGCGTCTGACAACAACACCTGACGCGCGCGTCATTTCTTTGATTCCTTCTCCCACAACCTCACCTCAATTTTATTTCCTCCCGTCTCTTCTCTTTTCTTTTTTCTTTCTCTTTCTCAACCACACCACGCCGCTTGCCCATCCCCTGCCCTCCCCTCCCTTTCCTTTCCTGACTTCACTGCACTGTCATGCCCTTCTCGGTTCCTTTCGAGGCGTCGAGGTACCCTGTCTTTTTCTCGGGCCTCTTTAGGTACCGGGGTTCTACACCTTTTTCTTTCTCCGGCCTTTTAGGTGCCGGGGTTCTCAATTGACAGAATCGGTTTTGTCTTGTTATCAGGCCTTCTTGGGTGCTGGTGTTCTTGACAGCCAATTCGGTTTCTTTCTTTTCTCAGGCCTTTTAGGTGCTGGGGTCCTCAATCAACAGAATCGGTTTCGTCTTGTTGTCAGGCCTTTTTAGGTGCTGGCGTTCTTGACAGCCAATTCGGTTTTAGGTGCTGAGGTCCGAAAACGCTTTGCTCCTTACCACGCAATAAAGAAAGTAAGAACACCTGCTTACCATTATATACTTTCCATAGTACTCACACTTTCTAGGATGGAGCTTCCCGGAGCTGAGTGGTTTGACACTCCTCAGGGTTTTGACTATCCTGCAGGGCTTGCTGGACAAGCTTCACAGCGGAGGCCAGTTCGTGTAACCTTTGACGCCGACTGGCAAGATGACAGCTATGTCGAGTGCAGAGGCCGTATTCTCCTAGATTCTCAGAATCCAAGGATCATTCTCGATATCGGAGATCAAGGTCCGGATAAGCCCAGTGCTCAGATGATATTCAGTCTCGAAAACAGCCGGGCCGATATGGGAATTGAAGTCCAGGGCAATCCCGGCTACGAGAGGATTCAGAATGTTCGCAAGAATAGGCCACGGCTGTGCAATGGTTGGAATCAGACAGAGTTCTGGGTTGTTGACATGCTAAGTTCTCCACTTCGGACTGGGAAAAGCTGGGAACTCGAAGAAAAGTTCAGGCAGCCCTGGGACAAACTATACGAAGAGGCCATGAAAGATAAGGTCAGAATCTTGATCTGCAAGGAATACAACCCTGGACACAAGTTAAGGCGAGAGATCCATTCATGGTATGCAGTCTTGCAATCAAAAGGAGAGACCTTTTGGGCCTACAAAAACGCAGAGCCATCGAGACTCGCGGACAACTCGGAGGGGCGGTACCCCGAACTTATGTGGCTCTGGGACAAAGAGCGGAAATCGTATACCAAGATTATCCCTAAGGAACCTTTCTTTTCCACCAACGAGGAGAGAAAATGGATGCTAATCGAGGGAATGCGAGCCGAGAGAGCCACGCAGTACCAGGCGATCACGAGCATCTTTTCCACGGAGCGACGCCACAGTTTCTGGTTCGACGAAGAGCAGAAAGCCGGTGAGCGCTTAATTCACGTGAAAATAGGGGCTGACGTCGTCGAAGAAGGATTCTTTATTCCGGAGATTAGTCCTCCAGTAGAAGCGGAGTTCGCTTTTGTTGATACTGAAAGTATCGCAGAGACCAAGAAGACCGATCTCAAATATACCGGTGTTGTTGTGCACCGGAAAACAAGAGCTGACTTTGTCCTGCGCTCAAAATTGCCGGAGGTGGACTTTGCGATGAACCCTGACCGGGTCTCCATTGTTGTGGTGATAAAACCAAACCTCCAGGCCGTTGATCGCCAGATCGATGCCTTGCAAAGGGCTCACACGGACCGGGTCTGGGGAGACATGGAAGGCCACGCTCGTGAAGGATACTCTCTCCACAAGACCATCCTGGCCCACGGACAAGAGCTTAACCCGAATAGCGACGACTACTTCGAACTAGACATCTATAAACTGTCAAACGTCGAACGAGATCAGAAAGAACATCGCTTGCGCTATATTCTGGACAAGTTCCCGCTGGACGAAACGCAACGCAAGGCTTTCAACCGGTCTGTCCGCCAAATTGTGGCTGGGATACACCTGATCCAGGGCCCACCGGGGACTGGCAAGACACACACAGCGTTGGTCATTATCCTCGCCTTTGCGTGTCTCGGTATCCGTGTCCTCATCGCCGCAGGATCCAACAAAGGGGTGGATAACTTGGCAGCAGCTGTCGTGAAAGCTGTCAAAAAGGATGCTTTCATCAGCAGTTGGTGTGGCAAGGTCATACGCTTCCGATCTCCCGCTTACCAGCTCTCGGCCATGCAAGAGAAGGGCAAGGGACCATTCAAGAAGCCGAGTGAAGACGAGATGGAACTGCTTCGGGTTCAGATGGAGCAGTTGGTCCTTGCTCGTGCCGAAAGCGAGCCGGAACGAGAAACGACTGCCAAGGAGGTAGAGACGCGACAGAGATTCCTCAACCTCTTGCAAGCCGACAGAGACCAAGGTCTCAGCCGCTCGCAGACAAAGGAGCTCAAGAACTGTCTTGAGCAACTTTCAAGGGAGGAGCTGCAAAGAGCCAAGATTGTCGCGACGACCCTGAACAACGCGTCTCAGGATATCCTGCGGATCCCCGGGGTCTTCGAACCTCAGGTCCTCATGTGCGACGAGTCCGGCCAATGCCTTGAAGGTGACCACATGATTGCCATGACAATGCCATCAATCAAAGTGGTGATTCTTCTTGGTAACCCGAAGCAGCTCCCTCCGACTGTGATCTCTGAGAACCTGAACAATGAGAATGCGTTTTTCCTTAAGCGCTCCCTCATGGATAGGCTATATACGGCAGGGTACCCGTTGACTACTCTCCAGACCAACTACAGAAACCATCCGGATATCCTGGACTTATATAACAAGCAGGTGTATAGCGGAAAGCTTAAGGTGGCTTCTGGCAATGCGGCGGCAGAGCGTGTTGGTAATACGTGGGATGAGTTTACTGGATCGCGCCATTATTTCTATAAACAGGGACTTGAAGGGCACCGGAGAGTCTTCATCAGTGTAAATGGTCTAGCCCATCATTCGGGCAATAGCCTATCATGGCAAAACCCCGCCCAAGCGCATGTTGCGATACAGCTTTTGACAGAGCTTTACTTGTTCCGATCAACCCGCGGGGAACAGATCACGCCAGAGGATGTGATGATCATCAGTCCCTATAAGGACCAGAAACACCTTGTCGACGAGTTGCTGCAAGATGAAAACCTGAGGTGCCGCGATAATCTAACTGTGGACGCCTGCCAGGGTTCAGAGGCAAATATTGTCATCTTCTTGATGACCAAGCCGTCGGACTCAGACGGGAAGAGCGCGGGCTTCGTGGCGGACAGCCAACGACTGAATGTTGCGTTGAGCCGCGCTCGGAAAGTCTTGATTATCGTTGGCAATCTCAGTATCTAGAACAAGGGGGCGATAGCCAGACTCTCCCAGGATAAGGGGACTCGTTTCCTGGTGTCTCTGCTTCGGGATGTATCTGAGAAGGGCGATACCCTGACCTGGTGTGATCGGCGAACGGTCACCGAGATCGACCAGCCCGCCAACTTCCACAACTACGGTTATGGGCCTCACGACGGTGACCGTCGGAAACTGAGGACGTCTACAGCTCAGCAACCAGCCGCGCCGCAGCAAACAGTTGGACGGCGGCAACAGCAGCGGCAGCAACAGTCAGTCCGACAGCAACCGCAACCACAACTGCAGCAGCAAGGTCCACTCCAGCAATCGGCCGAGTCGCAGGAGCAGGAGACAGAGGGTTTCCCAGACGTTTCGCCGCCTGGGTCTCCAACGCTTCCGCGAGTGAACCTTTCGTGGAGCGAACCTGCCTATAGACCTCCGACTGACGAGGAAAGGGCCCAGTGGCTGACAGAGACCCAGAGAGATGCCGACCGACACCGTGAGCGCAGTCCAACACGCGACTCTGCTTTCTCCGTGGCCGACTATCGCGATCGGACACCTGATGTTCGCAGTAGCCTCGATCACCGGCTAGTAGATGCAGGATCGCTATCGACTTACGAACTGCGGAGAAGAGTTCTGCAAGAGAGAGCAAATCGGTCATTGTATCTGATCGAACTGTATCAGATGGAACTGGACAGCCGGGAAGCCGAGGGGAGAAGAAGTCCTGGGGACGAGGAGAGACGTGGATAGACAGGTGTCGTCAATAAGATCGTTTTACCTTGACAATCCTGTACCTCATGATATTATGTTTCCGTAGACCATGTAGAGGCATGTAGAGGCATGTAGAGGTAAAGGTCCAACGTATTGCAAGTACATACATACCTACTAGGTAGTTAGTATTATTTGGGGGCTGAAATGATAGTTGGTTATGCACATTGCATTGTCTGTATTAGGAATACATGACATGCATAGGTAAAGTACACGCTAATCTAGTTACTTATGGATCCATCCGCAGTTAGCCCTAATTAGGTAGTTATAGGCATAGGTAGGTACATACCTACCTAGGTACCTCATGAACTCACGAGTTGTAAGGCTAGACGCGTGAGGATGCCTGTTTAGCCTTCCACGCTTCGCTGCAAGCAGCAATGGACAACTAAACGCACGTCAAGGATTGAAAGCCAGAGATTTGATTTCATAGATGGCGAGAAAGACGGCCATATTCGCTGTTCTAGGGTGGATGCGCCTTCCTTCCCATCGTTTATTAAGATAGGCAAGTTGTTCATTCCTTACACTATGGCTATTTCGACGGAAACCGCGGCTCAAACATGCATTTGGAGACTTAGATACCTATGAATTTTTACCTCTGAGTAGGAATCGATGGGCATTTACACAGAAGTCCGTGGTTATGGACACAGTTCCGTAAGCTACCTAGAAACCCATTTTAATTGTTGACTGTCCCTTCAGAGCATCTGATGGAAGAAAGAATAGCGTAATATTCATGCTAAACCTGGTATCTGAGAGGTCTACTATATTTCTAGATTAAGTCTAGAGCCCAGGTAGATCATGATCATACGTGTAACGTTTAGCTATCATGGATCTATATGCAGTCGAAAAGAATCACAATGGGAGATTTTAGAGGTTGAAAGAGCCTAGTACGCAGCATGTAATCTGGAGAGAAGCTCGCTGAGCTTGAATTCTCTAGCAGCTAGCTCAGCCTATTTATCCCTGTGGGTGGAGCTAGAAGGCGTGGGAGAAACACGACAGGAGGTCTGCCTGTAGGCAGGCTCCGACATGTAATTATATAGAATTGATCGAAAGCGAGGTTCGGTAAGCAAAGGACTATATCTTTCTGGTCTGATACGGGGGACAAGTCAGCCATAGTTCCTAGGATAAGCTAATTTGTTATTAATTTTATACTCCCTCCAATGTTTCATTTATAATCAGCAGACGACTCTAGATATTAGATAGTCACTCACTTTCAAATGAACAATGGCGCGATTTAATTGCTTCATTCCGAGTAGAAACTTCTAGCACCATTCTATAGTAATATCATAAGAACAAAGTGGACAGTAAATCTCTATATAGGCCAATATAAGTTACTACACGATATTAGCGCCACTAACAGATTACCTTAAGCACCAACTGCGTGTCCTTCCCTTGCCACAGATAAAAAGAGATCCGATTATAGTATCGATATATAATTAATGGGATCAGACAATGTGAGGAAAACATTTGGGAGGTGGGCGCCCTATAATATAGTTGTCAATTAGACAAAATCTTACATTTGTCAGTCTACTTATTTTGTTTGAAGAGAATATATCATATAGGAGGAAGAGATTCACACAACGAACACTTTATATGCTAACAGCAGTATCCTCTGGTATTAGCTCTTTACTATACTCTGAACCAGCATATTTGCTTGTCTCAGTGCACAATGGCTGCGAGCATGGTAACTTATCATAACATATGTTCGCATCAGGTGTTTTGTACTGCTTTGTATATTAGAACATGTTGAACAGTTCGGCTCTAAGTTCTTTGCGTAACTAGGAGATGAATATATGGCCAAGGTCCAGATCCAGCTCGAGCAATTAACCGTCAACTGCGCTAGAGGCTCCAGATATACCTTCGCTTCCGTGCCACTTACAGTTTGACAACTCATAAACAGAAGCTAGAATGGGTCGGCGCATTCTCGCTCCTCATGGAATTGAGACAGCTATCGTACTACTACTTTCAAGTGTTGCGAAATATGTACCGTAGAAATCCCATTTACCGGGGCTTTTCTGTTCTAAAATAGCAAACATAGACCTGCCAGAACCATCAATTCCTCACAAGGGTTCAAGATATCGTATTCCTGGAGTATACTTAGGTAGAAATTGTCAACCTCCAGTATAGACAGAGCGAGCAATAAATTACCAATAAGGCGAATTAATATTTCATCTAGACAGAATGCCGATCCTTCCGTCACGAGTAGGTGAATGAACAGCTTCAAATTTCCCCTCAAGGATATCATACTTTTAATAAAAGGGTAGAATTTGTTTTTTTTTTCCGACTCGCACCACCGCAAATGAATGGATCTGCCCCTTTCTGCGATATTTGTGTTGATCGCCACTAAGAAAACATACAAGCAGAACAGAATACATGCGGCTTTGGCATTTTCCTACCGACGCGTGTCGATACGGAAGCCAAGATTATGCTACATATTCTTCTCTGGAAGAAGTGTGAGTTTGACACTGGTAGTCATGTAAACTAGATAGCACTCGCTGCAAGACCTTCAATACTCGAGCCATCGACATAGTATTGTTCTATTACTTGGGAAATAATATCATAGGAAACAGTCCTTAGACTGATCGTTTACTAAGTGGCTCTACTGAGAAGCTAATAGTAGCATAGGAACAGCAGAATATTACATGAGGAGTGAATACCCAAGCTTGTCAGCGTCGTCCAACGTGCCATAGTATACTCGATCATGATACAATTCTCAGTCTCGGATTAGCGATGACGAAATCAGAATACCTTATCTATATCTACAGCTGACCCAGGTCGATAATGGATTTATGCATCTCTATGTCACTATTGTGTATTGTAGATTTCCAAGTATATATCCTTGTGCATGTGACATCAGTGCATTGCCTTCATTTCCTTTTGGTTCAACAACGTCAAATCCTTCTTCGCTAGATGTCATGTACTGAGCAGAAGCTCTGCGGTCATCACAGGCTAGATCTAAATGCCAAGCCTTGGGTCGCAATTACCATGATTCACATTCAGTGAGACTCAGGATATGTGCATGTTCTATAATGTGACTTATCGTCATATGTGACATGGCCTCTCCCTATGACGCAGAGGTAACAACCCTAGTAGAAAGCAACCGTGAAAGGCCTTGGTATCCTCAGGCACACATCAACTCTAATATGACGAAGGTGATGCAACATCTACTCGATTGAGTTGGAAAGGTCAAAGTATATAGGCGATTAAAGTGCCACTGAACGCATACCTGCGCTTATCCCGCCTCCCCTGAACGGTAACGGTGCGCATAGACATACGGGTGTAACCTTGACCTGTGCCATGTTGATGGAGTGTGTGTAGCTTTGATATATATGGGGAAATGATTTCATGGGACAAAGTTACCATGCTGCCGTAAAGTGCCCCTGGGAGGAATAATGACTTAAAAATGTCATAATCCCCCAAACGCAAGAGAAAGCGAGACTGTGCTACCGATTATTTGCCAGGCAGTCAAGGAGAAAAATCAGAGATAAATGGAAATATTGATAGGGGTGTAGAACGTAAAAGTCAATAGAAGAGGTTCTCGTAACTTGAACAATGAATTGTCCTGCTCGTAATTTTACCAAGGTGCGTGCTGCATTCAGTGGCAGTGGGGTGAGTGATCTCATAATGATCACCCAAAATTGCCGATAATGTGTTCTCCATGCCCGAATACTCTCTTCTTCGAGGAGGACTTGCTTGCCAGCATTGCTTGGAGGAAGATATGCTCACAACATGGCGCAGATCATCGCACACTCTTTCATGTTCCAGACGTAGTACAACGTTTTCCTCGACCGATTTCAAAGGAGAAAGTTTTCTGCTCAAACCCTACCATCAATAGATCTTCCTGACATGTGGCGGCTTTAGACCGGGTTCTAGAAGGATGAAGACCCCTGCACCATATGGCTGCGGAGATCTCCGCGACTAACGTTCCTAGAGATGTAAGCTATTGTTGGGGTGTTCCGTCCATAGTTGAATTGTTCGAAAACGTGGAGGAAGGCGTGGACAATTCGGGCCATTGTTGAGCACGTGGTGAGTTTTTCTCAAGCGCCAGACATCTGGACGCCGTGGCTTCAACGAAAGGCCCTGGTTACGACCAGTAACGATGGGTGCTCTAGCGAGGGAAATTTCAACTATTTCTTAGCTTTTCGCATTCGGAGCTTCCCGAAGCTAGAGCGCTTCTTTCTTTGGGATTTCCCCATTGCAGCCCCAATTATTTCCATTTCCGGCGATGCTGAAGATAGGAAGAAAACGGAACCTTTACCCTAATTGTTACTCTCCCGTGGTTCACTAGAAGACTGAAATCAAATCACCTTAGTCTTTTCTGCTTATATTTTCTTGTATAGGGCTAGACTGTTGTGTCTGGACGAGTTCTAGACGATGAAAGCGCTCGATGACAGCCGCATACAGCTAGGCCCATGAAATAGATTCTTTTCTACACTGGACATGGCCGGAATATAGCGTACCTGTCTCGGAGAATACGGTAGATCCTCTCCACGCCGCTTGCACCATAATATTGGAATGTACTACTATGATGGTTGGTCGGCTACTGTCACCCCCTTTTTTGCCGGCTCAACACGAATCCGGTGATGAAGTCTTGGCAGCAGTTGGATTAAGCTCAATGCAGGAACTCGCTTAAACTTCGACGGACCCACAGTTCGCAACTAACCCGCGAACGGCTGCATTCGTTCGCTCTATAGAACAGACCACTGTTCAACTTCGAGGAAAATCAAGGGAAATGGTTTTGTTCGGCTCTAATGGGTAGGATGTGTGCAGTCAGGCATCAATGTTTAGATAGAATACCTTTTTCATACCAACTAACCGGCAACTGGAAGTAAGTAACCAATTGATGCTTAGTTCTTCTGTCTCCAATACTGACTCTACATCCTTGGGATATTGTATCATACTACTATAACTATCATCTGATAGGAAAAACGATAGCAAGAACGATGAAAGCCGCCTGATATCAGACCAGTAGCCAAGCTTGAAGTCAACTCTGAATTCATGATCAACAGTTCAAAGAGTTCCATTGTCCAGCGCCATGACACCGGTCGGGCCGTTTTGCCTGTAAACACTGCGGGGACATAATCGACGGTTATGGGCCAGACATAAATCTAGATTGCTCGGGAAAAAGTTTTTCAGCCCTATTGTGAACTATAGTAGAATGGTCGTGATTACATACCGTGGTTAAGAACGGGAAGATCCATGGTTTTATCCGCGTACTCTGTTACCGCCTCGTACAGTAGAATACAGACAGTATGAGATTCGCCGTTACAAAGCTAAGTTTATACGTTAACCACCGGCTATGATGACCACCTGATAGATCCTATCTAGGCGAGGGTTATTGTAAGCGATCTACCTCTACATACACATTGACAAATTAGCGTCCGAGGGGATCTGTCTAACCACCTTATTGAACTAATGCGGTCATCTGCCTCCGCAACTTAGTGATTGTCTTGCGATGCAGAAGGAGGTCAACGAAGACGAGGAGAGGAGCTAAGGCTTAAACCTCAGGAATCTGGACCCGCCTAGAAGCTGGGGCGAGATTACAACAGAGGATCATGGACATCTGGAAAGTGGCGTGAGAGCATTCTTGGCTCCTTGGGGACAGGCAGTCATTGATATTGCCCTTCAGATTTCGAAACACATATATAATACTAAGGAATCTGCAAACTTCAATACTTGAAACATCCCCTGAGTAAGCTTTATAAAGACATAATCCAATACTTGAACCTGTGAGCCGTACAGTGAATCAAAACATATCTTCATATTATACAATGGATTTCGTTCCGTCGTTTACAACTCCGGTCTATGAGGACAAAAGGTCACTCATGGGCTTGATGCGCTCTAATACTGGTCTCCCCACGCCGCCTCCGAATGGCAATCTCGAGAAGGCAGATGAATACTTCTTCGACGTGCCTATTATCGAGGTCACACCACCACCCCGAGAAAGTCGCAGTATCGTTGCTGTTATTGGAGTCGGTTACATCGGCTACCAACTTGCTACTGCATTCGGGAGAGTCCACGACGTTATTGCCTTCGATGTCGATCAACGTCGTCTCAGTGAGATTGAGCCCCTGATGGCCAACCTGAAGGTCCACTGTACCACCAACCCGGAAGAACTGGCGATTGCAACACACTTCTTGATCTCCGTTCCTACACGGCTGCACCATGACAACACTGTGGATACACAACATCTCAGAAGTGCCATTGATCTTGTTGCACAATACGCACGACCTGGCTCCACAGTCGTAATCGAGAGCTCCGTTGCAGTGGGCATGAGCAGAGACCTGCTGAAGGAGGTCATGCTTCTGAAGGGTCTCAAGGCAGGCATGTCGCCTGAGCGCGTTGACCCTGGCCGCACCGATCCCCCTCTTGAACACATTCCCAAGATCATTTCTGGTCTTGATGACATCGTTCCCGGCTCACTATCCAGCATCCAAGAACTATACGAACAAGTATTCCGAAACCTTGTTCCTGTCTCTTCCCCCGAGGTCGCAGAGATGACAAAGCTTTACGAGAACTGCCAGCGCATGGTCTGCATTGCGCACGCAAACGAAATGGCCGATGCGTGCCATACTCTTGGGATCAACCCACACGAAGTGTCTGCTGCTGCTGCCTCGAAGCCATTCGGCTACATGCCCTACTCTCCTGGGCTTGGTGTTGGCGGACATTGCATTCCTGTCAACCCATACTATCTTCTCTCCAACTGTGACTTCCCTCTCCTCAAGGCAGCAAGTGAGAAGATGGCTAATCGCCCTGCTACATTGGGTGATCGTGTGATGAGAAGATACCTCAATCGTCGGAAGGCTTCTTGGACGGGACCTCCAAAGTCAGACCGAACTCGAGTTCTCGTAGTTGGAGTCGGCTTCAAGCGTGGTCAATCCGTCCTGAGCAACTCTCCTGGCCTTGCTCTCACCCGCCACTTGCTCGACGAGTGGGAGGCATACGTAGAGTTTGCCGATCCCCTTGTCAGTGAAGAAGCGGTTCCCTACGTCCCCAGACTGGATGACCAGAAGGACTGGAACAAAGAATCTCTTGAGGAGCAGTTCGATATTATCATCGTCGCTGTGAACCAGGTGGGGCTGGATATGGATGTCCTACGGAATCTTGATGGAGTCCACGTCGAGAACTTTACGGCATCGTGAAGAAAAAGAATGAAAATGACTTTGGTTTGAGGCGTTTAGTTTAACGATTCATGTATATGTCCTGATTGCTGTCATCATTGGATAGATAGGTTGGACGGTTTAAATATACTGAAATAATGATTTGTTATATAGTTTATCTACTTAGGTCTCCGCTATTATAAGAATGAGCATTCGTAACAGGTTTTCTAAAAAGAAAAACGTACCATATCTCTCCTTGGAATTACTTCATAATAGTGAATATACCTTGAACCGTGCAGATAGTCTTTTTCATTGTACTGTACCCAGTAGAGATCCTTGGAAATTATGTTTGGACGGCTGGTGCAAGAGTCTTTAGTGCCCGCACAGGTAATGCTTCTTCTCCTCTCCTAGCTCCCAATGAATCAAGATTGAATTGTTGGGCATCGAATTATCTCAACTTCTAGTCCAGAAAAAGGCTACATCACACGGTTATAAACAATAATTTCACTGCCACAATGTAATTTGAGCAACATGGTATGCTCTTCACTAAGAAAACAGTTCCCGCGATCCTGTAGTGATAAGGCTACGAGGCCCTGGCGGAGCATCTGCAGTGCCTGTCCAGTAGAATAGTCCTCCTAACTTGTGCGCCTTCACGTACTGCGCCTTAGCAGCTACTGTAGTCGGGTTGTCATAGGTAATAAATCCCGCATCCTTGGAGACACAATAGGCGGCACCGAGCTTTTGGTCAACAAACTCCTGCGCACCTGGTGGAGGAAGGTCCTTGTAGTCTAGTATACCTCCGTCTCCAGCATAACGATGGAAGCTCTGCCCAACACGGTCCAGGCCCGGAAACTGCCGGCCATAAAGTGGAATCCCGAGTACGATCTTGCGAGGATGAACTCCGTGAGAGAGAAAATAAGTCACAGCCCCATGGACGGATCGCTTCGCAAAGTCATTGTGGGGTCGTGTAGGTGAGTACAGTTGACTCTGGTGGCCTGACATTTTAGTCCACGGGCCAGCAAAGTCATAGCACATCAGATTGACTAGGTCGACTAGCTGTCCCACGGTCTTTAGATTAATGTGGCGCAGACTCCATTCACCAACCGGCAAAGCCGTGGTAAGAAGATACCTGGGGGCGGGGAGGCTTTTTCGGAGCTCCCCGAGGAGAATAACGTAGTTCTTGCCCTGCTCCGGTGTGGATGGGTGCTCCCAGTCGACTAGGTCGATGTTGGTCAATATGCCATGAGGGAATGTGAGGATGAGGGAGTAAAAGAATGAGTTTTCATACCATCGACGCCGTCGAATCCATATTGATCAACGAACTTGCGCACAGATTGCGCAAGTCTAGCGCGGCTTTCAGGGACAGCAGCGAGTTCCGCGAATGGACCACTTCCACTGCCACCCCCAAGAGACACTATGAGCTTCAGATGGGGGAACCTCTCACGCTTGAGGAGTGACAGAGCATTCAGACAGCCCTTTGTCCCGTCAGTGGGGTACTCAAGGTCAGCCTTTTCGTCCAGATGCTAAGCGAACAGTCAGTTAGGTGGAACGTGGGTCGCATCTGGTCAAGCTTACCTGAATGTCGCCATTGGGGAGAAGTCTACCCAACGAGGAATAGTTAGTCTGTGGCTCCTCCCTCCCCCAGAATAGACGGTGGTATGTAACTCACCTCAAGAAAGCATAGAAAACATGAGTTGTGGCGGTTAGGTCCAGTGTCGAGGGCGTTTGCCCTCTGTAAACCTTCCAGGAAGGGTAATAGGAGCCGTGGACAAAAGGGAAATAGTCCATTGTCGTTATTTCTTCTCCGTTAATCTGTACGTTTGTTCTTTGTGAGTTACAATGAGGTATAGGTAGGATGAACGGGTGATGGGCAATATTCTTAAGGTCTTGGCCTGAAGCCAGATCCGTCAGGTAGGCCTCGTAGGCCAAGGAAGCATGTTTGCCTCCGTTCAGAGATGATGATAATATCATTACTGAGATTGTGATCCTAGGGAATTTTACGCGATGTGTTTTGCCCTTGTATTGACGGTAATGGCCATATTCGGAAGTTGGCGAAACCAGCGAACGATCCAAAGTTAAAATAACGTTGGAGGCGCAGAACTGTCAGATCCACGGTTCGTGAGTATGATCTAGACCTTGGGATTCCTATTCGCCCAGCAGCTAGTGGACATGGGCTTCATAGTGTCGATCGTGACAAAGGGCTCCGCGAGCCTGGCCAGATACTTTGGCCAGAAACTAATCGAGTAAACACGGGCCAGAAATCCCTGGACGCAATGCGCACGCCATTATCCACGAGCAGTCTCTGTCTTTTCTGTTGTTATTTCCAGGGCCAGAGGTCTCTGAAATTTGCCTCCCACCCAGGACCTCCAGGTATATGACCATTGATTGCCACGCCCGACGTCAATCGTGCAATTCTTAAGGTCTCCCGCAGGCGGAAGGATACCTTCAATTCCACAAGACGAAAGAATACCCCCATACACAAATAGTACTCATACTTTGTTTACTATTCTTCCCGTCGCCGCCATCGGTAACGTCTCATGATGTGTACCATCGGACCTCAGAACGGAGAGGTGGTGTTTCAATCAGCCGACCAAGATGGGCTGCCCATCGCAGTCAAGACCATCACTTTGCCTCAAAAAGTTGCGATCGCGAAAGTGAAAAGCAGCCATAGCAGGGGCAGAAGGTCGATTCTAGGGAAAGTGTTCTCCACGCTGCCGTCCAAAATACCGATAGTTTCTACTCGCTCAATCTCATCCGGTCGATCTGCCTCGGGCTCATCTACCCGCAGTGCTGAGGTAGCTATAGAGCCTACTACGACGCAATCCTCCAATGCCCAGAGCAGTTCTTCGCCCTCTTCAAAATCAACGGTCCCAGATGGTTTCGGCCAGCGAAGGACCTCGTCGCCAGTTTCATTTGACGTGATCAGTCGATATGAGACCGCTCACAGCTTAGAGCTCAAGGATGACTCTTCACTTACCAGCGTTTCCTCGCCTGATCTCACGCTCAAGGGCAAACGAAAGAGCTCCTTGATTACCCCAGAGCCCCTGGCACAGCCATTTGTGCCACCAGCAGGGCCGCGAGGCAGCTGGGATATCGACATCGAAGAAGAGTCAGCTGCTGCTGCTGTCGAAACACTACCCGGGTCGAGTACCGAGGAGAAGAATCTCCAAGCCCATGGTCCGTCAGAACCCTCCATTGAGGAATGGCAAGATTGCATTACAACTGCAACACCCAAGGCTCGGGTTGAGGATACTCCAAAGGTTCGCCGACGAGGCAGAAGGACCATTGTCTCCCAAAAACACCTCATGCAAGCAGCAGTCGTCCTGATGAATGGCTTTTTCATCTTTGTCACCTGGTGGTGGCCTAGATTCGCTTATGTCCTCCTTCCATTCATCACCGCTACTGTCGCACTGAACAGCATAATGGTCTTCTCGATCGGCGCTCATGTTATCTGGCATCGCATTTTCCCGGAAAAACAAATCATGCCTGAGAAGCCCGAAAACCTGGTGCTCCTCATCCCGTGCTATAATGAGACCATGGAGGAGATGACCAAGTCACTGGACTCCCTTGTCACACAGAAGGACATTGGCCAGCATCCCCAAGCAGTTATGATTATCTGTGACGGTAAGGTGCGCGGCCCTGGGATGGATAAGACGACAGCAGATTATCTATTCGAAGACATTCTCGTGCAGAAAGACTACCGTGTTCGCATTCGCGGCGCATACCTAGCCTGGGACCAGGAATTCATGGATGTTGTTGTCCAGAAGGGCACCTACCGAGGCGTCCCGTACTTCTGCATTGTGAAGCAGCAGAACCAAGGAAAGCGGGACAGTCTCATTGTTGTCCGCTCGTTCCTCTACAACTACAATGTGCGCGCGGAGCATCCTGAAACCATCTTCTCTCCCAGGTTCTTCGGATTCATGGCTTCGTTCCTGAAGGAGGCGGGCATTGACAACGTTGACCACCTGGTCGGAATGGACGCGGACACGGTTTTCGACGACTACTGCATCTCCGAGCTCCTTAAGGAGTCGCGGTACCCCCACACAGTTGGAGTCTGCGGTTACGTCGCTGTCGACTGGAAAGACGGCCACTGGGATCCGTGGCGTCTATACCAATCTGCAGAGTACACTATTGCGCAAGGTCTTCGTCGTCTGCATCAATCTATTGCCACTCATAAAGTGTCCTGTCTTCCGGGGTGCTGTCAACTGCTGAAGATATGTGAAGAGACCTGTGGTCAGGAAGTCCTGGTCGAAAAGTTCGGTTATTGTCCCACACTGACCGATGGCATGTTGACCCAAATCCGGGCTACAGCCAGTGAGGACCGTAACCACGTATGCCACATGCTCTCTATGCGTCCCAAAGTCCAGACCCGTCAAGCTTTGAAGGCGAAGGCCTACACCGACGTCCCGTACACATGGTCTGTATTCTTATCCCAGCGCAGACGTTGGTCACTTGGTGCCACGTCTAACGACTTGCTCCTGGTGTGGGCGCCCGGTGTCCAATGGTTCGAGAGAATCATCGCTGTCGTGAACTGCCTTACCTGGTTCCTGAATTTCTTCATTTTTGCAAGCGTTGTCAGTTTCATCTTCGCTATGACCCGTAAGTAAAAGCACCTAACGCCAAGAGACTTGATGACAGAACCACTAACTGCGTATTAGACACTCCTGCCTGGATCATCATGTGTTTTGTCAGCGTTATGTTGATCCCTCTTGTTTACTACCTGTGCATCCCATTGTGGTTGTGCAAGGCCTGGCGTGACCGTTTCCAATTCTGGGCCGGTTGTGCCCTGTATACTTTCTGTGGTCCATTCATTAATATTTCCGTTCTACTATATTCATGCTGGAACATGGACTCTTTTGGATGGGGAAAGACCAGAAAGGTCATCGCTGAGGACGCTGTTTCTTTGGCCGAATCTGTTTCCCAGCCTGATTCTGCCTCTAAGAAAGATGCAGCAGAAGATATCGTGCCGGAGCCATCGACATCGCCGTCATCCTCAGAGAAACCATCATCAGAAAAAGGAAAGCAAAAGCAACTTGAATTTCAACCTGCACAAGATGATATCATCTTGAAGGATATCATTTTGAACAATGCCAATGAGAACGAAGAAAGGAAGGTTCCTGCATTCCAAAGGCAGGACGGGCAATAGGGGAGGTTACACGATACTTAATCTCATATATAGCTGGCGTTTCTCTTATGATTGAATTTCAGAGTTCATTCTCTCCTTGCACAGTTAGCTTTATACAATACTTTACAAACCAGAATGAGGTTACCTAGATGCTACTGTGTGAATACTTGAAAATTACCCATTGTTAATGCAAAAGAGACTTGTATCAATAATATTAATATAAGATCAACTAGAATGCATAGTTAGAAGAAGGCGGCATTATTAAAACGAGGGATGACGCATAGCAACAGGATAGTTGCAGGTGATCTCACCTCGCACAGACCTTTGTAGATCCGCGTGGCAGACTTGCAGTAAGTACTCGTCCATCCAGACCTGCTCTGCTGTACCAGTCTAATCCCGAAATATTGAAGCAGTCTTTTATATTGCATCATCTTTAAATATGGAAAAATTCCGGCTTTCTCATACAAGAGTCTTTCTTGTGAAATCGCTTGTGCCTTTGCTGTATAGGAATATATGTCTACCAGCATGCCAAAAAAGCACCGTCTCTTGGGAAAGGACATCTACTCGATCCCGAAGGAGGAGGAAGTTAACATCCTTCAGAAGCTAAGCTATTACGATCAACAGGTCCGATTCTTTGCTCGCCTCGAAAGCAAACGCAGTTGGATGAAGGTTATAGTTGCTTATCATCTAGGCCTTTTATCAGCTGCTGCATGTCAGGTCGCAGAAATAAAGGATTGGCTTCATGGAAGCTTTAATCTCTGCGTTCCAGTGACTCTTGGTAACTGGACAGGGAGACAGCAACCAGGCCGACGTGTCCTCCTTTGATTTCCTCTCCTTTCATCGCATCGGTGAATCCTTCAGGTCCGGACATGGGGACGAGAAGATTCGGTGCGAAGCAGGAACCTATGCATGGTTGCAAGGGAACTGTCCAGACGTGCCAATTCCACGACTGTACGGCTTTTCCACTTCCGTAGGTTAAACTGTAAATAGCCGACTGTGCTCACAACTTCCTACACTCACTAACGGAGCTTAGTTCACCAGGCTTGAAAACCTACCGTTCCTTATCTGGCGCTTTCAGTCCTTGCGTTATAGACTGCTGTCATTGCTAGGACGTCCAGTTCCTTCGAGTTACGTGTTTCGTGGAAGACATGTTGGTGATGGCGTCAAGGGTGCTGGTTACTTGTTGATACAATATATTGGGGAAATACAAGGGGGAATGCTTTCCCAAACGTGGTCGGACAAACGGCATTATCTCAAATTACGCGCCAATTTCTTTCGTGGTCTCTCTCGGGTCTTATTAAGCATCAGTCGAATTCCTCCGCCACAAATCCGTTCCTTCACTATCGATTAGCAATGGGTTCTTAAGTTTAACAAATCGACCCTTATCAATTGGCATACAACAGTTGGAGAACGAGGAGATCCCAACACATCTACACTCTGATTAAACCTATTCGACCGTTGACTCCTATGTGGTGGATATTCTCGGAGTTCATGATAGTCGCTTTCGAAACCAGCCGAATGCCGTCAATAACCTGGGGGGCTGGTGCAGCGGTTTAGACCCGGAATACACCCTGGGAGCGACACCGTGACAAATAATCTAAAAACAAGCTTAACAAAAGAGGGGAAATATTATTATAACTTTAGCTTTTTATTAAATCATAAATAAACAAGCTGCTGTATATTGGCGCCCGTAGTAAGCAGCACTTGGCAGAATCTAACCTTCTTATCCCCTTCGCACGCTTACACTCCCAATCTGCCCATACTACGCCTTGTAAACAGTAGGATATAAGGGTATAAGCAGCAGGAGTAAGAAGGAACAAACATAAGTTTATCTCCTGTAAGACCTAAACCGAATCTGAAAAACAATCGCCCCCGAAGAACCCCCAAACCCCCGTCGGATCCGCCACTGGTATATTACCGGAACATTTTAAAGATAAACTTCTTCTCTCTCCTCCTCTGGCGCCAGAAGTTGGTTGCCTCGAGAATCTCGGGACATCCCTCGATTAGCCAACCCCACTTTATCAAGAAGGCATCACTGGCCTCCCAGCTCCGGGGATCCCACGGTTCCCCCCAGACAATAAGAGCCGGCTTCTCACCTTGACCGTCATCTTCTACGCTAAGGAGATCACCACACAGCTCATCTTCATCAAAGACACCGGCAACAATCGCGCTGAGAATATTGTCCCGCATCCGCGGAATGGGAAAGAGGTCAATCCAAGGATGATGTTTGACTGTCTTCTGTAAGACTGTGGGGAGAAGATTTGCGGCACAGGATGGTGATGGCGGGATTGCGTCTGAGGAACACGGGCCTTGTTCGCTGAAGGGCGATATAAACTCATCGCGACATAGCCCTTCGACCGGAATGCCGAGTAGGGTAGCATTGTGTGACAGGGCGTTGAGGACATTTAACCGGATCAGCATTGGTAATTGTGTCGGTTGTGGCGAGTTCAGGCTGTAATGCTCATAGGTTTTCCGCATAAAGGCGCGGATCCAAGCACGTTGATGGGGTGAAGCTAGGAGGAGATAGCCCTTACCCAGGTTGCTTTCATCTTTGGCGGCAAGCTTATTCTCGCTGTCCCTGCTGTCTTGCTGCTGGTCTAGTGGAAGTTGATGGCCGCGCGCCGCGGACTCACTTGGAGTGACAAGAGCATGTCTCTGCTGGGCGTGCTGCCTTCTTCCTGCAGGGAAGAGCGCGATATGTCAGCGATCAGCGCCCGGATAATGCGCAATGGGGATTAGCCTACGATGTGCCCTCTGATTGAGACGGTTCTGGCGCTTTTTCCTCTCTGCCGTGCTTGTCACTCCCGTCCAATCATCCCTGATGTCCCGTACTTCTGCTATTTGTCGAAGCATACTCCCCGGTCTGAGAAAGGAGGCTACTAGATAGCCATCTGCATTTGTATCCATCTTTGGAGCGAGACAGCGAAAAGTACTGACTGTTACTTGGCGGACTGTGGGTGCAGCACAACGAAGAATAACTAGCTTATATGCAACTGGCTTATGAAAGGGGAGCGCAGAGATCAGAGTGGATGAGCCACTGCCCTTTATAGAAGGGTTGCGCACGTGCCTCATCTCTGCAGGCCGTACACCATATACCATATAATACTGTATGTTTGTCAAAGCTGTCTTGAAATGAAATGATTTTTAATTTACACGCTAGTAATATTAATTGTTCTTGCTGTGCCGGTTATATGGGTCGCGAGGTCGCGAGGTGGCGTCTCGCGAGGTCGCGAGGTTTTTGTTACCAGTAGGTTACTGGTAAATTATTATTTTATATTAAAATTATACTAATATATACTAATAGAGAATAAAATCTAAAATTTTTAAATCTCGCAGGGTGGTAAGTACAGATAAATCTTATCTCGCGGGGCGGTAAGATTATAATTTTTATATTTTATACTAAATATTACTAGTTTTATTAGTAAAGTCTAATTACTATTAAAATAGCTTAGTTATAAATTACTATTATACTACCCCGCGAGACTAAGTAAATAACTGTTAGATCTGTATTAAAATTAAGCAAATACAGGCTATTAGTGCTACTAAATAAATCTGGATTTACTAATAATATTTAATATTTTTTAATAAATATTAAATAATAGATTATTAATATATATTAATATTTATTAATATATATTAATATTTATTAATATATATTAATATTTATTAATATATATTAGTAATTATTTAATATATTAGTATTTTACTAATAATATTTAATTATATTAAGTTATAATTAATAATAATTTTAAGATTAAATATATTCTCTCTTTTTTTCTATATATATATATATTATAAATATATAAAGTATAATTATAATTTTAAATTTAAAAAAGAATAATATATTATAATTTATATTAATATAATTTAAAACTTTAAATATTATAATCTTAAATAATAAAATATAGTATACTAGTAAATATTAAAATAATTATAAATAATATAATTATATTAATAAATTTAAATATATTTAATATTATTAAATTATAAAAGAGATATATTATTTAATTTAATTTATTTATATTAATATATTTAAATTTTATTAGTATAATAATATAAATTAACTAATATTTTTTTTATATTAAATAGCTATAAGTAAGTACTAATTAATATAATAAATTTTAAATATCTAATATTTACTAAAATTCTAAAAGATATAATTATTTATTTTATTTTAATAACTATTAAATATTTAATTTATTATAAGATCTCATAATAAACTTAATCGTTTTTTATAAATATTAAAGTCGCTATAAATTATACTAATTATACTAATAATTTTAAATATATTAATATTTAACTAAATAAATTAAATAATATATACTCTTTTATAATTTTAATAAATATTAATATATTTAAATTTTATTAATATAATTTATATTTATTTATAATTATTTTAATATTTACTAGTAATACTATATTTTATTATTTTATATTATAATATTTAAAGTTTTAAATTATATTAATATAAATTATAATATTTATTCTTTTTTAAATTTCAATTCTATATACTTTATATATTTATAATATATACTATAGAAAAAAAAGAGAGAATATATTTAATCTTAAAATTATTATTAATTATAACTTAATATAATTAAATATTATTAGTAAAATACTAATATATTAAATAATTACTAATATATATTAATAAATATTAATATATATTAATAAATATTAATATATATTAATAATCTATTATTTAATATTTATTAAAAAATATTAAATATTATTAGTAAATCCAGATTTATTTAGTAGCACTAATAGCCTGTATTTGCTTAATTTTAATACAGATCTAACAGTTATTTACCTGGTCTCGCGGGGTAGTATAATTGTAATTTATAACTAAACTGTTTTAATTCTATTAGTAAATTTAGCAATATCTAGTATAAAATACAGCAATTACAATCTTACCGCCCCGCGAGATAAGATTTACCTATACTTACCACCCCGCCAGATTTTAAAATTTTAGATTTTATTCCCTATTAATATATATTAATATAATTTTAATATAAAATAGTAATTTACTAGTACTCTACTGGTAACAAAAACCTCGCCACCTCGCGAGACGCCGCCTCGCGACCTCGCGACCAACCCACCGTTGCTGTGCCTACTCGCCGTATAAAGCGAAGCAAACACGACAACCTTCCGTCCAAGCTATGTATTGCGTATTATTAAAAAGTAATATTACTAGCGTGTGGAATTCATTACTTAGACGATCCGGAACTAACCGCCCAAAGCTAGGATATTGCGGGAGCGTTAACGCATAGACCTCACAGACCAGAAGCTTCCCCCACATCATTAATATTATGCTCATTTAACTGTCTATCCACAATCATGAGAACTAGTTTTTTTTTTTTTGTTTTTTTTATAGGCTTGTTTAGTGCTATTAGCAACTCTAGTCAAACTCATAGAGCTCTGATGTGACCTGTTTGGGAAATTGAAGCAGAAAAAAAAAAGAACAAACAAACAAGAAAAGGAATTCTAGAATTTCTCTGTAGATAGATAGTGGGCCTAATAAGGCTTTAACTACCGTATTCAGATTGCGCTAATGCAACCGGCTGACACTACCCACATACCTTAGTTGTACTAGTACGTACCTGATGCTGTCCTGCAACTCAATTATTATTAATATTATAGCCAATAGTCAATACGCTTTAAAGACATGTCTGTAGTATAGATAGTAGTAGTATTCCTTTCTGTGGTCGATGATGTCTTCGCCACGCCATTGCTACAGTACATGCAATGTTAGTTACTGATTACCATCCGTGGCTCAGCTCGACGAAGGGTAAGCTACCAGTCACGGATATAGCTAAAGTCCGAAAAATGCCCATCAAGACAAAGAGACAGGAAGAACGCTCTGGGGGCTTGCTATCCCATCTCCTCGGACATTACAACAACAGTATTGCAGACATCTCACAGGGATTAAGCCCGCACGGGACAACAACAGGGTATTTGAGGATCTCGATCCCTCGCGTTAGCATCGATTCAGTCAGGACTCCTCTGTCATCAAGACAACGCCGGCCAACGATCCCTCACGTGCTCTGGCAATTCTTTGCTGTTAAGCCACCATGGTCAAGACACTCCCCTTTGGAGATTTTCACGTCCCTTCCCCCGGCTTCGGGGCAATGGGTCTGAGCTTTGGTTTAGGAAACCATCTCAGTCTCGACGAGGCTGAACCGGTGCTGCGGAAAGCAATTGAGCTGGGATGCACCTTTTGGGACACGGCGGTGAGTCAAGACGCTTTCTCTTGTCAGTAGTCGCACAGAAGGTTGATGGCTGTGGAAGGTTGTCTACGAAGCTGGTGTCAATGAGAAACTCCTGGGAGATTTTATCAGGAAATATAACGTGCGCGACAAGGTCTTCAGTATGTTGCACACACCTCCTTGGTCCACCACGGCGACTTCTAACGCATCTCGGGTCACTAGTCGCCTCAAAATGTGGTTTCGATGTCTTCGGTGGCGATGGGAATGTCACGAACTCGGCCTCTCACATCAAAGAGTACATCGAAGGTACCATTGAGAGACTTGGTTTTGCACCAGACCTCTACTATCTTCATCGGATTGATCCAAGTGCGTCTCGCCATCTGTACTGTTATTTCGTCTACTGATGAAAACCTCGACAGGAACCCCTCTCGAAGAGTCGATTCCCGCGCTTGATGAACTCCGAAAGGCAGGGAAAACGAAATACATTGGTCTCTCTGAATGTTCTGCCGCTACACTGCGTAAGGCCAATTCGAGTGAGATTCTTCCTCGCCATTTTTTTCAACATTGAACGCGGCACTGACTCTCACTCGTAGTTGCCAAGATTGATGCCGTTCAAGCGGAATATTCAGCTTTTGAGACCTTGCACGAGACGGATGGTCTCATCGAGACTGCGAGGGAACTTGGTGTGGCCTACGTGGCTTACAGCCCCTTGGGCCACGGCTGGCTGGTTGATGAATTCCAATACAAGTCCCCCGATGATTTTGCGCCCGATGATTTCCGACGGAAGAGTGAGTCTCCATTCCAATCATATCTGCCGAGCCATCCGTAACAAAGCTCTCACACCGAACTTGCTGGTCTCTAGTTCCCAAGTTCCAAGGCGAGAACTTTTATAAAAATCGAGCCATCGTTGAAGAAATTACAAAGCTTGCTTTAAAAAGAGGTTGCACTACAGCTCAAATTGCTCTGGCCTGGGTTGCTGCGCAAGGAATGATTGCCATACCAGGCACAACCAAAGCAAAGCGATTGGAGGAAAATTGGGCGTCTAGAGACATTGATCTTACGGAAGAAGAGAAACGAGAGATGAGGAAAGTCATTGATGCCGCCAAGCCGCACGGCAACAGATATGCTCCCGCACAGCAGGCGTTGGTGGGACACTGAAGTCGGATGCTCGTAGAGGAAAAGTAGTATATGAGCGTCGAAAATCACTTTTGAGCATCCATCTTATCTTTGATTCCATAATACGGACCCGCTGCTTCAGTCGATAGGGGAATCTACATGCTTAACCTCGACCATCTCAATTTTATTGAAGCATAGAATTGAATCTATTGGGATGCAGAGCCTGGCTACAGCGATAGCTGCTCTCAATAAAATCTAGTAAGCTATACAATAAGAGGCGTAAGATAGCCTTGGGGTATAGATTAATTGAGGGATGATTAACATAAGGCAGGAGGATACCGCGGGGTTATTGTCTCGGTAACACAGCACGAGAATTCTCTCGTTTCTCTTCTTCCGTAAGATCAATGTCTCTAAATAAAGCATTATCGAATATTGCGCTACTATACTACTAGCTAGTTCTTGAAACAAAAGTTGAGTCCATAGATGTATTCACTGCTTTATCCTATCTCGGTGGTCTCAGCTTTGCATGTAGGCAGCAGCATATTTGCAACGCTTTTGTATTTCCCTACTCCACTTATAGAATAGATGATAAGTGGAAATAGTACACAAACCAGCATGAGAACTACAGGAATGGATGTAGTTAATACTCCCAACTGAGAACTCCGCGATAGCGCATCTTCCCGCTAGCTAGTTTTTCCACACATGCTGTGACCCCTTCCAATGTCATGGGGAACCTCTCGGCAACGACATAGATTTTGTTTCGCGCTGCAAAGTCTAAAGCTTTGTCTCTGCAATCAGAAAATTAGCCATGGGCCCTGCCAATGTGGTTTTCATATAGTCACACATACTGAAGAAACTGACTACAGACACAACTGCCGATAATTCTCTGTCCATGATAGACTGTTGGAAAGTATGGTGCGGTGAAGTTGCCCCCGTCGACTGAAAGTGGCACAATAGTGGCGTTACGATTCAAGATTGGATAGAAGATCCCGATGTCCAACTTCGCGGAAGTGGTAATCAGAAGGCGGTCCACTGGCTTTTTCAGGCCTAGGAGAGAGTAATCTTCGATCCCCTTTGTGGCATAAAACTCGTTCGCACCGAGTTTTAGAGCTTCCTCCCGCTTTTCTTCCGTGGAGGAAAACGCCACGACGTCGCAACCCATCTTACTGGCATATTGAATGGTGAGATGACCGAGACCACCGATGCCGACGATCCCAACGCGCTCGTAAGGTCTGCACTGCTCGACCAGAGGAACCCACACGGTGCCACCACCACCTGGAGAAAGAATAATTAGAGAAAACCAGTAACGTAGATGAACAGACTGATATTCTTTGAAACTCACACATGAGAGGAGCGGCGTTTTCCGAGGAGAGCGCATCAGGAATGTGGAAGATCCACTGTTGCTTGCGCACGGCATGACTGCACACAGATCCCAAGGTATCGAAATCGACCATGCTATACGTCCTCGCTTCTGGACAATACGCATCCCGGCCAGTGCGACAGAACTCGCATAAGCTGCACGTTGAGTTTAGTGGACCCCAGCCAACTCTGTCTCCAACCTTGAAGAGGGTGACTGCGGAGCCAAGTTCCTCGATAATTCCAATCCCTACCAACGTAAGCTCATTATTTGTCCCATGTAGACCCTTTGGATAATAATCTGTATGCTACTAACCTTCATGTCCAAGCACCAATGGCTTGTTGAGCGCGTGAATGTCACTACCGCAAAGTCCACTGTGGGTTACTCGCACCAGAACCTCATCTGCCTGGATAGCAGGAAGAGTGAACGTTGTTTGCACGACCTTCCCCTCGGGAGATCCACGGAATTGGATTGCATTGACCATGCTGGCGTTTGCAGTAATGAAGTTCGTACGGGTGAACAGTAGAAAAGGATATAGGCTGGTGAGCAAAGCAAAGTTTGAAGAGAATCAAGAGGGACTATTGCTAAAGAAGTAATCGCCCAGAAATCTCTCTTATATGTAGCTCTTCACCCTCACGACCGGTAATTGCCATGTCACAAGACCATAGAGCTATATCCGATGGGACCATATAGCTATGTCCGATGTAATGTACATACCTACTACTCTAGTATGGGTTTGCGGAGTTAAATAAGATAAAACACCGTATATCTCCGACAGATGTTTCTACGACCTGTCATAGGGAATCACTCCTGTTCTACTTTCATCCACGTTTACCCTGATATGGTTGCCGTTTCCTGTACCATACGCTCCGAGTCTGTATGAAGCCAGTCTGGAAGTGGTTAGGCTCTCTGCAACTGGATTACCTACTTAGTGTGGAGCTTAACTAAGTTGGTGATGATTCGTATTCTGGAACAGCCCGTGTAGATAACCAGCTTACGTGCCGTCATTTCATTCCGGGAATTCGGATACGTATCCATGGATCTCATACGTTAGTGCCGACAGGAAACATTGGGCATCATCGTATGGAGATCTCAGCACTCGATTTCCACTTCGACATAGGATGGGTACGAACTGAAGTCAACGAACACTCTGTGCCTCTTATCTTTGAGCCGCCCGAGGTATCGGCCGCGATAGTGAAGTACTTTAAGTGGCTATGGTACTCTTCCGGTTGCACTAATTGACCGGACAAGAACCAGTGAACGGGAAGGGACCTAGATGAGAATCAAAGTTCCCAGAGCGAAGTCATACGACACGGTATGACCCTTGAGTCAAGTAGAACGCACTTCAAAGGCAGATGAATGACGGGACGGAATCTCTCCACAGATTCATCAGTGAGCGTTTACTGTTGTCTGGTTGACGTTTAGGCGATGCTGGTCTTATCTGTTACTTGACCACGGGAAGTTCCCGCCATATGTCTGGAGATTCGACATTTCATATCCATCATGAGAGCTTAATTCCGCTACCTCAGACCGAAAACCCCGGGACATTCTATGAGTTTATAACGAGGAATGCTGAGACTCATGCTCCCCGGCTGACATGGCATAAACATAAAATCGAAGACAATGGTGCCATATGAAAATAAATTATTAATTCTAATGAAAATTTGTTAACTCTTGATAATTACTTGGCATACTTACTCAGTGGACAGCCAGGCTGGGGAGCGATCGCCTGCAAACTGGCATTTTTACCATGCAGTTAGTTCAACAACCTGCAATCGTTTACCCCATATTACTACCAGTTCCAAGTCCAATTGGACGTACAAAGACTTCGCCTGCTGCACAGGATTCTGTGCAAAACATCAATCTTGCTGTCTATTCATGCAGTAACTACCGTATGTACTCTATCTCTACTTACTTGAAGCTGCTTTATACTGATTATTTTACTAGCATTTGGTTTCTTTAACGCATTTGGAAACCCTGTGCGAAAGGACTCCGTGGACTATGTCTTGCATCTTGGGTAAGGGCAATTAACATCAAAACGACGTCATGATGAAAGTTGACAGGAATGGCAGCGACTACATTTATGAATATAAGAATGGGGACTACGTAGTAAGTGGTCTCAGGGGAGGAGAATAGTATTACTAGGGGATACTAATAGTATTTATCTAGCGGTTGGGGAAACAGTATTGGGCGCGTCCCACTGCCCGGCAGAGAGATCTACACACTTTATGATTATCGAAAGCGCCTGGCAACATACCGAACTGACCTGGACCTACTTGCGAACCATGAAAAATTTGCCTGGATTCCAGTCTGGGATGATCACGGTATGTTTCAAGCTAAAGTATGATAAATAGACTGTAAGAATCAATAGATGTTGCAGACAATACCTATCGAGATGGTTCTTCTGAGTTAAATAATACCGAAGTTTCATTTATTAATGATGGTGGTGTCTCTGTTGACCAGCGGAAAATGAATGCAGTTCGTGCGTATTTTGAATGGATGCCCATTCGGTAAGTTAACTGGGGACTTTATTATGTCCTTATTTAGGCTAACAACTAAATAGCCAGGCAGATATGGATGATAATCTTCGCATCTGGAGGAATTTTAAGCTAGGAAATCCTGTGGATCTAATCATGTTAGACACCCGAAATTACAACCGCTCTATTACAGATCTGTACTGGAACACAGACTATGTTCATGAGTTGTCTAATGACGCTGGCCGTTCTATGATGGGAGCCCGTCAGGAAAGTTGGTTCTACCATTCCCTGCTGGAATCAGCCCAACGGGGAGCCTCGTGGCGGATAATTGGCAGTCAAACAGGCAAGTCTTGAATGAATTCATGCAACTATCGAATTAACCATCGACTAGTCTTTTCTCATATCGATCAGTCTGTAGCTTATGGGGATAAGAACCCACTCAACTACGACCAATGGGATGGATATCAGGCAAACCGAAACCGAACACTGAAAACTCTTTATGATAATAAGATTGAGAACACTATCATGATTGCCGGTGATTCCCATGCTAACTGGGTGAGTGACTTGGTCTGGCTTGATTAGAGTCCTTATAACCCGGCAACTGGGATAGGATCAGTTGGTGTTGAATTTGCCGGTACTGCTATCAGCTCGCCTTCTCCATATGGGCAGAGTATTAGTATTGAACTCTCTGTTGAAGCCTCTAAGGCACTTATTGCTATAAATAGAGAGCTGCAATGGTCGGAACTATACTATCGTGGCTACTTTGAGCTGCATATCACTCCAAAGGAAGTTGAGGCCCAATACTTTGGCATGCCTACCATTATGACTCGCAATCCCGGCGAGATTTCGCTAGCCAATTTCACAGTCAAGAGCGGTGACAATCATCTTTATCGGGGTGTCAGTGGCGTTGCAGGAGGCGTGGTGGTGAATGGGGCTCTTAAAAGTGGCCAGACTATCCAGATTCCAGACCAACATCACGAACAGCACCGATACTAGGCTGTGGTTCATCAGCCGTGATGACCAAGAAGACCTCTAGTGCTGATTTTCCGACTTTGCGTATGTCGGATGACTTGGGATTATATTCATCTATTATTAATTGTTTAATACTCACAAAGCTTATGTCTAATTAATACATTTCCTTGCTTGTGGAATATGACTGAGTATCTATCATTAATAGCGAGTACATAGGAACGCTGATGTCAGTAAATGCAGGGAAGTTTCATTCTACTGAATCAAAACATTAGAATGCTGGGGTTGGTACCGAAAGAGGTATATCTTTATGTAAAATAGCCAGTCATTGAACGATCAAAGAGGTCCTCGATGCGGTTCCTACTTCCCTAACAGATCGTGTCCCTATTACCTTAAGCTGGTGATTACCATGGCCTCGGTGAGTAGCCACATCCATGCTACTTCTGCCTTGGCGATCATCCTAAATCATGAAACAAATCAGCCGTCGGATAAATATTCTAGAAACTCCTAGAAACACTGCCCTGTCTTCTGTACCTCCCCGGTCGTATAGAGCCATTATTGAGGGAGTTCGCCTGGGGAACATCAGCATACTGGCATGCTTCACAGGAATTTGGATTACACTCACGGAATAGAAACCAAACTACCAGCATACCGTTTCACCGCCAGAATTTAGACCACGATGAGCCGGCATCCCAACGAGAAAGCAAGCTTCTCACCGTTTTCTTCATATGCTCAGAGAAGCCGCAGCACAGTTTGGGTTTACTTTAGGAAGGCAAAAAGCACTGGCAGGATTCGGAACCACGCCGAGTTAATTTGGAACTACGCCGAGATGTATGCACATATTTAAACTAGTTAGTCGATGCGAACATGACGAGGGCGACATTAGAAGCACTCTTAGTATAGTCCCCTGAAATCCCGCTTTTAAACAGTTTGAGTAGGTGCTGGGTGCTGATCAAATTCTTCCTCCTCAAGTACAGGACTGCTGATAGTAAAGATGGGGGTGTCAAGAGCTGCGTTCGTTCTCAATGCTGCACGGATATCCGTCATAGAGCGGGTCTTCCACTCCGTGAATCCGCTGAGACTCAATGGGTACAGGACATAGTTGTCCTCGCGTTCAGCAAACTCGTTGTATCTCGGAGGCGGTGTTGCCGTCATAACGCTGAACTCTCTAGCCAGGCGTTCACAGTAGTAGTCCAAGGGAAGATCGTTCGCATCGTGGCCAAATGGATTCTCCACTTCTTCGCCGATGGCGGAAAGACCAAGAATAATGTATGCTCCGACTATATCCGTGTTAGTTTAATGACCAGACTAGTGTAGATATGAGGGTGTGATTACCAATGGAACCAGGAATAGTTATCCAGCCTAGGTAACTGAATAGTTGGAAAGGAAGAAGGAGGACGTAAACCCATGTAATCTGCGATATGGCGATTGTATATGCTGCTGGAAGAGGCGTTTCCAAAACTCGCTCGGTGCCAGTCAATACTTCATTCAGCGTAGCAACGGCCGACACTATCTTCGTCAGAGACGCAATATATAGACCAGATCTAATGAGACTTACCGCATTCTCCCTGGTGAGTTGATACCAAAGTGCCATTCTTAGAAACGTAGTCGATATATGCTGAGATATGATTGAGGATCTCCAGAGGAAGCTGCTCCAGCGGCTTTTCGGACTCTCTGATCAACTTCTGGGAGCCAAACGCAGGAAACTGAAGCCCATGGGCACCGTTCGCCTTCTTGCGCGGGTCATGCGGCACGTTTCCGTTCTGATTTGCACGGAGGAGATTCTGCTCCTTTAGGAATGTGTCGAGATAGCCAATGAGCCCGGTCAAATCTTCATAGCAGATGAGAGGCTCAAAGCGCAATTTATGTTTTAGTGCAATAGTGAATGCAAGGATCAGGTTCAATGCGGTTCTACTAGACAGTCAGTAAATGCTCCCTGGTTTTCCATTGAGAAATCATACAGTTTTCCTAGTACGTCATCCTTTCCCTGCTCCCCAGATCGTTCTTCAACGCTAACCCAAATGACACGGGCAAGGTCCCGACAAGTCTGGGTCAGCAATGCCCAGTACTTGCGTCCATCACTAAATCTGAGCTCGATGTCAGTGTATTTCACAGCAGTCATGGTATATATATACTATTTACCTGTCATATGCAGTTGAGCTCCGAAAAGACAAAGCCAGACCAACAACAACACCCAGAACTGTCAACAGAATGTTGTTGATGCTAACTATAGGTATATTCAAATCAGCAACCACTTCTCTATCGTCGACGTATATCAGAAGATATCTCACATACGGTCATAAGCATAAATAGAGATGGTGGTAACCAAGGCGGACCAGACTGCTACGAAAGCAGTTTTGAATATCATTTTCGGCATGACGCTCCCTCGCAGCTGTAGAAAGACCGGTAGTCTCGAACGTCTGTTTGGCTCTTGGATCTGCACATTCCATGGTGTTAATGTAATGCCATTATTTAATCAAGCAGTATCCTGGGGTGTATACGCCAACTTACAAAATAACGACTAACACCAGGAGCCTGTGGCATCTGTACTCCATAACTCAGGTGTCTCGTAGGGCTCTCCCATCGCACCCTTGACCTGGGGAGGCCATTCACATAATTCCCATTTCCATTTTCATGATGCAGGTTGCTATTTCGGTTAGTGGCATGAGGTTTTCCTGGAGCTCCAAGTAGCGGGGCGTTTTCTGCTGCAGAGCCGTTTGCTGGTCTGTGAGCCCACGGCAATTTGAAGGCGACCATCTTGTAAAGGTCGAGATATCGCCAAGACGATTCCGGACGTTGGACAGAGGATCTTAAACGAACGAGTCCTCTGAGGCAAGCAATGAATCGACCGCCTTATATCTGCAAGGTCGACGCTGCAAAAAAAAAAAGAGAGAAAGGACAGAGAGACATTCATGATGAGGGAAGCCCAGAAGCTAAAACAGACCGTCTCCATAAGATTTCAGCCCATTGTCGATCCGACCTTACCAGGCTGTTGATACATCCCCCCAGAAGGGTTACGATAGCCCACTAATTGCTTCGCTTTTCTAGGCTGGACAATTGAATCGTAAACAAAGCCTTGTACGTCACATTTGATCCTCGAACAGAATGATAATAAACTACCTCATTAATTTCAGCCATTACCCGGGTCCAGCGACCGATCTTTTCGGGGTCACCGCTGCAAAGACGATCCAGGGGCAAAGCGCGTCGCCATCGATGCCTCGTGTGATGCCGGCGTTGAGTCCGCGGAGTGGGCGGGCCATCTGGCGCTCAACGCTCTGGGGTATTCAAACTAAATGCGGTATAGAAGCGGGCTAGAAGCTGACACTTACACGACATCCCATCACGAAAGAGGTCAGAGGTGAGTGCTGGTCATATCTCGCTAAAAGTTCGTTGATAATAATGATGAATTCATGTTGTTTATGCACTTAGTTGAGTACAGTTCATCCAAGCTTTTCTTATCTCGGAATAAACCGACGCCGCAACTGCGGGGAATATGCAATATGCAAAACCTCGGTTATACCCTTATTTTCTGCGATGGCAAAGAGTTTATTTATTATTATTGATGGTCAACAATTTCAACTATGCTCGAAGAAGCAGTACAAGTACACTGTTTCATAGCCAGCGACAACATGTGTGCGATAATAGTCCCAAATAGGCACCGCTAAGCCCCATGTTGTATCCTCAGGGGAACCGAAACATATTAGCGATGAGTACCAAGCAGACTTTTCAGCCATAAAACATGGTGCCTTCCTCATAAACACAGCTTGCGGCGTCATCGTTGATGAACACAGCTTGATGGAAGCGCTAGGATAGAACAAGGTCGCTCGAGCTGGCTTGAATGTATTACCAGAGGGACCGAATATCAATCCATATTTCCTCACCAGCGACGAAGTCAATACGCCTCACCTTGGTGGGCTGACCAGCGTCGCATTTCACAAGGCGATCGAGAAAATTTCGACAATCTTAAAAGGATTTATGGAAGAGCGGAAGGCCGAAACCGCCCGTCGTAAATCTCTATGACCTTCCTCGTGGAGGGAAATCATGTCGGACATGTGGTTCAATTCACTTGGCGATAAACATAACATCGGCTATGAAAATTAGATGTGAATATTATATCAATATCATTTTCTATGCATTATGCTTTCCTAATATAGGGACACGGAAAACAGGTCAGAAAGCACCACTGAACACCACAATTTTGTCTCAAACCCCAAACGCCCCGCATCTTGTTTACCATAACTTGATGATTTTCTTCCCAGAAAAACTTAAGTGCTGCCACGGACACTCCCAATCTGCGCATACCATGCCTTGTAAATATTTGGATATAAGGGTATAAACAGCAGGAGTAAAGAGGAACAAACATAAGTCACCGTAGCGACTATTTCGGTTCGCAGCTGTTGAACCGGAACGCCCCTGGTATCGCATACAATAAAAACAAAGAAACCAATCAACTCCGGAAACTATACATGCGTACCTCGCAGTCCTCACTGCCGGTAGCAAAGCGGCTATCGCCCAGGTCAATACAGGTCACGGGACCTGAGTGGCCAGTAAAGGTACGTTCACACTTGCCCGTGCGAGGATCCCAGATCTTGACCATGCGGTCTTCAGCACCGGAGACGATGCGCAGTGTGTCAGCAGCCAGAGCCCACACGCCCTCCAGATGACCGAAGAATGTGCGGAGGCATCGACCTGTTGATGTCTCCCACAGTCGGATGGTGGAATCCAACGCACTGGTAAGCATGTAGCGCGGTGGCTCTGGCCTGCCATTGTCGAAATCAGGGCCGAAAGAAGAATCGGTCAGCTGCTCAAAACTAGCCCGTCGCTCTTCAGTGTCGCCAGAGGTAGTGCTGTTGTTATCATTCTCGCACTCCGCATCATGCTCCTCAAACTCGAACTCACGGGGCAACGGAACAACTTGTTGAACTTGCCCGACATGGCCCTCGAAGACCCGAATACAGCTCTTGGAGTCTAGATCCCATAGCCTGACAGTGCAGTCATCTGAAGCCGAAAAGACTGTACGGGACGCAGTATCAACTCGGACAGCGTTCACCCAGTCTGTGTGTCCACGGAGCAAGCATGTAGACTTATCCTCAAAGTTCCAGATCTTCACCGTTTTGTCCATCGAAGCAGATGCAAGGATCGTCGCATCGAAGTGCAACCCAATCACCCCACCACGGTGGCCGGTATAGGTGGAAATACAGTCGCCTGTGCGCCAGTTCCAAACCTTGATGGTCCGATCGATACTGCCACTGATGAGTTTCGTGTCGTCGAATTGAAGACAACGGATTCCGGAGGTATGGCCCCTCAGAGTGCGGAGCTCCTCTCCCGTGTCTGTATCCCAGATCTTGATAGTCGCATCATAGGAACCAGTGGCCAAGATGTTGTCCTCAAATTGTAGGCACATGACACCATTAGTATGACCCTTAAACACCTTGACGGAACACCGTCCGTATTTCCAATTCGTTCCGACCTTGAACCGATCCTTATACACTTCCTTCCATGGCCTGTATCGAGTCTTGTAATAGTCGTCATCTCTCTGTTCCGGCGATGAGGACAACCGCTGGCGTTTTGCAATGTCATCGTTATCATCGTTATCCAACTTCCTTTTCGTCGCCAAGCTCAGGTCACTGGTCTTGGAGGCTTCTGTTTCCACCTGCTCTCCAGACGGGCCTGCTTCAATCGCAGGAAGCGCATCGGTGGACGCATCGTTACCCCACTGGCTGGCGCGTAATTCGATCTGGCGCTTCGACGCGCGAAGTCGCTTTCTCTCGAGCAATGGCAAGCCCCATCCGCACTTCTTGCACTTGCGGTGGATATGTTGTTCACACATGCGGTGCCACACCACATCGTCATCCGCCAAGGTTCTCCAACGGTGAGAGACCTGCGCGGCCTTGCAGAGTGACGGGGTGTCCAGGTAGCAGAGAATCTTGAATGAAATCTCCGGCGGCAGGGCTGTGATAAAATCGATCCTTATCAGGTCGCGCACGGTAGCGGAGATGAAGGAGAGTTGAGGGAAGCAGCACTGCGCGAGAATGCCACGGAGCATCAGATTTCGATGTTTGGCTGGAGCGGCCGAGAAGAGCGACCACACATGGGCGATTCCCTGCTGATCGCCTTGTGACAGTGTTTCCAGCTCCCGTTGGAGCTGGTCCATCGATGGCTCGTCCGCTTGTCGTCTGCACTTCAGATCGGGTCGGTGGCGGTAGCAGTATCTGGAATTGGCGCTGCCACCCTCCATGGGGTTGTCCGAAGCCGATCCGAGGGGCGCGTACTGGTTAGGAATATGTCTGGCTAGGAACGGTGCGATATTTTCGTTGGCAAGCTTCGCAGACGAGGATACCGGCATCTTCCCCAGGGGCTTGTTGTCCTGGCCGCCCGAATCCGAGCCCGCGTCTCCGTTGTCACCAGGCTGTGCTGGGCCAAAGAGAGAAGTATTGTGGTCCTCCGCACGCATTCCTCTTTTCAAATAGCTATCGGGGTGGTCGTTCATGTGGCGCAATGGCCCTTCAGCTGCGTGTCGTTCGTGTCGTTGCATGGCGCCTGCGGTCAGGTGCCCGCTTTCACCATGGTATGACTGCACGAGTTGGGTTATAGAATCCCCGAGGTAGTTCCTCCACAATGTGAACAGTCGTGCTCAACAGAACAGAGTCTCCAGAGACAAGGCCACGAATTGAGAATGACTCGTAGCCTTATATGCAGAAGGAGTGGTGGTGTAAAATTGCTGTGTGAGGACCCCGAGGTCCGGGGGTGGGAGGCGATTAAAGGTCACGGGGTGAATACTTGGAGACGAACGAGCGGTTAGTTAAGGACGAAGACGAAAGGCAGATAGATATAAACACTCTGCCGTTGAGAAAGATTAAATAAACCACAGCGATGGTGCAATAGAGCGATTGCGTCGTCGACGAGTCACCAGCTATGCGTGATGATAATATGGCATGAGTGTTCGACTGACTCTCTCTTGTTCTTCTCTTCTTCTCTTCTTCTCTTCGGTCTGTCTGTTTCTCTTTCACTGACGACGAACGCTGCGCTTCTGGCGTGATCGCTGTGGCGGCATGCGCTAAACCGTTTTGGGCGGTCCGAGCCTTCGGGGACCATCACGTGCTCGCTCGTCATCGCGCGCTCTCGTGGCACCATCTAGCAGTTATCTAGCAGTTATCGTGAACTTCTGCCAACTAGTTCATATCTATCTCAGTCTATTGTGCTGTCGCTTCCAATCACACTGCGCTGTCGTCTGGATTGTCTCCAAGGTCAACTTGCGCTCTCCACTTCGTGATGTCTCCGTTGGGATAGCTCCCTGGGCCTATGGACGATCCCCCGCGGTTTGGTCGATCCAGTTCACCGCAGTTTCCCGACACATTGGTGTCTAGCAATCCGGCACTCTGGCTTTCTCAGTCTCTCCAGAAAATCATCAAGCCACGCCTCCCGAGATAGTGGAAAGGCTGAAATGACAGCTGCGGAAGCTCTGATACAGGATCCTAGCGAACGCCAGGGAAGGTTCGTGGTTTCCAGTTCTACCTCTGTTGGCCTCTACACATTCTGTCCCCCATTCCACTATGGTCTGGAACTTCCAAGACTCCGCAGTCCATGATATCGCGCTGTTGGGTAACAGGGTCCGGCGATATCGTCATGTCGGATATTCTTGTGCCATCCAGACTATCCTGGCGCTCTCAGCAGTTCCCGCCCGTCTCACGGAACGATCCATCTTCCACTATGATCCACCCGTATTGCCTTTGTTCTCGATTGAATCTGTATCTGCCCTGAACCATCCCTGTTTCATTGCCCATGGATGACGCCTGGGACATTGGCAACTAGCCCTATCGGGGAATCCAACACACGGAAGCATGAAAGATGTTTCGAGCTCAGCCCAGCAGGCCGGCCTAACAACTGATTGGCTTTCTGCAGGGGTGTGGCACCATTCATGCACTATCTTTCTACCAGTTGAACCAGTATTGGCATGCTGTTTGCGTCTTTCTTACTATTACACCTCCGCGGTTCCGTAGATTGGCGCCATCTGCTACTCTCAAAAAGGGGCTTCTGTTATGCTATAACTAACATATCCATAGATCATTAGACGTATAGTGGTGAGACATGGCATCATCCCAGTCGTCCTCGGGTTCCAGCGCGGCCGGCCATGATAGCGGACTCGACCAGGACCAGGCAGGTCCGAAGCCGCAGCTGGAGACTTTGGTGTCTCATCTCGTCGCGGCTAAAAGATCGCTCTCTTCGATCAATCACGTATGGCGGGCCAATGAGATAGTGACGACAGCACGCTCCGCCCTGGAGGAAAGCGTCGTGGTATCAGCCCGCACAGGATTCCTGCGCCGTGGGTTGAACAACCAGCTCCGGCTCCTCTATGGTGTGCGTGCGGAGGTCGAGGAGGTATCTCATCGAGGTCGTGCAGAGTTTGAGGCCGTACTAAAAGAGCTGGACGCTGCTGATGCGCGTCTCAGGGAGACCTTGAACACACTACGGGACACTATTGTCCATGCCGCATTCCGTCCAGAAGGAGAAGAACCGAAAAGCCTGCATGACTTTGTGGACGAGCGTGGTGTAGAAGAACTGCAGGTAGCTCTCAAGGGATCAATAGATCATATTAATGCGGCCCAGGCCCAGCTGGATGAATCCAACTATGCGTTCGACGATGAATTGCGGCATATCCAACAAGCCCTGGAGCGATATCGGGTTGCAACCAAGCTAGCATCATCACGCTCTCCTACCTCCTCGTCATCTTCAGTCAATTCAAATGCCACCCTACCTTCTCCGGCTGCGATGCCAGCCATGCTGCGCTCTCTGGAGTCGCACGCGCAGGAGATGGCAGACCTTTTGGAATCTCTCGTGAGACATTTCGACCTATGCGTTACGGCCGTAAAGCATACTGAAGGTGGTGGTGCTGCGGCCCGGTCGATCACGGGAGACATTCCGAATGGTGTCAATGTGGGTGTCCGCGTCGGTGACGAGATAGAAGATGGCGGTGATGTGAATTCCAATTCTGCGCTAGAGCCGCTTTCGAACTCTGAGTACGAAGAGATGCTCAACGTTCTTACCAAAGATGCTGCAGAGGCCGAGGATGTAGTACTGGAGATCCAAGAGCATATTGGAGATATGGAATCTATTTTGGAGACCTTGCTTGCCCAGCGAGATGCAATTCTCACAGTGTCTAACGCAACAACCGGTATCTTCGAGCATCTCTCGTCACTTGCTTCTACTCGCCTACCAAACTACATCGCTCAGGCCCATCATTTCGCTCGCGTTTGGGGCGAAGAACATGAACGGATCAGGGCTGGAATGAATGATATTTCCGACCTTCGCTCCCTATATCTGGGATTCTTGGATGCCTACGACGGGCTCATCCTAGAGGTTTCGCGACGGAAGCACGTACGACAAGGCGTGGAAAAGATACTGCGCGAAGCCAGGGCAAAACTCGACCAACTCTACGAAGAGGATGTCAATGCTCGCGAGGCTTTCAGAGTCGAACAGGGTGACTATCTCCCATCCGACATCTGGCCAGGTGTCGGGAGAGAGCCTATGAGAGTAGAGTTCGTTAGAATCTCAGGAGGTAGGCTAGACGACCAGGCCGCACACCCTGGTGAGGAGGGTCCAGAAACAGCGGAGCCCGACGACGGCGACTACATCCCCAGCCTTCCCAAACAAGTTGTCGAGGAAGCAATCACACGACTCAAGGCACGAGCTAAGGCTACCACGCTATGATTTCCTCACTTTATGACTTGCTCTTTTCAAGGCCAGCATGGCGTTCACAGGTACTAGTCTGTTTAACATATACTTCGGGAATACCAACCATATCTATTTTACCATCTTACCTCGCCTCTGCATCCAGGACCACTACTTGTTTTTTCCTCTTGACAGCTTCGGGAGATGAACCAGATGAAAGGTTTTCCATTTTGATCATTCACCGTTTAATACGACTTCCACTTCAATTACATTCTCCATTCTATATTCATGACCAAATTTAATGATGTTACTCACTAGCCCACCGCTGGCACACCCCAAATGACGAAACTTTCATAATGTTTCAATGAAACTTATCATCCGTCCGTGTCCGTGTCCACAGGAATGCAGCGAACAAAGCAGGATGCATACTCCCGAACCCGAATCTAGCGTCTCGAGACGTAAGCACGAACTTTTGCTTCTCTTGTATTCCCATGGATATCGGTAATTGGCGGTTGAGATGAAGATCAAAGAGAGCTCTGATGGGTTGTGCAGTGGTTGATATATAAATATATATATTACTCCTATAAATTTATGTGACATCACATGACGTTATCTTGATGAGTCTTAGAATTATTTAAATTTGTAGACTGCGACTTGAACCGGCAGGATATTTATATATTCTTAAGCAACTTTTCTATACCGTATGAGATATATATCCAACCATCAAGATGAACACGTCAATTCGATATTTCGGTCATGCATTTCGTAACATTCGATTGAAGGGAAAAAAGAAGATCACAATCAACCATAACGCCGCTTAAGATGGCCAGACTATAAACAAAGAAATGAACCGGAACGGATGCAGCTATTCAGCGCTTCTTGGAGGACTGGCTGACGAGCTTCTTCTTCAGATGCTTCGGCATCTTCTTAGCTCTCTGCTCACGCTTCTCTTCCTTCACTTGACGCTTGTGTTCACGCTTGGCGTCCTTGTCCTCGAAGCGCTTGCCGCGAGGTTGTTTCTTCTCGAAGGGATCCAACTCTCCATCCGAGTCGGATTCAGAACCGGAGACGGAGACGCCACCACTCTGATCAGACTGCTCATCTGACTTCACTTCGGCTGCGATATCGTCGGAGGTATTCTTCTTCTGCGCCAGCAGGTCTCGGTAGACGAGGTCGTCTCCTTCGCCGGTACGAAGCTTTTCTGCGTCCCGCTCCACGTCGTAGACCTGCTCGAGTGTCTGTGGGATATACTGCTGACGGAACACGGCGGTTTCCACCTCATCCTCACCAGCAGCATCCTGCTCATCATTGTCGGCTCGATGAGCGAACAATTTCTCGATGGTCTCAGTCATCTGCTCGTTTGATTCCGGTGTAGTAGTCGGGCCTTCAGCCGACGTGATAAATTCGAAGACAGTCCGTTCAGACAACGCGTGCACACCCTTTCGAGTGAAGAAATCGCTAACATTCTTGATGTCCATTCGGAGGAACTCGAAACTACGAGGGTGATCGTGTTCCACACTCTGACTGACATCAATGATGTACAGCTTGTCGTTGTGGTATAGGATGTTGTATTCACTCAAATCAGCGTGGACGAGTCTGCATGTTTGGTACATTGTCCTCATGTAGCCCAGTAGCTCGATGTACAGCGATCGCCACTTAGTCTCGGGGTCTGGAATATCGAATTGGACGTCCTTCAGTCGCGGGGATGGGACACCCTTGGAATTTCCGAGGAAGCCCATAACGAGGACGTGTAGTCGGAGATAGAGAGGCTCTGGGCTGGGAATGCCAGCAGCGTGGATACGTCGCAGGTTTCGCATCTCCTTTTCTGCCCAGACCTTCACCATGGCTCGGTTGTTGCTCTTGTTGTATCCCTGTCTGAAACGGAACTCTCCAGTAACATACTTGTCTCGGTCCTTGAAGACAAGAATACTGGTCTTGTAGACTTTGATCGCGCGCTGAACGGGCGCAGACTCCTCGTCATCCGGGAATGATACAGCGTGGTAGACATTCGCCTCCTTTCCAGTGGAGAGACATCCGTTGATTTCCGACACAATGTTCCTGTTGATCATCTGCAGCAGAATCATCCGCGTTCGTGGATCCAACACTTGTTCCGAAGTGGCTCTGTCGCTCTTATCGACGTTACGCTCACCACGGCCACCCAACCCCGACTGCTTGTCATCCAGACGAATCTTGGCTGCATGTCGCGACAGAGACGATATCTGGTCATCCACGGAAGCGAGCGTGTTGACCGTAGGTTTCTGGGGGTTCGTCTTTGGATATTGCCACTTGGGGACAGTAGGATCTTGCGACAGTTCATTTATGCGCCGCTGACGGTTGTAGGATTTTGTGAAGTCTGCAGGGTTCGCAGAGACGAACTCGTCCGCGTCAATATCGTCTTCGAAAATGTCGTCGTAGTACTCATCCTCGTCCTCTTCGCCGTCTTCTTGGACCTCTGTGTTGTCCTGCCCCGCGGCGGCGGGGCTGTCTGCAGAGTTCAGATAGCCCTGGTTAGGGACAAATGTGTGTGTAGGCGCCTGGCCATCAGCAATACCGGCAGCCCGGGTCTCTCCGCCAGCTGAAGCCATTGTGGAAGTCTGAGGAGACAAGATGTTGTCAAAAGGACAAAATGAGGACCCGGAGGCGTTGAAAAAGTCACTTCTAGTGATGCGGAAAGTAGTGCGGCAGAATGATAATTTCGGACTCACCGCCTAGAGGAAAGCCCCGCGGGCCTTTTTTGGTCAAGTGCGGCCGACACGCGTGAACGACAAGATGCGCCAGACCACGCGTAAAGAGTTCGCTCTACTCGGTCGCAAAGCACCACAGCTTGTCTCGTCTCTCAGCAGCTCACTCACCCCGTCTACGGGGGTACCATCTCCTTGTTTACTAACTACCAGGGGATATAATCCTTTCTGGTGATGTTGTGATTTTCCTAGGTACTTTACTCGCGCTGCGCGTAGCCTCGTCAAGATGTACATCAAGCAAATTATCATCCAAGGCTTTAAGAGGTAGGTGTTATCGCACGCCATTCAGCATAGCAATATCTTAACAGGTGTTTCAACAGCTACAAGGACCAAACGGTCATCGAACCTTTCTCCCCAAAGCACAATGTTATAGTCGGCCGCAACGGTTCCGGCAAGAGTAACTTCTTCGCCGCGATCCGTTTCGTGCTTAGCGATGCATACACCCAGATGGGCAGAGAGGAGCGTCAGGCTCTTCTGCACGTAAGTTCACCGTGACGATATTTGGTTCCGTCAATAGATAGCTTACAAGAAACAGGAGGGATCTGGGTCTGCAGTTATGTCAGCCTACGTCGAGGTCATCTTCGACAACTCGGATGATCGATTCCCTACGGGCAGGCCGGAACTGGTTCTACGCCGTACCATTGGTCTGAAGAAAGATGAATACACGCTGGATCGTAAGAACGCGACTAAAGCAGACGTCATGAACCTGCTCGAATCCGCTGGTTTCTCCAGATCGAATCCTTACTATATCGTCCCCCAGGGACGTGTTACGACCCTGACGAATATGAAGGACTCCGAGCGTCTTGTTCTGCTCAAGGAAGTGGCAGGAACACAGGTCTACGAAGCGCGTCGTGCGGAGTCGCTGAAAATCATGAACGAGACGAACAACAAGCGCGCTAAGATCGATGAGCTGCTAGACTACATCAATGAGAGACTGGGCGAGCTAGAGGAGGAGAAAGACGAGCTCCGAAATTATCAAGAACAGGACAGAGAGCGGAGATGCCTGGAATACACGATTTATTCTCGTGAACAGGCGGAGATCGCTGCCGCTCTTGACAGCATCGAAGGACAAAGGCAGACTGGCCTGGAAGACACTGATGTTAATCGAGAACACTTCATCCAGGGTGAAAAGGACATGGCACAGATCGATGCGGAAATTGCGGAGTGCAAGCAACAGATCGAGTTCTTGAAAGTCGACAAAGCTCAACTGGAAGATGAACGTCGTGAATCTTCCAAAGCGCTTGCCCAAGCCGAGTTGAAGGCCAAGTCCCTCGCTGATGGCCAGTCAGCAGCACAACAGTCGAAGATGCGCCATGACGCCGACTTGAAGTCTGTTCAGGCGGCAATCGAGCAACGTGAAGCCGAACTTGCTGAGCTAAACCCGCGCTTCAATGCGGAAAAGGAGCAGGAAGAAAAGGTGAAAGCTCAGCTTGATGAGGCCGATACGGCTCGTCAGAGACTATACGCCAAACAGGGCCGCAATTCCCGTTTCAAGAACAAGGCGGAGCGTGATAAATGGCTTCAGAAGGAAATCAGAGATAACTACACATCAATCTCGACTGTCAAGGCTGTGCGGATGCAAACTGGCGAAGAGATCAAAGAGCTCGAAAATGATATTGCGATCTTGGAACCTGAAGTCGAAAGTTTACGCAAGCAGATCGAGGGCAGGGGAGACACGATGCAATCCATGGACCAGCAGGTGCAGGCGGCTAAAGACGAAAGGGATCGACTTATGGACCAGAGAAAGTGAGTTAGGAGAGATCTCATGTGGTCGGGAGCGTATGCTAACTGGAAATAGGGAGCTATGGAGAGAAGAGGCCAAACTCGACTCAATATTATCAAACGCGTCACAGGAGGTCGAGCGCGCTGAGAGGAATCTCGCTCAAATGATGGATCACAATACCAGCCGCGGAGTTGCAGCGGTACGTCGGATCGCGCGTCAGCACAACATCCAGGGCGTTTATGGGACGATGGCCGAGCTAGTCGAGGTCAACGACAGATACAGAACCGCGGTAGAAGTTACTGCCGGCCAGAGTCTTTTCCATTACATTGTGGATACCGATGACACTGCTACCAAAGTGCTTGAGATACTCCAAAAGGAGAAATCAGGCAGAGTGACCTTTATGCCCCTAAACAGACTGCGACCCCGCCCCATTAACATGCCGAAAGCAAGTGACACTATCCCGATGATCGAAAAGCTCCAATTTGATCCCAAGTATGAGAAGGCTTTTCAGCAGGTCTTTGGTAAGACTATCATCTGTCCAAACCTGCAGGTTGCATCTCAATACGCGCGTAGCCACGGTGTCAACGCGATCACCCCGGAAGGTGACCGATCTGACAAGAGAGGTGCTCTGACTGGTGGTTTCCATGATTCTCGCTCGTCTCGTCTTGAGGCCATGAAGAATCTATCAAAATGGCGAGAGGAATACGAAGCCAAGAGAAACCGGGGGACGGAGATCAGGAGGGAGCTTGAGAAGATGGACCAGATGATTACCAGGGCCGTCGGTGAACTTCAGAAATTGGAGCAGCGTCGACAACAGGTTCACGGTAGCAGCGGGCCTCTGCGACAGGAGCTGCGAAGCAAGCGTGACCTTCTACAGAACAAAATCGATAACCTCGATGCGAAACGACGAGCTCTACGTAATATTGAATCGAACCTGGCTGCTCTCAATGATCAGGTCAATGCTTTGGAGGCTGAATTGTCTTCGCCCTTCTCGAAAGCACTCACCGGGGAAGAAGAGGGCCGTCTAGATACTCTAAACTCGATGGTTCAAGATCTCCGCCGCCAGTATTCTGAGCTCTCTAGCCGACGAAGCGAGCTTGAAGCACGGAAGTCCGTGCTCGAGGTCGAGCTTCGAGAGAACCTGAACCCCCTTTTGGACCAACTCCTCAGTCAGGATCTTGAAATCGGAGAGGATGCCACTGGCGGCAACCTCAAGGAGAGCCAGCGAGACGCGAAGCGACTGAGCAAAGCTTTAGAGAAGATCACCCAACGTCTTCAGCAGGTGGAGGAGTCGGTTGAGACAGCTAACGCGCAGGTCAGCCAATTAGAACAGCGCAAAGCCGAAATCAGAAGAGAGCTCGAGGAGCTGGCCAGATCCATCGAGAAACACCAGAGAAGAATGGAGAAGAGCATGCAGAAGAAGGCCGCCTTGACAAAACAGGCAGCTGAATGCAGTGCCAACATCCGAGACTTGGGAGTCTTGCCAGATGAAGCTTTCACAAAGTACAAGAACACCGATTCCAACGCGGTCGTCAAGAAGCTGCACAAGGTCAACGAGGCGTTGAAGAAGTACTCACACGTCAACAAGAAGGCATTCGAGCAGTACAACAATTTCACCAAGCAACGGGAGACTCTCACGAAGCGTCGTGAGGAGCTCGACGCTTCTCAAAGGTCCATCGATGAGCTGATTTCTGTGCTCGACCAGAGGAAGGACGAGGCCATAGAGCGAACGTTCAAGCAGGTGTCACGAGAGTTTGCGCTGGTCTTTGAGAAATTGGTACCCGCCGGCCGTGGTCGCTTGATCATTCAGCGCAAGACAGATCGGCCTTTGCAACAGGATGATGTCGACTCTGATGATGAAGAACACCATGAGAGTGTCGAGAACTACGTTGGTGTTAGTATCAGCGTCAGCTTTAACAGCAAGCACGACGAACAACAGCGTATCCAGCAGCTCAGCGGTGGACAGAAGAGTAAGTTTCTTGGTTTCTAATGTGAATAGAGCAGTTTTGCTGACGGCCATTTCAGGTTTGTGTGCTCTGGCACTGGTTTTTGCTATCCAGGCCTGTGATCCTGCTCCATTCTATCTGTTCGATGAGATTGACGCCAACCTGGACGCTCAGTATCGTACGGCAGTCGCACAGATGCTCAAGTCTATCTCGGACTCCACTAACGGACAATTTATCTGCACGACTTTCCGACCGGAGATGTTGCTGGTTGCGGAGAAGTGCTACGGTGTCAGTTTCCGGAACAAAGCCAGTACGATCGACGTGGTGTCGACGGAAGAGGCTCTGAAGTTTGTGGAGGAACAGAAGACATGATACGGGAGTTTCGCACATGTACAACGCCTGTGGGGACTCTATGCTTCTTGTTTTGTACGGGATACCATCTGTTCGAAGTTCTGCTTGCTGTTGCTATTTGATGGCTGCTTGGCTGGCTTGAGGTTATCTACGGTGTTCCCTGGGGATTAGTTGTTTTTAATGATCGCTACGGAATGCTAGTTATTTGCGGTTGATGGGGACCTGTGTATATGCTTTGAAAATTCATATGCCATTAATTGCAACTGAAAGTTGGGTAGTCATCCAGAAGTACTTAACTAAGCAATCTATGGCATCTGTATCTTTGAACTAACCTTGCATTTCGATTTCTATGACGTGAAATATATTGTTCCCGTGTAGATAACAGCAAAACTGTCTATATGTACATACTCTATAATATGATCTGTCTAGAGTCTCACTATGAACCCCTAGTAGCATGCATAATCATTCATCATAATCGTCATCAATCTTTAATGGCGCTCCATCCTTTCGCCCGTCCATTCTTCGATAATTTCATCAGGCACATCTCTTACAAGAACATGAACATGCTCCAGCGCCCTCACACTCTGCAACCCGACCGGATTCTTGAACCACAGCACCTGCTCCTTCGGGTTCGCAAAGCCAGCGCGTTTCAGCCTGTCGACAAATGTGCGCTGCACGAAATTCTCAATGAGCGACCGGCTCTCATCCGTGACGTCCCCGTCCTCTGACTTGACAGCCACAGGAGTCTTCAGCCAGACGACCAGATGGGTGATCCCGGGTGCGAGGCCATAGGGCCAGTCATTCCGCAGAACACGGTAATCCTCGGGATCGGCAAATGGAACGGGGTTCTTGTATGGAATCACGGGTCTGCTGTCAGCCGTCGCAGTAGCCGAAACCGTTGCTGCTGCTGTTGCTGTTGCTGTTGTTGGGACGCCCCCATTCTTGTTTCTGGCGCCGTTTTCTTCTTCAGCCGGGTTGGCCTGTTGCTCCGGCTCATGCCACCGCAGACGCTCCTGGCAGATATAGTTGGTTATCGAGCCATAGACAGCTTTGGTGTCGCTGCTCCAGGCCATATATCGGCGCAGATCGGATGGTTTCCGCTTGAGTTCATCAAGGGCATTGCGGGCTGTAGAATAATGCGGGGAACGGAGTGTGAGTTTAATATATTTCGGAGAACGGATAAGTTAGGCATAGGTATATGTATTGTCCATCTGTCATGAGGGGTTGAGGAAGCACGGAGAACGCTCTTTCCAAATTCGCAGTATGGATTTTTTGGGGGGTAGACATATGGCTCTAAATATGTAATGGAACTTATGTGTCTACATACCGATCAGTTCCTTCAGATTCTCCCAGTTGTGAGGGACGAATTCCTCGTCGGTCATGGAGAGTATCTGGCGGTCAACCGCGGTGAGGTTGAAGGGCGCCGGGCTGTTGGGGGAAATTGTCCCCATTTTGTTCTGCGGTGGATCGTCTTGGGATATGTATAAACTAAAATACACCAGCCAGGAGAAGGTCTATAGAATTTGAATGGAAGATCAATCTGAGTAGACAAAGGACAGCAGTTGCAAATAGTGAATCACGAACAGCGGTTAATTATTATTACTTCCTTCCATTCAGTCATTTCGCGGGGAGCCGTAACTTACGGTCACGATCGCGTAACTTTACCAGTAAGGGTACTCGCTTCCCGCTCGCCGCCCGTCAGCGCCGTGACAGAACGGAGCGACTTTAAAAAGCGAGAGCTTCTCCTCAACCCCCGAAAGCACACGACCTGCCCTTGTGCCCTCCCAGCATCGTTGCTTGCCTCGCAGGTAGTCAGTCAAGATGAGGTATGTTCTCCTTCTGCCAGTGATGGTTTACTACGCTGTGTACGCTATTCTCAACTTTGCGATGCTGACACAGTTGCTTCATCGAATCTAGCGGACTCTTCTCCACCGAGAATATCACCGGGGTCATCATCCCCTCCGTGCTTCTTGTCGTGGGCACCACGATCGTGAAGAAGGAATGGGTCCCTTTTGCCGTTGCGCTGGCAGCTGCTCTGTCTGCCTGGAAGGTGGTTAGCAACCGTATGTGCTTTCTCAACCCCCAATGCCTGCTCTGCACTGCGCTGTCGCATTATCTCTCGGCAGCCCGCAAAGCTAACATCGACCTCTGAATGATCTAGGCCCGCGCAAGGTGCTCACCCCCAATGAGTTCCAGGAGTTCCCGCTCAAGGAGAAGACCCTCGTCTCGCACAATGTCGCTATCTACCGCTTCGCCCTTCCGCGTCCCACGGACATCCTGGGACTGCCCATCGGCCAGCACATCTCTCTCGCTGCTACGATCGCCGGAAACCCCAAGGAGGTTGTGCGCTCGTACACCCCTATCTCCTCTGACAATGAGGCCGGTTACTTCGATCTGCTGGTCAAGGAATACCCCCAGGGCAATATCTCCAGGTACCTGGCCAACATGAAGATCGGAGATAAGATGAAGGTGCGCGGACCCAAGGGAGCCATGGTCTACACCCCCAACATGTGCAGACACATTGGTATGATCGCTGGTGGTACCGGTATCACCCCCATGCTCCAGGTCATCAAGGCCATCATCCGTAACAGACCCCGCAACGGAGGCAACGACACCACCCAGGTTGACCTGATCTTTGCCAACGTCAACCCGGAGGATATCTTGCTCAAGGACGAACTGGACGCTCTGGCACAGGAGGACGACGGCTTCCGTGTGTACTACGTGCTGAACAACCCGCCCGAGGGCTGGAACGGTGGTGTTGGTTTCGTTACTGCGGATATGATCAAGGTTCGTTTTCTCGTGGTCATTGTACATCCGTATTGATACTAATTTTCTTCACAGGAGCGTCTCCCCGCCCCGGCTAGTGACATCAAGATCCTTCTCTGCGGTCCTCCTCCCATGGTCAGTGCTATGAAGAAGGCAACCGAGTCCCTCGGCTACACCAAGGCTCGCCCCGTCAGCAAGCTCGAGGACCAGGTCTTCTGCTTCTAAACGGGACGTACAGCGTTCGCGAGATATATTTGCGGTGGTATTATGTATCTGCTTAAAGCACGAGATGTTAGACGGGACGTTCCTACCATGCCATAGACATACCTGTTTTACGAAGCGGGAAGAGGTTGGGGGGACGGGGAAAAGTGTTAGATTAACACCTAGACATTCATGATGTTAATGTTTGGGACACAACAGGTTCACACAACGGTGTTCTAGAGTGTATTTTGACCTAAATTGTGCCTGGCGTACAGTGCACGTGGGCTGGATTATCTCGAGTACATTATGTATAGGAAATATATGTTAGTACAAGGATTATTCGCAGAAGAATCACGATTGTCATCATTGAAACTAACTGTAGTATCTAAAACTGCAGGTGGGTATCTGTCGCGTTCGCAAATGGAGGCCTGCAATTGAAACTCAGACCATCGTTGAAGATGAAGGTTGGGCCTCGCCCTGAAGTTGCACCAGTCCATCCACCATAGCCATAAACTTCTGTTGATATTCCTCCGCCGTCGTTGTGATAGTCATGGGCCCCTTCCTGCCCACCACATTGAACGTCTGCACGACACCCGTCATCGCTTGCGCGTGCAACTTATGCTTCGCCCAGAAGAAATCAAGCAATACAGCGCGATATTTCCACTTGCCGTCAGCAGAAGGTACGCCTACGCGCCATTGTGACCTTCTCCCCACGACAGGAGGTTCCGACGACGCGGGAAACCGCACCAGAAAGAGCGAATAATCAACCACATTGGCCGACTGTAAGAAACGCGTATCCTGATCCACTGTGTTCTTCAAATCTTCATACTGCGCTCCCGTGATTCGAATCTTGTCTTCAAAAGTATGCACCAACTTGCTCATAGTCTCCTCACTCGTGAGTTGCGGGAATAGATCGCGTTCCGGATAGAAATAATCCGTCGGTTTCAAGTCATACGTCTCCCATTTGTCTTTGGCAGAGTCCTCGTTTCTCCCGTAGAGCACATTCTCCATTATAACGTGGTACGATGGAGAGATGCCAAGGAGAGCGCCTAGAGTCGGATATGGTGATATGAGGAAGTCGGTGATTCGGACGAGGAGCGAGTCAGGATGAGAACTCATGTACTCGCAGTAAGGGAGGAAGAGGTCATTGCGGAAGAAAGAGTGTTCGAAATGTCGAGGTAGACTCTTGATGAGGAATTTAAAGTTGGATGTGCAGAAGAATGTCTTGTATAGTTTTCGATGGTAAGTGAACTTTGTTCAGTTAAATAAAAGAAAGGGTACTACTGTGCGACCTTTATTGTGACTAAATGAAACGGCATAGCTTACAGAACCCGAATATCCTAAATCACCCATCGGTTCAAGACTTTTCGAACCTTTCTTGTGTAGAAAGGAGCATCTGTACTCTTCCTCGTCGATCTCCCAGGTTTCATCGCGCAGCCGTCTGAATAATTCATATCCGAAGCGGACCAACCTTATCCGGAAAATAGTGAAGAAGGCCAGGACATATGACAAAATGGTCTTTTTGGATTCATTTGGGTCGCGATAGAGTGCAAGTTGTATGGAGCGGCTGATGGAGTTATATCGTTTGTTACCCATGGCTGGAGCTGAAGAACGGACACGATGCTCGAGTGTGATACTCCGGGCATGAGAGAAGAGTAGTGAGTAACATGTCTAGTCCAGCCTGCTACCCCTGAGTTGGCTAATTTATCTATTATTCAATATTTACAGCGACATTGACAGGAACCGGTTCGATAACGTGACGTCAGAGATCGCCGAAGCCGTTAAGTACCTACCTAGGTAGGTAGGTACCACCTTAGGCCCGGGGTACCTAAGGTATGTACTTACCACATTTGGACTAACTAGGGAGAAGTAGGGCGGTTAGGCACGTGACTAACACATGTTGTATGGTTACCTAACCATACAGTTACTATCCTAGACAGAAGTCTTGGAAATTCAAACCATCTGCCTTGTAATACACCCACTTCATACCTATCTGTTGTCTAAAATGTCATCTTATCTTGGGACACTTTTTGCGAAACCACACAAGTGGGCCGCCCTCCATCGAGATCTCCTACGAGTCAAGGAGGATCAAGTCTCTTCTGAGAGATTAGTTGGCTCCACATATCTGCCGCAAGATGGCGATCAAGGCAAACACCCCCTCGCCTTTCCAATTCTGGTCTATCTAACGTTAATCTAGAATTTGAAGCTATCGCTGCGGATTTTGCCAAACCAACAAGAGAGGATTTTCTTGACGGCACGATCTTATTTAATTGCAGAGAGAGTCACTTCTGGAGTGTCTTTGACATGCTCAGACCGATGATGCGACTGGAAGAAGAAGCAGAAGGAGACCAACCTGACAGCCAATATTTTCGAATGTCGAAATATACAATGGGATATCTCATCAATGTTCTTCTTGCGCAGGTCCACTTAAACACAGGGTTGTGAGTGTGAATCCTCTCTACACGGTGTAGTTATATTGATAAATGCTCATTGCTGTCAACCTAGTGTTTTGCTTCGAGACTCGAAGATCAGTTTTCACATCCATTCCTGCGGTGTTAAGGGTACTTTGAAGCCTGCAGGGGTTCTCAGCAGGTGCTCTGACCTCAGAAACAAAATAACGCTTCCACTTGCCACGTTTTCGGTTGGTTCTAACTATTAACCACTTCCAAGATTACTTACTGAGGTTGAGTCACAGGCGATGTGCCCTCAGAAAAATAAAGATACCATCTGTCACGAAATCCCGCAAATCCTCATACAGGCTGTATTAATGTTCCAACAGAATCCAACACTTAAAACCTACCAGCCATTCGCACTCCGGGTCGATGGAACTAAAATTCAGCTTAGCTCTGCCCCAATACCTCAAACATACATCCAGGACCTCAGTCGCGGTAGTCCACTTACTGGAGAGCTTACAATTCTTCACTCTGTGGCTTATGATCTACGGAACCCCGAGGAGCGAAGGGAGATCTCGAGACTTCTTGTTGGTCTTCTGAGACGCCTTGATGCTGCAAATTTTTAAATATTTAACATAACACCGCTCCTTGCCAAATTGCGATTCGTGGAGAATCCTTCAGACACCCTGATAACCCTATAACTTTTTGCCGGATGCTCCTTCCGTCGCAACAGGGATGTCTTATAAATTGCAGCCATCCGTTGTTCGTTCCTCCCATTGGCCTTCTGCGATCTCTCGGTCCGTGCTAGCCAACATCTGGGATTTCAATGGTATATTCTCACGGAGACTGTCCTTGATATTGTCTTCTAAATACATCTGACAGAGCCATCGCAAAATGCATTTCGTTCCCACAATCTCAGAGATTGCTGAGAGCCGCTCGAACGGAAGCCTTTCCGACCTCCCCAGCGCACCCTCCGATCTGACCGCGAAAGACTTCTATGTGTCGGGATCCAGGTGGGGGCAAATACACCTCAAGGCTCTACGAGTACAACTCATTGAGCCAGTGTCGCCGGAACGAGTTTTCCCCGGCGAGTTTCTCCCGGGGTCTGACGACCCAGGTACGAAGTATTGCTGCCGGTATGCTGCTGACCATATTTCCTAGTTTTCACGGAACTAAGAACTGAAATAATGAAAGCCTCTGAGGACACTCTGAAGGATTGGTACCTGGTCGCATCTGACTTCGCACACAACCGTTTTGTCGGCTTGTTCGCTGATCTAGCAACACTCATGACTACAAGGCCTGCTCACGTTGAGGGCACGATCGCACATGAGCGCGATCCAAGCCCGGAGTCAGACTTATCCACAGAATCGAACGAAGATCAGGATGAAGAGCTGTCACGCCTGGTCTTCAGTGATCTACTAAGAAAATATCTCTTTTAATATCTTCTAAAGATATAGATAGTTTCTAATAAAAAAAAAATTAATTTAATAGACTAAATAGGGCTCATACTTATTGAAGTTAGCGCTGTTATAACCCGAAAAGGGAAATAAGTGTCGGATAGGGCTGGTAGCCTCACGTGATCCGAGCCAAGCGGCGGGATGTCCTCACCGCCCTGGGCAGTATTATTGCTCTCTTGATTGACTCAAAAAAATTCCCCTCGATCGCTCGAGATCTCCGTTTATGGGCCGCCAACTGCTAAGCGGGGCCTGGCCATTTTCAGACGCCATCTTACAGCGCTGTCGAGTCTTTAGTTCAACCCTCACCGGCTCCCCCCTCTTCAGCTGTACGAACCAGCGACAATTTTCCCCGTTGTCTCGATCCTCCGAACGCGGGCGTCTTTCGACCAGGAACGCAGCTCTTCTGCGCGCGCAGGTGCACAAGGTTCATAGATCGTTTGCAACCATGACTTCCGCTGAGGGGCAGCTGCCCGTCTCCGTTGAGTCGCTCTCATTGCACTCGACCACGGAGAAGTCCAAATTCCCGGACTGCTTCCCGTCGCTGAACCCTGTCGATGTCTATCGGGCTCACATTGCGGAGAAGTTGGGAGAGGTGACGGGCATTGAGCCCGAGAAGATCTACCCCAGGTTGCAGTGGACAAACACTCTGGACAAGGGTGACCTTGTTCTTCCGGTGAGTATAGTCTAATATATTAGACTCGATTGTCTATCTGATATGATATTCTGGAAATGCTAATGTGACTGTGTTTACAGGTTCCTTCTCTCCAGATCAAGGGAAAGAAGCCGCAAGAACTATGTGAAGAGTTCGCCAAAAAGTTTCCTCCCTCCGATCTCGTCCATCCCCCGACCCCCGTCGCTACACACCTGCAGTTTTTCTTCAAGCCCCAACCCTTGACCAGCAATGTCCTGAGCTCTATTCTGAAGAACAAGGCCACCTACGGTACGAACGGCAACCAGGGTCTGCGGGACCCGTCTGATGCCTCCAAGGGAAGGAAGAAAATCATCATCGAGTTCTCCTCTCCCAACATTGCTAAGCCTTTCCACGCTGGCCATCTCCGAAGTACCATTATCGGAGGTTTCCTGGCCAACCTGTTCACCGTTACTGGTTGGGACGTCATCAAGATGAACTACCTGGGTGACTGGGGAAAGCAGTACGGTCTTTTGGCCAACGGATTCAAGCGATACGGCAACGAGGAGGCTCTGCAGAGGGATCCTATCAACCACCTGTTCGATGTTTACGTGAAGGTCAACCAGGATGTCGCCAAGGAGGAAGGTCCTATCAAGGAGCTGAAGGAGCAGATCAAGACCAAGAAGGAGAAGGGTGAGGATGTCTCAGAGCTGGAGAAACAACTCCAGGAGCTCGTCGACAACAGCGAGGACGAGAAAGCGCGTCGATACTTCAAGAGCATGGAGGATGGTGACGAGGCTGCCCTCGCGCTGTGGAAGCGATTCCGTGATCTGAGTATCCAGAAGTACAAGCAGACGTATGCTCGTCTAAACATCGACTTTGACGTCTATTCCGGTGAATCTCAGATCAAGGGTGAGACCATGGAACGCGCGTATAAGACGATGGAGCAGGCTGGTGTTTCTGAGCAATCCGAGGGTGCTGTGATTGTTGACTTTGCCAAACACGGTGCCAAGAAGCTTGGAAAGGCTATCATTGTTCGAAAGGACGGCACTCCTCTTTACTTGACCCGTGATATTGGCGCCATCCTTGAGCGTGACGAGGAGTACCACTTCGATAAGATGATCTACGTTGTTGCTGCTCAGCAGGATCTTCACCTTGCTCAGCTCTTCAAGGTCACAGAGCTGATGGGCCGTAAGGACCTTGCCAGCCGCTGCCAGCACATCAACTTCGGTATGGTCCGTGGTATGAGCACCCGAAAGGGAACCGTCAAGTTCTTGGATGACATCCTGAAGGATGTTGGCGAGTTCATGCATGAAGTCATGAAGAAGAACGAAGTCAAGTACGCTCAGGTTGAGGATCCCGAGAAGACTGCTGATACCTTGGGTATCACCGCTGTTATGGTGCAAGATATGAGGGGCAAGCGGTATGACACTTGACTGTATGGATAACTGGCACAGCTTAACTGACGTTCCACAGTATCAACGGATATGACTTCGACCTGGCTGCCATGACCTCGTTCGAAGGTGACACCGGTCCCTACCTCCAGTATGCCCACGCTCGTCTCTGCTCGATTGTTCGCAAGTCGGAAATCACCCATGAAGAGATGGAATCTGCCAACATGGAACTCCTTACGGAGACTCACGCGACGGACTTGGTCCGTCTGTTGTCCCAATGGCCTGACGTGGTACTCAACACGGCCAAGACTCTCGAGCCTACCACCGTTCTGACCTACCTGTTCCGCATGACGCACGCTCTGAGCTCGAGCTATGACGTCCTCAAGGTCATTGGCAGTGAGCCCGAGGTGAAGAAGGCGCGTATGGCTCTTTACGAATCTGCCAGGCAGGTCCTGCACAATGCCATGAGACTGCTTGGTCTCAACCCCGTGGATCGGTACGTCTTATTTCTGTTGATCTACCTTCGCCCGCATCACTAACATTATATAGTATGTAATCCCGTTTCGGGAAACGGAAACATCTTATATTATCGGAAAGAACCGATAAGTATCCCTACCGCGCCGATGAGACCTTATCTAGATATAAAAGGCACAAAATAAAATATTTACCGTTACGTGGAAATGGATTAGTAGTTTCTTCGCTTACCTTCCGCGAGTCTTATATTACCAGCCTTAACCCTTGCGCCCCGCTGTCTGCTCCTCTGGGAATCAGTCGCAATGAAAGTATACCAATTTAGTCACCACCTCACCTAGCTTTACCAGTAAGTGGTGGGCATGAAACTCTGAGTCAGCTCTGTAATCGTCTCGGAATTCAATATTGATTGAGCAGAATCCAAACTGCTCCCTCTGCACAGCAAGCTCATATTGCAACAAGAGCGCTGTTCCCATTCGTACCCATTGAATCAACGAGAATCGCGGTTGGAGTGCTATGAACCTTCTCCTTTCAAAACATATGACAAGCTCCCTTACTAGATCGAGTAACTAAGACTTACTCTGCGGAGTAATTACATCGTTCCAACTTCTGACACGACCAGGCAATTGGAGCCTCTAGTCTCGATAAGGAAGAAGCCCGCATGCATGGGCCAGATGTCTAACACTAAATGCTGACACGCAACTCTACTCCGCAGAGTACACCACTAAATAATACCGACACGATTCCACTTGACTCGGTCCAACGATTTAGTGGAACAAATAAGCATCTAGCCGTATCGATGATTGCAACATGGCAGGGATATTCCTATCGGCGCCCCAGAAACAGACGATTCAGCCGCGTTTATCTCGGTTCTGGCCTGGGGATAGATGGCATAAGTACAGACTAGTAGCGGGAATTAGGCCCTCCAGTTTCGCACGTCCCCAGAGACATCAGCTTTATGAGACCTTCCCCTCATTTATAATCTCATAAAAGAATCACCGCGCCCTTCTTTTCACGGCTCATGAAACTAACTCTCGTCGTGAGAGTCCCCGACGTTCTTACGGTTATCCAAGATGGGCTCGATCGCTCTGCAGCATGAGAATTCCCAAGAATACGGGAAACGTCTCTTCCCTCACATCATCGACGAAAGGGCCCAGTTGGGATATTCACGCCCCTTTGCTTATATTGCAAAATCGCCTCACGCGCAGGACGGTTTCGAGGAAATAAGCTACCGGCGTCTTGCGAATGCTATTAACCGCGCATCATGGTGGATAGTAAACAATCCCAGCCCTTTGCTCAGCGAGGGCGGTATATTTGCCTATGTGGGATCAAACGATTTACAATATTTGATATTAGCTGTCGCTGCTGTCAAGACTGGTCGAAAGGTTAGTTGGTTGTATTTTATTCCCCCTGTGTCTCTAGATGGAAAGTTCGAAAGTTGATAAAATAGTAGATACTGGTCCCCTCGCCGAGAAATACTGTCGAGGCGCAACAGTTGCTGTTCGATCGTATCGGCTGTAAGACGATACTTTATGCCAGTGCGCTCGAGAAGAGTCTCCAGGGACTCTTCTCTTCGATCCCAGGACTACAGCGCAAGCAAGTCCCGTCGTTGGAGGATCTTCTGAGAGAAGAACCGGTTCCTCATTTTGAATATACGACGACTTATGAGACCTTGACGGATGAGCCTGTGGTGTACTTTCATACATCTGGATCTTCGGGTTTGTTTTATCATTGTTCTTGTGAAAGATACTGACGTTGACTTCGGACAGGGAACCCGAAACCGATCGGGTCAAGCATGAAGTATTTTCTTGTTTTGGATGGTCCGAATTTACCTCCTTTCGATAGTAGCCCGATCACTATGAGAGATGCTCTGTCTAGTCAGAACTATTTATGTTTGCTGCCGCCCTTCCATGTACGTTGTTATTTACTGTTTCTTTTCTACAGAATCGGTATTCCTTTTACTAACTAAGAAACAGGCTGGCGGGTTCACGGTCTGTCTACTAGCAGCATATTTTCATGCCACTGCAGTGTGGCCACATCCAGATGTTGCGCCGACGGTAGAATATCTTATCTCGCTACTGAATCAGAATATAATCACTTCGCTAGTCTCGCCACCTTCACTGCTGGATGCACTATCACAGCCTTCAGCTGGGATAGAAGCACTATCGAAATTAGAACACGTTGGCTATTGTGGTGGCCCTTTACCAGAGCACGTGGGGAACATCCTGGCACCGAGACTCAAGCATTTGTACAGTGTCATCGGAGCGACGGAATATGGCTGGTTTTTCACCATTCCCGGAGACAGTAGCAAATGGCGATACGTTCGATTCCACCCCGGAGCCGAGTACAGATTTGAAGAAGTCTCAGAAGGCATCTTCGAGCTGATCATTCCCAACAAGCCGGAACTTTGCAAATTCCACGGGACCACACAGACATTCCCGCATCTGGCAGAATATCGATCAAGGGATCTCTATGCTCCAGTGTCGGGGGAAGACGGCTGGATGTGTTATCAAGGACGAAATGACGATCTTATCGTTCTCTCGAATGGCGAGAAAATCAACCCTGTGCCTTTGGAGAGTATCATAAGCAGCAATGCTGCGGTGAAGGCCGCTCTTATTGTGGGAGAATATCGATTTATGCCCTCACTACTGATAGAGGTCCAGGACGGACTTAATGCTGAGACGGAAGAGGATCGTCAGGCGCTGCTCGATATCATTTGGCCGACGGTGGAAGAAGCAAACAAGATCGCACCGCGCTTTTCCCGAGTGCCAAAGTCTTTGATTTATCTGACAAGGAAGAATGAACAGTTCAATAGAGCTGGGAAAGGGACAATTCAGAGACAGTTCACAGTGAAGAAGTTCTCGCAGGTCTTGGATCAATTATACACGGCTGCAGAAGAGGGACTTCTGACAGATGGTCTGGAATTGGATGACCCGTCAAATGAGAATTCCATCAGAGCATTCGCGCAAAAGCTGTATGCTCAAGCCTTAGAAAATCATTCGCTACAGGAGTCCGATGATGTATTCGACCTGGGAATGGACTCTCTGCAGGTTGCTATTGCGGTTCAAAAAGTCAAAGCTACTTTGAGGGCACGACAAGTCGAAGTTGACTGGGAGAGCATCAATCCACAGTTTATCTACTCAAGTCCCACGGCAGTTGACCTTGCTCATGCTTTGAAGAAATTGGTAACCAAGGGAAAAGGTTCTCCGAATGACTCTCATGCCGATCGCAGCCAGCGCTCAACTCGGATCCAGCAAGTCCTCGACAAGCATATAGCAGCACTTCCAACAAAGTTAGACGTGGAGGACAGACCTAAGGCGGACTCTTCAACAGTGCTTCTGACAGGTTCAACTGGCTCCCTTGGAAGCTATCTCTTGACGACTCTGTTACAGTCACCTAATACATCGAAGGTCATCTGTCTCAACCGTTCGGCAGATGGCGAGAAGCGTCAGAGGGCAAGCCACAACGCGCGTGGGCTTCCTGTAGCCTGGGACGGTGGAGAGAAACGAAGAGCCGAGTTTCTCACCGCAGATCTATCCAGACCTGATCTTGGGCTAGGGGACGAAAAATACAACCAGCTCCTGTCTGAAGTAACCGTTATCATCCACTGCAGCTGGAAAGTTGACTTCAACCACACACTCAGTTCATTCGAGACAACACATATTGGTGGTGTAGTCAATCTGATTAAATTCAGCGCACGCTCTTCACACCAGGCCCCTCTTATATTCATTTCTAGCATCTCCACCGTCCTCAACTGGATCGAGAAGCATCCTAACACTCCTGTCCCGGAACTGATACTACACGACCTCGAAAGTCCCGAGAAGCTAGGCTACGGCGAGTCAAAGTACATAGGGGAGAGACTAGTCGAGGCCTACAGCGCATCTAGCAATGTCGCAAATGCCGTGCTGAGAGTCGGTCAGATTGCAGGCCCTGTGCTTTCGACGACCGGGTTCTGGAACAAGCACGAATGGTTTCCTAGTTTGATCGCCAGTTCGAAACATCTAGGAATCCTGCCGGCTTCATTGGGCACCATGAACACAATCGATTGGATACCTGTGGATCTCATGGCGTCCATCATTACCGAGCTGTCATCTCAGAACGGCAGAGAACACAACGCAGCTTCACTTTCTGTCTATAATCTTGTCAATCCCCGACCTACCGGGTGGTCTACTTTACTTCCCACCGTCCAAGAACACCTTGGTGGTCCGGCAAAAATAAAAGTCATCCCGTTACCTGAATGGGTAGGAGAACTAGAGAAGAGCACCGCACTTAATCACGGATATATCACAGAGGACAATCCAGCGGTGAAACTCCTTGACTTTTTCAAATCTCTGTTGAAGAGCGAAGACAGTCGAGAGGACACAGCCACAAGCTCGTACGAAGTAGCAGGTCTGAAGAAGGATAGTAATGTGGCAAGAGACTTGCAAACAGTTTCACAGAGTTGGATGCGGCTGTGGATCGATCAATGGAGATTGTGAAATTTGATTATATTTCTGATTTGTCGGTGATCTAGTTAGTCCAATTAGGATTGCTGGCTCGAGTGGTTTTACCAAGCCATCTTATAGAAATAATGGTTAAAAGGTGTGAAGGAGAGTGCCCTTTGGGAAGGCTCTGAATAGTATAACGCAGGCTTAATAGAACTAGCCTACAGAGCCACTGTTCTGTACTGCGTCTTAGCAACTGATCTATACAATAAACTAACTATCCTTATTGTGTTACGAGATCTGCAGCAGTACACTGGGAGTGGCCAATTAAAATGGGTTAGAATTGCCATAGTCTCTAACTAGGATACTATAGATTTACATTATAAACAAACCAGCAAACAAATTATATCAAACTATCATGAAGCTAGAGAAATATCTCCAGATATTAGTGGGAGGTATTTAAGCTATGGGAAATGCATGGGCCTAGACCTTAGGTGGAGAAGGGTTTGTTGGTTGGGCAATAATTTCAGTCCTATCTACTTCAACTAAGTTGTGCATTATTCTTTAATGGCCTTTATTTAAATATTTTTTGAATGAAAGAGTTTTAGTTATAGTTTCATCGCCCGTAAGTGTCTTCCTCATATTGACTATTACATAAATTCGCATGCGGGAGACTAGTCAGATCCATATTTTGTCTGGAGATCATTGCATGATCAGCATACACAATGTTCTGGGCCCGTATTGTCTGATATTGTGATTATTAGCTAATACAGGAAATCCTGCGCGTATTCCTCGTACTCCTGCATGAAGTCTACCATACTAAACTTGTCGCTGAGCTGCTTTTGCCGTAGAATGGCATTACCTGCATCAGTGTATCCCTTCCTAAAGGCCGCGAACAATTTCGGGCTTCTCGAGTAATGCGGGATGAACCGCTGGTTATCACCCGTTACCATAGCCCCTCTAAAGGCCTGGTAAACGACGTCACAATCCTGCGTTAAGTTGACCACCTCGCATTGTCCGAAGTCCAAGAGATAGAGCCCAACGGCGCGGTGCTGAAAGTCCGGCGGCTCAACAAGAGCCCTCGGCGCGTCTACGGCCGATGTACCAAGCACGAATTCCACATCATCGCCGTTTATGCCGGCACCCCAGTGTAAGATTGCATATGCCTTTCCCATTTCATTAGCAAGCGTGTCGGTATCGACGCCAAGTTCCTCCATGAACCCGAGGTAGAGAGGGAAATTTCTGAGCGGGGCTGAGTTGTCAAGATTCATCGGACCCATAATCTGGCCCAAATAGACTCGGGCGAGGCAGTGCTTGTTGTTGGGCTCGTTGAGAAGGGACTCAATATCAGTGGTGTCAAGATTTCGATCGCAACCATAGAGATGAGTTATGAGGGCTTTTCGTACGACCTTTGGCAATGGAAGAATCCGTTCCATTTTGACGACGTCCCCGCGTGTGCGGTAGGCCGGGGGCATTTTCGGAATGACTCAATCCCAGAATGTGTGATTTTCTGTTTTGGAGATGAACTCGTGAGGTTTGGGGACGTGGACCTGGCTGTGAATCGCGTGCCCATATTGATCAAATGCGGCCGAGACAGCGCGGTGGATTATAAACTCGTGCCGGAGATTTGAGGATAGTGTTTCATTGCCTGGATTTTCTTTCTTGAAAACGAGGACCTGTCCGACCACTTCAAAAACGGCTCCTTGCAGGCCACTGCCGATTTGATTAATTTTTTGCAGTTCGGAGCGAAACCGCGCACTTTGAAACCGGCGGCTGAAGAAAGAGGTTGTCGAAATGACGGACGTTAGACTGAGCGATCGTTTGAGAATCGCCGATTCCGGCATAAGCCCAAGCTCTGTAGCCTCGAAGTAGAGTCGAGCAGTTCTGGTGTCTCGTGATATAGACGAGGCTCCAGAGTAAGCTGATTCATCGCTGCTATTGAGTTCACGTTGCGACGGCATGCTGTGTTGAGACCGGTGGATCGCCAAAATGTGAAAACCATACGACGAAGAAGATGGTGATGAACAGAGGATTGAGGGTGATGACTTCTGATGGTTGTTCAGGCTAATTTATGGATGGAGACAAGTAAGTAATACCTAAGTATGGGCACCTACCTAATTCGGCGGCGGGATATACCCCCGAGGACTCCAAATTTAGACTAGTTGGTCTGGCGCTGTGGCTGGAGAACAATCAAAGGGCGTAAGTTGATAAAGCATTTGATGTAACTAATAACTCCTGATAATCAGAGGGCCCTCGTCACTCTTCAGATGGTAGCGGGAGGTATTCAAGCCATGGGGCCCCTTGTGCAAAACTAGCATAGAGGCTCGCTTTTGTCCAATCACTCACCCAAGGTGCTATATAACGTGATGCAAACTTCAACAACACAGTATCCTGGGCTTCATATCGGGTAATTTGGCCAGAGATCTTTCCTACCAAGTCGGCTCGTGGCCGATGAAGACGTTCAAATCCGAGGAAGAGCTCCGTGATATCTGCGGTGGAAGGATTGGGCGTCTTTTGTAGTAGTGGGACGAGGAGATTCGTAAAGCGGGCGATTCCTTCATAGGCGAGATTGCCACCCAGCCCGGCATTAACGGTCGTCTAAGTTGTCGTTATGATATGGTCCATCATTCTGCAACGAAGAGTACTCACCTTATGAACACTATCGCCCATGAGAAGTACTCGACCGTTTCTCCATTGCTTCAGGACACCTTCTTCCATCGGCACAAGACTTGCTTTCACCCTTGTTTCCCACAGGTCCCTAACAGTATAGCCGGGCCCGATTGTGGAATCCCCGTATCGATCGATCAAGTCCTGCGCATCTGTTTCGGTAAAGCGTGGACAACGAGGGTATTTTGTCTTGGAGCTCTTCACGAAAAGAAACCAAAAGATCGATCCAGGTTCGCCTGTAGCTGCGACTGCTGAATAGTAGTCGTAGTAGACATTATGAACAGTACCGTCAGGCATGAATGGCGTCGTCTTTCCATTGTGAGAAATGGCAAAGATTGCGTTGTACTCGCTCGTGAAGCCTGTATAGATACATCACATGTTCAGTTTTGAGCAAAAGTCTGAAGAGGCAGATCTACCTTCAAGTAGATCCTGAGCAAGAGCTGGATTCGCAGGCCTTATTTTCTCTGCCATAACTGTTCTTATATGGCTGTGGATTCCATCCGCTCCAATAAGGATGCTTCCTTGGCATAATCTGCCCTTATCTGTTCTTATTGTGATAGTGTCTCCTGTCTCCTCGTAACCCACGACAGTCGTGCAGCTGTGGACCCGATCTTTGTTTTGGATGTGGTTGTATATAAACTGGATGACTTTGCATCTTTCGGCGAAGACAATTGGCCGCCCGAGCCTGAGATCATTAATAGCTTCCTAAGGATAAATTATCTCAAGAGAACACAAACATGTTATGGATATCTCTCAGGACATGGGAATCCTCAAAGCATCTGTTGTTACCATCCATATGCTGGCGATGTTCCAAAGGAACAACAATCCTTTTTAAGTCGTCCCATACGCCGAGTTGATCGAGGATGCGGAGCGATGGGGGATGGAGGCCGAACGAAGCTCCCAGCTGTGGTGCAATTTCCCCTTTCTCGAATAATTCCCAGTCGATCCCCGCCTTTTCCAATGCCAACGCAAGTGTCAGCCCGACTACGCTGCCACCGGCGATCAAAACTTTGAACTTTGACGCTGCCATCTCTCCTGTCCTAGTCTCGTAAGTCACCTCCGAGAACAAATCGGCGGCACTGTAGCAACAAGACAGTTATGAGGGCCCTGTGTATGCTATTACATCAGCTTCGCAGACCAGCAAGCATCCACCAGGAAAAGAAAATCATCCCTACCTCTTGCTTAGCAACCGTATCAGCCTCCCAAAGATATATCACCCGATATCGACCTAAACCGAGCAACAATCAACAATATACCATGAGGGTACGTTCCACAAGGACGCCTGCTCACGCCAGAATATGGTGAAGATGATAAAGCTGGCGCAGTAATCGCGGGGTATCGGCGATGTTGCGATAATCACGATGCACGAATACAGTAAGGCTCGTCAACCGTGCCATATTTTCGTGCTTCACCGTATTGGTCCTGCTTAGCGTGGCCAACTGAACTAGCAACTGGCGACTCTGAATTGCTCCATCTTGCAATTTCTGCTACGAAGATAATGCGTCAGCATTTCGAACTCAATGAGAACGAAGAAGGCACTTCATTAAAAGGAGTCTGAGTTCCATTCAGCGTATGCTTTCAGATACTGGTGTCGAACGTGTTTGGTAGTACCCCGGCCCTTGCCCTTGCCATATCCCCAGGGCGTGGAAGAAGAGATGGGTCACGAGTTGATTCCCGTATAATCTTTTTAAATAACCAAGATGTGAGTTGGGAGAGCCGTTGCAAGATTATAAGCGCTCACTTACCTAAGACAGGTTCAAAAGCTCTGGGATGGGAACTGATAGTTATAACAAAATTCCTCAATGCCTTCAATCCTAGAACTATGCAAAGAGCGCCATTAAGCGAGACTGTGTATGCTTCGAATATTGAAATTGAAATAAAGCTCGCACCTACGGGCTGTGGCGGACGAGCCTTGGAGGACAAATGGGAATCTTGAGAAGAGCGCATGAAAACTAAGCATAAGTTTCAGACGGCGACACCAATATAGCCTTGGACAATAGCAACTACTTGTTAGATCCAGGTAGCCAAACAGGAGTTCTCCTTTTGATCGACTAACAAAGGCCATCAACTAAAGCTAAAAAATATCTCAAATGATTTCGCACATGAAAACGATCATGATATTTACTACTTTTAACTACAACAAATATGTCTTGCATTTCAATTCTTGACTGTTTATAACAACATCGTACCAGTAATGAAAGACTGCTAATCAGATACTCAGCGAGCAATATCGGTTTCCCTCAATCATCCTGGGACCATCGCTCAAGTTTCCAGCTTATCATCTACACGGCTACACCGTATTGTACATATAGTACAAAGCGCAGTCCCAACAAGACAGCTTCCCAAGTCATTCCCATCTCCCGTTCATTAATGATCGACATCATCTACTCACCTCCCATCGACTATTTCGCAAGATCTCTTATCTCAACCTGATAAATACACTATCTCTCAACACGTCCCCGTCCTGATAGACGAGAGTGACCCGACGTCAAACAAGCGGTGAGCGAACCTTGAATAAGCTTCGAACGGTCAAGCCAGCCAGCCAGCTACGAAACTTAATCTCGAAGAATATTCTATTCTTCCATTCACGTTCCATGTTTCATGCGCGTGAGGGTTGGCCGTATCGACGGTGGCTGGCTGCTGCGTGGTCCGGGTAAGTAAGTAAATAGCAAGAAGTGGAATTGTCGGGGAGGACTGGACACAGTTAAGTGCGAGCTGTCAGAGAAAAGAAAAGGCTGGCTTATATTTTCGTGGAGACGGTCGTTCGTTAATGCAGAGATAGCTGGATCTGATAGTGGTAAGCGTCGATGTACTCAGTGGTACAGGAGATAGTTAGCAGAAGAAGACACTTACGTACCCCGAGGACTATCCGGAGAAACAAGGCAACGACCTCTTCTTCCCCAGGAATAACCCAGCGTCCATCCCATATCCTAGTGAAAGCCTCGATCATGAAGGCGGCTCGACTAACTCCATCTTACCTCCAAACCTATGCGGCACCCAACAACACCACCTCGGCCCCAAATCCCGGAAGATCAATATCCGCATCATCTTCCTCCTCGTCCAACACACCTATCACACCACACCTACCTCGACGGCGTAATCATCCATTATCTCCATGCTCACCGAGAATAAGCGTCTTCCAATTCGCACCGCGAAGACAAAGACCCATCTATGCGTGTCATGTGGCCATGCGAAACGACATAGATGCACGTTAATAGGGGGGCTATTCAGAGCCCAGAGTCTTGATTTCAACGTACGTACCTATCGGGGCTTGGTCCTTATGTATGTCTGTACATGTACGTGTACATGACATGTACAGACATACCAAAAGTGCATACATATATCGTTTCTTGACCGACGAACAAATGAACCAGGCAGCCAACCACTAAGTGTAATTTGGATACAACTCCGAATAACTAGTGTTTACTTCATTTTCCCTTCCCCCGTACATACATACATACAGGCAGACAGATAGACAGACATACTACAGTACATTCCTGCAAAACGCAATGCAATGCAATCCCTTCTCAGCAAGCAGGTCCTAACCTCTACTATATTGTATGTATTGTATGGACATACCTCCATACTACTGCATCAGCACAAACTACACGAATGAAGAGACCCGCCTCCGCATCTCGACTCTAGTCTGAGCTCTATGCCTACTCGTTGATTTTTTCTCTCTGTTTACCCGTCTAATTGCACGAATCAGGATATGATTGGATATCAGTACCTCGCCTAGGTGAGGCTAAAGCTAAGCTGGATGAGGCTGGTCTCACGTAAGGGGAAAGAGCAATAATATGGAGCTATAGGCAGTTTCCTTGCTTATAAGTATTATAATTTCCCTGGATAGGTGGAGGAGATTAACTAAAATGGAAATGGTGTCCGAAACGTAGTTAGGTATTGAGAGTTGTCTTTCTGTCTGGACTCCGGAGAGAAGTAACGTCTCCATACGAAAGTGTGCATGGATATGTAGTATGTACATACATACATACATACATACATACAGTAGGTACATATACATACGTCTATCTCCATATAAATATTGAAATGCAAGTAGCCATACCATCGTTAGTTTAGTAGTACAGTACATGTACTCGAGCGCAGACTCTGGGGAAACTTACGACAACGATATTCAGCCTACAACCTGATATTCACCAAAACCACTAACCAACTGCTAACTAACCTTCTCCTAATTAGACATAGAGTAGGTAAGTCACTAAATTCGACTCGACCTCAAATAAATAGATTTAAAGCTCAACTCCGAAATACATGCCACTTGTTCACACAACGGTGTGAGATGATTATGATTAAAATTCCTACTAGTAGTAGGTACAGTACTCAAGTACCTCTGCATGTACATATATGTTTGGGTACTAGTACCGGGCATATTCTGCAAGAGACCGTTTAGGTACAAGTACAGGTACACTACGTGGACCTGGAGACACGTACATAGTTAGCACTGTAGTTAACTAATTACTTACTCCGTATCGTGACGATAGGAGTTTCTCACATCTAAGCTACAATAATCAATTAAGCACAGGTCAAACTAGCTCGAACTAGCCGCCGTATCCGCACGGGGATTTAAGTACGGAGTACATACAGTATTAGAGCGGTTAATTTACTCGTCGTGTTTAGTTTCAGGCTATTTATCCACACGGATCCAGACCCCAGAGAAGTCGAGATCGAGACTGACTGCAGAGACCTGGGGGTGCACCGTGCGATCGTAGGATGGGGATAGTTACTTAGAACAGAAACAACACCAGGAACCATGTATACCTAGCGTGATGTATGTATATGCAAGGTCATTCGGGAGGAGTGGTGATTATTATTCGCTAACAAAGTACTGGTAGGAATTATTATGTACCGTGTCAATCCACAATGTATTGATATTGAAATTGGATTCTTCTTCTGTCTGGTGCGTTGGCACGAATCTGTTTCCGCAGCGGCTGATTGCCTTCAATGGCCGCCTTCCCCACACGGGTCCATCACGCCCTCGATCGATCTGTTCTGCTCCACTGAGATGCTAATATTAAAACAGTGCGAGCGATCGCCAGCCGTGGCATGAGAGACACAGACGAAGAGACTTGCGAGGCATCAACCGCCCCTGACGGGCGCAGAGGACTCCGTGCCACGCGTAAAGCCGTCTCTCGTGAGCTACGCAGGCTGCGATCCACCGGCCGTGACGATTCTCCACGACAAGTGACTAACTAGTCTTATGTATTCTGACCATGTTTACTTTCAGATGTTCTAGACTTTCTACTGCGGATCGGATCGACGGTATCATCTCAGGACTTCTTGAAAGGTGCAACTGCAGCAGAAAAGGCAACTTCAGTCGCGTATCGTATGGCATGACGGAAACATGTTGTGACCGTTGCCTCAAACAATCCCAAGAGTACGGTAGGGCGACTACGTATTCCTGGTGATGGTCCCAGGCCCTCATGATGAAAATAACCTGCAAGACTCCTGAAGGTCAGTATGCCCTGAATGGCTTACCCGAGTCCGTGCAACCGTGTCGCGTCACATTGCTCCAATCTCAAATCAAAGAGCGGTGAGGCATGGAAAGCCGCGAGAGGGCGTATCACGTCACAGGCTCATACACTTTGTACAGGCCGTGACGAACAGTATGGTGATGTTATGTATGCGACCTTTTGTCGAGGCTACCTGTGAAGCTTCTTCAAGAGCCGACGAGAACTAACAACAGAACGGTTCGATCGACTATCCCTTGCGGAATTGAGACAGAACGAGGCGCCGTCCGGAACACTGCCATCTCGGAAAAAAGGCTCTTTTATGGTCCAAGGCATCCATTGGATGCGGAATGAGGCGGTTAAATGGAAGCAAGGCTTGATGCAATACTGTCGTGCGATAAGGGTACGGTACCGGAATGCATTTCTCAGAAGAAGACCACTGGCGGGTCAGCGTACTCCGGATGGAAAAGGAAGGATCTTCTATATCCAATCTCTGACCCGAGCATTGTGTTCTTTCTCTATAGGATGCTGACCCTGGGAGGGACGCTGTGCAACACCCCAGATGGAGTAAACCCTGGGGTATGGGGAAGTGTCAAGACTGACAGTCTCTGATCTCGACCTTCAAGCCAGTGAAGGCTTCACGGAGGTATATGGCTTGCTATCCTGACCTATACTACCCAAGAAACAAAATGACTGGTGAAGGATATTTGTTTAGGGCAAGAAAGAACATACCTGGCGGATTTGGTCATTTGGCAGCACTGAGGCGAATTACGTGCTTCGTCACCCAATCTTCCCAGCATCGGACATTGATATCTTCTAAGATTCACTTTTGGAAATCGGCAGCGTGCTCACGCTTTTGAACGTGGCCTTGTGCTATTGTCGCTTCTGCGTGGCCATTTTGCCTCACTTGCGAGACCAAATCCTTAACAGATATCGCGACAGGGACATTGTGGCAACGACGCCCTGGGTCTCAGGCTGAGGCCGGGCAGCAATGCGATTGAACTACCCTGGCTCTCTTCCATGAGATGGGTTGTTTCGAGGGCTGTAAGTTGTGAAGATATGAGAAGAGAGTGAACTCAAGATACTGACTGGTCTGCTAGGAAACGGAGTCCATCTAAGGGTGCGAGGAAACTCCGGGGAGCCAGCCCAAAAGGATTGTAAACCATGACTAGACCAGTATAGTATTACTGCGCGCGCCACCAGAGAACTCGACAGCCCCTCGTCAACGTCATTGCAAGAGATCGAGATGCACGAACGCTGCAACTCACGTATGCCGCAGTGACGGAGGAGATTCCCGTTTGCGCACGAGAATAATCGGGACGATCGAGCTGCCCAGCAGGGTCCCCTGGTTTCGCATGTTCGTCCCGCGACAGCGATATCGCTGGATAGATCGATCCCTGGCTTAGATGGACGGAGATGTTGACATCTATCGCAGTCCACGCGGGGTGATCAGTGAAGCCCGTGCTGGGGTTGTGGATGATCAGCGAACGGGAAGTGTGCTCTGGTTCCCGACGGAGATTCTGTAGGTAGATGGAGGGGGGGCTAATTATTGAGGGGAATGGAGGGGTTCTCTCAGACCCTTCCTACTGTCCCATTATCTCCAGACCCATCAAAATCACGCACCCGGCAGATTTGCTGGGGGAAGAAAAGGGGAAATAAAAATCAAATAAATAATCAATAATCAATAATAAATAAAAGAATATTAGAAAAGCCCGAATTAACAGCATAATTTTTTATACAGCCAAAGAAAATCAAGTGATACTCCCCAAGCGTAAGCGATAAGATAATCCATAAAAAAAGAACAAAGAAAATCCCTTTGGACAATATGAATATCATCAGATTACATCATATCTGATTCTGCAAGCTGCCAGGGACGGTATTATTATTGCTCTACTCGTGGATAATGAAAGGACGAACAAAAGCCATTCCGGACTCGACGGTGCTTGATGGACTCACATAGGCTGGACCGCTGGAGGATCTGTGATAGACAGTCCTGCGGCATTATTATCACTTACTTACTTACTTAGTGCCCGAAATGCCAATGCAATCCCAGGTTCCCAGCAGGATGGACCGGAGAACGTGCGATGACGGAGAGAAAATCAGCCGCGATGAAGCCACCGTCGGTTTTCTTCCAGGGCTGCAGTTGTTGACGGCGACATTGGCCATTGGCGATCCTTCGTGGGCCATCCGGAACTGTTGGAGCGATGAAGGCTTTTTTTTTCTCTTTTCATTTCATTTCTTTCTTTCTTTTTTTTTTTTTTTTTTTTTTTTTTCATGCGCTCCAGACCAAACCAAGGCTGAATCCGCCGTGCGCAGACGGGGAATTTGTCCTTTGGAATCCCGAGTAAGTAACTAAGTAATTGGAAGAAGATCAGAGTGGCAGTGAAAAGCAGGGAGATTATTCCCCCTCCCTCTCCCCCATCTCCCAAAGAGCGTGCAGCCGTCCTCCCTTGCATGGCGTCTTGACTCATAGTTCCTTTCTGCCTTGTATACACAGTCAGCATGATATCCTGCCTAGACTGATTCGAGGAAATTTAACTCATTAGTTGCTGGGTTAGCCTGGCTTCTACTCCTGTTCCTCGCCACCTGACGATGCTGGACTTGATGCTGAGAGGCGACGATTGGGCTGCATCCGGTGATTGGGCTCTTGGGCAGCCAACCATGGCGGATCTGAAAGAGACCGGCCAGGCACCCATCCATACACGAGGCCATGGAGGGGGGACAAGGACGAGAGGATGAAACGGAGAAGTAGGAGGGATGAGCGGAAGGAGGAGTATGGTATCTAGTCACCTCGTCAAGGATTGTATGGTTGATTGATTGATCGATTCATTTGATTGATTGACTCATTCATTAATTAATTACCATAGTCAGTTACTCTACTTAGATAAGTAATAATAATAATAAACAAGCAGGAACCACGGGACGAAGCGAGGACGGATCCATGGAATGAGAGTGGGTTGACGGGTTGATCAGAATGGGCATGGGAGTAAGTATATAATCCTCAACGGTGTAGAACTATCGCGATGTCTTCTTTTTGCTCTCGTCCTGGTGGTGATTCTGTTTAATCTCGTCCATCCCATCCCATCCCATCCCGTCTGCTTCCTCGTTCCATCCGTGCCAGCCCGAAAGCTGGTTTCTCCCCGGAGATTTTAAACTTGGTCGCTACCCTCCCCACGATGCAACAGCCAGACGTCCTCGATCTCTTGCGACTGTTCTGTCCGGTGATCCCATGAGAAAAGAAGAAGGAAAAAGAAAGACTTTTTTCTGGTTATTATAAATTGCATTGATCGAAAGAAAATAACCAAGCGACAAAAGGATCTCGAGCAGAGATAATTATTATACCTCTCCAATTAATCACTAAGCAACAGTTAGTGTCTCTCTTCATTCTGCTTGTATGTACAGTACCATACATACATGCCCTATCGTCAGGTCGCCAACGGGCTGCATATCAGGCATCGTTTCATCCTTCATCCTTTTTTTTTATTAAATTTTCTTGTACCGTCTTTCCCCCACCAGGACTAAAGTATTCTGACTAGCGACATCGACTGTCGAACCAGAAACGCTGCACATTGTTCGTCGTTCTGTCTCGCATCTCGCTTCCTGCTGCGCCCATTTGCTGTGTCCTGCCCGTTACCCTCCCTCCTTCAACGAATCCCCCTCCGTTTTCTCCCTCTGTCGCTCACCCCTTCAGCCTGTCTTGTCCGGTCCTGTCTTACCCTTCTTTTTTTTTTCCCTTTCTCTTCCCCCTCCCTCGTGGCAAGTGCCGCGAAAAGTGACTCGACTGGTCTCTTTATTCTCTTTTTTCTCCTCTCTTGTGCACACACCCTTCGACGGCGTCTGTCTCGTGCTGCTGCCCACCCACGCGAACACGCTTCGAACCTTGCGCAACTACTGACCTGCGTCGCACCGGTTCATAGGCACCTGTCACTCCTGCTTCGTGGCTATTATTATTATTACAACTACTGCTGCCCGTTCCTCCTACTCTTCCTCTCTTCTGAGTCCTGTCCTATCCTATCCTGTCTTGTCCTGTACTGTACTGCGGCCTGGATTCATTATTCCTCTTTGATCGCTCTACATCCCTTCGGCATCTCCACCACAAAGGAAACCCCACCAAGCAGCACGTCTGTACGCTGCGCCAGATCATTGAACCGCCGCTGACAACGCCTGCGCGCTGCAGACCACTCGACGGTCCTTTCGACAGACCTGCTTTTTACCCACTGAGAGTCTGCCAGAAAGCGTTCGTCGACCCGTGCGCCGGTGCTTTCCATCCACTCTCACCCAGCAGCATCCACCGAACAGCAACCGGACAGGTTTCGATGGAGCAGTCGCAGGCCACTGTGGATATTGACTACCAATTCCCAGTCGTCGCCCGTCGCTGACAACCCTCGAGACCGGTCGCTGCGGCCATTGCCTCTGCGATCAGCAGATTCTAGGTCCTGGTGCAAAGGTGGAATGGGAGCTGGCTGGCGCCTGCGTTGAGTCACTGGCCAAGCATCAAGCACGATTGTCGCCCCAACCCCTCGGGATTCGAGGCGATCACCTGGCCCTCACGCCGTCCGGCTGAGAGATCGCACGGTCTAGACAATAGCGCGAAGCGAAAAGCAAGACAAAAATTCAAAAAGAAAGCCATGTCGGGCAGAGTCCCTCACGCTGCCTTCTGCGAGGAGTACGACGAGGACGCCAACGTCATTCTCCCAGACACCCGTAGAGTCGCCAACGTCGCCGCAAAACGGTCCAAGACTGAATTGAGACCTGCAGCGGACGGTGCAAGTGACTCCGGCTATTCCAGTCGGACTGCAGCGACCGTCAACAGTGCCCAGTCCGGCCCCAGCGGACGGAGAAGCCCGACCCCTCTTAAAGTGAACACCACACTGAGGGGTATCGATCTGGCAAAGATTCGTGAAATCCGTGAAAGTCGCAAGGACAAGGGAAAGGAGAAGGAAAACCAGCGACCAGCCATGCCCGGCAAGATGCCTGTCGAGTCCCTACGCAGTTCGACCCGGGTCGCATCGCACCAGCGGTCGCCATCGAAGCCCAAGAGACGTGACAGTGTCAACGTCCGCCATCATCCTGGCAGTTGCTGGGAGTGTGAGCAGGGTCTCTATCATCCGTCGACACCCATCGATCCTCGAGCCTTAGATTATCCCTACTACGCCTCTCAGCCGCCTTCAGTCCATGACTTCCCACCAGCACCCCCATCGCCTCAGTCCGCCCGTTATCCTCCTCCATACGGTCCTGAGATCCAGATCGCCCAGCGAGGTCGTCGTGGCAGCCGCTCGAGCAGCGTCTACCACCCGAATGGTCGACCCTTGAGTTATCATGGCATGACGCCCGAGGTGAACATGATGTATGGCATGGGCACCATGACTCAGTATGACCGTGGTCCTCCACCCTCTGCATCCGCGTACACAAACGCATCGTCGTTCTCTCCGTCTCCATACCAGCAGCAGCTGCAATACGTCCCCCGACAAGACTCGGTTCCGCCGTCCCCCTACGAGCGACAACACGAACCCTTCGACTCTCGAGCGAGGGAGTCCAAGTCTCGACGTCGATCGTCTGTATACGGGCCGCCCGTAGTCAACTACGCACCATCAACACCGGACTATGACGATGGTGAGCCGCTGGAGCGAAAGAGCTCCCGGGACCAGAGATCATCTCGTTATTCTCAGACATTCGATCGGGATGAAGACTATTACCTCATGCCGCCGCCTCCCGTGAAACAGCACAAGCCACAGCCACCTCAGGTGATCCAAAGGCGTCCTGACCTGCCCCGCAAGTCGGCCACTACAGGAACCACCGGAACAGCACGGCGTGGCTCCCAGACGTGGGATATGTCGGAGTTGGAGGATGCTCTTCCCGACCGCCCCCTGCGAAACCCCATCCGGGATGCAATCATCCCCGAGCGCAGTCAGAGTCTGCGGGGTGCACATCGGCGGACGTCCTATCATGAGACCTCTCGCCCCGGCCGCATTGCCATCGAGGATTCCCGCCGGCGCCGCACGTCAGTATATGACTATGAGAGCCAGACTCCGACCCGGGATCTGGAAGACAAGGCACGGGATGCAGAAGAATACCAGGCCGCTCGAGCTGGCAAGCCGGTCCCCCTGACGGCTGATGCGCTGTTCAAGGCCAAGAACTCTCATAGACCAGACAGTGACAGCGGCAGCCAGAAGAGCCGCTCCAACAGCAGCCGGGGAAGCGACGCAAGGACGCGCGATGGCAGCGGCACTGGCTCCAAGGGCGACGAAGAGCACAGCTTTACTATGAATGTCAACGGTATCACCATGAGTTTCTCTCAGGAATCAGTTGGTGGGAAGCGCATCAACCTCAAAACGGGGGAGACGGGCGGCGTCGAACTGAATATTGAAGGAAGACGCCCCAAGAAATACATCACGTCACGCTCTGACTACACTAGCACCAGTGGGAGTGGCCGGAGAGAAATCGAAGACCGACATTCACGCGATGACCGGCGATCAGACCGCGCCAGTCGGCGCTCTAGTCGGTCAACGTACAGCAGTCGGGGGCTCCTTGAGTAGTTCACCCTTCGAAGTTCTCTCTCATAAGCCCATTTCCTTGTCGTTCTGGTAGCGAACAGCCGGGCAGAAAAGTCACTCCACTCGCTTCGCTTTTGAGAAGACAATGCACTCTGCTTAAAAGTTGGTCATTTCTTGGGTCGGCTCTCTGATGGGGGAAAAAAAAAGCTGGGAAAAAGCGTTTGGCAATTTGACTGGTCTTGGATCAGTCCAAAAAGGTCGCAAAGAGTAATGCGAACGATGGGTCTCGGATGCAGGGTTTCCTATATATCTTTTCTTTTTATTTTCTTGTTCCGGTGGCAAGGCAGGATCCGCACGGACTCTATGTCTCACGTTGTTTACGTTGTTATGATTGTACGATTCTAATGACTTTCGCAATGACGTCTGCGCGCTGCTTTTTGGTCTACTGCGTCTTTTAACTACTATGCAGCCTCGCGTACTGTATGACTCGTTATGTGGTCAATGATTTCATGTGTTTAAAAAGTCAAGGATGTTGGGTTGGCTTCTGGTCTGGAAAAGCGGGTCGCCCCTGGTTGGGAAGAACGTTATCGTTATATATACCCTACTAGCTGTGTGTATTGGATTTGCTTTTCCCCTTGTGCTCACCAACCATTCATCCCTGTTTATGAGCACAGCGCTTTGCCTTTCGCCTGTTGATGCTATCTTTTCGGGGCCTGCTAGCTGTTACAGCCTGGAGTTGTAGTTCAACATCGCTCTGGTCTTGCTGGATGCGCAATGAACTATCTCCTCCATGGCTTTGCGTGTGTGTTGCAATATGCAGATGTTTGCTCCGCAGATTGCCGTCGTCACTGCCCTTGTCTCTGTTATTGTTGCTACCTCTGTCCTGAGCGGTGGTTAGAAGCGGTAGAAGCGGTAGGAATCCACTTGATAACTTATTATTTCAATAAAAATAAACAGTCTATCTGCCTGTGTAGTATATTCTTCACTCCCACCTGACCGTAATACCAGACCTTCAACAAAAAGCGTAGTATATACCTAGTTATCCCACAGTTTAGATCTGCCTCGGGGCTTATTTTTAGTCTTGATCTTATCACGGATCGCCCCACTGCGGTTCGGCCATCTGATCACATGACTTTATCGGCCGCTGACATAAGCCATCGCCCGTGACAACGCGCGGCCCAAACAAAACGTCAGACTCCCCAGCCTCTCTATTAATCGATTCGGTCAACCACCGGGTTTTCTGGCTGGACGGGATAAGCCCAGATAATGGTGGGAGAGATCCCCCAGTTTGCGTCCTGGCTTTCTTCCATCTCTCTCTCTTAGTGATTTCTTTCTGCTTTTCGACGCAGCAACTGACAACCCAGCGACAAGTCGATCTACTAACGGGGCCAGCATAATCCGGGGTATTTAGTTTGCATTCCTCAGCAACTTATCTCAATCTCCACAATTTCATCGGAATCTACATCTGCATACCAGTGCGAGCCCACGCGAGGTTTCCTTATCATTGCATTGTGAGCGATTGATTGCCTCAGAGGTAAAGTCAGATCGTGCGCAGCGAGTACTGTGGGGTATATCATGCTGACTCTACTAGGGCTTCTCTTGAGCTGTGTGCTCTTGACACAGACTGTTCGCCCACCATGCCGCCAGTCCAGCTGGTAGGGGACATCCCCGGGATGGTTGGGTCATCGCTGTTCCTTGACAGACGTGATGTTTCTCAATCGTCACCGGATCCCGCCCCTGTGGAGGAACATAACCTTCTCCTAGCGCCGCGATCTGCCTCGACGACGCATGTCAGTCCCGGGAAAGGAGCAATACCTCCACAAGACGTCAACATGCATGTTATCCAGGCTGTCTTTGCCGTCATCGGAGCAGGCTTCGTATTGGGGGCGATTTGGTTCTTCTTCTGGGCGAAGAATGGCGGGTTCGTCTGGCGGAAGGGCGATTGGGATGAGTACAAGTCGACAGTTCTACGACGCAAGGGCCCTGATGGGAGAACACTTAGTAATGCTACCAAGAGTACTAAACTTGGTGGCGGCAGTGTCGTCGGCAGAGGTTACAGCGACTATGACGACGCATGGACGGTCACAGACAGCGCAGCGATGACAGAGACGGCGACAGAAGTGACGGAAGAGAAGCCGCGCAAGAAGCGCAATCTCAAGGAGACCGCTAAGATGAAGCTTCTGCGTAGACGCAAGGAGGAGAAGTGGGAAGGAGAAGCGGATGAGGATGTGCGCGCTTATCGTCGTGAGAAGCCAGCTCGCGTTGGTGGTCTCAACCAGGAGCCTGAAGGCACGTATCACGGCAGCGAATACACGCCAACGGCTCCTAGTGAATACAACTCGAGCGAAATGACTGAGTCGCGTGACTTTGCCTACCGTCAAGAACAGCGACGCAACCGCAACCCCTCTGGGTTCTCGTTCGAAGCCGGGAGTGAGGACGTTCTCAGTCGGGCAGCGCCAGAGGAGTATTCTCGTCGGGACCGGGATCGTCACTCGACCCGTCGTCAGCACCGTCGGCGGGAACGTCGAGATGGCGAACGATCCCGTGCCCATCCCTCGTCCCGTCACAGCAGCCCCCGTAAGCGGGAACGTTCGTCTGTGGGCAACTACCACGAGCCGCTCGACTTCTCGTCTGCGCCCTCTTATTCGGAATATCAATACTCTGCCGCCGAGACTGAGGAAACCGGCACCAAGAGCTACCACCATCCTCTCCCAGCTCTGAGCAAGGGCTACCGTCGCGATGGACGCAGCAGACGCAGAGACAGCCTGAGCGACAGCGACGGCGAGTATAGCCGGAGAAGATAAAACTTCCTTTGTTTTTTCTTCAACTGGCGTCGACTTAGGCTGTGATTTTACTTGATTAAATTGCTCTTCGGGCTCCGTCCCAGCACGCATTTCCCTCTCAGATCGGGATAGGCATGCCTTCTACACTGTAAATGCAGAAATGAAACCATATAATGAGCGACGGGAAACGAATCGGAACGCAACATCTGAAATCTGAATTGAACGGAACGGACCGGATTAGGATAGGATAGGATAGGCCAGGATAGGGTGGAATGGAATACTGAACAGAGCATGCGACGGGTCGGTAAACTGGTTTTCCACTTTCAAAATATCATGCATGATTTTCTATTCGCCATTATTCAATCCAATCCCTTATGGATGCATGTATGTACGTATGTGAAATTGCGGCGTTGAGGATTCGTATGTATTTCTAGTCTGTCTACTTCGCATACGTAGAGCGTTTAGTTGCTTTCAGTAAGTATAGTAGACACGATACGTATGAGTATAACTTGAGATCCAGGTTCGTATTAGAGTAAACCCCGAATAAGCATGACAATGAGAAAATGTACATACATGTAGCCATGAAAGATATAATAAGGCATACTGTATATCCTCTCCGCCAGATCGAACGAGAAGGGATTGTGTATGCCCCTTACGAATGGAAAGTTCCATGTTCTCAAGATGCATAAGTTATGAGTCTTTACTATTCCGAGAGCCTTCAATATACATACATACAGGATTAGTATGGAAAAATGAGAAAGAGAACTTCTGTTTGAATTCGGTATTTGTAGGTATGCGTAGGGCTAAGAGGCTTTTATGCGTATTTGATAGGAGATTTTAGAACATTTGATGCGATTCTTATGCGGATGATATGCTGTTGAAAGCTTGTTGTGCTGTATATTAACCGCCATTTTGATAGAAATAACTACAAGAGGTGATATACTTCCAATGTTCTATGTCGGGGCTTCCCGTTTAGGAATAGAGCGACCTCAAGCTCTCTTTCCGCTCGTGGCATCCACGACTGCATGTGTCTATAATTGGAACACCATCGATTGTAGATCTATTTCCAACTATCTAATCCTCGACACGGGCTCAGTCGTACCATTCTTTTTCATCAACCCTTACTCCATATTCTCTTTAAATCAAAGGTTAACGGCGAGGGTGTACTCAAAATGACCAGACTCTGGCGTATCTTGAAAGGAAGCAACGGAACAAGTTCCAGCTCAAGATCAGAATCCAACAAAGACACTCCATACTCCCTGTGCGACGCCCAGAAGGCCCATTGGTTAGAGCACGGCTTTATTAAAATCCCAGGATGTTTTTCCCGCGAAGCCGCTGCACAATTCTCATCCTCAGTCTGGACACGTCTGGGGATTAACCCCAACGATAAATCTACCTGGCATTCCGAAACCATCCACATGCCAGGAGAGAAATATATCAGCATCAAAGAATTCGCTCCAAAGGCACATTATGCGATATGCGAGTTGGTGGGAGGTGAAGATCGCCTAGTGGATTGGTGCAAGAGCTGGTCGGACGCATTTATTCTGAACTTGGGCAGGGCAGATTACAACCCGGCAGATAAATTAAATCTACGACAGTTGGAGCAATGGCACGTCGATGGAGATTTTTTCACTCACTTTTTGGATTCTCCAGAGCAGGCTCTCCTGGTGGTACCGCTGTTCACTGATATTCCTGAGAAAGGTGGTGGCACGGCCATATGCACTGATGGCATTGGCGCGGTAGCGAAGCATCTGGTAAGTTCTTTTTCCCTCTGCATCGCTTTCTGCCACGGTGATCTTGAATATTTGGATGCTGAACCGGTTATAGTACGACCATCCGGCAGGAACAGATCCTTTCCTCGTTCCGCAGGGCGTATCGAATGAAGAAAGGGACAGATATGAGGATATATACGATGCCTGGATCCGAGATCCAAATACCACGCGGGACAGCTCTTTCCATGAACTAACCGGCAAAGCCGGTGATGTCTACTTGTTACATCCATTCATGGTCCATTCCATCTCCAAGAACCTGCTACGGAATATCCGGATCATCACGAATCCCCCAGTGGCGTTGAAGGAACCTTTCAACTACAGAAGACGCGATGGGAAGTTCAGTCTGGTTGAGCAGAAGACATTGAATTCTCTAGGGAGACCGGAGGGCTTACCGGAGTGGAGCATTGCCGGGGAGAGAAAGCTGCTCAAGTAACCCCAAAGTAGGGGTAATAACAAAGTCGAGGTAATAACAAAGTATCATAGATGACAATGATACCATGTTGGCCGCTAGCACTATGAGACGAAGAAAGGGTGGAGACCTACGAGGTCCAGCGTCTTTAAGTGACGACGATGTACCTAGATTGAAACCCGCACATGCCGGGTTTACGACCTATTGTTACTCCTTAACGAAATCTATCAATATTAGAGAGCGCAAATACTCAGTGCATTTCCATCTTAATTATCCCTAGAAAATAGTGAGCCTTTCGTTTGTTCAATAAAAAGAAGTCACCTCGTGACCGACCCATCCAGACGATATGTCTGTATTTGATAGTTATGCCGTGGCTTGGCTGTGGCTGGCGGAATTCCTGTCGAAGTGGCAGACTTGAGCGTAGTACTTTCTAATATCATTCTTTCCCTGTCTAACAGGGCGTATATTATCTACCCTGCTCTAATCTAATAATACCGTCAAGTAAAAGTCGTATAAAAGCGAGCCTTCCACGAAGTACTCCAAATAATCGCAGGGTGGAGAAAACGCGACGCTAAAGGCGGTGCAACCGGAAAATCAGCCGGCCCGAAAGATTTTCCATCTCTGGGAAACTTTCTGGGCGGACCAACTCGAGATACATCGACATCTACCCAGGATCACTATCTTTTCTCTCGCATTGCATTGCTTGCAATCATGAAGCGCAAGCTGGATGCCAACGATGTGCCCTCGCCCGAAGTCGCAGAGGGCGACAGTAACAAGAAAGCCGATTTTGAAAAACTGAACCTCGATCCCCGGCTGCGCCAAGCCTTGATAAAAGAAAAGTTCACGAAGCCGACTCTCGTTCAGGCTGAGGCGATTCCTCTAGCACTTGAAGGAAAGGATATCCTGGGTATGTTCCTCTGTTATCTAATTGTTGTATAGGTTTGATGTGCTGACGTATGCAGCTCGCGCAAAAACTGGCTCTGGAAAAACCGCTGCGTATGTTTTGCCGATCTTGCAGACAATCCTCCAGAAGAAATCCGTGAGTACTTTACTACGAGACTCGTGCTTTGCGAATCGTATCTAACTATGGCCAGAATGATCCCTCCTTGAAAGCTACCTCCGCACTTATCCTGGTCCCCACGAGAGAGCTCTCAGAACAGGTCCAGCATGTGGTCACGAAATTCACCTCGTTCTGCGGAAAGGATGTTCGCTCCGTCAACCTTGCTCAGAAGGTCTCGGATGCTGTGCAACGAGCGATGCTGGCTGATTTTCCGGATATCGTGATCTCTACGCCGGCCCGTGTCATATCGAACCTCAACAGCTCCGCACTGTCGCTGGAGACTCTTTCTCACTTGGTCATCGACGAGGCGGATCTGGTTCTATCTTACGGCTACGAAGATGACATCAACGCTCTCGCCAAGGCAGTTCCCCGTGGTGTGCAGACGTTCTTGATGAGCGCGACTCTTACATCAGAGGTGGATACTCTAAAGGGCCTGTTCTGCCGGAACCCTGTTATCCTCAAACTGCAGGAGAAAGAGGATGAAGGCGCTGGTGTCAGCCAATTTGCTGTCAGGTAATATATCCAACCTACACCTCCTATGTTGACACCTTCACTAATGTCTCCTAGATGCGCGGAAGACGAAAAGTTCCTCCTGACCTACGTTATTTTCAAGCTTCAGCTTATCAAGGGAAAATGTATCATTTTCGTTGGTGATGTCGACCGGTGCTACCGTGTGAAGCTGTTCCTTGAACAATTCGGTATCAAGAGCTGCGTGCTTAACTCAGAGCTGCCGGTCAACTCGAGAATACACGTCGTGCAGGAATTCAACAAGGGCATCTATGATATCATTATTGCTGCCGATGAGCAAGAAGTCCTTGGTTCGAAACACTCCAAGAAGTCGCGAAAGTCAGAGTCGGGAGAAAACGAGGCGGAAGATGACAAGACCGCGGACAAGGAAGTGGCAGACGCTGAACCACTCGACTCCAGTGAGGACGAAGTTCAGGAGGAGACGACTCGTTCTGAGAAACGCCGGAAAGTGACACCCAAACAAAAGGACTACGGTATTTCTCGTGGAATCGACTTCCAGAATGTCGCTTGTGTCCTCAACTTCGACCTCCCCTCCACCTCCAAATCCTATACCCACCGTATCGGCCGTACCGGTCGAGCTGGCAAGACCGGCATGGCCCTCTCCTTTGTTATCCCATCCAACCTCTACGGCAAGCACAAACCCACAAGCTACCCGCCCGCCAAGCACGACGAGGCCGTCCTAGCCAAGATCATCAAGCGACAAGCCAAGCTTGGCCACGAAGTCAAGCCTTATCACTTCGAAATGAAGCAGGTGGACGCCTTCCGGTACCGAATGACAGACGCCCTGCGCGCCGTCACCCGACTCGCTATCCAGGAAGCACGAGCTCGCGAAATCCGCCAGGAGCTAATCAAGAGCGAGAAACTCAAGCGTCATTTCGAAGAAAACCCCGAAGAGCTCCGCCATCTCCGTCACGACGGCGAGCTGCGCGCTGCGCGTGTGCAGCCCCATCTCAAGCACGTCCCGGAGTATCTACTCCCCGCGAAGGGAAAGAAGGGCCTCACCAGCGAAGATGTCGGATACGTCGGCTTCAACAAATCGAACGAGAACCGCATCCGTAAGGCTAGAGACCGAAATCGCGGTAGAGGCAAAGGCAGAAAGCCAGGTGGAAAGGTTGATCCGTTGAAGACGTTTAATGCGAAGGGGCGGAAATAAAAGCATTAAGTGATACCATGGCTTTGTGTGTTCATAGATTCTTGCTGCTATGGAGTATAGTATGTATGTAGATACTGCTTTATATGGGAGTATATTTATTTCTGGACATAAATAAACAATGTGAATCTCTTCCTGCTCTGTATTTTTTATTCACGATATATATAATCCTGCCATATAAAAAAAGCCTCGAAAGGACATGCCGGGTAGTATGTATATACGACCCTCTCTAAAACCCAACCTCAACACCAGCCTTCTTAAGCATAGCTCTCTCCTCCGCTCCATCTCCACCAAAGGAGACATGGACCCATTTCCCTTTCTCTTCTCTCCTAACCCGTCTAATATGTTCTTGTACCCGTTTCGCTCTATCTAGTATATTCCGATACGCCTCCATTTCTTTTGCGCGTCTATACTTTTCCCGCTCCTCTTCTACGTTCCAACTCAGAGCAGGATCAGGATCAGGATCAGGCAAGTTCGATGAAGAGAGAGGCGAGTGAATAGACGCATGGAGCGACTTTGACGGCGAGGGACCATATTCTCCTGAATCTTGTCCTCCAGGTAACCAGCCGGGTCCAAGACCGACCCATTCCACGTTTCTCCAGGAAGCGTTCCACTCTGGGCCTGGCGAGGTATAGATCTCGCCACCTGGTCCGATGCCGTCCCAGCTTAGGGCACCGAACCACTCGCCGCAGCCTTCTAGGTCGAGCCATTTCAGACAATATGTTGCTCTAGATAGCTTTCGGAGGACGGAGGATGCCTCAGCCCAGTTGTTCTCGAGGGCAGAATATGCATCCGTGCCTCCGTACGAGAAGGTGAGGGATCTATGTGTTGCGTGTCTGATGCGTGAATTCATAGCGTTAGGCGTGAGGGTTGGGACTGGCCAGTGAGCGAGAGATAGATGGGTGAGAGTAGACAAGTGGGATAAGAGATTGAGGAGGGATACCCAGCTAGCGCTGGCTGGGTTTGGATGCGCCAGGGAGAGGAACCTGAGATTCTCGAAGCGGAGGAGTGTCTGGACAGGCGACTTGAGCAATGATGGGGTAGCAGGCGCATCTGATTCCTCCTCTACTTCAGCATCCCACGATGACGGGACATTATCATCCGCTTTGGTCACAGACGATAAAGCTTCCCTGGACGACGACGAAACCACCAATTCAGCATTCAGCTGCTTAAAACTGATCCAGTTCCCCAAAGCAGTGCTCATATCCAACCGCATAACCTCACGATCGTGCTCTACCCACTCATGTCCCTCATCCTCTTTACAAAACAAGGGACGAAGACCCTGTCCTCGATTTCTCGGAGACTGTTCATCATTCGCATACACCGCGATGTAGCTAAGTAGCAACATCTTCATCCGCGTGGGAAGTTCATTCAGGAACTCCCCATCGTAATCAAGATGCCAGTTCCAGTTCGAAGCGAGAGACTTGAGCACCGCATGCTGAAGACTATTCTTCGCGGGGAACGTCACGCCCGGAAGTCTTTCTAAGCGATAAAGCACCCTGCCGCTTCCAGCAGGAATTCCAAGACGTTCATGGTTGATCTCATCGCTTCGCGACTGGGAACCTTGCAACCAACTCGATGGCGGAGGCGGACCAGGCGTTCTTCGAATCCTTGCCTCGCCAACACGACGAGTGCTGGGACGAGGTCGCGGCGGAGGCGTCTCTGGGAGTTCGAGGAGATTTCGTATGGAAGGATGGACGGATCGAGGGACTACACGAGGTGTCAAACTGACCGCGCCGTCGCCGGAAGAGGACTGCGACACCTGAGTGCGACGGAGATGGTTGATGAGGTCGTTGACAGAGGGTTCTGGAGTTGAGGAGCTTGCGCCATGTTGATGGCGAGTTGTATGGTTGCTTGGGCTGAGGGAGTGATGAGGGAGGCTGGTCGGTTTTATAGACGAGTATTTCTGATGCTTCTTCGGCATAGAGAAGTTAGGAAGGGAGGGCTAAGAGCAGAAATGCGATGTGCGGTGATGCGCGCGGCGGGATGATGACGGAGGGAAGCTCAGCTCAGCTCGAGTTGCGGGATAGACGAGTTGCTTATCGTTTATCGTTATCGCCACCAAAGCTGACTATATATCCCACTATATCCACGCAACAAGGCAAGAGAGCAGTATGGCTTCTGTACTGTACACTGAATTTCCTTGACTCCTGGCTAAAGTTTCTATCGACACTTTTGTAGTCACCACCCCGATCCTGACAAAAGGTACAATGATCAGGCTCTGACAGGGAGACTCTTCTTATATAGAACAATACATTCATTCAGACAATTACACGTCCCGGACCCACGACTCATCCTTCATCTTCCCTTCTCGTTTCGGCCCCTCACGGATCCAAGTCTCAACCAGGCTCTCTTTCGGGTCCTCGTCTGGTAGATTGCGCGATCTGCGCACTTCCAGAACGAGTTCTCGTACCTTCTTTGTGCATTCTTTGCGCAGTTCCACGGCTTCCTTGCCGTGGAGTAGATCATCGGTGAGCACACCCAGCGGTGGCTCCTGACCGGCATTGGCCTTGACCGACTTCTCCTTCAATTTCTGCCAGCGTCGTCTCAGATCGCCAAAGACAGCCTCAGTGTCCGCCTTCTGTCCAAATGTGACGCTGATGTTCTTGAAGGGCCTGGGGAGGAAACGGGGGAACTGCCGGCTTTCAGGCATGACCTGATCCGTGCCTTCGAGCCAGATGGGCACCACGTCAGGGCATTCAGAGGATTCCAAGATCAATCGCGCGACACCCCATTTGAAGTAGCGCATTGTCTTGTGCGGCGCCTGATGCACCTTGCCCTCTGGGAAAATGTGAATCCAGGAGTATGAATTGCACGCATACGCAGAGGGCGCCAGGTACGAATCATCCCCCATAGTATGATATGCTGTCGGTAAATCAGAGAAGGGATCGACGCAGACGTTATGCAAGCTCCAGTGCTGCCGATCGGCCGCAGCAGCGTGAGGGGCAGGAGGAAATGGTCCCTTCGAGAGCAATCGTATCGCCTGCGTCACAGTCGGTTGAGCAACTCCACCATGCGGCGAGTGCGCGAGTCGATGCGTTGGGAGAACCTGGCCAAGAGTGAAAAAGGCTGACAGCGGTCTAAAGTCGCAAGTCGTCAACGATAAGCTCATTGTACATACATCCGTACACAACGCGGCCAATTACCTGTTCTGGAAACAAATATCGTGGCTTCCAAACGCCCATCGTCTGTTCCAAGATGGCAGACCGTAATGGTATCGCAAAGGCAGCGCTCCCCACATTAACGGGTCATCCATCCTAGTATACGCCCGCGCAATTAGAGTTAGCCTTGGTCTCGTCCTCTTTCGACTATTGTTCTCTTCGCATCCGTCGGAATCATCTTCGCGTCAGGATTGCTCGTACGTACGTACACGCTAATGTGATTTGACACTATCATAATCCGCGAGCAGTTAGTAAACCAGACAGTTCCCACAACAACGTCGTTCGACAGAGAAAAGTCCAATTGCGACAAGCCGTACCTGTAATCAACCCCCTTGTCCGCTTGGACGGGTCACTCCGCGAGTCAAGCAGTTCCATGAATGACTCCAAACCATTGATCTCCGGGGTGCTCGCGTAGAGTAGGAAGGCGCGACATAGTGCCCCGATCTCAAACATGGTCGCAGAGGACCAAGCCCTCCATAAAGAGGAGGGCTTGTCTGTCGTCGCCCCGAGAGGCATTGCCGTCTGCTCGGGCATCTATCGAATCTCCATAGACAACCGAGAACGAGTATCAGTCCAGAATGACGAGAAACGCGTCGAGGCGGCGCCTCTCTAGGATGTAGAGAGAAGAATAGACCAGAGCAGGATAGCAAAAGAAGAGAGAAACGAAGCGGAGCAATCAGATACTTAGTAGCGAAAGCCCACGGGGAGCCGGCGAAAAGCACGTGGGCCGGACAAGTGGTGAACTGAGTCTTCCAAGTCAAGATCCGCGGTTATCCTGCGTATGTTTGTAGCCGAGAAGACCTACTTGCCTCAGTTAGTCCTCTTCCAATCTTTTTCTCTCTCTCTCTCTCTGTATTAATAGTATTTCTCCAGTTTCCTCCACTTGCACTAAAGAACAGGAAACGCCCGCGGAGACCAAGAGTGCACGGACCAACACGAGAACTTCGGAGCATCCGCAACACGGCCATCTCTAAAACGAAGAACCCTTAGGATCAGCTTCACGGAACAGACCCAAGCTCTTTTCTCTCCTATCGGTTGGGACAGCCTGCACAATGTTCAAGCCTACGTCTCCGCTGTTGGGAGGTCTCCTCTGGTATGTTCTTCCAGTTGTACCCTCCCCGTGTCGCCATTCCGAAGCAAAACTTCCATGCTGCAAACCGCCTCATCACAGAAGCGCACGACGGTATAGAAGCCACACAGCATGATCACTAACCGCTCTTGAATAGGAAAATCCCGTGGCGGCTCTCCCGTCCGCAAAAGGCACGACAACGCAAGCGTCTCCGTGCCGTCGACCGCGTCGTGGACACTGTCAGCGCTGCGCTGCAGCGGAATGGCGGTTTGACGACCAAGGCCGTGGAGCGGTGGTACGCTGAGATGCCCCGAGAGGAGGAAATGGTGCCCAAGGACAAGTATACGATCTTTGATAAGAAGGAGAAGAAGTATCGGAAGGGAATCCACAGTGCGTACTTCCCGGTTGCGGATGCTATTGACCCCCAATAAAAGCGTGGATTGCTGACTGCATCTTTTCCATACAGAGCTCCCCAAGTGGACTCGCGTGAGCCAGCGACTGAACCCCCCTGGTTTCTAAGATCATTCTTGGACGGTTGCGGATGAGATTTATCGACAAGCGGGAAACTGGCTATCTTCAGCCATCCTTCCATTGCAATATACCTGCCTACGTGGATCGATTTGTACAGTACATGAAAGCTTATCTGGGTTACATGCTCCGGTGGGGGAATTCTTCATACTCTGAGCGAGTGAGTGGATAAACGGAGTTCCGGCAATTGAGAATTGATGTGACTTGAATTATGATCACCTCCGATGATGGCTGAATACCGCTCTGTTTTCTACCAACATGCAGACTCGAAACAAGCAGTATAGATATCCAAGAGACTGTTTGGTTCCCAGCGACCATCTGTCAACCTTAAGCATGAAGCATAATAGTTGCTATATGACATGGCGATGAAAAGAGCGCGGCGTAGAACCTTCTAAGAATGTGCCTCGGCGTATCCCGTTATCCATTTTCCATCGTATGGATACCATCACGATCTCCTATCGGATCTGTGAGACTGGTGTCTTCTCCAGTCAGAGCTGAAGTCTGTCTGATAGTAGGAATATGACCTGATGTCCGACACAGCTGAATCTCTTCCGGAATATACGTTTCAGTGTCTCCCCGTATGCTGTCTCGAGTTGTTCGTGTCCTTCCCATTGAGCCATTGCCTGAGCGTGCTTGTCTCCGCTCTCTTCCAGTGTTGAGGTCTCGCTTCGTTCTCCGTCCTATCGGAGTCTGTGGAAGTTTCTTTGCTGTCGTCCTATAGATCTTTGTCACTCCTCGAGCTACTCGTCTTAGATCTCTCGTTCGGTTGACCCTAGCCTCGTTGATCTTTTTCTCGATACGATAGCTATACTTGACTTTCTGCCATTCTTCTAAGGGCTCTTGCCACACGGAAGCTCCCTGCCAGAAACAATCTTTCTGCTTGTTGGAAATTGGGAACCCCTGTGGTGGCTTTCGCAGGATCCAGCTGGACGGGTCAATCTTTCCATCGGGAACTTCATCAGCGGAACCGTCAAATAGCTCAATATCCCTCAGGAAATCCTGAAGACCAGCTGTTTTGCGTTGCTTGTTAACCGCAAGTCTCCATGAATCTATCCGAGGTGTGTGGGCTCTTCTCTGAACAGTCGGGGGGTATTTTGGTCTTCTTGATTCATTTCTCCCATCCGCGAATTGCGCCCTGCACCTTGGATCCCCGTATCGCCGCCTGTATTCCTGAGATACTCGGCAGGGTGGGTCATACACGAGCCAGGTCTCAGTGTTCAACCAGTGGTTCGCAAGAGTCGCGAAATGGAACGGTTTCCGCCCAGGGTCAAGTTCATTTAGAAGCCATTCAAGTCTTCTGTCAAGGTTATATATGAGTCTGACTTCGGGATTGCTCAGGTGTCGAAGTGGAACTGATTGCTGTGGCGCTCTATGGGCTTCGGTATTTGGAATTCCCTGAAAAGTCACACGCCTGCGACCAGCGTGTTCCTCGATTCTCTCATGTTGCATAGGACAATTGGGATCCCGCATTTGCAAGGGCCTGTACCTTGGTATTTCTGGAGTAAGGATAGCCGAAGCCGTAAAAAGATGAGGTCGTGAAAGCGACTCATATTTCATATGACTTGGATTTCTCATCTTTGACATCGTCTGTAAACCGTCTCTGTCCTCATGTAGAGGGCCATGGTCGCCAATCTCAGCTGCAGGCGGGTTTGCCTCATCTGTAGAACATCCTTGAAAGGATTCAGAGTTCTGTGTGCCACTCAAGCGAGTCGTGTACGCGCTCTGTTCGGAAGAGATGCTCTTCAAGATTTCAGAAAGCGGGCTTCCCGGCCGACCTGATATTCCGTGAAATCTGCTCGCGGAATTTCGAGTCTGTATCTGCATCCGGGAAGCCCAGGCTTGATACTTGCGTGACAGACGAGCAGCCTGCGGGCGGGTCTTTACCAACCCAGTCTTCATGATAGGACTCTTTTGCGCTTTCTTATCAGACACAGGATTCACTACAGAAGGACTCGTAAGCTTGATCATTGACGGTAGAGACACGGTTCTCCTTAAGAGCCTCCCACAGTCCTTCCAATCCCTGGTGCCAAATGAATTTATAGGGAGATCTTCGGATTGTGCTGTGTGCAACTGGGCCGTATTTCTTCGAACTTCCAATTCTGGGCTGCAATATTGGGATGTCGGTTCAGGTGGTACGTAAATCACGGGAGCGACAATGAATGGTTGCTGACATATGTGATAAGGATTGATGCTTGTAAACGACTGTCGGTACCTGAAAGATGGCACCCTTTTGAGAGGATGATCTTCTGCACGAGATTCTGAAGGGCTTGTCCGTCTCACTCTTGTCAAGCGAGTTGTCGTGGCGGGCTCGCCGTCTGTCGGGTTTGGGCAAGGACGTCGGTTCTCCTCGACGTTAAGTGAGCTTCGAATCTCGGGAGGAGGCCCAGGATTCCAAATTGAATCTGCGGTAGGGCATTCGTAGCTCGAAATCAACGTTGGGAACCATCTCATCGTCTCTCGTTCCTTGTGCTTCTGTGCCTCCTGCTCACCAGGGTCCCACCAAACCCAGCGATAGTCAAGACGTGAAGATCGCCAGCTCAGCCATCCTCGCACTTTTCTCATGCATCTGTTTATTACTCTCTTATTGGCCTCATGGCGAGCCAATGGTACCCAGCCATACCACGTCCTGGCGTAGCGCTCAGTCTTAATCTTGTGTTCCCCGAGAAATCGATCCTGCGTAAAGAAACGAATGACAGCGCCTATCTTCCAAAAGAACACTCCGACGAAGAATATGCAAAACGTTCCGAGAAATAACAAACCGACGACCTTCCCGCTTAGAAACTTCTGGGCCGATAAGGGCGATACGGGATATCCCTTCAGTGGCCGAGAAGAAATCGGGGGCGGAGGCAACGCTCGTGGAGGGGCCATCGGCTGGGGATTCGCATATTCCGCGAAATAGTGATAGTTTCCCGGTAGGCTGAGAAGTTGGAGGCCATCATCTTTGCTTCTGCTTGAAGACACGGGCGACTCGCATGTAGGGCTTTCGTGCTGGAGGAAAGAATGGCCGGTGCTCTTTCCTTGCCAATCTTCTATGGTATACCATCACATGACGTGTATAACCTCATATTACCAAAACAAGAAACAAGAAACAAGACTCATTTCGATCCCTCCCATACACAGTCAAGGGGTATGTTTCAGAGAGATGCAAGAAAGATCACATCCCCCGCCGCGGTAGGGTACCTAATGATACTGCACGTCACTTGATCGGTCTCCGGATATTATAGTAAAGGATCAATCGAGTTGATATCAAATCCATTCCTTGGCTCTACTAAGTCTTCTGGCCCATCACTGTCACGACGCTGTAAGAACCACGTCTTATAGAGTTCCAAACTGCAGACCTATGATTTCTTGTCTAGCTGTCTCATTATAAGCTTCTTGCAATGCTCAAACTGGAGTATGCTCACGAAAATTAAAAGTTCACTGGTTCGTAAACAGATGAAACTATTGAAATCTCATCCAAATTCTAGACAAGGCCGAAAGAACATCGGATCATGGCCAATACGAGGTGAAGAAGGCTAGGTGGGATACTAGGACAGTGAAAGGGCATTCCTAACTTGCTACAAGTAATCGCGTATGTCTCTCTATGAAAGCACTAAGCCTTTATGTCGGACTTATCTTAGGATTTGGTTATTGTATTGTCCATTTTAGATCGTTTGCTTTCCGAATCTCAATTGAGCTTTTTGCTTCTATCAACACGATTCGAAGTAGATTGGACCAATAGTCATGACAGAAGCCTGTGCCTATCTTAAAGAATAATGAGCGGCTCCACGAGATCCTCGTCGCTCCCTATAGATTCCTTTTCATGTTCCCGCTTAGCCGGTGGTATCTCCTTCACGATCTCCCTATCTATATAGTGCCCATAGTGTCGAAATTTGCAGGGTTTGTATCCCTTACAGTTATGACGTTGACACATATGGCCGAGGTAGCATCCAGCCCGGCGGCAAGCTGGCCCTTTGTGACATGGCGCCATTCTCACGAGGTATCTTAGCACATCCAGGACAGGTGGGTCGACATGGCTATGGTCATATCCACAGTTCGGTGTTGAGCACTTTCCACCAAGGTGATACGCAGCGCAGAGTTTGCGGACTCCAATGCGCATATTGTACAACCTCCATGCTTCCAGCGGTGGTCGGGGTATCAATTCGTCGACGCGTTCTCCACGCTTGTTAAGTTGGATCAGTTCTTCTCTCTCTGCGGTGCCATTTGACAGTCCTCGGGAACTGTCGACAGAACCATTTCTGACCGCTTGAGGCAAGTTTTCTGTTCCTTTGGTCTGCTGCATTGTAGATCCTGTGCGTCCTGTAATCTCGTGCACGTTGAGGCATTTCTTGCCATATCTGCACATGCCCTATGTTGATTGAATTAGTCTACATAACGCAATTGTGGCAAATCCAACTAACGTACCTTCGAGAAATATTTGCAGATTTTAGCGCTGGGACGAGGATCAGAAGCTCTCGTAGAGAATAGCGATGTCACGGTGGCCACTTCTTCCCGTTGACAGGATTCAAACACTGACGGAATCTCTACTACCGGCAACTCCAACGAGTCAAATTCAGATTCGAAGGAGTTCCCTTTTATGAGGGTGATCCAATCCAATTTGCCGCTGTACGGGGTCAACAAGGAGAGATGTCGAGTATCATTGCAAGCGCCGAAGAAGATATGCTTGCACTGAGGATGCGCCATAAAGACATCGAAAGTCGCTGTAAAGGAATAAGCGAGTTATTTTGGACGCTAGTGGATGGGATAGAATGCTGCAAATTGCTACCTTTGACTTTTGGCTCCATGCTCTCAGTATCACCCACGTCAATAAAGTCGAACGCCCCTTGTGTACTATTGAAACTTGCCACGAATGGTGCCAATGACCGGCTTTCGTTACCAGCAATACCAGCACGGTGAAGGGCGATGGATAAACGGGCAATGTCCGCGTACACCCGTACTAGCACTTTGCATCCAGGTCCCTCGTTGTCTAGGTTGGAACAAAGCAGTCTCTTGATGGAATCCTGCAAAAGATATGCAGCTGTGGCACCTCCTTCCTTGCCAGCCTTGATCAGATCCTTCGCGAACTGCGCAGAATGAACATGTTAGCCCCATTAAATTTTATCATAGCGGCCAGGAATCCCACAATGTGATTATTGCCATCGATGAGAACGAGAACAAATGGGTCATCGTCCTAGTAGTACCACGTCAGAAGATTCCTGTCTTTTTCTAGCGAAGGTTTTACGCTAGTTGTAGTCAGAGGATAAAATAGTTATACACACGAACATACCTTGGGTCTGACAAGACGCTCATACTTTGCATTGGTGGCCCTTTCTTCATCTAGTTCCAGTCTCAAGCGGCGGTAGCTTTCAGCAAGTCGCTGGAACTTCCCAATGAGCTTCCAGTGGACATCGTTGTTTTTCTTATCGAATCCTATGAATTCGTTCGGTCCATCCTCAAGGGATGGGATCCCTGCCTTTTCAAACATCTCGATCCAAATGAAGAGGGAGATCCCTCGTGTAAGTCTCTTAGGGCTTCCCTGGTGTGTTTCGAGAAAGACCTTTGAGAGAAATTTGGAAGGTATGGGTATGGAGCGGATGCTTGAAAGTCAGCTCTGTTTGTCCCTGGATCTCATGGGGGTTTACCAGAGAGAACCACAAGGTAGACTATAAGAGAGTTAGGCTTGGATGATGCCACATGAAGTTTGTGGGCGGTGACGAGACTGGTGGATTATCCCGTCCGAAGCGCCTTTCGTTTACCATATTCGGACGATTTTGTGAAAGGAATCGCTCAAGTGAACGTCAAAGCTCCACGCTCAAAACGAGGGTCGAGTAATTCCTCAAGTGAATGCCCCTGAGTACGGAATACTACGCCCTCTTCCCCTCAAACTCTTTATCCCCCCCTTCCTTCATAGTAGGATGAATGGAGAGGGCTTTGAGGGCGGTACCTTACAGAAAATTCTCGACTTCACTGCGATATAACCGAGTTCTAAAGTAATGGCTACTGCGTATCAGTCTAACAGGCACTAGAATGCTTTGTTGTCGCTGTGCCATCGACATACATGGCCACACGTCGAACAAAGGCCGTGTGCAGTTGATCTGTCATATTATCCGTTTGCGGCAGGGTTCTTTGACCACCCTGACTATCCTGATTACCTTGATTACGAAAGGGAGTCAGAAATAACCAGGATTCAGATACTTCCTACATTTAGTGGATAAATACGGGTTCAGCCTCTCCCTAGATCTAGAGCAAAGCAAGCAATCTAGCTGTGCCAGCCAGAAGTCCAAGATGATACCGTTGCTTCCGTGCCCTGTAGGATTCGACAAAACCGGGCATTCATCGTCAAATACTGCTTTATCTATAGCATTCGACATCCTTCTACTTATAAACTGCGTGGATCCAGGACTTGAGCCTAACGTTCGCAATGAACACTGTATATTCGACATATGCGGAAACATAAAAACAGATAAAAAGAAGCGACAGAATCAGAAACAGGTAAACGAGCGGAAAATGGTCAGGCGCATAATAAAATGAGAGATCTCAAAAAAACAATAAACAGAAACAAGTCATCACGAATTGTGCCACCCTTCCAACTCCATCCGCTGTTGCTGCATATAGGGATTTATGATGCAAGCACAGTCAGGGGCTTAATCGTAGGTCATTCGGAGAGACCTAGTACCAGTTTCCATGACTTTCCAAAACCTTCACAATGAAAAATGTAGCGTGTATCGCCTGGATACTCATTGTAGCCAGCTGCAATCCGAGTAAGATTTTCCCAACGCCAATTTGGAATGTTCCTTGTCCACAATCAATGCCGCGGAAATACTTAATAGCATTTACCATGGACACTGTAGTAAATGAAGCCATAACGATAAAAACAATCGACAACACTGTTAAGATAATGAAAGTTCTGTATAGATAGAATAAGTGCTGGGTGCGGTTGGGTGATTCACTTTTATCGCGCCACGTCAGGGCAAGTTGTATGGCAATAGATATGACGAATATAACCCCAGCAACTGTTATTATTGGCAATTGTATCCGTCGTTGGAAGGTTGTCGCTATGTCCAGGATATCTGACGTAGCTGGCTTGGGAAAACCAGAATTATCGGGGTCTAGTGCCTCGTTCTGTTGTAGAGTCGGAAAGTCGGTCTGGATGTTAGATGCTGAACCGCAAATTCTCTTTGTAGACGATTCGACACAAATCCCTACAAGGTAGCTTCTGTGAGTAAGTTTGCAATTTCAATATCATAAGTGAACTTACCGAAATACCCAACTCTTACTTCAAGGCCAGAGACGTCCACAAGATTCAAAACATACACATTATGCAATCCGGGAGAGTCAGATAGACATCCAGTTATAATAATAGCTATATTTCGGGGTTTTTCTATTAGCGGATATCTGGCAGTAGACGATAGTGAAGTCCTCACAATATAATGTCACTATCGGAACTATGAGAAATATCGGGATCCATTCTTTAAGTGGGTTTTCTAGAGTTCTGTCAATACCATATCCAAGTCGTTCGATTTTCGTGTCTCAGGCATACTTCTTCTTTCTTCATCATAAGCCATCGTAACTAACAGATTGGAGAGTTATATTGCAAACAATGATATATGTATATGGGGGAGGCGCAATCTATATTTGACAAGAAAAAGTCGTCGTATAGGGAGATGTGATATGATTCTTGATGATGAAGATAGACAAAACAATGGGTCATACTGGCGGAAAGTGTGCATCTCTTATAGTCGAAATACCAGCACTCGATATAGGATACTTGTTTCCTAATCGATGCGAATATAGATTCAATGCTACAAATAGCATTCGACACGCCAACGTTCCTGGAGACCCTGAGAGCCAATCGACCTGACCAAGTCCTGAATACCAGATGCGCGCGGTAAACTGAAACTACCTAAACACTTCAATCTGCCTATTCTATCCTCTACGAACCCTGTGAGATCGTCGGAGGTCCGTCGTTGCAGAAGCCCAGGGGTCATGATCAATAAAAGCAACCGAGACTCGTTGGTTTTTCTTTTCGTTATGTCGCATCCTGGAAGTCAGGAACCCTGTGGGGGGGGGGGGGGGGGGGGAAAGCGCTAAAACCCAAGGCTCCATTGGCTGCCACTCGGTTTTGGTGGCCGTGCCGCAAGCGCGTCGTCACGAACATGTCCGTCGATGGAAATTTCCAACATGCGGAGGAGAGTTGAGGCTCTTAGTGGTCATTGAATCAGACCTACATTATAGTCCACTGAATAGCGTCTCGTCCCAATTGTCTAGCCCAGTCGTTCAGCTGTGACTTGGCGCCCGAGCTATCTGTATATCCCTGCAACCGACATCTCTTGCATGGTTATCGAACGAAATACGCCGTTATCCAGTCATTGACAGCGCCCCATAGATGGCAGCTGCCACTAGGAACTATTTCCGGTGCATGCTAACGTCGGTCATGAATATTGGCTGCATATGGCACATTTCGCGTGGCGGCGGTTATGCGCTTCAGCTGATTAGACTATGATAGAACGCCAGTACCTAGAGAAGGAGGGACTTGAGCCTCTACCCGAATAGAAAGGATCATTGAGTGGATATAGGATCGGCTGCGTCTGGTATTCCATTGCTCTGTACCGATTTCAGTGACACGCGGAACCCTTAGTTGTCTCGTGCAGAGAGGCTCCTGGATAGAGAGTCAGCAGTAGTTGGGCCATTTCCTATGGAAACTTCCAGGCTTGACGCTATCAGAAATCTACGATAATCCTGCCTTGGCGGCTCGCCCGAATGCCCTCGCTACTATTCATGTCCATGGTCTTCAACCTGGCCCCAACTTTACGCATAACACACCTCGACGCGCTCATCTCTACTTAGCGGAAACTTAGATAACTTGCGGCGCAGCAGGTGTGGAGCAAGGGTACTCGGAACATCAGGGCCTGCACTCGCGATATGATCGACTTCTAGCTCTAAGAATACTCTGCCACATTTTGCCACTCGAGATGCAATCTTGCACTCTCGAGGTGCTTGCGAATACAGTACATGGGGGAACGTACTTAGTCGGATATCTTACAAGGATATATTTACCTAACAGGAGATTAATAACTATTCGCTTATTATTGTCAAGGCCGAATGCAGTACGAGGCTACACTATGAATCAGAACTATTTGGATATCAAGTCTCCTTTATAGTACAGTATTTCCCTTTTATTTCACGGCAGATAGATACTACTAAGGGGCATGGTGCGCTATTAGATGTTCATTGTCATGGCTCTGATGCAAGATGACTGAATTGACAAACAAATAGGAAGACGACACTATGAGGCGCGAGAGGCGCGAAAGTCGCTGAGACCTTCACACATCTGTCTTGTCTTTGTTCGAGTTGCGAGAGCAGCTATCGCATCATCATCTGAATACTCGTCATACTCATCCGGAAGCATCGGATCTATGTTCCTTTCCCTGTCATTTGCCCTGGCTATGGCCCACTCAGTCCAGTCGAGTCTTGGTTTGAATTTCCGTGGTTTGTCTGCATAAATCGCGTCCTCCATATCAATTATCCAACTAAAAGATGTCAATGATTAGACATATATTATCCACATGTGATAAAAGTACGTACCATCTGTCGGTGTTCTCATCCCAGATTATATTGTTCCTCTGAGGGTCATTGTGTACAAGTCCGTAGGAATAGAATTCACTGGTAGATATTAGCAAGTGTGTCAGATTGAGAGTCGGATATCATACCGAATGGCTTTTGCAAATGCAAGCCGGACTCTGTTTCTCGTTTGAAGATCAAATTCACACCAATCTAGCAAATTAGTCCCAGGCAGCTTTTCCATCAAAAGGTATTGAACGTAGCCTCCAGGGACATAGTCGCGATCCGTTTGATCTCGGACCTCAAGGCCAATGAAGCGTGGTGTACATTTAGAGCCTTTTTCTGTAAGGTACTTCAGCATCTCGGATTCACATGTAGCCCATATGCTACGATAGTCTGATTTATAGATAGAATAGTCAATATCCGGGTCGTATTCGGAGGGATCATCCATTCCTGGGGGGATCCTAGATTAATGAAAAGGTTATTTCTGTGATGCAGTGCATACATTAAAAGCATACGTACTGCATTCTGATCTTGGCTATCGCCTTCATGCCCTTCTGTGGGCCTTCGATCTGTGTGGCGATGCATGTACCAGCTGCCTCGGATATCTTGACCCCCGCGTACTCATCTCCATGGCGGACTCTCTCCTTTAAGATAGGGCCAAGTCTCCAGGACACATTAGGGTCGTCAAATTGCAAGATGCAGTCCTCTTCAGGGTCTTCAATCCAATGAGAAGCCCTTCTAAAACCGAAATCCTCCCAATCATCACGGTCGGTGGACATAGTGCTAGGTCACCTGTCGCTTGACGCGAAGTGGAATTCAAAGTAAAAAAAGGTCGGAAACAACAGCTTTCACGAGTTCAGAAGATTACACACTGCATGGTGATAAAACCAAGGGCTTTTGTATTTGAAGACGGGAGCAGGACGACTGCGAAGGTCGAGGAGGAATGTTTGAAGGGGTCTCTCAGGCAGCAACACGACAGCGGCAAACCCCTCGACCTGATTGGCCGCTCTGAGCGCTAAGTAGCCCCGTCAAGCTATATTATGCCGGTCGACCAAGCTACTACCTACTTAGGTAAATGAAGTCAACTGATAAGACACAACGCTGTCAAGATGTGACTCGGTCGCAAGTCTCTCGTGTACTTGGGTCTAATTTAGTACTCTGGTCGGGCGTGACGCTGTAAAGAACAAGGAGCCGCGATGGCAAATGGAGCAAAGCAGCCAACCAAGTTTGATAATGTTCTTCAGGAAGCCTCGTCGAGAGTAGCTGAGACACATCTTTTGTTGGAAGATCAACATCTCCCTGGTTCCTCAGCGGCTAGAAAAGAGGCTATACAACACGCAGCATGGTATTTGTTGGCTCAAAATAGGACGTACTCTTTTTGGGCACGGGCGTCAAGGTTACCTGCTCGGATACTCCCATCTAGACGTTTCGCTTCCACCTCGTGTTGGTCCTTCTATAGGCTACCAGACGACGAATGAGGGAATATGAGTATCCACAGGCGCCCCTACTCCCAATCTAATTACGATGGCGTCAATGAATGGGTCGAGATGCCATGGGCCTCGTTGAACATGCCGGAACATCTCCCAGTAATTGGACTATTCATGGAGTGATCAGCAGCTCGCAGACCGCGCGGTCCATGATGGCTTGCAGAGAGGTCATGATCTATTACTACGGATAGAGGCTGCGGAAATGGTATATAGAGAGGTTCGCACCTTCCGGTCGTCCAAATCAGAAGCTGTCCTGCACCAGTCCTACATTCTTGCTGTTACCTTACCTTCTTCTTTCAATTTTTTTAACCTGTGGTTCCATATTACTTGTCTACTCCCTCCTTGTCAAAGCCCGATTCTATCTTCTTCTTACTGTACGCCGAGAGACATAAGATTCTTCCGGGCATCTACTGCTGCCAAAATGGATAGAGAGCTCCGTCCTCGCGAACGGCCCAAAGATCGAGATCAAAGAGAGGCTAAGTCATCCCGATCTGACCGGCCTTCCCGTTCTCGCGAACGCCCTCGCGAAAGACCTAGTGAACGGCCTCGTGAACGACCCGAAGATCGGAAACAGAAAGGGACCGCCAAGTCATCAGAAACTGACCGGCTTGGGCATGCGAATACGAGCATACTACCTTATCGTCCTGCCCATGGTTCACCGCATAGCTCTTCTTCTGAGAGGTCCAGTGGTTCCGAAAGGAGCAATCCCGGTAGGCGTATTCCAGGCTCGGACTATACAAGGCCTCACAGTATTGCGGACGTGACCTTTCTCGATGCAAAAGACTTGACAATGGCCGCTCTACCAGACATCAATTTCATAGACAACCGCGCTGCACAAAGTTCTGCAGTCCATTCACATCTCAGATTCTGCGCAAGACTGGTTCTATGGGAGACCTTTGAACACGAGGTACGCAAGGTCTTCAACGATGTGTTCAGAAACTGGGATGAAGATCAAAGCAATATACTATCAGTTGAAATGGACCAACAGTCTCCAAATTCTATTGTCAATGAGCACTATCTATGTGGTGAAGAGCTCTCTACCAGTGGCCGCTACGTTCAAAATGTCCTTCATGTTATGACAGCCGTCGGGAAGGAAAGCGGTTTCGACCTCCAATTTGGCGACTGGTACTCTAGTTTCGACCACAAGGGAAAATCCAGTACGCCAAGCAACACAGCTGGTGGAACGGGAAAGGGAACGGAAAAGGCCCGAGAAAAAGGAAAAGCTAAAGAAAGGGAACGCACTCAGAATAAGGATGACAACGAGAAAGAGAAGGTGAAGGTGAAGGAAAAGAGACTAATCCCAGACTATGCATTGCTAGCAAAGGAAAAGGCATGGTTATCACATACACAGAAGGAACCGATAGAGACATTCGCCCGCGCTCTAGGAGAGGCGAAGACGCCGTCAAAAACGGTCCATGATTTTAGTGATTGGGTTGAGTCAGCAGCAAGAACAGGAAATGATGAAAAGCTTCGTCAACTTCTTGGTTTGTCTTCCTATCTTATTTAGTGGACTATAGAAGCAGTGCTAATTGAAGAGAATAGGCCAGGTAGCTAACTATATGTGGGGGTTTGGTTTCAAATACGCCTTTGTTACAAACTACACGGACACGATCTTCCTAAAGTGGGAAGGGAAAGGACCAAAGCCAACTCTCTACTATAGTAACGTTATATACTTTAATAACGTCTCTATCAAAGAAAAGGCTCGACCAAATCATCTGCAAGTTTCTGTCCGTGAAAGCATGCTCTTTCTTCAGCATAAAGTCAGCTCGGGCGACTGGAAAGCCAACGTGAATTGTCCTCTAGAGGCTTGGGTTGAGGAGTTAAAGAAAGAGTCAGAATCAGGAGATACTACATCGCTAATTCCTAGCTTAGAAAAGGCACGCGGGAAACCTCCACAGCAAGGAGATTCGCGAGGCGACCAAAGCAAGTCATCTCGCGGGCGGGGCGGGCGCGGCGAGCGCGGCGAGCGCGGCGAGAAAAAGAGGTGATAACATACAAGGATGAGTTTGTTCACGCGGCAGATACCTCCAGGCAACTGCCTCGATCTCAGCTGGGACATTGAGCTAAGACATTATTATAGCTCTACTTGTGTTTGATCTCAACTTTGCGATATATTTCATGATATTTAATATTCTTTCTCGTCTTTTCGAATATGTTCTGTTTTTTATGTTCTGTTTTTTGTTTTCTATGCAATATACTGGTTTGCTTCTTACTCAAAGATGTTGGGAGAGAGACGGGAAAAAAGAAAAAAAAAAAAAAAAAAAGAAGAAGAAGAAGACCATAAAAACCACAAAACCCCCAAAAAAAATGTCCTTTTATATTGCTCTTTGTTTGTTATGGCTATTTTCTCTTTTGTCTTGCTTGTTCTGATCACTGATTTGCTCCGTCTTTGTCAATTCGCTTGTTTCTTTACTCCGGTGTATATAACGCGTATATTAAACACACAAAAAAAGTCGCTCGTTTAAACCTTCTTGTTCTTTTCAGCCTCTTGTTCCTTCTTCCTTCTAGGAACAAGAACATACTGGTGAGAGATGATCCTCTCCACTCAGTAGATATTATCTCGGGACGCCAACTAGCAAGGGTCGAGCGGCTTTACCTTGTGGTGAGTAATCAGGCAATAAAATCAGACGTGGAGCGCTAATTGAGGTTTATATTATATAGATGTCCTCTTTCTACGCTTCTCTGAAAGCCACGCATTCAGTATGGAGATATTTATGGAGATCGACCGGAGGCAACCAAGGCGGCTTTCTAAATACGATCGATACTAATAAACTTAAGCATATACTTGTACCGCTATTGTACTATACTATACTTAATGTCACAGAAAGTATTAACCTAGCCTAATATCCTATTAGTTCCAAGTCCCTTTTTTTATGCGGGAAGTGGACCTGGAGAGGGTACGAGAAGGATAAACCAAGGAACAGTGTCGGCTCCATCAGATCGAAGATGAACTGTTCTTAGCCTTTGTTAGACGCCTCTAATTCGAATATACCGAGGATTATTCTTATTGCATGTACATAATCGCGAGATAGAGCATGTTCTACCTATCCGACATTGGCACGATTATCAAGCAATCAGCTTTTGTCCTGTCGCGGCATCCGGCATCGCATCACTCTATGCATCTTTCCTGCAATCCAGGAGCAAGATGCATCCTTAGGCTTTTGTCAAGCATGAGATCAGTATTAGTATTGTAGAGGCCTCATGTGCTTGCAGTGGTGTGGCTGGATTAGAAGTCGTTATTCGTCGATTGTTAGAGGTGAGGTAGATCCGCGGATTGATCTTCGGTATTACACGAGAGAATCGAGATGGGCTGCATTTGCTAGATTAGAACATGAATTCATTTGCTACGGTATACTGATAATATTGCAATGAAATATCTGCTTCCACTAGTAGTAAGTATAGGGGATTCCGGAGCGATCCGGCCTAACATGAACAAGGTCGACGCTGATACTATCTATAAATATGCACCATTCAGGGGACCCTGGCTTGATGTACCATGACGCCACCTTGTGGCATACCATACTCGAGGTAGAAGTCGGCCAATAGCTCACGAGACTGGCTGGTGGCAGGTTTGTTTATTCATCTGCAGAACTGTGGTCGTCTTTAAACCTTAACTACCATAACTATGTCCGACCTCGAGCAAGAAGGTCGTAATTAAATATGTATGGCTTAGATAGTCGGATTAATTCAGACAAGAGGCGTTTTCATCATAAGCAACATGACTCGAAGGAGGCTATTTCCAGTCAGTGGCATGGGACGCTCTCACGTCATTTCAGCTTGTATGGCATGTTTTAGCCGATAACAACGGCGCTGATTCGTATCAGGGCGCAGCAGGGTTCCTCTGACTAGACGGGCAATACCAACTAACTAGTGAGTCGAGTGGCAGGTCAAACAGGTTTTGTTTTGGACATTCTGAATCAATGTGGGGGTGGGTGTGTCCGATGATCGCCCCGTCCGAAATCCCATCTGGAGACGTTAAGTAGATCCAGATCCGAATGATGGTGTCCGTGAATCAGCCCGCACTGCCCCTCCTTTGTAGTAAGATTAACTCACATAAGTCACTGATTGTTCGGCTGCGACTACCGTGATCGCCTTATCATCTTCTCTCAGCTGCTCTGGTGTGGAATGTATCATTTGGCGATGGCCGGAGATCCGACCCCCTCGCCCGTGCCTACCGCAACTACCCTCGATCAGAGTCGCTTTCCATGCTCACATCTAACTTTAACCATGCTGCTCCAAGGGGATATCCTGATTTGATACATTCTTACAGGCAGCAGGACACGCCTGAGTCACCCGGGCAATGCTCTAGTCACCCACACCATGTGTGTGCCCGGCACGTGGCTTCTACCAAGATCGCAGTGATGATCCGGGGTCGGCGGTCCTTATAGGGACCAGGATCTCTCAATAATAATTCAGCCTTCAAGTAAACCAGAAAGTCCCTTCATCACTGGTGGGACTTGGCTCTGTCGCCGAGAATAGGGTCATATTATCAGTCCTTCGTTTTGCTGGGCCAAACGGATGCGTGGTGCATCTTTCTTTACTTCTCATTCTACTCTCGCTCAGGAAAGCGAGGACTCTCTTCTCTTCACTCTTTCTTGAAGGAAAAAAAAAAAAATCGCCTTTGGCTTCTTCCAAATCATCCATGCCATTGTTTCCCCGTCACGTACGGCATCACACCTGGCCTTATTGTGGTCCTGCCCCTCGCAGTCATGATCGTGAAGATCGAAGGCTGCGCCATGCCCCGAGACGCCGATCCAGTCTGAGGGATTACTTTCTATCTCTGGAGGACTCGACTGTGAACCCACTATATCGCGATATATTCTATGAAGATGATGCGGCATCCGCGGGTATAGTCCGCTCCAAGAGCGCACGATCGCGTCGACTTTGGTCTAGCCCTGAGGATGACGAGCAGATTGTCTCCACCGTCAGCAAGGCAGACGGCACACCTAAAGCTGTACTGAGACGCGTTGTCCTCCCGCGGCTTGACAAAGCACGACACATGTTTCCCAAGCATAGCATATCTACGCGAGGAAGCGATGCGGTGGTGATGGCCTATATGGAGGTCCCTGCGCCAACCAAAACTCCGACGAAACCAAGAGACAAGAGGGCGACGCAGAGCAGCACGTCCTTGCAACCTACCCCAGAAAGACATCATCGACGATGTCACTCGGAACAACCTCGGGCATGGAGAGAACCCAGTGCAAGTCTCTGGACACTGCTGGAGGAGTAGCAGCATTCAAAGGCGTTTTATTGGATATGAGATGCATTTCTAGGTGTTTGTGTGATTGCAGGTTCTTATCTCTCGGTTTCCCTTTTTCCAATCTCGCCACTGGCGCATTTGCATTGGAGGCTTTTTGTCGCATTTCCTGGAGAAGGCTTTTATTCTCATGTTGAGGTTGGTCCTTTGGAACAGCATACGGATCCATTTTGTTTTGGAAACATGGGCTGCGGAGTGTTTGTTTACTTTTGTTTGTTTTCTGATGTTTTAGAAATTCCTGTGGTGCTTGATTTCGCCGATAAGACTGCCCATCGAGAGGCGAGGGCCTAAAGCAATCAATGTGATTTTGGAATACCGCCTCAGTATGTCACTGATGATGTCAGTACCTCCAGCATAATCGCCTGTGGCTGCCCTAGTTTCACGCCGCCAGAGTAGAATGAGCCTTGACACAGACATTCTTGCTGTTCGGTATGCGCATGCCGGACTGTGTCAACATCTCTCGGCAGAAGTCACATGTCGTCCATGCGGCTCGGCGAACAGCATGCGGGAGCTTCACCTCGTAACGTTCTCACCGTCGAATGTGTCGTTTCAAGGAGTCTGATTCGCCAGGACCGCTGAACCGCTGCTAAAGTGACTCGAAAGCAGACCGACTCTTTGCAACGCTGCAGATGAAGGTTTTTTAGTGTGGAAGCACCCGCCCGAGTTGGGGACGGAATCAACAGACGAGTTACGAACTACGGTGCCGGCGAAAAGTTACTATTCTGGACAGACGGCGACGAGACGAAGGCTGGACGAATTGTCCTGAGCGATTATTGGTTGCGTAATGATGGACTGACGTGTCTTTCTCGAATCACGCTAGAAGGGAGTCGTGGAACTTGAGATGAAGTGGGTTACAGCATCAAGCCGTTGTTGATCGTATTCCCCAGGCCCGGCCTGAACGATGTGAATCTGTGATAATGCGTCACCAAGTGGTTAATGAAGGACGGTCTCAACTCGACCATGCGCTCTAGCTTTCCATGCTCTGGAATCTGGTGAGGACCCCCAACTGCTCAGTGCGCACACTGATATTCATGCAATAACGGGATCCAGGCCTCGCCAAGTTTCATGTCTACCACGTCCATGATGGTCCATCCCACAAACGTCGAAAATTTTTTAACGAGTTCATGCATGCGCTGGTTTCGTTCTGCCATCAACGCCGATCGGACTCATCGGACGCAGTTGATTTGGTGGACAACCTGCAGGTCAAGAGTCGGCGACGCTTGGCGCGAGAAGGCTGACTCAAAGCCCAACAAGGCGAGAGCGGTGAATTCAGGCGATCCGAGTTCGAAGACCGGTCGAAAGAGGGCTTCAGGTCCTGTCATACACGCAGCATTCGACCCCAGTCGTTTGTAGACCAGTCATTTCACCGACTCGGGCGGTTTCTTAATCAACCCGTCGCCCACTTGCGGCGCCCTAAAGACCCCAGTTACCGAGACTCCGGAGACAGCGTGTCTCCACCACACTGTTAATCATAATGCCGCTGGGTCAGGAGCACGTTTATCGCAGCAATCACTACGAGGATGTCGCCCTCTCATAGGGAGATGCATTGTCGATACGGGGCAGCCGATATGCGCCCTGACCTGCTGATCGAATATGGTCGACGAGGGGACAGAGAAACGGAGAAGATAAATATACCCAGTGTCGCCCGCATTAGCCCCCAAATACAAACAGATCGTCTTCACTCACTTCCCGTCTACAGCGAAGTTCTCTCACGGGTCTGACTTGTAACAACATCTCTCAGAGATCATCTCTTTGCATTGGTCTATCCTCTGAAATTCGCCATCATCACCATAATTAACAAAGTCGAAAATCAGAAGCAATCAGTTCTGTCGAGCATGGACAATCGCACAATTGTACCGAACTCAAAGCTCGAGCGCCGTGAAACATCGTCCTCTTCCAGTTCCTCCTGGAGCGAAAAATTCCACTTTCCATCCCTTGCTGGTCTTCGATCCCGAACCTCTGCAAACTCATCAAGAGACTTAAACACCCGCTCCAAGTTCTTCGGCTCCAGGTCTCAGTCGCCAGCACCATTGGCGATCCGGGAGAGCACTTTTTATGAAGGATCTCCAGCAAGCCCCCATCGTTCTAGGGCCGGAAAACGGAACTCAGCTATGTCAACGAGAGGCAGCAGCGATTATAAGAGGTACAGTGGAACCGTCAACCACTATGGGCGGCACTCGAACGACTGGCTCTTCGGTGGCTTCAGCTTGAGAGATACTGTTCGCGATGGTGTTGAGAAGCTGCTACACAACCACGACAAGGAGAGCTGAATCTGCGGGCTTTTCGGCTCAATAACTTCTACGTCCCGTCCAACACGGAGGGCTCCAGCGATGCCAGAACGGTGTCAGCCGTACCCTGTCCGCCCGGATGCGAGTCGATCTGAAAAAGGTCGACTCTGCACTACGCCGTCCCGCCAAACGCGTGATATCTCATCGCCTTGATTGGCAAAAGGCTGGCCGGTTTACGACAGCAGTCTCTCCCAAAACTTGCATCCATTGCGGATGGTGAGATCTCGAGATCTGGAAATGTTTGGGCAGGCTTATGGTACCTGGGCCCGGTCCAGACACGATGAGTAATTGACGTCACCAATGCGCTGGCAGTGTTCATTTGCACAACGTGAGATCTGAACAAATGTATTTATGAATACCTTCTAGTCCTTCCGCGAACACTGTATCGACTCTTGCATTATCAGGATTGAAATATTCCAGTGTTTCTTAAGTGTACTGTTTCCTTAGACCCTGCTTTATCTGCAAGCCGCAGTCAATGTCCGACCGTAGACTAGTTTGATTTTGGCAGTTATACAAAGGCATGTCGCAGTCAAAACTGAATGTATCAACTGTATACAACGATTCTATACATAGGTAGTCTCTACTACAACATAGTCACTGATGACAGCTACATAATTGAGTCGGTTGTCCAGATAGCGTCAGAATAGACAGACATCGTTAGCTATTTTTGAACGTTGATCAGACTTCTACAAACGGTACGAAATCAAGTTCAATCCTATGCAATCGATGTCCCTTATCTACAGCACTGTTGATCTCTGGCGGTTTCAGCCACTGTGGTCCTTCCGCGCACGTGCCAAGTCCCAACGGACCGTTGTTTTAGGCTTCAGGGGTTGGCGCTGATTTTCCCGGAGCAATAAATAGTCCCAAACAAGAGCCCCGTTGACAATGTCAAATACTTGAGACGACGAATCGTGTCTTTTCGATCTCCTCATCAATTGCAGCGTATAGTCACATACGCACGCTGTCCCGATTCCTCAAGGACAACTGCGTAGCACTGCTACCGTTCCGACTACTGGACCCGAAACGAAACAGAACAACTGCTTGCCCACCATGTCGGGCGTTGCGGCCTTCGAACTTGACGTCTCAACGGCGCTGTGCATTGGATTCGCGCTCTCCTTTCTACCACTCGCCTCGGTTCTGAGCAAATATCTCGTGCCCGCCTCCGACACGCGCAATCGCATTCTCTTCTTCTGGCACGCCTATGACGCTCTCACGCACCTCTTCATCGAAGGATCCTTCCTCTACGAGTGTTTCTTCAGCTATACCTCCATCGCTAGCGGTGTTGTTCGCGAGCCATTCTTTTTGGGATACAAGGACCGTCTGTACGGAGCCGCGTACGGCTCAGGGCCCAGCGCGCGCCTGTGGCAGGAATACGCGAAGGCGGATCACCGCTGGGCTAGCGCAGATGTCACAGTTATCTCCCTCGAGCTGCTGACTGTCTTCCTGGGTGGTCCGGCAGCGCTGTATGTGTGCTATCTGATCTATAAGGCATCCAGCCCTCGTGCTACGGCCGCTGTGCGCGGAGCGGCTAAGGCGAAATTGTGGCTGATTGCACCGGCGCTCGCAACGGCGGAGCTATACGGCGGTTTCATGACTTTCGCACCAGAGTGGCTGACAGGCAGCACGCAGCTCGAGACGGACGACCCGGTGTACTTGTGGTTCTACCTCTTTTTCTTCAACACCCTGTGGGTTTGGGTTCCGATCTGGGTGCTGTGGGAGGCAGTCAAGGAACTGCGGACGGCGTTCGTCACTGCAGAAAGTGCTACCCAGGGGAAGAAGAGGTCTTGATTTGGTACTGTCTATTTTTGGTGAAAAATGCTGCCGTGTATATTTACGGGATATGTTGTACGTGAATATGGTGGATACCCCCGAAATCGGGCCCCAGAGCTCGTGTTACGCTGTTTCTGTGGTTGCTTGGATGGAATGATAATAAATATACGAACCAGCGTACCATGAAAACGCTGCATTTAAGTTACTTGCCATTTGCCTCTCTAAGAAGTATTTTAGCCTTCCAAAAATTGTCTGGGGCAGTGCCGCGGTTCTCGAAAGCCAATCGAAGCCGGATAGAGGGCACAGCCACTATGAGCCACACTGCGGCCATGACGCATGAAAGGTTCGCCAAGCCATCGCCGAGGCTCTCGCGGGGAAGTTCAGTTCGAGGGGCTGAAAACAGGATGCGTTATATATCGACATCTATCCAGAGGAGGGGCAATTGATTTCTGTTTCATATTCTACGTTTATTCTTTTCGCTCTAATAGTCAGCCCTACATCTACGTTTCAGGTCCTTCTAAGATACGCTGCATTAGTTCGATTCCTCAGGCATAAGCGCGATATCATGTACAACCAATATCCTCCTCCGAGCCGTACGTGGTATTCTTGCATCTGAAGAGATATTTGGTCGCGGCGTTGCTGATTTTTGGATAGATTCACCTCAACCCCCGTACGGGTATCCTCCCCCTCAGGGACACTCTCCCTATCCTCAGCAACCCGGCTACGGTGCTCCTCCTCCTGGCCCTCCACCGCAGGGGTATTATCCATCTCATGGGCATGCTCCCCCGCCGCCAGCTCCATACGGTGCGCCTCCATCCCAGGGTTATCCACCACCTCAGCAGCCGCCGTACGGACAACATCAACCTTATCCTCCACCTCAGCAGGCTTACAGCCGCCCGCCCGTGCCGCCTCCCGCGCCATATGGCTCACATCCTCATCACCAACCCCCGGCTGGCCAATACCCTCCCTCACCGCAATATGGAGCCTTACAAGGACCGCCCTCAGCGCCATCCCCTGGTTACGTGCCCGGACAGATGGCACCTGGTGATTTTCGGAGAGATGCAGATGTGCTGCGCAAGGCGATGAAAGGCTTTGGGACAGACGAGGCAGCCTTGATTCAAGTGCTATCTAGATTAGATCCGCTCCAAATGGCCGCCGTCCGGTCTACATATTCTAGTCACATCGGGCGGGATCTATACAAAGACGTTAAATCCGAGACCGGTGGATACTTCGAGAAGGGCCTGCTGGGCATTATCGACGGGCCCCTTATACATGATGCCACCCTCGTTCATGACGCTGTGGCTGGGCTGGGAACAAAAGAGTGGATGTTGAACGATGTTCTCCTTGGACGATCCAATGCCGATCTGAACGCGATCAAGGCTGCCTATCATCATAGATACGGACGTTCCCTGCAGAAGGACGTCGAGGACGATCTGTCCGCGAAGACCAAGGAGCTTTTCACAAGTGTGATCGTTGCCAACCGGCATGAAGAATCAATGCCCCTCGATCCCGCTAGAATCGAGTCCGAGGCTAGAACCATTCACGGCGCCACTGCAGGACGCATCGTCAACAACGTCACTGAAGTGTGTACGATCTTCGCGAAGGCTTCGGACAATGAGCTACGCGCGATCAACCATGCCTTCCAGTCCCGATACAATTCTTCCCTTGAGAAGCACGTCGAGAAGGAATTCTCAGGTCATATGAAAGATGCGCTACTACACATGCTGCGCACGGCAACCGATCCGGCCATGCGCGATGCACTTCTCCTGGAGGACTGCATGAAGGGAGCTGGTACCAAGGATGAGAAACTCGTAGTGCGCATAGTGCGTCTGCATTGGAACCGTGACCACAAGGAGCAAGTGAAGAGAGCATACTACCATCGCTTCAAGGTCCAGCTGGCAGACCGCGTCCGCGCGGAGACGAGCGGGGATTATCAGAAGCTGATGTTGGCTCTGTTGGCTTAATGCGCGTGCTTCTGTTCAACCTCCACTTTTTATTTTTTATTTTATTGCTTTCCGGCTTCTTATTTTACGACTGGGTCGACAGCGCTCTACAAATTGCTGCCACGAGAATGTTTCTGGCTTTCTGTCTAACATGACGTTAAAAAGTGTACGGGTGGTCACGATATCCATCTTCAATAACGACTGAACGGAGGCAAACTGAACTGTACTTTATGCATGTGGGTTATAGCAAGTCTAATGGTAATGATATTATAAAATTTCACCAAGTCATTATTTTATCCTCTGGTGATCATATACCTAATGTACTGTAGCATCGCTCATCTTAACTAGATCCCCCAATGTAAGCTCATTCCGCTTATCCGCTCCTCCCAATCTACAAAACCCGACACAAATCCTATCCAATACATCTCTCCGGCAGATACAATAATTCAAGTAATTCCCAAAACCACTTGCTAAAACTCCAAAACGACAATATTAGTCATCAAAGACACAGTGGTCCAACGGCTAAGATGGCTGTCTTCCATTAATCAGGTAAATCCTGAACTGTGTAAACAGCCGACCCGGGTTCGACTCCCGGCTGTGTCATGTGACATTCCTTTTTTGGTTCATATCGGATGAATGTTTTTGCTATAAGAGAGGATTATTACGCATGTAACTACTTAGGACAGTGTATAGTAGGATATATTCATTGTCATTCATTATGCTTTAATCTCAGGGAACAAAAAAAAATCTCTTCGGTTATTTTTTTTTCCCCTTCAGACTGAATGATGCATGGGCTTTAAGAAGAGACGGAAGGGGAAAAAAAAAAAGCGAAAAGGTAATTCGAAGTCGAATTTCGATATTTGCGTCGACCGGGAGTCGAACCCGGATCACAACTTTGGAAGAGTTGTATGCGAACCGCTACACCATCGACGCGCTTCTTGTTTAGGCAACTCCAGTTTTGCCTAATGAGCGTCTTGACATGATATTACCATTCGCAAAGAACTCCAGCGGTCAACAATCGACAAAGAGATATTGTGTTGATCCAGAAAAAAGGTATCTTGACCCTTTTGAGATAGCTTCTATCGCCGCCGAGTGATTTATTCCGCGGATTTGAAGCTTTTTTTTTATACTGTTCCTAAGTTCTTTGTTACGTTAATGATGGTTTCTTTTATTCCTGGGCTTGGAGATATATATTCTTTCCGGTCCTTGTTGCGTGACCTAGACATTCTTGGTACCCGAAGAGTGACGTCGATGATACTCACAAAGTTCTAGATGACAACTCTAATCGACTAGCATTCGGTATTCTGAAGAGGGAATACAGATTTCACTGTCAAAGTCCCAATAGCCCCTCTACCTGTATACAGGCAAGAATAGACGGCCCAGCTTGCCCCTCGCTCTAATGCGCTATAACCCGCTATACAAATACACCATCTATAAAATCCACAATTTGAGTTTTTTCAAGGACTTCCCCCGCAACTTTTATAAAGCCCAGATGAATAGGATCCTTCTGAACATAATAGTCTCGATCCTCGGTGTTTGCAAACTCCATAATAAATGCATGAGTCATACCTCCCTGTACTCGTCATAATACCCTAGATTAGCACGATATAGACACATGAGATATAGGAAGTATGCGGGAGCACACCTGTAATCTTTCCGGGGAGTTATCGGTGCCGCCTTTCAAGGACAGAATATACGGCTTCTGCGTTGACGGATGGATACATTGGTCTTTCAGAGCGGCGAGACGGGTAAGAACCTGAATATATCCAGTTAGCAATCCCTTCCCGTCTCATATTTCATGTAGATAAGGCCAACTTGCATCTTTGATACTCTCTGCACTGGCAGTTTTCTGGAACTGAAACAGCACAATGTGAGTGACTACCGTAGCGGAAGCTGGCGGTGATGATGAGAGAGGCGAAAGCCAAGTGAAACTGGCAATAGCTAGGATAAGGAGACAGCCAATCAACAGGTATCGACTTGCCACCATGGTTGGTCGAGTTCGTGATAGATAGAAAAAAGAATTTCAGGCTGATGCAGGGAAGCAGTTAAGTTGACGCTGAGTGGGTTGCGTTGGTGGCAAGTCGGAACTTCAACCGGTCGATTTAGTCTTGCGCTATGTGTTGTAGATCATGTAGATCTCTGGTCAACCACGGGTCGAATGATATCTGTTGGCAATATTTTATAGTTCAGCATTTCCATCTGTAAACAGATAATAATGACATTAGGTGGTGGTTTGAGATGTGATCGGGACCTATATTAGTAATGGGGTTGACTTTTTTTGTATAATATCCGGAAGTCACACCTTGTACCGTAAATTCTCTGACTACCGGCATCCACTACGGTCATATTGGAATATTTCAGTGCAGTCAAGGCAAGGAATGAATCAATCCACATAGTCAACTACGTATCACGGTCGAAGTCTCAAAGCCATTATCGCCCACGTTTATCTTGTTATGGAAAACACAGATAACATATCACAGCGGGCCCTGCTGCACTACGTTGCTAGCTTAAAATGCGACTACTAGAACTCAGAGTTAAGGATTATTGATTCTGCCCTGACTCGAGTACGAGGCTCGAGATCAGACTGCGCTTACTCCGCTCAGGTGTAACAAGAAGCTGGATACCTGTTACACTTGACGATTTTGTGCCTTAGAGCTCAGGCAACAACATAAAATCCCCTAAATTATTGGCGCTAGGCTATTTTTTTCAAAAAGGGTCTGCCTAGATCTAATAGTTAAACTGTAGCTAACTACTAATTCAGATAGATACTTACTAAATCAATCAATCCCAATAATTATACCAAGAATCATCTGCCTCACCGTGGGCTCGCCTAGGAAGCCTTGTACTGTATAATACGCTTCATATGTTATTTTTAAACACAGGCCTTAATCACCAACCGCCCTCTGCCGTGGGAATGAATTCCATCTTTCCATGGATAGACCAAATGGAAATGGGGTAATTTCATAAAATGACCTAGGACAGTATTCTAACGCCATACTTCTTATAGTCGAAGTGTTCCAAATTTGGTATACTCTCGGCCCAGCCGTCATCAATCTCTCCTAGCTGCCAGTTGTCTCCAACCTCGATCATTCCCGTTCTCCCGGCCAGAACATCCTTCTTCCTCGCCTGATACTCGACCATTAAATCTGGATGGGGTACCCAAATAACCCTCATTCCAGCCCGTCTTCCAGCTTCTACCCCGGCTACGCTATCTTCGAAGACCAAACATTCATTGGGCAAGATCGGCTTTTTGCCAGAGTCCTGCATCGAGTTCAATGACTGCAACGCGACCAAATATATGTCAGGCGCTGGCTTTCCTCGACCCTGTGGAACCCGCGGGTCGTCACCTAGGACTATCCTGTCGGGCTGGAAGAAGTCGATCAGTCGTTTAGTTTCCGGACTCGAAGTTTTCAATTCGTAGCTGCGGCTCTTGGTACTGGATGCCAATGCTAGCTCAATCTTTTCCCCAGACTCATTACGCGCACGACTGAGATTCGCCAGAATCTCCTCCGCGCCAGGCAGGGGCCTACAATCCGGAAAATGCAGTCTCATCTGCTCAGCCGATTCACGGGCAAATTGCTCGCGGGAAATTGGCAACTTGGCCCAGTTGTGGAACACATCGCCGTTTGTGGAATCCGTCACACCCATGAGCTGGGCTCGAATCGACTGTGTCAACGGCGGTCTCGCATACTTTTCAAGAAGTTTATTCATAGACTGGGTGATTATGTCTTCGGTGTTGATGAGAAGGCCGTCCATGTCGAAAATGCAGGCGCGAATCGGAGGGAAGCTGGTAGCATTCGTTAGCTTCAAGTTTTAGAGCCCTACGCACACATCAAAGACCAATTATGATCATAATAAGGGTAACAGAAATGTCCTCTGTTGGAGGGTATTTACTCTGTCTCGAGAGGGGCCATGATTAGTGAATGAAGGCTAAGTGACCGCAACCAGCAGTGTACCGAGGAAGAGATGAGTTTGAGTTAGAATCTGGGTTGTAAGTTGCAACTGGTAGTGCTATCTATCTGTATTAAAGTCGGATATTTTGGTTCATAAAGGATGCTGGTGAGTTTTGCGACACAGTCGCAATCTCCACACTACTAGATAGGTTCGCCATTACCCCGCGCTGGCTAGTTAGTTCTCCAGCCATGCGATGTTGCACTAGAGGCCCCCAAAACAATGGAACGCAACGAGAACCAAGTGTCTGGTCTGAAGGAATTCTGGACTCTAGATTCAGTGAGTGTTGTGCCCCATTCAATCAAAGAGAGTCAGCGTTGATTCTACACCAGAAGGCGTAACTAGGTACCTAGTGCACCAGGCAGGCAGCCCCCAGATACTACGGGATCCAGTTGATACATCTCACGAGGGCCTCGAGTAAGAGACCTACGGTCTGGCAGTTGAGGACTCCAGTTTATGCTCAAGTCTAGCATCATACTCATCCCTGGTATCGGAACTGTATCACCGGGGAAGTAGCCATTTGTTGACCAAGAATGGCTCTCCACGCTACCCTCCAGGTCTGGCGCAGGCATCCTCGCGTACGAATATGCGTCCATTTGCGAGCACAAACCGTCATGGGAGTCGATTTTGATTTTAGGTTATGTCGGGATCTGCCTACAGGCAGATCTCCTGTCGGGTTTCTCCCACGCCTTTCTAGCAGCTCCTCCACCCACAGGGATAAATAGGCTGAGCTAGTTGCTAGATGAATCCAAGCTCAGCGAGCTTCGCTCCAGAGGTTATGACCTTCTCCAAAACTTGGGTGATGCGCGATCGCAGTCGAATACAGATCTGGTGAGTGATGCAGCCCATATTTGCTCCGTTCGAGCTGACGTGCCCTTTCTAGATCAGCAAGAGGCCAATTTTGATAGTCTGCCACAGCCTAGGCGGCATTGTAGTAAAATAGGCTTTGTGCGTAGCCAACAAACAGTTTCCCAGGTATGGCTCTATTGTGTTAACCTCGATCATTCCCGTTCTGACGGCCAAAACTTAGCAGATTGTAACTCACCACCCGTTGTTGATATTCACCTCATTTCTGCCTTCACTTTTGCCCTACTATTCCTTTTATTGGTATATTCCATCTTGCTGCTGCCTTTGTTCCATCTTGCCTTACCTAACTTTGGCCCACCAGACAAGGTTCCCTCGACCAGAGCACCGCCTTCCTGGTTCCTGCTGATACTGTTACTGCCTAGTACTGACTCACCAGCACACAAGACATATCTAGTAGTGGCTGCCGGCGTCTCTTCGTGACCACCAAGTACTTCCCAGCCTCCAACTCTGCCAAAACCACCCCGCTCGTTTCTCCCCTCACTATCAATACAATGTCAACCAGAGCGCCTCTGGTCCAGGGTGGCCATATCCGCAATCCGTTGCGCGTCCCGGAGACATTCATTTCCAAGACCCTCCCTGAGATTTACGACAACACAATCGTCGTCGCCGCTACCCATCCCGCCCTCAGCAGCTCGCATGCCACACGTGACGGCTGGTTTCTTTCAGATTTTTATGCCTTCAACTACCTTCTGAAAGGTATGGGCCATCCTGGAGACAAGGATCGGAATGTGCCAGGCCAGGTCTGGCTCACTGCCGCGGTAAGTGCCTATATGGCTCTAGTCCATCGCATAATAACTGCCACAACAGATGTTTCTTGGTCGTTCAACGTGGACTGACTTGTCTTTGACAGGATCCCCGTGCTGTGGTCACCAAGTGGCCTGACCAGCAATATCTGCTTCATGGAAACCCATACCAAACTCGCCGAGTCGTTCTCAGTGAGCCTCTGCTCAACGCTAACAAGTACACCCCCGTTACCCTCGTCAAGACTTCCAACATGATTGAGGAATTCCTTACGGCTGTACGGAAGGCGTCGGAGCTGGCAAAAAGAGAGGGAGCCCCCCTTCTCCTGCTCGTGTTCTGCCATGGACTTATTAACCACCAGCTGTTGCTTGATGACGGCAACCATAACAAGGGCCTCAGTATCGTCCGACTGAAAGCGGCCATCGAGCCAGGATGCCGAGTGACACTGGTCACAACCGCCTGTTATTCTGGTGGATGGGCTATTCACCCGGACTTAAACCACACCACCCTAACAGCTGCCGGGCTTGAAAATACATCCAACGCCTGGCTTCCTTCCGCCAGTATGGGCCGCACCTGTGGCTCTATTTTCTGCAGTACTCTCATCGAAACCCTGTCCAGCGTTTCCAGCCCCCTCCTTGACAATCCCGCTCCAGGACCGGCACAAGATACGGAAAGCCTGCAGCCAGATAATCCTACCCAACTACAGACTGAGTCATACAATCAGTTCTGCCGCTCGATCCTCGAGGTCTGTGGGGAACGCGTGCATCGCCTGTGGGCCGATCAGGAATTCACCTTCAGCGCTCAGGACGATGATTGGGAATACTCATGGACGGCCCGAACGGGGATCCCGTTGGCCAGATTTGAGGAGCGCTGGAACAGCCTTCATAAAGTCACCTACACTCCACCGATGGGGCAATCCCATCCACTCGTCGATCCCAACCCGCGCAATCCGGCCTTCGATCCTTCCGCCTCCCTGGCATCCCTCACGGGCGGGAGCCGTGATGCCCAATTTCCGGATACCACAGAGAGCACTCGACTGCGCGCTGTTGAGATGGCCAGGCTGCTTCTGCAGGCCTGTCCTGGCGACTGGACCCAGGGGCAGAATGTGGCTCTCGCGGGCAAACTCCGGAGCTTCGTAAAGGGCGAGGTAATCCTCGGCGCTAGCAATCTCACTTGCACGGAGGTCTTATCCGTGGTGCGGTTTCGGTGGGAATCGGGTCGCTTTGCCGATCGCATCGTCGATCACTTTCGGCTCCCAAGGCCCGGCAACACCACGTGCATGTTTTGGGACATGTCTCTCTGGATGCAGGATGTTGCTGGGCGCGTCCCAGACTTCAAGGAGCGTCGCAGCAAGATCTGGCGCGTTTTCCGCGAGGCCGGCTTCGTCATTATGCCAACGCAGGAGCAGGGCCCCCCATTCTACCGCTTCTCAGACTATATCATCTCAGCCATTATCGAGGCGGGTAAATCGCACGATGCGATGATGGAAACGACGCAACAGATCGTTGACTATTTCCGCCGCGCCAAGGAGACCGCCCAAGACCAAGTCTACCAGGTGCGCCGAGTGCGTACCCTCGGCCGCGACTGGCTGAAGACCGTAGGGAGACGTATTCGCCGCTCACTCTCGCCAACCAAGAGGCCCGGAAACGTTGTCGAGCAATCCGACCTCGCTCGGACTGGGTCCACCACATCGACAGGTGCGCATCACCGCTGGTAGAGCTCGTCAATCTGGCATGATTCAGAGCATCACACTCTCGCCCCGTATCGGCTTAGATTCTCCAGATCCTTGCTTTTGTGCGGCGTGAGGCTGCGTCGTTTTTTTCATGCGGAATTACACAATGACAGTAGTGTTAGGCACCGCTCTTCGACAATTTGCACCGTGTGGGTTTTCTCTGACCCCTCTTAATGCTATGATCAATGAGGCACTGGACATCTGGTCTGTCGACCCGATGCACACAAGAATGAGATTGCTCGCACTGCTTTTCTCAAGGGTAAACTGTTCGAAGCGACAGGTGAGATGCAAAAAGCATCCATTGCCCTTAAAGTTGCCTGGCGACTGAGAAAGGAGATCACCAAGGAGGATCGAGATGTGAGAACCTTGAACACGAAGGACTTTGACGATATTGTTGCGTTTCGGGCTCGTTGTCAAGAACCGACCTATTACTTTATTCCACATACTTATTTCTATGGTATCTTTCCTGGTTTGCTTCCTGCTTTCCGTTTGTGTCAATTTCATATTTATGACTACCCGAGCCAAATTGCAATCGAAGAGAATAGAGTCGCATGCGATGAACCTTTCCACAGAATTGCGATAGCTCGACTATGTTCGCATTAGGTTTATACAATCTCAAGAGCTTGAATAAACACAATCTTTCGGATGCAACTGTAAACTTTGCATCAATTCAATAATTCCGGAAGCTGCTTAGTATTACAGCCATGTTAGGAACGGTACTTCTCAAACTATACAACCCAGCAAGATAAGGTTAACCGTCTTTGTAAAAAATTCTACGGGTCTAGAGTACATTATATGGAATACGTTTTCCTCTCAAGGCCTTTAGATATCCAATCCACGATACTGGATGTGTGGGCTGGTCCGTTCGCACCGTCAACATGTGGTCAAAATAAGCTATTTACGGTGGGGACGCTAGAAAACTCAGATAGCCGCGCGCTTATAGCCTTGCCTTACTGTTTAAAGGCATGATTACTCGATCCAGTTGACAGATTTGAGAACACCTTGTGCCAAACTTAATGATATTTTGTATCAAAAGACTGTACAACGGCAGAAATAAAACAAGCAGATAACAGCCAAGGGGATAGCGATACGTAATCGACGGCTCAGGCGCGGTAGGTGGTCCCTTGACAGGCCAATCTTGCCCGAGATGCTCACAAGAGTCCTCTTGTCGAAGCTGGAAACGATCAGGGTTAAAATCTCAAGCAGAAAATTCCATCTCATCGCTTTAGAAAACCTAGCGATGATATGGGATGATTTCGTCAAGCACAATGACGATGAAGCGCAAGTGGTGTATGATGACAGGATGATCTAGGAGATGGCAGGGGGGATCATACCTAATTCATCGGTACTAATCCTCCAGGCATAAAGGGATCTATTATCTCCAGTCGAAGACAATATGCGGTGCGTGACACACGAAGCCATGGTAGTGGTTCTCCTGTCTGATGATAAGTGGGAGCATATCGGCAAGGTCACGAAGGATTCGTCACAGAGCGTGCAGAATACGAGATATTATTACGACCCTCTTGAGCGTTGCTAGTATCTGCCTGATGGAAGTTTAGGAGATAGATTCTATGGCTGTCCTGATCCTGATAATATAAGGCGCATGATCTATTTATAATAGCTGCGCTGGAGGGAATGTCTGCAAAGAAAAGGGAGGTGAGACGAAGTAATTCGTCATATAAACATCTCGCATCCTCAGAAAAACGACACAGTGTCGAATCCAAAACAGCACGGAAGCAGGATCTGAATTTCTTGCTTGACTCTAGGTCTAGGGGGATTTGATCCCATATTTATCTCTAGCATACAAAGAATCTAGATCCTAGTAATCTAGTAATCTAGTAGTAATCCAGCATAATCAGGATTCAAAGAATCTGCCATAAACGGATAATTGATAGATCACCTGGCATTTGCTTTATACGCCGATACACAGCATATAAACAACAGATGTAGACGAAGTCCCAAAGAAACCACTGCCTACTTATGACTTCCAACGCGAGAATTGCTGATAGCATAAAAAAGCACCTTCTTGATATTCGCACATGTCTCGCAACAAATGTCTTCTTCGACAAGGACCGCGACAAGCCTAAGGCCATAGACATCTATTCCTCAGAAGGCAGGAGTCTTTACAAAACAGACCCGCGTTATGATAGTAGACAACATAAAAAGAAGAAACGGAGCATTTGCATCAAAAGATGCCATTCTAGCAGAAGGCACTCTCAACACAGCGCAGCTCCTCAAGCTAAGCGCACACGGGGCGGGGGACGAGTTGCAGAAATTTGATATTTTTGTGGTGGCGGTGCATCTTCCCGGTGTTGGGACGATCCTGCGAGACGATTATAAAAATAGTGTTGTTTGTATATTGTGACGAATGCTATCTATTTTCAGCAAGTCGCTGGCCTGCTAGGCTGGTGACCTATTGTTGAGGCAGTGGGTGGAGGGCTAGCCGTACAGACCCAATGGTGAGGCAGGCGTCGAATCGTCAGAACTTCTGATGCGAGCAAAGAACGGTACTTAAAGAAGATTCGTCTCTGTTTGACTGTTCAAAATTATTCCCCGGCTTCTTTCCCGGGTGCTTTAGGCAGCGATGGCTTCGCCGATAATTTTAACTTGGGATATAATCAAGCTCAATCCTCAGAGTTTCTGGGTAAGAACAGCAACGTTGCGCTCCGTCGGCCCTAGGGACACGCCAGACGTGAATTTCCGCTACTTTTATGAAAGAAACGATAGTTAGGAACTGCTCCTACACGTGGAGTGGCATTACCCCTGGGTGCAACCATGTTCGCACTAAGATAAGCTGAAGTCGATGTTCCCTTCGGTGTTGGATAAAATGAGATAATGAAGCCAATCAGGAATAAGATAGTTTCCGGGAACTGGTCCTTATACCTTGAATGACTCGCCCGGAACGCTGCGAGTTAGAAAGCAGTGGAAACAACTTGCAGAGGGATTGCAGGCAGGTGTTGAGGGGGAGGAGGATGTTTAGACATAGACACCGCAGTACCACAGTAACATGCCGGTGTAGTCCTTGTCGTAGACACGGACTCCTGTGCTTGATGGTGGGATCGACTAAGGATCCTAATCTGACGTCCTGAAGCTCAGGACAGATGGTGGAGAATGCCCGAATCTAGGACATGCTACCAAAATGCAAGGGCATAGGCCTGTAATTGGGGTGTAAGAAGGATAAATCCTTCCGTAAGGTCTGCTGTAGCTACTCATACCGGCAGTAAATCCGGCATTACTAAAGGAAGTAAAGCCAGGACCGTGCCGTTTATTGACACATATCAGTAGTAGGAGTATTATTATTAGTATTCATTGACGTCCGCCAGAACACAGGCGTTGGAACACAGGCTTCCCTGTGTTCCTAGTGACCTCCCATGGGTATTAGGACATGCCAAGCTATGGAATTATTATTATACAGTATGACCTTAGAAAGCAACCCAAGCAGATAGCGAAGGCAAATGCCACTTGTCCGGGCCTCCCCCAACATGCGGAGAAGCTCGAGTGTGTTATACATATAAGAGCATAGAAGTATTTTATAAGCAGTTTAAATGGTCGTAGTATTAGACGGGGGTAAAAAAAGAATTGAATAGCATGTCCTGGTTTCGATCCAGGGACCTCCGGGTTATGAGCCCGCTATAGTAATGTTAGTGGATCAGTTCAATGTATGTATTTGAGTCATGTGATTCCTTACGCGCTCTCCCCCTGAGCTAACATGCTTTCGGATGAAAAAAATGCAGGACATGATCACAATAAGAATTTGGCAGCCATGGCTGAGGGGATTGCGTTTGCACAAAAATTTTTCGAGAGTATTCCTGAGCTTGTGGGAGATTTGGAGAACTCATCCCAGGTCGCTTTTATTCAAAGCCTCGATGCGATCGGGAAAGGTAGAGAAAAAAAAAAAAAAAAAAAAGCTTTTACCCGCCACGCGGCTGACATTTGCACAATCGGACCGGAAGATAACCGCATAGTCTCGCTAGATTTGTGCTTTCGCACGAAGGGGTCGAGCGGTCGAGGGTAATCGATGCCTCGGTTTTCTCACGTTCACCGCGGGAATTTCCGCTGCTACCTGTATATTATCACTGGGAATGTCATGGACGTCATATCGGAATGTATAGAGCTAGATTTGTGTGATGCTTCCTGGAGGATAGCATGGAGGAAATGGTGTTGGTAGAAGATGCAGCTCGAAACTTCAGCAACAAGATTCAGCAAGGATCTCAAATATGCTGCGATAGGAAATCCGCAATTGCTTTTTGGCCGTCGGCCTTTACCATCACATCATTATGCAGTGCTTTTGGAACAATATGTCGGTTCACGGTGATATCGAGTGACCTGCAGAATGTTTCCAGTCTCTCACTTTGCTGTCGTGGAACAATCTCATCCTGTTCCGCCTGGGCAATCAAGATATTGGGTTTCTGCAGACCTGGAGCACGAGCAATGCGCCGTAGAGCCTGTTCACTGTCCCAGTGGTTGCGAAGGAACGGACTTAGGTAGTGGTACGGTAGCCACTTTTGAGGATAAAAATCCCGGAGAAGATCACGCATATTGGTAAAGGGAGTCTCGAGAACCAAACATACAAGTGGTGGATGCTCAGAGTCGCCCTTCTCAAGATACTCCGCAGCAAGTCCTGTTGCAGCGCCTGCACCGACGCTCTGACCCCAGAAGGAAATGCGAACGTTAGGTACTTGGGAATACTGCCGCAGCACCCACTGCATTGCAGCTCTTGCATCGCGTTCAATGCCTTTCTGCGAAGGCTTTCCCTGGGAGTGCCAGTATCCTCGGTAGGAGAGCGCAACAAAAGATATCTGGTGCACTTTCTTAGTTTTCTTGATAATACTTGAGAGAAATGGCAACCGTGGTGGAAGCGACGACGCATTGCTGCGATGAATCAGCCCGGCACATTAACTAGTAGTGACGCGTTATCTTCCTACCCTTGGAAATACAATATGACCAGGTGGACTTCATCATCACTGGCCACATTGGCTTTGACCTGCTCTCCTTCTGCATCGCCAACGATTAACGAAATCTTCACTCCATCTTCAGACTTGATAGATTCCTCCCGCCACTGAATGGGGCGACATTCTGGCGCATAATCTTCGATCGTCTCCCATCGTGCAAGAGGCGGGATGCTTGGCATATAAATGATCTTGTTCTGAAATATGATCATCGCAAGACATTTCTGTATCCAGAGGGTGATACCTAGACCCAAGAACATCGCTGGTGGGACTAATATGCTCGGGAGACTGAAACAGCGACATTGCTGTTGCACTACACTTTTCCGGTGGAATTTAACATGGAAATATGAAGCGTAAGAGTGAGTATGACAGTAGTGGCGACTCTGGATGTGACTCGACGGACTCGCATTCCGGGAGCTTGCTGCCAGTAGTCGGAATCTATTCATGGGCGCCAGTACCGAAAGGCCTTATTGCTTTGCTCCCTCAATAGGAGCAAGACAAATGGGCCTTTTTATTTCCAACTGAATCGGTTCAGCTGTCAGAAGTAGCAGATGATTCCTTCAGTTCAGGAAGAGGATCATGGAGCCGAGTCCCTTTGATTAAGACGGACAAAAAAGCTTGGTTGGGTGTCGAGGCTGGTTCCTCGTAACCATCTCAGAAGGAACAGAGGGTGTTCTTCTCTCACAACATAATTGGAGCTCTTGATAGTAACTTGTCTCTAGTTGCTTCGCTAGCAGCCAGAAATATCCAGTGTTGTCGTCGTCGCAAGTGAGTTCCGCGCATGTGATGAGTAAGCACATCATAAACACCAATCATATTTGCCGTTCTTGGACTCTTAAGCCTTGTTGTTTTCATGCCAGTCAAATCTGTTGTATATGGAGGGTATCTGCAAATTCTCGAGCACATTGATAAGTGTCGAATAATACAGGAATTGCATCTTAACCACAAATACATGCGGTAAGAACCTATATCTTACCGTCGCTGTCTTTATTTTGAGACTTTGGGACGTCTCAGTTACTGTCCGCGTAAACGCCTTGAGATTATTCTCTTCTGCGAAATCCATACCTAATATATATCCTCTATTAATAATTACAAATTGTAATCGCTTTCTCCCCATTTTCATTTCGTTCAGACCAGCCTTTCGTTTTCGGCTGGATATAATTAGTAGGCAATACTCCATTTATTTCACAGGAGATAGATCAGCGGCCAAAAAGCGCCAGGGATGCCATAAGTGAAGGCAAAGTCATAATCATCAGCTGTCCTTTCCAACAAGTCACCCTCAAATTGGAGATCAACGGCCGTGTGCGAAAACAATCCTGAAAGTTTTTGACAGGATGCATCAAAAAGAACGTCAGTCGCGCCTCGAGATGGTAAATCCAGCATTCGCCCTGGGTAAAGAACGTCACCGAAAAGTGACACTTCAGTCAAAAGCGGCAGTATGCCATGTGTGGACTGAGCCGCTACATGAGATATTGTTTTAAAAACAGGAGACTGACAGCACTGTAAAAGGAGGTGCTGCAACGAGCCCGGAAAATCCGGCAGTCTCTTCAAAAACGGTTGATCCACGCCCAAAATTTTGAGTTTATCGAACTCATAAAAGGAACCAAAGCCTCGATTTTCCCATGCAGGCGCGAAGTCGTGTTCCATGCTGCTAAGGTTGACTCGCACTTCCTCCAAATTATTTTTTTGGTCATAGAGTGCTGAATATAACTCTTCGGGGTTAAACTGGGTTCCGTTGGATGTTCCAATGCCATAACGGAAAGATTTCAATGTTGTGCATGCCCGGATAAGCATCTGAATGCTCGCGGCGTTTACACAGCTTTGTCGAAAGGAGATCATTGAGAGAGACAGAGTCCCTGGCGGGATATTAAATAGCTGAGGCAAAAGGGACTCATCCGCGTCATCATTGGAGCACCTATCAATCCACAGTTGTTCTAGAGAAGGGAAGGACAGTAGAGACAAAATATCCCCGAGTACGACCTGGTTCTCTTGATCGGCACCAGGACATCGAAGATGTAGCCGTCTCAGATTGCTCATAAACGGCAGCCCAGGTACTCCGCCGTGAGATAGTTGAATGATAGATTTCAGCGATCTCAAACTATGCTTATCAACAGAGATGACCAAGCGTCTGAGATTTGGCATGTGCAGAAGTAGCAGCAGAGTAAGAACGCTGGGTTCTAGGTGTAAAGAGCGTATCCACGCATCTCTGGGCACGGTCGGGAATCCCTGGAGATTTTTTATAAATAACTTGATATCACCACTGTATAAACCGAGCAGTCCACTTGTAGTATCAGTTCCCGAGGTATTGACAGAATCTCGTGGCTTGTCGCCTTCGGGACTATATTCTGGACCATGTTCGACAGAAGCGTCAATATCTAGGTCCCGGACGTTTGCGCTCAAGCGGGGACAGGAGACGATTGTTCGTGTGAGTAGTGGCAGTGGATACCGGAGACAGTGTGGCGAAGATGGTAGGATTTTGACGAAACTCTGATAGAGGACCGACTGAGCTATGGCACCAAGTCTTCTTGAAACTAAACAGCAGTCAAGTAGAGTTGAGACATCATCGGTACATTCCAGAATGATCACGAGGAGCTCTAGAGGTAGGTCTTGGAAGCTAGTCATGAGGAATTATTTCTATGTCAATGTAGCAATATTCTGTGAAAAAAACTTATGATGAGCTCAATAGCGATAACGACGTCGGGTATTTAGGCGGGGTGGCTATGCAGCATTATTGCCCAATCAGGAAGCGGCATTACTTTGCAGCGGAAGTGCAAAGTATGGCAAAGTATCGGATGGATGTAGTAGTCTTAGCATCGATAAGCTCCATACACTGGCGATATCTAGCGATGTTCCTAGATCCGGGATTGACAGATGACAAGCATGATGATTTCTCTGCAAAAGAGACACGAAACTCATCATGAGTTTTGAAGTCGAAATCTGTATACAGAAACAGACTAAGAACGAATACACTTCATGAATACATTATTTATCACGCTTTGCTTCATCTCGTTCATCTATTCGTAAGTCATGCGCATCATCCGACGGTCCCAATCCATATCCAAAACAAGCTATTAGGCTGGTCAAACAAGAAATGCTATATATGCAGCAGTACAAGCAATTGAGTATCAGCAACGAAGAGAAATAAGAAGACATATCGACAAAACATCCGATTCACGTAACCTCACTGATAACTCTTCCATAATTGCCTGGAAAAAGACCCGTCCGACCAGCGTAGCAGCCCCAGAACCAGTCATCATTGATGTTCTCTGCTTCTGTGATTTCGGCTCCGCCAGGGAAGAGCAATTCATCTTGTGCATCTTCCTCAGGAAACCATGGCCAGAGAGCGTAGAGGATAAGACCAACGCCTCCATCGGGTGGGAAGCGACGAGCAGAAGAGACTCCATGCGGAGTAGTGGGAGACGAGACAGGAGACTCACCGGATCCACTGACGGCATTTGCCAACGCAGCACGCACACGAGAGGCTTTCTTTCTTCCTTCTGCGCCTTCTTTCCAACTCCAATCTCCTGTGCTAAGTTCTGGAGAGGTAACAGAGCCGGATGTGTGTTGTTCAGATCCACGCCTACGGACATGTTCGTCCTTCAACGCATGACCGCCAACCAGCCCACGTACAATGACTCGATGCGGGCCGTCTTCGTGGTCCTGGAAGCCCACAACGATCATTCGATGACCTTTGAGGCATCTTCGCCAGCCATTGTGGCCATTCTCTTTGCTGATCTTCCCGCAAGCGACAAGTTTGAGATAGCAGTTTGTGCAGACGTCATAGTCACCACTGTTGCATTGAAGGCAATGAAATCGAGATGACGATGGAGAAATAGGATAGCTACACACGTCACATTTCGTGGAGAAAGATAAGATATTGTATATCTCGTCGTTGATGGATATTCTACTCGAGCTCACAGGAATGCCGGTACTCTTGGAGAAAGTTGTCTGCGTTCCGGAGACAGTGACCCTGCCATCATTGGAAAGACGACGAACCGGAAGAAGTGGGTGAGTGCAACATCTGCCTTGATTAACGCAGGAGTTGCAGAAACCCCAGTCCCCATAGTTACATTGGCCACATTTCCAGAAGCAGTCATCCGCTAGCGATTGACAAATATCACAGAACATGCCTTCTTGCAGTCTCCTAGACGGGTCATCACTGGTCATCTGTCGGCCTTCATTTACCTCCCTTTCAGCTGTCTCTTCTGGTCGTTCATATCGTCGAGAGCGCAAAACGTGCGGTGACTCCTGTACAGGCCTGGATTGACTATTGGAAGACGTCATACGCTCAAAAGTTGACTGTGCTGTAGAACCAAATCCAAACCAGTGGAGACAGCCGCGACCCTGGCGGTAGCAGCGGAGGCAGATGTTGTACTTGCCACCCGTGCATTTGGAACAGTTCTTATGAAGGTCATACTGTATGTTAGGCTTTCCACAGCGATCGCAGGAAATAGATGGTTCAGGATAAAGAACGGCAGGGATGCGAGCTGCGTCAGCGCGCGATGACGGTAGTCTCGAACGAGCATTGCTGTTCACCACGCCATCTACCCATAGCGATGCGGGCAACTCAGATGCACCATGTCCCGAATGCAAGGCTGGAGACCTTTGAGATTCTGTTGGGGGATCACTAGCAGACCGACTGATGAGCGGCTGGGATGCGCCCCTATCTCGGCCTCCTGAGACCCAAGCATCGTATATTCTTCCTTCTGACTCTGCGGTCCGCCGTGCTGACGAGACAGATGGCTGCCTCGTTCTCGACCTTGCACTGTAGGATAGATGCCCCTCCTGATCTGTCGTATCAGTAGCAGACCTTGCAGCAGGCCGCAGTGTAATTTCCGAAGAAGAGGCTGGGTTTGCAGGTGATGGCGAAGTTCTGCGACGTCTAGCACCTTGATCTGAGGCTCGCCTCTGATGGCCTGGGGCGGACGGTGGCGATAGCTGTTCTAAAAGATGTGGACGCGATATTGGAGGATGCCGCGAAGCGTCTCTCTGGGGCGTAGATGTGGATTGCGTTTGCACAGTCTGAGATCTAGCGCGCTGATGACTAGATTCCCGTGGCTGTTCAGCAGCCGTATTCCGCGGCGGTCGAGAGTTTGACCTTTGTAAATGTCTCCTGCGATACGCCTCCGCAATTCGCTCACTCAGTTCCTCTTCCTGCGCCTGATCCAGGTCGTGCAGATCTATGCCGTCCAACAAGCCGTCCTCGATGATCTGTCGCAATATCTCTTCCTCCATACTTTCCACATCAGACGAACTGAGCAGCGACCGCAAGCTGGACTGGTGTTCGATCTGCCTGGATGATGTCGATCCAGATGCCATGCTTCCGGCATGGACTGCGCTGCGTGCAGCATGTTGCTGTGCTTGACGTCGTGCTCTGCGCTCCTCTTCACGACGTCGCCTTGCCCGGCTATCGTCCGTTCTCTCATTGGTATCAACGCTCGCAGCACGACGATGGCGCGATGACTGCCCACCTCGGGAACTCGAAGGTCTCGCCTGTTGCCGGCCGTCGACATCATGCAGACTTAACTCCCTCACTTCCTCTATCAGCCGTCGATCCTCTTCGTCCGAGTCCGCTGCCGCGCCAGAGTTTGGCGCTGGCAGCACTGAGTCGCCGGGTTTGTATTTCTGCGCTATTTCTTCCCTCTCCTCGGTTGGCTTTACACGTTCAGGGTTTGCTTTCAGGAACATATCCAGTAGAGTTGTGACTGTGGCATTGGGCCGTGTTTCGCGAACGGCCGCTCTACACGAGGGGCAGGTGAAGCGCGAAGAGTGAGATGACCCCGCCCGCGCTGCTTGCCAGGAGAACCATTCTTTCAAACAAGAGCCGCAGAATGTATGAAGGCAGTCGAGTAGGGTGAGAGGCTGATATAATAGTTCTGTACAAATCTAGAGGTTATCAGTGATTATCGCAGCTGGGCGCATAAGGAATTCCGCGGGGTTACTGGGAGTCCACGAGGAGCTGCTGGGACATATATAATTCTGCAAATTTGCACATACCGAGCAAACGAGTTCCTTCTCGAGGTCCAAGAGACCCGCGCCACTGCGCTGTGTTTCCGCCATCGGATTTGTCTATGCGACGCACCGCGCGGGGGGGACGGCAGTGGTCACCAGCGAAGCTCGAAGCTCCTTCAGGAACTTATCGTAGAAAGAGAGCGGCCAGTGATATATGGGATCACCGCCCAAAAGAGTGTAATTTGAAGAAAAGCACTGCTTTTCTGTGGCCATGTACAGTAGTACTTGGAAAGCTGACCGTGGCGGGGAGCTGTGCCCGTGCGGCGGAACATCATCGCATCTTCAGACGCGGTGGATTTGCTAAGTACACTAAGTCAGTAAGCGGGTCCACAAGACTCTCTCCACATGATGAATCGCCGGGATTTATCCTCCGCAAAAAAGCACTTTCTGCATGGATGGATTGTTTTCTTGAAGCATGTATTAATACAGCCATCGGGTTCCATTTATAAAGTGTCATCGCGGGGCGGATCTCGAGATATAGAGGGAGGAGGATTGGATTATGTTTCCAATCCGGATATATATTTACGGCATCCCAATTATATATATATGGTTTCCATGGTTCAGCTCCATCGGCCTCGCGGTATAGCCGCCAAAGATCCATGGATTTTTCAACCAGACAGTATGGCTTCTGTACTTCTGCACGTCACGGCCGAGGTGAACCAGTTTTGTCGTCTACTCTCTGTAACTGGGAGTGTCATCGGAAAACCAAGTGATTATCACCAAAATTTCAAAAATCCTTCTCAGTATGACAGATTCCCTGGTGGCGTTCCTTTCGAAATACAAAATTTGCGAGTCGGGAATCGATACATCAAATTAGCATTCAGATGGGTACTTGAGCATGACTTCTCCTATGTGATAAAATCTGGACATGGAGTGCGACCTGCTGAGGCTGAAGCTATGAGACTTGTATCCAAGCACACCTCCGTTCCTGTAGGGTCACAGGCATTCTCGACTGGGAATATGCGGGATGGTATCCGGATTATTGGGAGTATGCACAGATTCTGAGTCCTGTTTTCTGGGGTGATTGGTCAATATGGATAGATCGGACTACACCGCAGAGATGGGATCTTAGTGGGATTAATGCTGCCAGGAAAATTTTGTTTTAACATCGTTATTGCCACCAAGTGATAGCTGTAAATGTAACTAGTTCTTATCTCCATTAATACCTCAGAAGCAGGAGAGAGTAGTTGTAGGACTCTTCAGAATGAATTGCTAAAATTGTATGTGACATAGAACCGTAAAAAGCTATTAACGCCATAGGTATGCTACGAAAGCACACTTCAGATCCTCGATAGCAGTTCCCGAACCCGACGAATGGCTAATCCCTTATTCTATCTCACCAGTTTTGCAACGAGATCAGACCCCATCTCTGCATTAGAGTCCAGAATCTCCGTGAATCTCTCGTTATCACCCAGTGTCCGTGCCTCGCAGGCAATGTAGTGAATAACCAAATCCCGGAGAGGAGATTTCCCACCGGGTTCGTATCGCCCAGTGTTGGCGTAAGTGAAATCAAGTAAGTCAAGGACAAGAGATGCACTCTCACGGTTCAGGGAGAAACGGCGGAGATCACGATGGAGTGATTTCAGACACTGTTGGCGTAATTTTTCAACGAGATATTTCGTCGCAAAGACGTATAGTTTAGCATGAAACACGATGTCTGGATCCATAGCGCGCAATGCAGACTTGACTCCGAAGCTCCGTGACCGAAATTGTGCCCAGAGCGCCTCATCTGGGTAGACGACATCAACCTGGACAGGTTCAGACTTATGTTTCGAGTTCGCTTTAGTCCCATCGTAATATGCCCCTTTCCCCCTGTACTTGCTCTTCTTCGTTGCGGGGCTAAATCCCCAAGTGTCTTCTGACTCTGCATCCAGCTGAGGAGCGCTAAAGTCCAGTAGAGGCCCCATGGTGGGTTTCATATTCTCCTGGTCATCCGTGGAAGCATTATTGGATGATTCTTTTCTATCTGGGGTCACGTAGGCGCCGGTGTAGGCGTATTCACAGAACGCGATGAACGTCTCTGTTTCCACATCATCGAGAATCGCCACCCCGTTCGTAGACTCTTTCATAAAGCCATTGTTGATGAGGGCATACAAAGGCTCTGAGATGTTTTGTACAATAGCAGAATGTATTGTCAAGGGAGTCTGCTCCTGGCCGACGAGGAAAGTGAAGTGAGATGACCGAATAATCCTATGTTGATTGTTAACGGAGGAAATCATTGACAGAATTCGAGAGTACCGACTTTTTGTAATCAGCCATTTTTGCTGTCGTATTACCAGTCAAGTAATGATGCTTGTTGATGGACGAGCCGGATGTTTTAATGGTGAGCAGTGGTTGATAAGAGGCAGCCTGCAGGGATAACCTGGCGGCGCTCTCAACTATCAACAAGATATGGCGGTAATATTTTGAGTGAAGCTCGCTGGGCTTGAATTCCCTAGAAACTAGCTCAGCCTATTTATCTCTGTGGGTTGAGCAAGAAAGGTGTGGGAGAAACCCGACAGGAGGTCTGCCTGTAGGCAGGCTCCGACACAATCTCTAGACACTTGTTGAGAACCACATGTAATTCGGACATAAAATCGTCACAATGAATTTGGATGGAAGAGGATTCGCAATAAAAGTAGGACTCTGTGGAATCCTGTCCGGGCACAGGAGCAACGGTACGACTTGAAGCTCCTAGTTAGTAGCTAAGTTGTTTGCTTGCTTCTAGATCCAGGACGAGGTCGATCCCATACTTATCTCCTATAGTATACAAAGAATCTAGGCCCTAGTGATCTAGTAGGTTTGGTTCTATCCTATAATTAAGACCTCAAAGAACCCGCTGCAAACGGACGATATGACAGACCACCTCACACAAACAACAGCAGGCTACCGTAGCAGCGATGATCCGTCGTATTAGCCAAATCAGAAACGAGGATTGTTCTGCATATGGCTCCAGGCAAATGAAGTGTCTATCGAGTCTCCACCCTGTACCTCCGACGATTAAAGAAGACACATTATCATGCTGTAGAAGTGGCCTGGCCTGATGTTGGACATCTGTTTGAAGCAAGGCTGTCCGCAGGGCATCGCATCTCGCGTTGAAAATGGCGACAAAGTAAGTCGAAGAGTTTCTTAAAAACAGTTAAATTGGCAATCTATTTCATTGAGGTCACCGCGGGTCAATTCGGGTTCTGCTGTCCTATATTCAAATCCACGTTGAACCTCTCCACCCCAGTTATCGAACTAACCAGCTTTAACCCATCGCCTTCACTATATGACTAGCATGGATTCTCTTCAGTCTCATATTCATTGGAAAACTGCCAATACTTTCGACTATATCTAGGTGAGTTGCCCAATTACCTGAGTCCAGCTTATTTCATACTGTCACTTGTACTTCTACTCCAGGATCGCCCCAGGGACTGGATATCACATCTACACCATTTGATCATATGGAGATGGATGTTCAATACAAGTCTACAGTTCTAAGATATACTTTTGAAAAGGTCCCATTTGGGAGCTCCAGGCTCCAATATCATCCATTAAATACAAACTAGACGCCAACCACCCCCATCTCCGGCCCGCGGAGACGACACCAACACCCCCTAAAACAAACAATTTTTTTGTTTCTTTTCTCTTTTATTTGACAGGTCACTCCGTGGGAGGGCCCGAGGAGGAGATCAGTTCCGGGGCCCGGCAACTTCGTGCTTGTGCACCCGGATACTGATCTCCTCCGTCTTCGGGCCCTCCCCAAGTGGCAGCTGCCACTTCTCCGCAAAGGGCCTCTCCTCCACCTCCAGCTCGTCGAGCCGCTTCATCACCCACCCCTCGTGGTCCCCGCCGATCATGGTCCCGGCCCGGAGATTCCTGGTCTGAATCTCCTCCGTTGTCATTTGGCCGAGACGCCACACGTCCATGGCATGGCGGTTTGCCTGCCCGAGGGTCGTGTAGACCTGCTCATGGACGTGGGTCTTGACCACCGCGGATTCGAGGTTTCTCGTCTCCACGATGGTCAAGTACACGAATCGGGGGAGCCAGTTGGGGGTGGGTTGAACGCGGTCTTGGGGCGCGACCCCTTCGCGCAGCTCCTTTTCAATGAAGACCGCCACTGCCCCGTATCCCTGCGAGTCGACCACTTGCTGGTAGATGCCCTCTGGGCCGAAGGAGCTTCTCAGCTCGAACTGGTCACCTCCAGTCTCTTTCTGGAGGCGTTGGATCCGGTTGAGCATGTGGGCGGTTGCCCGTTTCTTGTCGACGTATGTTCCGAGGATGGTCCGGCCCGGAATTCCCTGGGCACGGCCGTCAACCTGGACGACAACGTACACCCAGTACGTGTCTTCAGTTCCGGTCTTTGCATCAAGCTTCGGCTGTGGTTCAGTGTGGCTCGCGAGGGATTCGACGGTGTCGATGACGGCGTTGTCAGAGTGGCTGGTCGTGCTGGAGTGGATGTTGGAGTGGACGTCGGAATGATCGCTATCAACTTCGCGGATGGTTGCTAATGTTTCAATGGGAAGTCCTTTGCCGCCTGTGGTTGCACGGTTGATCAGAGTCTCATCGGAATGGTCATCGGAATCGTCGTCTAGAGCGCTTTCTGAGATGGCAGGAGTGGCTGAGCGACCTCTTCTGAGCGGAGCACGCTTCACAGGTGCCTGCGGAGCTACTGATTTTCCTCCGGTAGTTGGATGAACTTGTTCGGTATCGTCCGCAAGATCATCATCGAAATCCTCTGCGTCTTTCTCTGAGACTGCTGGTGTGACAGCCCTGCGTCCTTTTTTCGGCTGAACACGAGGTTTCTTCGCTTTCGGGGCGCTCTTGCTGGTGGTCTTTGGTGCTGCTGCTGCCTTGCGTTTCTTGCTGACAGTCTGTGGAGCATGGAGTTCGGAGTATGAAGGGACAGGAACGGAAGAAGGTTCACTCGCTGGCTGGCTAGTAGCACGAGTAGAACGACGCAAGCCGGTGGATGAGGTCGGTTGAGACTGGACAGGAGTTTGCTGACGTGCCGATCTGCGAGGCGGAACTGACGAAGCAGCTTTCTTCTGTGGCTTTTGCGATGCTGATGAGGTCTGTGCCTCCTTCGGCGGTTTTTTGTGGACGTATTCAGAAAAGAAGTCATCGTGCTCCTCTTCTTCGGCAGCAGTTGAAGCCGCAGGATTCTGGTTTCCTCCAGTTGATTTACCAGTGGCAGTCGGATCCAGTGATTCCGCGCGAGCAGTAGCAGGATATGAAGTCTGAGTGTCTTCTTGACCGCTAGACTCTTCTTCTGAAAACAAGCCATGAGTTTCCGCGGGAGGACGGAAGAGAGTGTTGTCACGTTTCGCAGGCATCTTGACGAGTTGAAGAGTGAGTATTCTGAGGTGTTGAAGTGTTGGACAGAGTTTGCAGAAGGAGTTGAATGCAGAATCGAGAAGGTATCTCAATGCAGAGTTCCAAGGGGTTCGGTCAAGAAGAATGGTGAAGTTGTGTTTGCAAGACAGAGATCTGCGGGATGGTGGCGTCTGTAACGTGTCCAGGCCAGCTGGAAGAAGTTGCAGAAGATTTTGAAGAGGAAGATGTGGCAGAGGAAGGTTATGAAGATGGTTATGAAGAGCAAGATCTCCAAGACAATGTTTGCCAGCAGGAACTAGACAGACGTTGCCGCAAGCCTTCACTACAAGCTTCAGACCAGCTGAAGCTCAAGTAAAGAAATGTTGTTGCTGAAGGACGAAGTTTGGAGACAGAGAAGAGATATGAAGAAGTTGCAGTCCAAAGAGAAGAAGTGAAGGTGCAAAAGGCCTTTTATACCCTCTGTTTAAGATGCTAGACCTGCTCATAGAGCTGGCATTGTATGAACAGCCATGAATAGACCTAGTTTCTATTCAGTAATGCAAGTAGAACAGGACAATGTCTTAGCTGAGATAATTATGCAGTAGAGCAGGGTGAGTTTGTGCGCCAGCCCCCTATATTCAGATGTGTTCCTCATGGGTCGGCCCAGTAACTAACACAATAGATATATTGAGCGGAGAGAGCCCCTATCTATTAGTAAGGTCTACAGAACACAATTGGCAATTTTTCTATTCATCAAACGGCAATAAATAAGACACATAATAGTCCAGCCAATACAGCGTATTGAGGGTTTAGGTTTGATATGAACACAACCTTCCATATCAGCCATTTGCCACAGCATAGAATAATTGATAAAACTGCACAGATGCGAGAAAGCACGACCTCAATTGAAGAAACCCCCTAACCTGCATGTACCGATATGGAAACTTGAATTCCGCATATGCCACCAGAAGCAAGTACCAGAGCGCATTCCTATATCAACTCCTGGAGTGTACTCTGCTTGCTATATATCCAATCTAGACCGTAAGGAATGTCTATCGTGCCTATATCCCAAGAGCATATTGAGTTGAAATTTGAAGACACGGACATTATAAGGATAGCATGGGACACTTCCCTGGACTGCTCGTGACTATAAGCCTTAAAACGCGTGTGTCCTATCCAACAGACACGAAAGCACTGATTATCCAAGAAATCATCTCAGAAGACTCAGTAAGTGTATCTCCTTATAGAAATACATTTGATCACCATGACCTCCTTACAGCTCACGTGTAAAGCTCTCTTCATTCTTAACCTCCGGACCGTATCTCAAATTAGATACTACGCAACGTACAAACCAGAGAAGAGAAAACACTTCTAGCTCTGCGTATAAAGCATTCCTACTTGTCCAGAGACAAAAGTAGTAAATCTACTTACTGCGCTCAATAAACACCTCAACTATAAGAAACCAGCTCAGCTCTCGAGTAGAACCTCTAGCCACGATAGAAACCCAGGAAGGATTAGATCAGATAACACTGCATAGACCAAGAATGCGATATAAAGCCTTCTAGACATGTAAGGATAGGAATCGCAACGTGGTAATTAGAGTCTGGAATTATATTTTATATACTTATTTCGACCTCTTGTTTTGCAGCATAGAAAATGGTAGCTGTATGCTTATACACTCTATATAGAGTAGTAGTCCTAGTAATAGTGTTCTTTACCTTATGTAGCGCTGCTACTTAGCCTACTAAGCGTGTTATATAAAATGAAGGAAGCGGTGAGAAGCTTGCTTAATTACTAACTAGGAAGCTGGTGAATCCTATATAGGATCTCCCGGTCATATAATTGCTAATATAAAGGGGTGCTTAGCATAGACTACTGGAGGGGGGCTCCAATACCTCCCCTCACATCAAGCACTAGAGAAATGCTAAAAACTAGCTAGGATTCTAAATATAAATAATAATTAGAAAGCAGGCAGTTTAAATAGTTAAATAAACAGTAATCTAGAGATGTTAGACAGTTATAATTAAACTAAGCTATTTAAGCTAAGTCTTAAACTTTAGTATAAGAAGCCTTTTAATAAAATTGTTAGCCAAATTATTGGCCGAGTCAATATGCTTTATATTAATTATACCCTAAGCTAATATATTACAGATATAATAAAAGCATATATTAATATATTTAAAGCGCTTAGTTCTAGAGAGTAATTTAATTAGATCTTAAGCCTTATTATTGTTAATATTTAGGATAATAGGACCCTTATCTTATATAATACCTATATTAATTATTAAATAATATATCTACTAAACCTTCCTAGCAGCTTTAAAAACTGCTATATATTTAGCTTTATTAGAGCTAATTATAATATATATTTGCTTATAAATTTTTTAAGAAATAGGTTTACTAGCAAATATAAAAATAAATCTAGAGGTAAAGAAGTATATATTAATATTACTAATATAATTAGAGTTATAATAGGCTTATAGAAGGCTAATATCTCTATTACCTTTATAGTAGATTATATTATAGTTAATTATTTATTATAAATAGCATATAATATACTTTAAAGCAGTATAGGATTTTAGCATTAGATAAGTGTTTTACTCAGCCAGTAGACTTATTACCTTTACTAGATCTAGGTAAGTCTTTATTATTAATTATTAGCAGCATCCTATACTTTACTGGTATTCTTTAATATTAATTTCTAGAGTAGGCTTATTATTAATTTAAAGCTTTAAATCTAGAAGAGTATTAATATAGCTAAAATCTTTTTATCTGAAAGATTAGATAAATTTATATATATAGCTAGATTAAGTAAGTTAAATTACCCTATTACCGCGCAAGACCTCTATTCCTAGGTAATATTTAACTAGACCTAGGCTCTTTATCTTGAATTACTTAGAGATGCCCTTTAAGACCTCTTAAGCTGTTTTCTCTAAGGGAGTAATAATATTAAAGTTATTAATATAGGTTATAATAAACATATACTTTGTAATAAATAAAATCTATAGATATAGATTATATAGGGAGATATAGAAGCTAGCACTAAGTAAATATTCTACAAAGATATTATATTATATCTTTACTAAGGGAGTTAAGCTATAAAGAGCTTAATCTAATTTACAGACTAAAACTTCCTTTTTATCTTCCTAGAAGCTTATAGGCTAGAGCATATAAATATTATAATATAGCTTTCTATTTAGAAATACCTAGATAGTATTTACTTATAATATTACTTATCTATAATAAGCTATATAGGTAAATAAGATATTAATAATAGCAGCAGATATTACCAGCGCATAGGTAATTATATTAAATATAGTATTATTTAGGATATTCCTATAGATTATCTAATAAGCTTTATAAATAATTAACCTATCTAGAGCTTCTTTCTTCTTATATACCTATCTCCTAGGTATAGGATAAATGCTAGAGAGGAGTTTATCTCTCCAGACTAAATACTAGCACTTTTACTATATTAATAAATTAATTTCTTTTCTTATAGCTGCTTATTATTAAATAGCTTTAGGGCTAGTTATAGCAGCTTTAAATAAATACAGAATACTCTACTCCTCTTTAAAAGAGATAGTATAGACCTTTATTAAATTAACAGGCCTATACTAGATTATAGTAAGATTCTCATTATCTAGTTCTTTCTCCCCTATATATAATACCTAACTTCTACATTTAATAAGTGCCTATAGCATTAATAAAATAGCCAGCTTAATTATACATAATTTAAAGCTCTTTAGTTTAGCTACTATAATATTGTCTATATTAAAATATAATATTCTTACTACTTATTTACTAATAAGATCCTATATAAGCATATTACTATTATCCGCTATACTAACAAATTTAGCTAGCTTTACCTTTAAGGTAAGCTTATATATTAGGGCTTTAGGTCTAGTTAGTAAATAATATCTTAGAGCCCTATATCTATGCAAATTAAATATAGCTATAGGGTAGTTTAGCTAGGCCTAGATAGGGACTTACTATTTAATAGGTTTAATACCCTAATCTTATAATATTGCTCCTGGCGTACAGTTGTTAAACAATAGTATAGAGGTTAGCACCCTATTAATGATGTGCACAGCATATTTAACTGTATATACCTATATAGAGTGCGGTATCTTAGAGTTAATAACTATAACTCTAGCTTATTCTATAATAATCCTAATAGCACATTTACTAATACTATTTTACTAAGAAGTATAGGCTGTAATAGATTTAAATATAATACTGTAATTAGTATAATAGCCAGCAATAGTATTTATATAGAGCTTATTATTAGACCTAAAATAAGTAATAGTAAAGCCTAGAGAGTAGATATATTCTATAATAAAATAAACCTAGTTTAATAGGTAGGCTCTATTTAATATAGGATATACTTAGTAATATTAGGTAGTATTATTAATAATAAGTAATATATATCTTATTTTAATATTGCTTAGAAGCGCCTTATCTAACTTATAGTCTAGGGTGCGCCTGCCACTAATTATATCTATATAAAGCTATCTGCTAGATACTATAGCCTATAGTATAAGTCTCTATAATATAAGCTTTATAATTTTAGCTTATTTATAGATATTATAGAATAAGAGATCTTTAAATCCTTTAATCTTAATGCCGGAGAGTAGGTTATATATTAAGCATATAATATTTATAGGGTTTAGATAAGCAAGAATATAATATTATTTAACTAGGGATTATAAAACTTAATATAGAGCTAGTAGCTTTAATAATTTAGAATTAGCTTCCTAAACAGCTAAATTCTCTCTTCTACTATTTCTAGTAGTAATAAGAATAGCCTAATAAACTTTCTCCTATATAAGGGGATAAGCAGGCAGTATAAGATATTAGTATTCCCTATTAATTTATTTTCTATAAAATTAACTTCTTTTTAGTATCTCTATATTAAAATAATTATTATCTAGCCCTATTTAAATCTAATAGCCCTATTCTTTAAATAGGGCAAAAGATAAGATATTATTATTTATTCTAAGAGCATAATAGATATCTTTAATAAATAATAGGACATTATTAAACTAAACTAATATATTACTAATTTCTTTAAATAGGATCCTTTCCTTATATATACCTTTAAAGAATATAGTAGAAAACTTCATTTCTATAAAGCTAAAGAATATATCTTTCTAAGTAGTTATATAAGCTTTAGAGCTAATATCTAATATCTAATTTCCTACCGCCAGCTTATTTATAAGTATAGCCTTAAGCTAAGTAGATATATTATTAATTTTAAAGATAGTCTAGGAAAAAATAATAGTATTAAGATTAAGATTTATATTAGAGCTTCTATTATATTGCCCTTATTAATATTTAAAGGGGGGTTATAGTTTAAGGTAAGCTAACTAATATTCTTTAGCTATATAATAGCCCTTACTATAAAAACTACAG